GTAGTTCACATGCGGAGACCAAAACTTGCGCAAGTGGCCTGAGAGAAGGCTCCTTCCGTTGAGATTCGGCTGCTCTCAAGTCATCTTTGGCGTCGTCTTGTTGATTTGCCCTCTGAACCTACTCCTCTTTTGCTTCTTTCCTAGCTTTCTTTTGACTTCGGCAAAGAGATCGAGACTCAGATGACCACATGTCTCTGCCGCACAGGGCAGAAGGCAGTACCACGTTGTGGCGTAAATAAATGATCCGAATGGGATCTGGAAGCCCTGGATCTTTGCCCGCAGCAGTAGCGCGCGCCTTGATCACCCTAATGTCTTGAATATTGGTGGCGTTCGCGGACGTTGCATCGGTTCAGTTGGAAAAGCCTGATGCCTTGTAGTCATGTACAAGACATGTGCAAGGCACCTGCACAATTGATGCAAGGGCGGGGATACTGATAGCTCAGAACGAAGAAATGCAGATTTTCAAGGTTTAGAGGAGAGGAGTTTTTACTCAGCTGGGAAACAGAGATCGACGAGGGCGTCCGACGGGTGACGAGGCCTCATCTCATTCATCTCGGGAGGTCTTCTAGAGTTGTATCGAGCCGCGAGAGAGTGCAAGATGTTTGGAACCGAGGCCATCTCGGTTGCTTCTCGAAGATAACGATTCACTTTCAGGTCACCACTTCATGTATGAAGACCGTTTGGGAAGTTCCCCTGATCTCTGTCCGGCACTGATGCATATCGTCCGAGATTCCAAGAGTCACTCCCGTCTGTGGGGGTTCTGTCACATCCAGGGAATGCCGAGTGGTAAGGGGGGAAAGGAGAATGCTCGCTTGAAATCATCTCGTGACATGATCACCTGACAAGCCGCTTCCCACCTCATGCGGCTTGTCCAAACTGCACAACGCCCCTAGAGCCATCTCAACAAAACTTAGCACAAAATCGTCTCAACCTAGATCCCAACAACATCAATCCGATGTTCTAATTTTACCAGATCCACAGCTCCCCGCTTCACGGGCGTCTCAGCCCTGCCCTGCAGGCTGAAACCAGCAGTCCGAGCTTTCGAAACATCAACAGCATCACCTCACCAACACACATTCAACAGCATCCAAAAATAACACAACCATGGTTATTCAAGCTTTTCCTCTGAAGTTCCTCAAACTGCACCTCCCGTGGACGACACACATCCGCACTACACGCGCAAAATAGATCATCCCATGATTTTCGGATGCTCGAAACATATTGCTCCGTCTCGGCGCACGTTTCGGCACCCCTGCGCAGAAGTGCAGAGTACATACCTTGTACTCCGTACCAATATGCTCTTCCTCTCCAGAAGATTGAAGCTAAAACTAAAAACCGTTTCGTGTAATTGAAACGAGCTGGCCGGCGGGATTGGGGACCGCAGGTACGGAACGTGTCTGATGGTTAAAATAGCATCAAGTCTTTGTGATTTTCGAAACGGGTGCGTGCTTTGACAGCTTGACAGCAGAAACAATGCCATGACTGACAGGTCTGACGTCTCCATCTAGACAAGCCTCCCCTCCTTACAACCTATATGACGCTCCATTATTGACGTGTTTAGTGGAGAACGTCTCAACATTCTTCGAAGCTGCTATTCTTAGGTTCCACACCTTCGTTGTGGTGCGGATTTCATACATGAGGATACATGTGAGCTTTGATGAGGAGGCCTTTTGTGTTTTGTCTCGGTAGTGCAATGCCGTTTCGATCATCGGAACGCACGAAGAACGCACAAAGGGTTCCCTGGAGATGGGCTATAGCATGAACAAGTTCGAGGAGGGCGGGGAGGGGTAGACTAGACATTGTTTTGGGGCATACATCAGGGTCACGGAGGAGGAGAGGGGGTTGGGGAGTAGATCCAAACAGAGGCATGGCGAACATGGGGAGATGGGATCTGGGATCTGGGATCAGATCATGAAGATGGCCATGTGGTGTGGTTGTGACGGGGGGAGGTGCTGTGGTTGAAGAGACACTTTCGAGGCGAGCGCCGAGCACAGACGGCATCACTACTCAGTCGTCCAATTATCTCCATGAAGTACAGCGACTGCAAGTGCAGTGATGAATATCCTCATCTTGCATTCTATAAATTGAGCTGAAGAAACAACCTTGATCGGAGATTTGCGTGTGACGTCCAGAAGTTCAAAGTTAAATGAGAGGGGATCAGGGTCTTCGCTGGAAAATCGTTGAGGAAACTCGTTGGGGGAGGCAGTGCAGCGATCATAGTCGATCCACCCCACGAACTTCGATAATCTTAAGAGGGATAAGCTTCGTCAGTTGCGAAGTTTAATTTATTCGGCGGGAGCAGGATTCTCGGGGTCGGGATTGATTGATTGTTCGTTACAGAGTCCTTGCTTAATTTCTTGTGTTTCGAGATGAAATGAAGGTCCCATGAGATTGCGAGTACCGTCGACGCGCGGTCGTCGCTCTCGTTATCTCAATGAAGTGAAGCTTCAATGTCGTCGCTGTTGTACAAAAGGTGCTGTAATCTTCTCATCGCCGAGCGGCGCGGAGGCAACCCTCTCGTTAGGTTCCCTTTGATCGTGTGCGTTGACTTCTCTAGCCGATCCATAATTGTTCGACAGGTTGCACGCCTTCAAGTAACTACTCAATGTAACAAGAGGAAGAGAACAATCCGAGAGGATGAATCTAGGATTAGACCTTTCGTTTCATAATCGACCTGTGTGGAAATTCAAAGAGACTCTACGGTTCTCGACGTTGTCATGGATGGGCCTTCCCTTCGTTGCCTTTGCCAGGATGCTGGTGTTGCTTTCGCCGTCCTTGTCTTTCTCCTTGGCTTTGTCCTTGTCTTCGACCATTCTTATAGTGAACCCGAGGGGCATTGATCATGGTCGGCCAGAGCCGCGCTTCTTCGGTGAGGGTTTCACCTCCGGCCTGCCTGAACTGTCATTCTCCTTTCCAAAGTCCTATAACAGCTGTGCTCCAGACTATAATATGATTCCTCTCTGTGTATATCCTCTAGTTCTCTACTCTACCACTGTATTCCATCACTGTCTACTTCTTCTAGTGCACGCTACCATCTCCTGGTGTCCCGCTTCCTCGGTCCTTGAGTCCACCATCGTGCGCTTTCCAGGCAAGGTTGCGTCTACTCTGCTTCCCCAGCTTATACGTCGTCGACTGATATATGCTCTCCTATCGCGGTATGCTCAACCAGTGCTTTACAAGGCCCCTTCCTTATGTAAGAAGCGCACTTAGATGCCGACTTGCAGCAGATTGGGAGGCGTTTGCGCGGGTTGACTGTCTTGTCGAACGCGCGAGCATACGTGGCGATACACTAGCTATGGTATTTCCTGCATCGCAATCGTGTCCTGTATTTTAGTTCGCAATTTGAAGTCGATGCAGAGAGTCTGTCTGTGGCACTCCCCCCTTTCCGTGATCTCGCTTAGCCCTTCGCTAAACCACAACACCAAAAAAACCAAAAAAAAATTACCAAAAAAAAACTCCCACAGATTGGCGTTACTTAGGTCATCCACCATTACCCGAATCCTCAGAATGAATCCAAGGCTGAATCTAAGAAGATTCAGTAAAGGCTGCAATATTCAGCTTCAACACACCATGAAGCTGGGAGGGTTCGAGCCTCCATGCGGTGCTCTCTGTGATACCTAATTAGAAGAGCGCACCCCGTCTACTTTAGATCCGCCAAGTTTGCGCTAATTAGGAAGGCACTGGGAGAATTACTTAGTGCTTGAGAACCCACTATGGAGGAATTGAACCTCTCTGGTGCCAAACCTTAACCTTGCGGAGAAGGCTGGCAGTTGTTAGTGGTGGCCTACCGATGGCCTCTCTGGGGTTGGAGTCCACCAAACCCCCGCACGTCACGCAATCTGCTATGGGTGACGGAAAATCTCTTATTTGAATACATAAGGGTCATTGCTTGGAAATTCGGATAGGAGGTCGGGCCGAGAGGCGAGAGGCGAGCTTGGGGATGCTGCTGCTTCACTTTCACGTATCGCGATAACTGAGCGTTTGCATGGCCTCGTCTGAATTTTGGATCAAGAACTGTGCCTGGTGTTTCCTAGCAAGTTGCTACGAATATCGAGTTTAAGTTGCTTTGCTCTGACCTCAACTCGTTAAGAATTCTCTCCTCCGCAACATCTCCTCGCATTTCTCACACGTAAACACCAGCAACCCAGTCAAGACTTTGTGATCTCCACCGCAATGCCGGAACCGTCAGTGTCAGTTTCGTGGTGATGGTGCTCTCAACCATATCTTCCCCTCATCCTCATCCTCATCCTCATCCAAACCTGAATCGACAATCGCAAGTGTTTACTCAGCTCCTCCGAAAACTCTCATGACCCAACCTCCCTGTAAAGTCTCTTACAAACTGAGTGTGGCAATAGCCAACAAGCCGGGGAAATACGGGGCTTTTGCCAAAGACCGGATGGACTTTCGGTGAACGAGTGCGTGAGCATGCTACGATATCTCAAGAGAAAAAGGCTTATGTCTAAGAATTGGGAAAACAGATCAATCATGGTGAGATGGCGGGCCAGAAAAGGAGCCTTGCTATTCAAGTCAATGTCCAAATCAAGCTGTACAACTGTTCAAGTTCTGTTCTCACCAGCAAAATAATCTGGCACCGCCCTCAGTCCCCATTAGATATGGCCAGGCCTCCCGTCTTCTGACGTTTGCCAGCCGATCCTGGATGGCGCCTCCAGCGCGTATCTTTCCTGATCCTCTCCCTTAAGGTAACCCTCTATGTCGTAGAGGCAAGTTTTTTTATCTTGTCCCATTTTCCCTGTACGGATCAGAACAAACCACCTATTTCCTTGCGAGGTATCCCGTTCTAGTCAACCTCGTTGCCTTTTCAATATCCTCTTAATGGAACCGATTATCCTGATTCCCTTGAGCAATGCTCCCCCCTCCCTCATGGAACAATAAACACGACTCCCTTGATCCTTCTCCCATCAAGGGTGGTGTTAAGCGCTTCTACATCAGTTGGGAGACTCACTTGATTATTTCCAAGAAGTGGGGAAGCCTACACGTCTCCTAATCCCACTTAAGTGGAAAACGATGTGTATTGATGAACGCTTTTGCTATCAAGACCACAAAACTTCCTTTGACCTGAGAATGAACTCCTTCCAGCCGCCCTATCATGTCCAAGAAAAGCCACTGCAGATATTTCTCCTATGTACACCAGCCCCCCTCACTATTCCTTCCCCCCCTTAAAGCCTAAAAGTCCCCCCGTCCCCTCACAAGCCCACTACAAAACCCACTCAAACTCCATACCACCGAACTGACACAGTTAATCGCAAACGCACTCCACGTCAGCGCAAGAAACCTCCCATTATAGCCCGCTGATAACCCGATATTTGCACCTTGATCATTTATCAGAGCGACGGCTTGCGATTGGACGACGCTAACGATGGCCGAGGCGATGAGGAGGGATGTTGATGCTGACTTTTGTTCTCTATTAGCCCCCATCTCCTCATTTCCTCAACCCCCCTCTTATCGAAAATGAGAGGATATAGATTTCGGATGCGAAAAGCTTGCAAGCCTCGTGGGGGAGAAGGGATAAAGACGTACGGAGGTGAAAAGCACGGCAAAACTCCCCAGCACGCCGACCCAACATGCCAGCATCCCCCACACGATCACGATCCCCACCCACACGAGCGCAATAACGTAAAAGATGAACGCGACGTGGAGCTGGAGGTTGAACCGCTCGACGAAGGCGGATTGGATAGAGGGTGGGAAGGAGAGGGATGAGAGGTTGGCGCCGTGGTGGGAAGTGAGATCGGTTTGGATTAGAGTTGCTGGGAGGAATTTTGCTGTGAAGAGAGAAGTCAGTTGGATCTTTTTAGGGGGACTTGGAGGGGTGGATGGCTGGAAGGTTAGATGTCCTCGAGGGCTCGCTGGGAAGACGAGAAAAGAGGGGGAAAGGGGAACATACAGTACCACGAGACTGGCGAGCAAGTGACTAGAGCAGGAGGAGGGGCAGAGTTATTTGTCCAGTACCCAGAGCAAGTCGTCATCATGTAGAGGTTGTATACATCGTGGATGGGCAGCCCAGCTTGTGTGCGCTCGTGGTAGGCGCTTTTTAGACCGGTTGTGTTGAGAGAGAGAATGGCGTAGTTTTGCAGGTAGGAGGGCGAGTGACCAGCTTGCAGGCAGAGGATTGTGAGGATGAAGACTGTGATGGACATCAGCTCGGGGAGAATTGTTGACCACATGGTGGGCCGTGGTTGAAAGACGACAGTGGGAGTTATTGTTTGGTTCAAATGTTTCGGTGTTTGTTGTGAGATCGTAGAATTTGCGTATCGTTATCGAGCTATCGACCTGTGTCTGGAATGTGACTCTTGATATTCGGGCCAAGATCGGAGCTTCAGCTGGCCGAAGTGATCCGGGATTAAAAAAATGATTGAACTATTGTGAGAGAAAATGGAGTTAGCTGAACTTCATAAGAAGGTGAAGCAGGATATTCCGAAAGATGGGTGACTACGGGAACTATGAAAGAAATTAACAGCAAACCATGCGAAAAGGATGCGCATAGCATCTTTCTTGGTCATTATTCGTTGTTTGATAAACCAAACAAGTAGTAGCTCATCAAACACAGCTTACAGAAGTATAAAATTCACGTGACGAAGAAGGAATGAAGAGAGATCATAGTAGGTTTCGATTTCTGCATCTCCAATTACATAGCATGACCAAAGCTAGACATGGTTGTATGCGTCCTTTGATGTAAGACTTGGCATCCTAGGCGTAGCAGCTTTCTTGAGATATCGCCACAACGCATACCTCGACAAGTTGCTTGAGCAGTTGCCACTCCATCAGCAGCACCTGGTGTCTGGCAAGCTGTGCTGCACCAGACTCGGGATACTCAGCCAGAGTGAGCTCACCGGTATGGTCTTCACAGACGGGACAGGTTATCGATACCATGGCTCTCGCTCACCGGTTCAGGAGTTGGCTGAGCTGGGACCATCTCTCTTCCGCCAGACCAACAAGCTCTTTCATCTCGTCCCTTCCTACAATCGTTCCCCCAGCTTTTGAAAGACCCAATATTTTCGTTTTCCTGCTCCCGTAATCAACTACGATCGTAACGGATTCATCGCAAAGCCCCTCCTCAAATGTATCAGGATCAACCAATATCCAGTGCTTCTTGTCTCGTCCTTGCTCCTGCTCCTTTGCCTTAAACACCAACATCGTAACGGCAATCGGTAGTCCGTTCAACTGGAGCTTTTTCGATTCAGACAGCGTGTCTTCGCAAAGTACCATTTCTCGATCTGGATCCCAGTATGCTTTTGGTAACCGCACATCCCTCAAAGCGGATATGACGGCTGCCCATGCAGCGTCGAAAGGGTTGCCATCGAGTGAGATGAATAGAATGTCGATGTATAACGTCCAAAAAGCCTTGACTTCAGGTTCAATCTTCTCCGTTTCGTCCTCATCTATCTTGTCCTGGTTACTGAGATCTGGCGGCTGATACCATATCCTCAGATCCTCCCCGTTAACCAGGCCACTGGAATGCAGTAAAGAATATATTCTCGTGCTCAAACTCTGCGCCAACGTACTTGGGGGTTGGCCCGGTAGGAACGCAGGCGAACATCCAGTCGCTAACTCGATATTCGGAACCAACAAATCCATCTCTTTAGCTTCATTGTATCCAGGGCGGGCTGAAGGTGCGGCGGAGGATTTATCAACACGAAACCCAGCCACGTTGCTAGCAAGCAGGATCTCGCCACGAATCCCGCAGACAACGGTCGTATCTCCTATCCGTACCACTGCGCTTCCTTCTGCGTGCGTGAGGGATCCATTATTTACGTGAGGCTGGCGGAATTGTTTTGGTGATCTGCCGTTTGCGCGAGTGGGTTTGGAGGCTGTTGAGTTAGGTTGTAGGTGTGCAAGGAGGTAGGGGTGAGGAGAGAGCTTCGCGAATGTTTCTCTGGGGAAAGAGAGGCTGGATTGGGGGGTTGTGGAAGCCATGATTGTTGTCTCTTGGATGGCTCTGGACAGGGCAAACTCTTGATGAAGTTGCGACGGCACATTTTTGGTGGAGCTAAAAGCCGGCCCTTCCCGAAGAGAAACTCGACCAATGGATGCGATCCCTGACGAGGCTAGCATTCTTCTGCCACATTATCCAAAACAAGGCTGGAACAACGGTTGGAGGTCATGTTTTTGTGCTTTTGATCTCAGTTTTCTCCCTCTTCACTCCCAAAACCTGTTATCAAAGATCGAGATAGCCGAGATGGCTTCCCAAGCCTCAAGCCACAGCCAAGTTGCTCAACATTGCCCCAGCATTCCTTCATCCTTCAGCGCAGTTTCCACGGGGTGTTTTCCGTTTGCACGTGGCTGTCTCTACCTCCAGTGAGGTTGGTGATAGTATCAAAACGTTTTCAGACTCCTCCAACATGTAGTCCTAAAGCTGGACATTCATCCCTCGGAACAGAGCCTGATTGCAGTTCTTCTAGTGAAGACATGTAAGCTCAATGCAGATACAGCGCTTGTGGATGTTGCAATTTCAAAGTTGGAGCTGAATCTTCCTAATCATGTGCATCCCTTTATCACACACCCTCAACAGAGGGAAGTCAGGAAGCTCAGCGTCAGTCCAACACCCCCAAAAGAATCACAGCGGCAAGACGTTCCATTTGTACTCGAACCGAGCCACTTGAAATTTGAAGATCTTCAGGACCCAGGACGCCCTGGCCTGCCAGGTGGCGTCTTTAGCCCGGCCACCATTTGCCTGAATGGATCAGTCAGGTCAGGCTTGCTTCCGCGGCTCACGGGCCATCGTCTCTGCAGGGACAGCGCCGAAGCGAGGAGCACCAGGCGAATTATCGACCTCCTCTTACCGCCCGTCATGCAGGCAAAGGAACGAGAGACAACGGCATCGCGACCCCGCATTGGCCAAATCCCAGCCTCCCCATCACTGCTGCCCGGGGCGCGAGCTGCTCCTATTCGGCGAGCCGTAAGCCAGAGAAATGCTAACGAGCCACTCAAAACGGGCTCGAAGGGGATGGCTTCTTCACTTGCTCTACCGGCATTGCTCACGGCTTCACGCGTGTGTTCTTCGAAATTGCACTGAAATCGAATCTCAAGGCAAATTTGCCTTGACCTGAAAGATTCTTTCCTGGCCTAACTTATCTGAATTCTTCCTGTGTCTCACTCTCTTGGAAGTCAAAGAGAAATCCTGTCCACGCGGGGAACCAAAACGGCACTCACAACAGACGCATGCACGGTCTGGAAATCCTCTCACCTTGTTGTGACTTGCATGCTCGATAACGGCAGCTACAGCTCTAGCGCCTTTGATAAGAGTGACAGTTTCCTCGGGTCCGAACGACCAATATCGACTCGCCATCAACCGCCCAGTCTTTCACGTCGACATCGTGCTGCGGGAGCGAACTACATTTCGAGATTAATCTCACTGGCTCTCTTGGATCGCTGATCGACTCGAGCCTGCGAATCTCCCAATACGCCAGAGGCAATAGATCCAGCGGTTGGGGTGACGAGAGGGGTTGCGCCTGCAGGAACCTGGTCCCTTCAAAGGTTGCACGACTTGGCCCGCAAATCCCCACACCGACCTCCACCTACATATTTGCACCGAGACCGCTTTACCCGGCCGTTGGCCCTCTTTTGATATCCGTCCTCTGCCCTTCGACTTCTTTTCGTCTGACATCTCTGTCAATCTCCGCTATCTTTTGTGCATTTTTAATTGAGGAGTCTGGTATTCCTCCGAGTGTCGGTCGTGGTGGTTGATTGCATATTTCGAGCGCATCCGTACATATCGGAGAAACGAATATACCCAGGAGGATCCATGGCAGGAACAGTTTGATAGTTCAATTACGTGCAGGCAGAGTATCATATAACGACTGTCAATAAGCCCTGCATCACAGCTACTGCGACTAAAAGCTGACAGTTGTCAGATAGACCACAATTCGGGCGCAGAATTTCGACATAGGCTTTCCACCGCCAAACCCTTTGAAAGGAAACTCCAGCGAACACAAATTCAATTGCTATCATGGCGATTCCATCAGAAGAGATGGTATTGCCGAGGACTGGGTCTGCGACGTTTGTTGAGTTGGCAAAGCGAATAAACATCCCTCTTACACCGACGAGCCCCCCAGGTCTGATCGAGGCAGATACAGTTGATCCATGGACTCAAGCTGGGAAATACGCTCTAGGATGGACCTACTTCTGTATAGTCCTGCTCATGCTCGTTGCCATCACAAGAGTCTACCATCTGTGGACAGACAAGATTCGACAAGCAATGCACAAGGAAGAGGTGGAAAAGCAAATGCGTCAATACTATCCTCCGGATCCTCAGGAGTTCGACTTCACAGCAGGAGGAATTGAGACTGGCGCAACGGTGGATCAATTATTTCCGCGAGGAGATCAATTATTTCCTCGCGAAGGCGAGAAAGGTCTTGTTCTTACCAGAGGACAGTCACATTGGTCGTCGATTGGAGCCGTCAACGATACGCTGGCGTTGTTTAGATGGATCTTTTATCGACCTGTGCCTGAGCTCAAATGGAAGAAGAAGACCCTCCTCAGCTTCCCATCGTTGGCCGTTATTGCTATCCTCGTTATTGGGCTGGCCTTTGTGACTCTGTACTGTTTCCTTCCCCAGCCTCTGTACTGGCAGAGCATTCAATTCGGATCCCCACCTCTAGCCATCAGAGCTGGTATGATTGCTGTTGCCATGACACCCTGGATCGTTGCGACAAGCATGAAAGCCAATCTGATTACTGCGATCACTGGTATCGGCCATGAGCGACTTGGTGTCTTCCATCGATGGGGAGGATACTTGTGCTTATTTCTCTCCTTGGTTCACACCATCCCCTTCTACGTCCAGCCAGTTTGGGACGACGGTGGAATGGCGGTGTACCAAAGACTCTTCCCAGGCGGCAGTGGCGTCATCTACGGAACCGGAATTGCGTGTTTGGTGCCGCTTGGATGGCTATGCATTGGCTCTCTACCAATTATCCGGACTCTTGCCTACGAGCTCTTCGTGTTCTTGCATATCCCCATCGCTATTGCATATCTCGGTCTCCTATTCTGGCACTGCAAGAACTACCTCACATCTTGGGACTACTTGTACGCTACGGTTGTCATCTGGGCTCTCTCATACCTTATGAGGTTATTCAACCTGAATTGGTTGAAGCCATGGAGGAATGCTTGGCTGATTGGAGACGAAGCTGCCGTTACACTGATGGCTGAGAACGCGATCAAAATCACTATACCCACGCAAATGACCTGGAGACCCGGTCAATTCGTCTATCTCAGAATGCCTGGCATTTCTGTCTTCGAGAACCATCCATTTACGATTTCGTCCCTTTGCAGCGAGGACTTTCCGTCGGAGTATGGTGATCTTTACAGAGACTGCACATTGGTGTTCCGACCGTTTGGGGGCTTCACTCGTAGAGTCCTTGAGACTGCCATCGAAAAAGGGCCTTTCAAGACCTATCGAGCGTATCTGGAGGGTCCGTATGGTGGGATGCAGAGAGAGTTAGCTGCCTTTGATACTGTTATCTTATTCGCTGGAGGCAGTGGCATCACTGCGATCGTCTCGCAGCTCTTAAACCTGATCAAGCGAATGAGAGACGGAAAGGCAGTAACCAAGAAGATCGAAGTCGTATGGGCCTTGAAACGACTCGAAGCCATGGATTGGTTTAGGGAGGAGCTCCGAATCTGCAGGGAATATGCACCTCCGGATACGGTCACATGTCAGTTCTATGTGACTGCATCAACAAGACGGCAAAGGATGGGAATGAGCGAGAGAGCGCCTCGACCCATCAGTACGGTATTCCATGACAAGCTTGACGGGTTTGTCGCTGGGATTGCATCAAAGAGAAATTCAGCATGGATTCGAGACGAAGCTCAAGGCGACGAAGAGCGAGAGCAAGAACTGAGAGCAGAACAAGAAGATGCCATCACATCTCTACCCCAAGCGAAGCACCTTCAACCCAGGGTCTTGCCACCCCCAGTGCAAATGTCCTTCGCACCACCACCCAAGAAAGCGCAAGGCATACTACACAAAATGGACCGCAAAGAAAAGCGACAATCAGTACAGTCGGCATTCTCATCAATAGCAGACTCTGACAACCACGAAACCACGCGGAAATTCCTCTCACTCCCATCCAAGAACCCACCTCCAGGCGCCAAGAGCCCTGGCTTCCACTTCCCCGCGCCTTCACCGCAACACTCACCACACTTTAACTTCGCCCCTCCTTCCCCAAGAAATAGCTACAATCCACAAAATTTCCCGCCCCCGCCTCCCGGCCCACCACCAGGAGGCTACAGACCAAGCTCCTGGCTCTCCACAGAAGCCGACTCGAGGCCAAATTCCTACCAACCGTCCGACTTCCCCGCTCCACCAGCAAGCGCCCGCACTCCCTCCCCTAACCCACAATCACCTCCCCAACCCCAATCACAAGTCCAATCGCACACGAAATCAGAATCCGACTCCTTCCCCCCACCTCCCCAACAACCAGAAGCCGCCCACACACGCACCAAATCCGCCAACCTCGCTCTCGAGATCCCCGCACCAACCGCAACCTCAACCTTCGACTTCGGCTTCCCTTCCACGCCGACCGAATTCCAAAAGAACCTCATGCGCTTCGCCTTCATCGGGCAGAAGGTAAAGAAGGAAGGCTGGAGCACCGAATACGGACGTCCGGATCTCGGATACATGTTGAAAGAGATGGCGACTGGTGGTATGGATGGAAAGGGCATCTTTGGGAGGAGGACGTGTGTCTTTGTGTGTGGGCCGCCGAGCATGAGAGTTGATGTTGCGAATACGGTTGCGAGACTGCAAGCTGATATTTGGGGTGATGATAGTAAGGATGAGATTTTCTTGCATACGGAGAATTATGCGATTTGAGGAGTGAGAGAAGGGAGAGAAGAAGCAAGTATTGAGGGGGATAATTGCTGGCGTTTGGAAGGGAGATCCCTACTTGTAACTATAATTGGGTGATATATAATGAGATACGGAGTACGCAAATTGATACCATTTGCCTTAATTTATCTTTTTCCAAAGAATCGTGCGTTTCCAGCCACTGTGCGAGACAGGTTACTCTGAACAGAGCTTCGAAGCGTGCTGTGCTCTTTGCTTCTCAGCTCCATAGCTTTACGGTCTCTCAACTCACTCTATCACAGACAGCTCGGCTCCTCGATTTCGCGCTTCCTCGAATTTATAACTTGCAGCTTTCATGGCTTTACGATTTTGTGGGTTCGTCTTCTCAACGGAACACTTGTGCGGCTTCGCGAATTCTTGATCTCTCGATTTTGATTTACTCCTCGACTTGGAGCCTTACAACTCTATGACCTCGCGGTTGCAGGGTTTTGTTTCGAGTCATTTCATGGATTTGCAGCTTCTTGATTTTCACCATTTCGTGACTTCGTGACTTCGTGCTATCTACTCTTGCTCTCCGGCTATATCCAGAACTCGTTGACCTCGCAATATGAATTCTGATTAAGAGGAGTACAGAGTAGTAAAGGCGCGAGGTAGATGGAGGCGGCGAGGAGATAATAAAGACGGGAGGAGAACGAGGAAGGGAAGAGAGAGAGCGAAATATATAAGAAAGGAAGAGCGGACCTGAGGAGAGTATAATAAAAGGAAGGAAGAGGAGAGAAAGCTATAAGTAAGCAAGATAAGGAGGAGGGGGAGGAGGACAAATCGCGACGAAAGTAGGTAAAACCAAAAAAGAAAGGTTAAGGGAAAGGAGCATAAGTCGTGACAAAAGCCAGACTCGGGGGAGAATGAGAAAGAAGGGGAGAACAGTTGAGAGTATGACGCTGGGCAGAAAGAATGGGAAGGCAATTGATAACGGCTGCAGGACGGATCGAGAAGCACCCCTTCTCATCGCAATCACGATTGCAAAGGCAAAACAATAACAGTACAGCGTCACTTGACAATGACACCTCGTTTCCTCCCCTTATCTCCTTACCTTAGCAGAAATCCACAAAAAAAAAAAGTCTGTCTGTCCTTGCTGTATTTGCACTTACTTTTGGCTCTTGGAAGCCCGAAGGCATTGGGTTGATAATCAGAGTTGTTGAGATATGTCGTTAGTTTTGAAGAAACAGAATTTGGTGACTGTTAATTTTAGGAGTGTGTTAGTTAGGCGATTTTTATCAGGGAATGGAAGGGGAGAGGGAGGGAAGGAAGGAAATTACTTGAGAAAGACATTGTATGTCGGGACCAGTGGTCCACTTGACGTTACGGTAGCCTGAAATCTCTTCTCCGTGGCAGCCAGAAGCCCCAGGGACCCATAAGTAGAGAAGAGCCACCTACAACAAGCAGAACTCGTTGTGTCAGGTTAGGCTGCATCTCGACATGTTTAGGCGATGTTTGACTGTCGATCTGTTAGCACATAACATCGGAAAGCGAAGCGAGAGTACCGTACTTACTTTGAAGGTCTTTTTTTTGTGGTTTTTGAGCTCGGTTAAGTCTCGTGGTGAGGAAGACAACCAGTGCTTTGAGAACGTTAGTGCTTCGTCTTTGAAAGGTGAAGAAAAAGACGTAGGGATAGCTCGGACTAGACAGTTTGGACGAAAATTGGTTATTTGATTATATGACGATCGGACGGAAAGGAGAGGCCTTGGGTCGGTTCGGATTATCTCGGTTTCCTTCGGGTCACCCTTTACACATGCAAGTGGGACGAGTAGAGCAAATTCCTCCTGCTTCCCCTTTCGTCCCAAGATATTAAGTGCCTTTTAAAGCTAAGACGCTAAGTAGATGTCATTGAAATAGCTCTTATACAAATTTTGCAAATCGAAACAGTAGAATTAAGCAAGAAAAGACTGCTCATAAAACGGAGGAAGGACGGGACCAATAAAGCCTCCTTTCTACTTCTTTTTTCGCCTGTCGCCCCTCCTTTCACAGTTTCTCCACTCTTGTTGAAAATTAAACACAGGTAGTTCATAAGACTCTATTGCTTTCAAAGTGCAAGAAGGACAGCACCACCATTTCTTCTGTCCGGATACTGGGCGGACCAAGTGCCAGCTTGAAGATCCAAGCTGCCCATCTCTCTGCTAGCCCTTCCTTTAATGGCCCGCACGTTGGACTCGGACTCGGAGTGTTGGAAAGAAGTGGGAGGTAGAAGGGAGGAATTACAACGCGGTATCCATAGCTTGGGCCTCTGATTGAAGGAGTCATTGAACCAAACCAAACATCAAGTGTCAAGTGAGGATAGGCTCACAGAATTCAACAGGTCTCGGGTGCGGACCACAAAAGTCCAGATATGAAGCTCCACTTGTCTCCAGAGTGCAAGAATACCAGAAAGACGCAGAAAACATCTGGAGAAGCAAGGTTAAGTTCTAATTGCATGGTTGTCTTGAGCTGCTGTCGCTATGCAACCCATCCCACGGGTCACGAGGTTATTGGGCTAGTCTCCTTCACTCTCTATCTCCGGCAGCGATTCAGTCCGCTCTCCCCGGCGAACCTGCTTATGAGGTAATCCACTTATAGTCCCAGAGGCCTCCAAAGCAAGGAAATCAAGTTCCCCATCAGAAATGTATCATCCATTACGAACCGCTTCCTTCAGATCTGAGATTCCAGAGCAGTAGATACAGGGCGAAATATTCGTCTGCCGTCCAACATCGAGAAGCCTACTGAAAGACCCTCACACACCCAATTCTCTATCGTGAAGGCAGAATTGTGAAAGTGGTCGGACGATTGAGAATCAAAAAAATATCCAAAAGAAGTTTTTGAGGTCGTCAAGCTCGCTTCCGTTTGAGGTTTAGCGCAGGGCTAGGCAGCTAGCTTGAATAATTTCCAATCTTGACTCGAACCGCACTTTTCTTTCGACCTCGCAGGATGGAATCTTTGAGTGATACCAAATGGGATGTCCTGATTTCGGGGACGGGTCTGCAGAACTCCTTGCTTGCGCTGTGAGCTCTCCTCTTCGTCTCGAGCGTCTTGGATCATCTCTGACTGACCTAGATGAAGAGCTCTGTCCCGCTCGAACAAGAAGATCCTCCACGTCGATGAAAATGAATATTATGGCGGCGCTGAGGCGGCCTTCAGTCTGCAGGAGGTAGATGAATGGGTAGAGAAGGTCTCAGGAGGTAAAGCACTTCTTCCAAATTCTCTCAGACCTTGAAGCTCACGCGATCAGATGATCCTTCAAACCCTTTCCGAAATGCCTCGTTATGGAAGGCTGACGCCGAAGCCTTGAATGGCACTCCTGGCCTTTCTTTCTCCAGAGCATACACTCTCACCCTGTCGCCGCAGATAATATACTCCAAGTCGAAGCTCTTGGCGCAGCTAGTCTCATCGAAGGTGTATCGCCAACTCGAATTCCAGGCAGTCGGGAACTGGTGGATGTACGATGAAGACACAAACGAATTTGAGCCTTTGAGAAAGCTGCCAACTAGTCGAGAGGATGTTTCACAAGACAAGAGCCTCGATAACAGAGCGAAACGAAGCCTAATGAAGTTCTTGAAGTTTGTGATCGACTACGAGAATCAAGCGGAAACGTGGGAATCTCATGCCGACGCCGGACTGGAAGAATTTCTCTCTTCGCAGTTCAAGCTCTCTGTGAATCTTCGGAGTGCCATCGCAGCATTGACATTGTCCTTTGAGGACCCGCATGATATCTCTGTCAAATGGGCCCTGCCTCGGATTGCTCGACATCTGACCTCGATTGGGGTATTTGGGCCTGGCTTTGGGGCTGTTGTGCCGAAATGGGGCGGTGGTGCTGAGATTTCACAAGTGGCTTGTCGAGCTGGTGCGGTAGGAGGCGGTGTCTATGTCCTTGGAGCGGGAATCAAGCAATCGGGGATGGTAACCGAGGATGGCAAACAACTCAGTCAAGTTCACCTGTCGAACGGCGAGACTGTGAAAACTAGACGGCTTGTCGGTGGTGCTTCGCACCATGAGCTAACCAACCCGAAGGTGGTCTCTAAGCTCATCAGTGTCGTGTCATCGCCTCTGACCTCGTTGTTCGAAAGCTCCATCGAAGGCTCTCCACTGGCTGCAGTTTCAGTCGTCGTCATCACCTCGTTCGGCACTGTCGAACACAAGGGCCAACCATATCCTATCTACATCATGGTGCACTCGAGCGAGACTGGCGAATGCCCAGCTAATCAATGTCAGTACCTCCATCTCCTTTCCATTTCTCAATTGCATTACATGATGATCCAACTTATGAATACTTATCTACATTGTCTGAATTCCATTGAAGATAACATACCTCTGACAGTCTGATGATGCTTTTCCTCCTACAATTTCTTCTCGTGGTTACGTGATTTGAGCTTTGCTAACCAAATCTCAGGTGTTTTGTACGCTACCACGATGCATACGAAGTATAGCAAATCTGCTCTCGAGGAGGCTGTGTCACATCTCCTCAAATCTATCGAGAAGGGCGAGGGCAAGCTTTTATACAGCCTCTATTACGAGCAAGAACAGCAAGCCTCGACTGATCCAACAATACTACCTAATGCATCTCTGGATCTTGCTTTCAACGATGAGATGCTTCAAGCCGTTGAAAATCAGTGGAAGTCTATCGTGGCTGATGATACTGGTGTTGGCGATGCCATTTTCATGCAATTTGAAGACCGGGAAGGAATGGATAATGACGATGATGATGGTGATGAAGGAGTTTGATCTTTGGTCGGCATGGCGTTTGGAGTCACTCGGCAGGTCGAAGTGCTTTCCTTGGGCCTGTATAGCTGTACTAATTCAGCGTTTCGCAACAAATCATGCACACTTTTACCACAGAGCTGTCCTCTTAATTTTGATTATGCTTTGATCGTTGCTTCCACCTGTGATTTTGTTCGCACTTATTCCTTCCAATCCGGGCAGCATAGAAAGGGATTCCTAAGCTGACGAGACAAACATCAAGGCCTCGGCAACCAGAAGCCTTTTATCGTTATCTTTCCAACCCCTCCAAGTGTCTGAATTGCATGGAATAAGCCTGTACGGCCATCCACGTTGACGATGGAGAGCAGAAGCCCGAATCTGGGTCCCAAGCACTGATACAGCCTCTTCTCGGCGAAAGAGATGGAGCTTCTACGTATTCAGTTTCAACTTCTCAGTTCCTTCATTCTCCAATCGCTCCTTCTTGAATAGCATATGACAGATCGGGAATAACTTTGCCTGCTTCATTAGTGTCCAAGTCAAGAGGTTAGCCTTTATTCCTACGAGATATCAATCAGTCACACCTTATGTCCTCTGCTTTTGATTAACCTGATTTCATTCCCGGTTGCCATGCCACCACTTTTGCAGCCATTTAATTTCATTCCTTACTTGCTTGTCGTGTTACAAGAGATATTGATCTCGATTAGTCCCCTTTACCCCCCCCCCCCCCCGTTTTTACGATCCCTGGACGCCGGAGCATTTCAACGGAGAGCACCTTCCTTTCAAGTTTAAAGTGGGAGGTCCGAGGTGGCAGGCTGTCGGAATTCTGGCGAACAACCAGTCGATGCTACTAACCTCAACTTAGGTGTCCTGAGGTAAAGAAATCCCCAAATTCTTGCTCCTCCCTCCACAACACCGACCACTTATCCGACCACCTGATACGGAAAGCTCCGAACCTAATAGATAGTCCGCTCCTATAGAAGATAAAATGAGCCCTTTTCGTCCAAAAAATGCAGTTCTCGTCCGGCCGTTCGGCGTCCCCTTTATGTCTCCCCTTTGTAAATGTAAATTTCGTCTCCAATTCCCCTTGCTAACGGTCTACCTCTCTTAGACATCAAAAAATCATGTCGACAAGAGGCAATGTAGCCTAACCTGACACAACGAGTTCTGTTTGTTCTAGGCGGTTGCCACTCTCCAAAAACCTCCTCCCCACCCCCCAATCGGTCAATTTCGACAAGCTGGCGGAGACCCTGAAGTTAGAGAAGGGTGCAGCAGTCCAACGTTAGACTAGACTCAAGAAGAAGCTAGCTGGCACGAAGTAAGTCCTTTCCCCCGACACATCCTCTCCCCTCAACCTCGCCTCGCTAACATCAATCCAGACTTTATTTCTTGGCGCCATCCAAACTGATGCTACACTCTTGCCGGTGCCCTGCCTGACACATCGTGTTCTGCTTGTTGTAGGCCCCCCCGATGACCTAGACGGACCCGAATATCATGACGAGTATCCACTGTCCCAACCACTGACTCCATTTCATGTAAGCTAACAACATTTCCTTGATTCAAAAATAACAAGCAGCGGCGGATGAGAACTTGCAAACAAATAACTGCTTTTTTTATAGATTTTTTTTGTCCTGCCCTTCTCCTTCACCTTCTCTTTAAATCAAGGAAGTGCACAAGAGACCAGTTACATGTAGACGAAAATGAGACCGACCCTGTTTCACAGGCAGCAACATACCCAGATCGTCGAAACTAGAGTAAGATATCAATTCCATTGATCAAGCTGCCCTTAGGCCTCTATCCCAACACCCACACCACACCAAACTCCAAAAAGAACGTATGAAGTACAATACATATCCATCCACCCATCAGCGAATCCAACGAACGCCCAGCTTGCCTGCGTGCCTCTCTCTTTCCAACTGCCCTTCCATGCAATGACAAAGGAAACGTGCCTACGAGGCATGCTCGGTGATGGTGCAGAAATACCAATCGGGTCTCCACCCATCCTCCCCAACTTATACCATATTCAATTTCCTATCTCATTTTCTCATTTATCGTCATCCCATACGACCTCCTGCTCACGGTCGTCGTGCAGGCGCTCTTGTTCGTACTAAAAACGGACTCGGCATCTCATCCCTCTCAGGGTCCCAAACAGGAGGCTCTCCCTTCTCTCCCGCCGCCTTCTCCTTCTCTGCCATCCGCACCGCAAATGCTCTTCCCTTCGGCTCTGGACTTCGGTTTCCGTCGTCGACGGTACGACCACCTGCTCTCGCTTGCGCCAGTTCGACGAGTGTGCGTCCTTTAGGAGCTATATTCGTGCCACTGGTGGCTTTAATCATGTTGTTCTTGGTTGCGATCTTGTTGAGGTCTTCGGCATTTGAGGCTTTGGATTTCAAGCTCGACTTTCTGGTTGGTGATAAGGGGACGTTTTCGTGAGAGATGATGTTCGCTGATGATGGTATTTTCGATAGGCGTCGATTTGGTGAGGAACTTCGCTCTTTGAGGGCGGTAGTGCTGGGTTGTGGTCGAAGCTCGGGTGCACCCGAAAGGGTGGGCAATGTTGGTGCAGTTGCAGCCTTTCCAACGAAGATGTTGGGCTGGGAACCTTGTTTTTGGATTGGCGCCGTCTTTTGTGAGATCAACGGTGGCCGCGAGCTGTTTGATTTGAAAGGGTTCTTCGTAGATTTTTGTCGTGTTGGCGATGGAACAGAAGGGACATCATCGTCGCCTGAGTCATCGGAATCGATGAGTTGTGGCTGCCATCGAGCTTCGGCTCCTGCAGCAGCAGCGAAGATGTTTCGTCCAGCACTTGGAGCTTTGGTGGCCCCATTACGGCGAGGTGAAAGGGAAAGTGAGGCAATGGATATGGGTGATGGCTCAGCCATTTCAACATCCATCGGCGTTCCGGCAAACATCGTCTGGGCGCGGCCGAAAGGCGTTCTGGTGCTCTTCTTGAGAGCCTTGATGGGTTCGGGCGAATCTATCGAGAGATCTGTAAGGTCTGTTGAGTCGGGGAAATCACCATCTCCGCTTGTACCGACAGAAGACAGTGCAATATCATTTCCAACCAAGGATCCCGATTTAGAGAAATCCTTAGCAGAAACCTGGCTTTGTGTGCTTGATCGTTTCTCAACCTCCGCCTCGACCTTCTGGTGAACTTCTTGATCAAACTTCTTTTGAAGTCTTTCAATCTCGAGTTGGACAAGTCGATTGATCTCCAATTGAGCCTTCACCTCCCATTCTCTTCTGAGAGAAGCCTCTATCTCTTGTCGCATTTGTGCCTTCTCTACATCTAGACCCTTGATTCTCTCCTCTGCCTCTTGCAGTCGCCTCGCGGTGAGTTCCTCCTTGTTCTTGACCATGCGTCCCAATTCGACCACTTCCTTCTCCTTTCGCATCAACTTGACAACTGGGAGATTGAGCAGCGTTGCGGTATCCGGTCGTCGATCGGGGTTGACCTTGAGGCAGTCTTTGATCACAGCATTGAGCTCCGGTGAGTAGACGCTCGGCAGGGGCGAAACCTTGCCTTCCTTGATCTTCTGGACGAGTTGGAAATGTGATTTCGCATTGAATGGTGGTTCTCGTGCGCATAATTCGTAGATTATGCATCCTAAAGACCAGATATCTGATTTGAGAGTGTATCGTTCCGCAGCGCAGATTTCTGGGGACATGTAGAAAGGAGTGCCGACGTATGTGGAGGCAAAGTCATGCGATTGCATGATCTTCGAGAGGCCGAAGTCGCCAAGTTTTACCGAGTTATCTTCCCCTAAGAAGACTAATAACTTGTTAGAACAGCCATAATACACACACAGGAAGCATACCATTTTCTGGCTTCAGGTCACGATGAAGAATCATAACACCCCCTGCTGGCTGTCGTGGTTTCGCAGAATTCCCCAAGCCCATAACATTGCTTCCAACTTCTGGCGCATCGGCGCCGTAGTGGCATCTGTAGAGAGCTGTGACCAATTGTGAAAACATGCTCCAAACAAAGCCTTCCTCTGCATATTGTTTCTTGGCCTGAAGGTCCTTGATGACGCGCCCCAAGTCTCCATTCCCACAGTATTCCATGTACAAATGAAGGTCTTGACTTTGTTTCAGGTGCTCTCTATGGAAGTATCCGACGATGTTTGGATGTCGAAGTGAGGAGAGAATCGCAAACTCGGCGTGCAGCTGCTCCCGCTCTTTCTGCGACATGCGCAAGTAATTGATCTCCTTGCGACAAAGGATCTGGCCATCCTGCTTCCTGCGCACCTTTCTAATAACGCCAAAGGAACCATGCCCTGTATGCGCTTAGTTGTTGTATGCTGCTCGAGTAGTGTAAAAACTCACCAATCTTCTCGAGCACATCGTACTTGTCTCCTTCCGACATGATTCCCAGTTCGCAGTTCGGGGTCCGGGTCGTTTAGCGGTAATATTCGTTATGAAAAGATTGCAACAGCCAAGGCCATGAGCGAATGGTTATGCCTCTGCTGAAGTGGTGAAAAGTAGTGGAGTGTTGTGTCGTGTCGTGTCGTGTCGTCGTTGCCGTCAGGAATTCGAGATGTCTGGGCAATTGTTGGTTGGTCCTTGCCGTAAACACTCGCTTCGCTTCTGGTTGCCCATGGCAACTGCGAGCTCGAGCTCGTTCTCTGCAGGGATCCGAGTGGCAAGGTCTAAGTAATCGATAAGGGAATAGCGGAGTTAAGGTTTCGAGTTGTCCACAGCTTTGGACTTCAAATTTCTACACTCACTTCAACTTTGCTACTCCCCTCCGGCGTGCTATATGGCAGGCGCATCGCCCTCAAAATAGTGTTAGAAATGGTACTCCGCAAAGACCAATTGGAAGTCCAGCTCAAAGACGAGCACCAACTTATTGCGACCGGCGTTCTGAGAGACGAGAGCCCACTTGATGTCACCGATGAATTCCAGAAGCTCTGCGATGCTTGCAGAGTTGGAGATTTGAAGGGATGTCAAGAGGCCATTGCTTCAGGGGCCGATATCAATGCCCGGGACTATTTTGATTACACTCCTTTAATTCTGGTAAGCTCTTCAAACCGCAAGGCTGTTCTTCTCACTGACTTTGCTAGGCAAGTCTCTGTGGCCACTACGAAGTCGTCCGCTTGCTCCTTGAATCTGGCGCGCTCTGCGAACGAGACACCTTCCAGGGCGAGCGATGTCTCTACAATGCCTTGAACAATCGAATACGAAATCTCCTCCTACAATACGATTACTCGAAAAGCACGGATCCTTTGCAGCCACTCGCATCCCATATCACCTCGTTGCTTACACGAGAAACACCAAAGACCTCAGATATTTGCCTTACTGCATCTTCCGAACAATGGAACCTGCACAAATTCGTGCTTTCTGCACGATCGTCATATTTCTCCGCGAAACTCGCTGCCGCCCCAGAAACTACCGTTTGGAAACTGTCTAGCACAATACCACCCGAAGCTTTCCAAATTGCTCTACGTTATCTATATCTTGGAGATGTCCCTTCAGATCTCGGATTGATTAATAAGGGTTTTGTCACAGAGGAAGAAGTGTTCAAAGGCATTGACAAAGTCAGTAAACAATTAGAAATTGACACACTCTGGGATAGTATATTATCGGGAAATGACCGGCGAATGGCTCGACAACGGCGTCAGGATGAAGTCACACGAGGGCGAAGTCAAATCGAAGACTGGTACCGGAATAATGTGTTGAAATATAAAGTCGAGGTGGAGCACAGCAAGGCTCACGATGTCAAATGGACTCGAGACAATGGAATATTCGCGGACGTCTTGCTCCGAGCAGACGCGGAAGTCGCAGAGAAGTCCAAAACTGGCAATGAAACTCCTAAAGTACGAAACACTGCTGGCCAGCTGAACGGCATACCTATTGGTCCACCAGCGGCTTCCAGAAGCCCATCGACAGTGAGGAAACCAAGAAAATCCGTTCTGTTTCCCGTTCATCGTGCGATGTTATTGAGATCCGAATATTTCCATGCAATGTTCGGATCTTCGTTTCAAGAGGCTCAGCTCACTGAGTATCTTCAGATTGTGAACGTCGATTGCAGTCCGGAAGTCCTGGAAATTGTTTTGACCTTCCTTTACACGGAGAAGGCGGATATTCCGATCGAGCATGCCTTAGATGTGCTATTCGCCGCAGACATGCTTTTCATTGAGAAATTGAAGACCAAGGCAACTGTTGTGATTTCCACGATTGGTATGGGAACAGGCGGTCTCGCTGACAGGAGTCACACTCAAGCCAGTCAAGATCAAGAGGTCGAAGTCGAGCCAATTAACGTGTACGACGTGATTCATGCTGCTTGGTTTCTAAAAGTACAACGTCTGGAAGAATTCAGCGCACGATATCTGGCATATCGATTAGAAGATTACATCGACGAGGAAGAGTTCGAGGAACTAATTAAAGAGAGTGCGTCCAGGATTCAGAAACGCCAAGAAACGGACAGTATCGAGTTGCTAGATGAGTATGCCAAGTTTTGTCCGAACTGTAGATCTTAGCTGACCCCGGCTAGCATTCGATATTATCTATCTGAGCGTTTCCGCCTCCGTTTCGAAGATTCGGGGCTTGAAGACTTGATGGATGAAGATGGTGAGCTCAACGCGGAGGCCGCACAAGCCATTTCAAATGCTGTGGGAGCGATAAATGAAGTGGTAGACTCGGAGGCACCGCAGTCAGAGTCCACGAAGAGCGAAACAATTCCAGTGGACCCAGTGTCGAATCCATTAATGAACGGCGAGATCAAAACGCTTGACGGTGAAATTGCTGGCGACGAATCCGCGGCTGACGCGATTAACTACCAGGTCCTCCTGGGCAAGATTGATTCCATGCTGGAACGACTGAAGCTCGACGCCTAAAGATACCAGAAACGGGAATAGATGTCCCAAAGTCCTACCGGGGAAGTATTGACGATAGATGCCCAGCTTTAGACAAGAATAGAGTTCTTCAAATTAGCCTTTGAAGATCGAACAATTATTTGAAGGATTCTCTGCCAGCGAGTGTTGCCAAATCGAGCTTAGTTGAGAATAAAATGTTCCATCCCGAAACAAGAAATTGTCCGGCCTGCCAATCCAAACCCTTACCCATTGTAACGGCAGTTGCCAAGAAAGCAAAACACCTAACATCGGCTCTTCTTTCTGGAGCGTCGCATTGGCATTGATCGTTGTCTTTGAGAAACCGGGTGAGGAAGAGCCTTGGGGTCCCTGGGGGAAGTGGAGAGAGGTTGGGTCTGCACGTACCACTCGCCTGGGCCGTTCCACCACTCACTCCCCCTCGCTTCGTTTGATCCCAATTCTCTATCAGATCTCGTCTCAGGCTTCCGACACAACTTGTCGGAGGGGCCTCAGCGCTGGGTGTGAGCGATTCGGCTCTTGACTCGTCAAGCCAAAACCTTCTTTTTCCGGTGGCGCATCTGGGGCTGATCCATGGAAGTGGCCAAGATCACACTGCTGCCAGCTGGAAGTCAGCGTTCCGGGGCCGGTTGAGTTTCAGGCTTGGCGACGCAAGTGATACTGTCGAGTCGAGAGCCAGCCGGGTCAGTGAACTGCTAGCTAGTTAACGTTCCTTCCGCAAGGCCATTCGTGGCTAAAGTTCCCAATTTCTGCGTCCGGAAAGAATGCTTCTTTGCCGACGCGAGGGCTTCATCTTATGCTGATCTGGGGCTTCGGCACGACCACCTCCTGTACCAAGTATTGCGGGTCTCGTGTCTCAAAGAACTCACTCATATCTACTCAGTCCCCCACACTTTCCAAGCCAACTTGGCGTCGTTCCAATTTCATTCTTCAAGGAGAAACAAGCTCACTTCATCACGGGCCGTGCCTTGCCTGCATTGATCAGCGTCCACCTACTCCGCCAATGAGCTCTCTCCAACTTTAATATATCTCTCTCAATCTCTCTCAAAGGCGTCTAGATGCCGGGATTTTCTCAGTCGCGGTCCTTCATTGGAGGGGCAATCTCAACAGCAGCATCGCCTTTACGGAACAACTTCATCGAAATTAGCTGTCGATCTCCTGCTACTCCTCGAAAGTTACGACCTACAACGAGCGATGGCTCAGAGCGGGGCAATGGACTTTTCGTCAATACAGATCGGGCTCGAGAATATGGTTCTTACACGAGCTCATCCTATCTGGCGACACCAAGAACATTTTCAATAGGTTCACCAAGCAACGAAAACCTAAAATCATTATACACTTCAAAATCGCCTTCATATGACGATACCTCATCGAGCGCCACACTTGTTTCCGCTTCACACGCACATAACTTCTTACCTCTCACCCCGCAATTTAATTTATCAGCCTCAAACGGAAAGCTGGGCACCTTCTCCGCCATCAACATCATTCTCGGCAAGACCGTAGGGGTTGGCATCTACTCCATCCCCTCTTCAATCTTCAATTCCGTAGGTTCAGTCGGAGCCTCTCTCTTACTATGGATTATTGGATCGTTGATTTCTTTCTGCGGCCTGGCCGTATATCTGGACCTAGGGACGGCAATACCCCGTTCCGGAGGCGAGCGCATCTACCTTGAGCGCATCTTCAAAAAGCCCCAGATGTTAGCAACATGCATGTTCATGTCCTACGTCGTGCTCCTCGGTTTCAGCACACCAAATTGCATCGTGCTTGGCGAATACGTCATGTACGCCCTGGAAATCGACGTCAACAGATGGAACGTCCGGACCATCGCCGTAGGCGTAATAACTCTCCTCTGCTTCATCCACGCGCGGTACCAAAAACTCGGGCTACGAATAATTAATGTTCTTGGAGTCGGCAAGATGCTGATCCTCGTGATCGTCATCCTGTCTGGCATAGCAGGTGCACTCATGGGCGTTGGGTCATCCAGCTCACCCCTCACGCGGCGAAACCCTCGCCTAGGCGGCGGAATAGGGGGTCCACTAGACGACATCCTCCTCACTGACGCACACCTCTCAACCGCACAACAAAACTTCCGCTCACTGTTCTCCGGCTCTTCAACCCAACCCTATGACTACGCGACCGCATTGCTGAAAATCCTCTACTGCTTCCGCGGCTACAGCACCGCAAACCAAGTCCTCTCGGAGGTGCGAAACCCGATCCCGACACTTCGCCTCGCGGCCCCAATCGCGCTCTCTTTGGTATCACTCGGCTACATCCTCGCAAACATCGCCTACTTCCTCGTTGTTTCAAAAGACGACTTCCGCAGCTCAGGTGTGGTGATAGCGGGCCATTTCTTCAGGAACATTTTCGGGGAGGTGATTGGCGAGAATGTGTTGCCGCTCTTCATCATCATCTCTGCATTCGGGAATATAGCCGCTACGTCATTTGCTCAAGCTCGCGTTAACCAGGAGTTGGGAAGAGATGGGCTTTTACCATTCTCGAGATTCTTTGCCGGGAAGAATGAGTGGGATTCTCCAACTCCAGGTCTATTTCTCCACTGGCTCATCTCAGTCCTCGTCATCATCGTCCCGCCACCAGGAGAAATCTACAATTTCCTCGTCGATATAGGAGGGTACCCCGTCTCTGTTATTTCCGTCTCTATCTCGCTCGGCCTTCTCTACCTCCAAAGCTCTCCTACCGAGAATTGGCAGTCTCCTTTCCGAGCAAGGAAGTTTTACACGGTTGTGTTTGCGGCGAGTAATTGTTTACTACTGGTATTGCCGTGGATTAAACCGAAGACTGCGAAGGGTGATGGGAGGTTTCCGTATTATGCGTATCCTGCAACAGCCCTCGGGATTCTGGGGAGTGGGGTCGTGTATTGGTGTTGGTGGGCGAAGATCAAACCTCTCCTTTTCAACTCGGATAGAGAGAGGGGATGGATGAGGGGTCAGGCCCACAAGCGAGCGATGAGCGATGAAGCGTTTCCGATGATGAGGTTTGAGCATTATGGGAGTGACGATGGGGAAGAGGGCATAGAGGGAGAGGATGGCAGGGGATTGTTAGATAAAAGCAAAGAGGAGGGGAAGGAAGAAGAAGAAGGGATGAGGCAGCGGGCGCCTTGCGGATGCTTATTGAATCATGAGGGATTGGGGAAAGTGGTGGTGGGGAGGGGCGTCCATCTTGAGTGTATATACCTTGTAGAAACAGAAGGGGGGGAGGGGGGGTAAAATAGCATAGCGCGGCGTAGGAAATAGGATACCAATAGATGGTTTTTGGACACACTTCACACCTTCCTTCTGCTTCTTCCGAAGCTCCTGCACTTCAAAGTACGATTAGTAAAGACGATATAATTTCATAATTCTTCAATTGAAACCCGACAAAGACAATAATGACTAGCCAAAGCTCGAGACGGAAAGTTTCGAAACCTCCAAATAACTAGACCGCCAACGCAGAGCCCAACCGGGGTGCTAATAGTCCCTCATCAATCTCGGCTCCTCACTCCCTCCGTATCAAAACTTAGAAACATGCTTCATCCATGTCGAAGAACAAGAAGAATGTCAGACAGCAACTGCTTGACTGCAAGTATCAAGACCCAGTTATTGCCTCTAGTCCAGCTGCTTGGCAGTAAATGCCAAGACCCAGCGGCCATTGCCTGTAACAACTGCTTGACTGTACTGGTCAAGACCCAGCGTCACTTTTGTTTTTCCTTGCTGCTTGACTGTAAGTGTCAAGACCCAGCTCGCGCCTTTCCTCGATCAAAATGACTAGCAAAAATGTCAAAATGCATACAGTATTTCGCACCAAAGAAAGTACTGTACAAAAGAAACCTGGGAAGCTCCTGGGCGCTTCCCATTACGTTTCCTCCTCCGGCAAAAGGCGAAAATGTGATGTTCCCAAGCAGCGGGAAATTTGTCAGGTAGGTGTCCTCCTTCCTTGACACGCGGTATTCTGTCTAGTGAACGACGATGATGGAATGAGGCTCTTGAGCTGGCTCGCAAAGAGATTTCGCAAACCAGCTTATTAGCGTAATAGAAGATAAGTCTCACTCCGGAGCGTGAGGGGATAGAAATTGCCTAGCGATATCAATAAGTCGTGTTTCTTCGGCCGTGGGTATTCTTTGATAACCGTGTCCGCTGACTCTGATTAGAGAAACCTATTTCTACTGCACATTCTATGCGGTTTGAGGAAGAAACAGACTCCTCGATGATAGGCATTCTCATACACGCCGCGGCACCGCAGTGAGCAGTTTATCGTCATGCTCAGGACTTAGGCATCTTCCGTGCCGCGCCGGTGAAACAGTTCATCCAAAGCAGCAGGTAAGGGTTGCTGCTTGGACGAAGAGATTGCGGAGACTTTTCCAATAGCGTTGACAAGGTATTCTTCTGAGGGCACGGCGGTTGCGGGCGGTGGGAAACAATCGAGTTTTTCGAGATCCGGGACCTCAGGACTGGGGATCCGTGTCACGGACGTAAAGTCGAGCAGATACCTGGCTCCTGAATCCTCCTCTCGGACAAGGACCAGGGGATTACGCCAGAGGCATTTGACGAGTTCCTAAGAAGGGTGTGAGCAGTCGTGCAATTTTACGTACAGTCCTGATACTGACCCGATATGGTACAGAAAAATCGTTTTCGAGGACTACTATACACCGAAGACGCCGAACTAGATCGATTAAGATCGAGCGATCGGGAGACTGGCCAGGAGTAATTGCGTGAACAGATTTGATATTTATCACACCAAGATGGTCTCCCAAGCATTGGACAAGTGGAACCCACCTCTTTGGATACCAGACGATTTCTGTACGCCATTCCCGTTGCGTCAAGTCAAAGATGTTTACATGCAGTCGATACTTGGGCCAGTCCAAACGAATGCTGTCACAACGCCGCCCAAGAGTCACCCTCTGTATGACTTTGAACAATGCATGCACCGCGATAATATCCTGATACCGTTGAGTTGCCCGAATTCTCTGAAGATAATCTGTCGTAGCCATAGGAAAATTTCGTAAATCGTCTTCTAACATCTTTCATAATAAACGACCTCACCGACCCCCTCTACACTCTGAACAGTCTTCCTTGACTATCTTCTCGTAGCACTGACAAGTCATGATGGTTGGCATGTGACTTGAGATGTCTCTTCGCATTGTCCAATCGTCTGGAAAAGCCGACTTTGGGCCCGTTGACGTGCCATGGGCAGCCGAGAGCGGGACAAAAGTAGTGGCGAATCTTTCCGTGTGTGTCCTTATGACGATCGAGGTCCCGTTGCGTTGCTTTCCCGATGCCGCAGCCTTGGAAGTCGCACCGATATGGTAGGGTGTGAGTTTTGATGTGCCGGCTAGACAGTGGAAGGTTAAAAACAAGTTGGGGCTGGGCTTTGAGAAGGGAGACCACCAACGAGAACATGACGGGATACTTACTTGAGCTCACCCAGAGTAGGTTTCTCCTCTGAGCAATGGGGACATCGAAACTCGGGTGTGACAGCTTCTTCGACATCGTCATCATGGTCTTGCATCCCTGCTGCAAGCATTCCGTAAGTTGCATTGCTTTGACTCTGGGATCCAGAAGGTGTGAAAGCGACTGTCGAAGGACTGGTGTCGTTTGTTGCGGCGGCTGGAGTTGAGAAAGCTGACCAAGGATTAGACGGGGTTGGGTTGCTGGAAGTGGCATCTGAATTGACATTTGTGTCATGTGATACGAGAGGAACTGGTGAGGCTGCGGTCTCCAATGGGATGCCATTATCGCCATTGACCGAGCAAGGCTCGCCGTTATAGTAAGTGAACAGGTTATCGACGGATTCTGGGTACCATATCCGATAAGTGTCGAGTTCACTTTGACTGAGGTAGAGTAGAGAGAGGTCGGTGAAATCGTTATTGTAACCTAGTTGCCGATCATTGTAACTCGAAATGGGTTGTTATGCGGAGATAACGCTCCGCCCGTTGTGAAGGTTGGACGAAGTCTCACAGTCGATCTGTGGACTTCGAGGAGAAGAAGCAGGCAGTGGACCTCTTCCTCAGCCGCGGGTAGTCGCGATGCAGAAGGGAGGAGGGAACGAGAGGATACGCGTTTAAAAGACCGATGAACGAGATTCCGCGCTAATTGAGGCCCCTTCAGCCTTCTGATGTGTCGATGGGGGTCATTCAAGCCACAAAATGCCCCTCCTCAAGCGAGGCAGACTTGGTTGGAGATCCCGCGCCGAGTGGTGCATGTCTCTCAGGGAGGAACTAGCCAATAGGATGCCTTTCGATACAGCACCAGTAGGTGGCGGAGGCCTCACACCAACTTCAAGAAAACCTTGTTTCTGAAACGAAGATGTTCCAACATTGAAAATGGGGCCTCAAGTTATCACGGGCCAGACGTTGACACGGGCCATTGAGGCCTCCTTGAGGCTCTTGTCCATGTGTTCCATCACTTTCCTCGGTACAACAACCGGGACCTGGCTTCCCAAATTTCGGGGTTTGAGGCCTCCTTCTGCGTTCCTCTCATATGTTTGGTCACGTTTCTCAGCACAACAGCCAGGTACATGGCTCCAAGATACCCAAATCTCTGATTTTGAGGCCTCCTTCTGACGTGATCCATGCTGATTGAATGCCGGGAAGAGCGTTGTGCCTCTTGAGGCTTTCGAGGACATAATTCCGCCCGGTACGTCAATGCCGGCTCGGGAATAAAGTGTGCCAGCCCCAAGGTGGCCTCCATTCTCTCAAAAAACGACGAACTATAAGACGGGGAGAATGTTTCTCTGAAGGGAGTGCATCAACCGGTCAGTACCTCATCTCTCTTCTTCCATCGTCATGCCCTCAAAGTCGTCAAAGAGATCCAGTGTGAGACCCAAAGAGTCAAAAGAGTAAGTGCGAGGGATAACCTCCGTCAGGACTTGATCTAATATAAAGCTCCAGAACCTCCCTCCACAAGAGTTCCGGGCACCGCAAGGAACATTCCCCTCAAGGAAACTCCACGAAGCTCCCAAACACTTCTCCCCAAAACAACTCTACAGACCAAAAAGTGTCCTGGAGCTATGATCAAACAGCCGCCACCCACAACTCAGCGCACAGCCAATACCAAGCTAGTTCTCTCACAGGATTGCCTTTAGCAAGAACCTGGCCAGACTCTGCCACTGTTCCATCTCAAATTAGACTCGATCACGATCTTCTCGGGCTGAACCAGAACACCGCCATTGTCGATTCTTTGGTGTACCCAGCGTCAGCATATCCAAACGAAGGTCTTGAATGTCCATACCATCGAACAGTGCATCGAGAGGACTTTGCCGAGAAAGTCTCGGGATATGGACTGGGCGGTCTTGATCGATTCCTGGCTGAAGCACAATCAAGTGCGGGAGCGGTGTATTTTGGTGATGGTGTGATATATCAAGCGGGTCCCTGTTGCTGTTTCGGAGAATTGTGAACGGGCGGTTTCTTCTTGTTGATCGAGTTCGACGATCTGGGCATGTTTTGTTCCCTCGTCTTCCGAGACTACTCAAAGATCAATTTGACTATTTCCACAAAACATCTTCTACATGGTTAAAGAGTTCTCGGGAATAAGAAACCCTCGTCCTTTGGTGAAGAAGAAAAACGAATGAGAACGGAGGAAATAGTAGCTTTCGGAATATGTGACTGACCCCGTTGGGGTCCCGTGACCTCATTCGTCTAAAAGCCTAATAGTTATAAATCCACCTCACGCTTTCTTGTCTACCTTCACGAATCTTTTCCTGACTGCTGCAATCATCTTACCAAACCAGAAGACGTTCAGCACCTGGAGTATAACATGGCCTCCCATGTAGAGGACGACAAGCCACACCGGTAGTGACCGATCGTTTCCAAACCTCATCAGCTCGCTGTTGGTCTCAAACTTCGCGCTGTTGCTTAGGTTCAACGCGTTCCAGACGTCTCTGTAGATGTTGAAAGAGGAATACGCTCCCCAGACCAGCCGACAGCTGAAGAAAACGACCAGAAGAGTCAAGCCGTCATAAAGCTGTGCCTTGGTACCAGTCATACTAAGCTTGTCGAAGAACCAATGAATATTCAAAAATGGTGTTGAGAGCTCATATAACATAAAAACACATCCATAGTAGTTGAAAATTGGCCGCTGTGGAAAGAAAATCAGTGTTGTAAAGTTTTACTCACCAAGAGTCATCCTCAGAAAACGTACAAATCCAAGAGTGTACGTCAAAAGGCAACTCGAGGCGTGAGCCAACATGCCCAAGCCAAATACATCGAGGTAGCGAATCATGACAATCAGGTCGAAAAGGAACCATCCAGTTGCGAGAGCTTGCACAAGGCCTGCCGCTCCTGTGTAGCCCCACATCCTCTCCTCGAGGTTCATGCTCTTTCTTTCTTTATCAATCATCATTATCAATGGTGCTAGTATGGAGATTGCCACACTCTGGACCATGGAGGCACAGTGCATGTTCCATCGAAGCTTGCTCTTGTAAGAGAGTTTTGTGTAGCTGTTTGGAAGTAGGAGGCTCGACAACGGCGGCGCAAGATATGCAAATATAAAGTGGTAGAGAGCGCATGCGTACAGGATCTCGTGGATGTGGAGGGGCAGCGTGTGTAGCGAGAGGGCATCGCATACGGGCTGGACAAGTGCCTTGAGCCATGGGATCGGAGGGAGGAACGGATCGAGCATCGTGAGGCAGTCTCAGGTGGGAAAGGAAGGGATTGGAACTGGAACCCGTATCAGCAAGCGTCACTCTAGCGGATGAGCCGGATAGGATTGTACTCGGGATCCATACTTACTGAAAGCAGCTAAGAGTTTGGGTTTGAACTATACGTAGGAAATACTCCAGAAGAGAGGTTTCCCTTGGCCATTGAGGGTAGGAGAAGGGAAGACAAGAGAGGCGAGGAGAAAACAAGACGGCTAGATACGTACGCAACTGAAGACAAGCGCGAACTCTGTTCCCCCAAGCAGGAGCTATCGCGGGTCCAGGTCGGCAGTGCAAAACAGCCCAGTCCGTGTGACCCTGGGCCAAGACAAGCAGCGCGTTGGGGTTCCATCGTCAGCAACGAGGATTGAACAATGTTGAGGTTCCTGAGCCGGTAAGCTGTATCAAAGCCTTCCTAGGCCGCTTGCACAGCAGTTCGGGCAGATGTTTTCATGACGTTCTATTGCAGAAGTGCCCCGCAATTGTGAAGTTGAATTCAGCTTGAGATCTGAAGAAGTTCAGGGTCCAAATATCCCTGCAAAACCCTGACGCTAGTCCCGGATCGTTGGCGAGACTGTGCCGAACATGTGGCTGGGATTTCTGAACAACATTTTCATAGGGACCGAGTGGTCTTCCTACTCGCTGGGAGTAGCTGCTGCAGCCTGCCACTGGCAGATGGAAGGTTGAAATCAATTCTACCATGAATTATCTTCGTTGAAGTCATGCCAAAGACCGTTGATAAACTGACGACAGAATCAGTTTCATCTTGACAAACACCTCCGATTTCCATCATCATCTCCTTCGACGTGTACCGAGAGAAACCCGAGAGAAATGCGAATCTGGGTGGCTTCAGACCGCAGATTAGTTGATGGAGACACGCAGGAAAGAGGGCCGAGACGTCATGGCATTCGATCGTCCAAGTGAATGCAAGATGCTGGAGCAACTGGTGGAGAAACCGTTTCTCACTCTCCTATGTGAATCATCGCATACTCTGTGTCACGTATTATTATGCATTCGTCCCTAGGTTGCTGAATCATCACTTTACATGTGTTGTTCCATAGCGGGGTCGTTGCACAAGATTCTTTCTCATGCTGTGCTACCAAACAATTATCCGGAGACTTTCAAATTACTGTTTTTGGCCTCCAAGATTATCGAATAAAAATCCCAGTCTGTAGATAACAAAAAAGCCTCCAGTTCTAAGTCAGCAGCAAGTGCGGGGATCATTTTAGCAGCCGTCGATGAGTAATCCTGCTACGGAAACCTCTTCGAGTTCGATGCTTTCTCGTATCAGATTCCTAGATAATCAAGCTTTCAGTTCTCGTGGTCGTTAGATATGGTCTCCGTATCGTGCACGATCCATTCAGCGACGGAAACTAGCAATCGCGATGAGCTGCACAGTCCAATCTTGAACGGCCTGAGAGGATCGGAGTTGCGATCCGCTGAGCTAAACTTTCAGCTGCGAATACCTGCATGTTGAAATGCTCTAGATCGAGACAGACTCACCCCTCACTCCAAGGCTAGAATTGCAATTGGACAATTGCTGATTTCAGGGGGTCGCCTATCCGCTGCTCAACGTCCAAGTCCCTACATTGTCACCCTCCTTTTCTTGGCCATTGGTTATCACAATTCCTATCTTGGGAGTCAATATGGGACACGAGAGGGAGGAAGGTCTATAAGTATAGCCCAGCTCTTCTCACATATCTCCTCTCAACCGTCAGTCGATCCATTATCTCAAAGCCTATCACAAGAACATCCATCTCTATCCACCATGCCTTTCGTCACAACAAAAGACAAGACTGAGATTTTCTACAAGGACGTGGGTGTATTTCTTTGAGCATGGTGTTCCTCTCTCAGAGTTTCGCAACTTGTTCCACCTCTCGAGGCGGGTCTCCAGAGGAATGGACCCGTGACACCCTTCTTACCCTCCTCGACCCCTTTCTTGATAGAGAATGCTAACCCCCATATCACGTAGTGGGGTAACCAACCTATTTCATTGTTCCATAACCGGAGCTCCTTATTTCACTGGTCGGGAGAATGAGACATGCTCCCGGCTCTCTCCCGGCTCACTTCCCTCTAAAGAAACATGTTGCTAATTCGTTGAAGGCAACCCATCCGGAAAACCAGTCGTATTCTCTCATGGCTGGCCCTTGAATAGTGACAACTGGGAAAACCGTAAGTGTTGGGTAACATATCCCTTTCCTCTCTGCAATTCCCTCATGTTGTCTTCCGAGAAAGTTATATTGCCCAGTGACTTACCTATTATCCAGAAATGTTCTTCCTAGGGCAACACGGCTACCGCGTCATCGCCCATGACCGTCGCGGCCACGGACGCTCCAGCCAGCCCTGGGGCGGAAACGACATGGACACTTACTCGGATGACCTGCTCGCCGTCTTCGAGCACCTGGACATCAAAGACGCCATGCTCGTCGGGCACTCCACCGGCGGCGGCGAAGTAATCCGCTTCCTCGGCCGCCACGGCACCAGCCGCGTCTCCAAAGCCGTCATCGTCGGCGCCATTCCACCTGTCATGGTCTTAAAAGACAGCAACCCCCTCGGCCTCCCCAAGTCTGTCTTCGACGGTTTCCGCTCCGCTATGATCGCCGACCGCGCCCAATTCTTCCTCGACGTCCCAACGGGCCCGTTCTTCGGCTATAACCTCCCTGGCGCCAAGAGCTCACAGGGACTCATCCAGAGCTGGTGGCAACAAGGCATGATGTGCAGCTTCAAGAGCGCTTATGACTGCATCTCAGTCTTCTCGGAAACCGATATGACCAAGGATTTGAAGAAGATCGATATCCCGGTTTTGATTCTGCATGGGGAGTTGGATCAGATTGTGCCGATTAGGGCGTCTGCTTTGGAGGGCATTAAGCTGTTGCAGAAGGGGACGTTGAAGGTTTACCCCGGTGGGGCGCATGCGTTGCCGAATACGGCTGTTGATGAGGTTAATGGGGATTTGCTTGCTTTCTTGAAGTCTTGAGCAATGGGCTACCTGGGGCTGGCAGCTCAAACTTTGAGCCTTTCATTCGTCCTGCGTCTTTCCTTAAGTATACCGAGGTAGTGTCAATCACACTGTCCTCAACGTCCTCTCTTCCGGTACTCCTCAGCATTCAATGCGTAGCGCTTCTAGTTTCTAATTCCCTTGCCCTCATTTTGATATTGTATAACCGCCCACCCTGCAAGTCCTTCATGTGTGATATCAGCACTTGAATCTCACCCCATAGGACTGACAGTCCCCCAGCTTTATAACCGGAGGCCTCCGACTTTGCCAACTGCAGCCTGCTTCCTTACCGAATGCCTTGCATGGAGGGGTGCAACTATGCTAAGTAGTCCACGGTCGCAGACAATGTAGCAAGAGCAACACTAACACCGAAGCTCGTTTGCAGGAACCCCGCGACCGTGAAACCCGCAGAGACATCATGTTTCACCACACCATAAATCAGTCCCACCACCGTACTACAAACCAAAACCACAGCGCCAACATACCAAAAGATCTCCCATCTCCTCTCTTCGACTAATTCCAGGCCCCAGCCGCTCCCAAGCCCGTCATCCGGCCTGAGTGCGACTCTATCTTGGAGGTAGGTGGGCATCCGATTCGTGCATGCTTTCGTCCTGTACCGTTTCTCGGTGCGTGGTACATGGTCAAAAGCATATTGTGCCCAACCGGGGGTATTGATCTGATGGGCTTGGGTGCATAGAGATAATCTGGGTGGTCTTCTGGGGGCAAAGATTCTCTAACTTTCCTCTCCTCACAGGAAAAGAACTTGATATCTGCCAGAGACCCCGCATCGATTTCAAACTGCGTGAATGTTAGCTACATTCTCTTTTCTTGTTTGATTTTGAGGGATGCAGACTTGAACGAATCTGATTCTAGTAATTGTCCGCATGGAAATCCACCATTGGATTTCGCCGACTTCATGGCGATATGCTCGCTTCAAGGTTTTAAATAGATCCTCGTCATCTTGGACCTGGGCTATGTTGACGGAGATCATGACTGTTCTGTGATAATTGGATCGCAGACGACTGATACAAAGGAGGATAGATCGGATCGATGGAGGTTCTGGCGGTGATGAATCCTTATCAGGTTCGCTGGAACTTTCTGATGTCGTAGGGCTTGGTTTTCTATTTTCAATTGATCTTGGAATGATCCATCTGAATAGGACGTTGCGTTGCCATGTCCTGGAGGCCATCCAGCAACCGAGCCAGACCTCGTTTGACTGCCGGCTTTCGTACATGGAAGGGAAGATCGTTCAATAAGAGCTGGACCGAGCCAGGCACTTCTTCGTAGTAGGTGTCTTTAATCTGAGCTCCAAACCGCTCCAGAGAGAGCATTGTTAGCTGAAAAGTCAAGTGGCCATGATTGACAATCTCGCATCGATCCAAGAAGTTTCTTTCTTGCGAGCAATAGATACTTCCTTTGTGATGATTGTTCTCTCGGTCGGGCCCAGTCTTCATATCTTCGAAATTTGACATCGTAACTTCAATGGTTTTAAAAACCGGGCGCAGAGGCTTCCTTCATATACTCATTATGTGTGGACACACTCCTAAGTGAAGACACACTCTCGGACACCCATATCCTCACGTGTTCGTGCTACAAAGTAGGTTGTGTCCGCACTTAACTCATATTCCACCAACGTTGGAACTCATTCTGCGTGCGGACACCCTGCATTGTTGGCACAATATGGTAAGCGCAGACACCCTGAACATGGGACCTCAGCCACGCGATGATCGACCGAGGTTTGGATATGCGTGTGGATGTGACGAGCCGAATTCCTCGCCCCAAGAGTACGCAATGTGCCTGAAATCCTCCATAGTTGTTAAACAGTTAGTGGATCCGTGGGATGTATTTTGGCATGGATAGGATGAACGGCAAAAGATAAATGGTGCCTGCCGAACTTGCGAACGAGCCTGGAAATCGAAGATTGGTGAGCAATTTGCAATACCCCAAACTCTGAGAAGGAGCAAATGCGCTGAACTCAGAGAGATCCAACAAACACAATCATGAAAGCTCAAAGTTGGGGGGAACCAAGACACTGGGGATTTTTTCCTTCGGATTTTCTTTTCTGGCGGGGATGGTCACTTGGACAATACTGGAAGGAGAGACCGCCCTGTAATCAGCCTTGGGCGACGACCTCTAGAACACCAATGTCCCAATCATATGCTGGCCAATTGAAACCCGGATTGAGTTGGTTGGGGATGTGAGCCGCCCGGCGTAGCGCTGGCTGCATCTGCTTTGCTTTGCTTGTGGTTCTGACGTGGCTTCACGCCGTCACAATCACCTGCCTTGGGCGGTTGTCAGTCTTCTCATTCCAGGCTCATGGTTCCAACCGAATATTGTCTAGTCATGTTCCCAGAAGCATGTATTTCAAACCGCGATCAAACCACTCGGCGATATTTGAGAAGGATGACGCGAAAGCTTCAAATGAAGAGGTTTGGGCATCCCAGGCCTGTGGCAGCCCCACAGTGGCTAGTTCTAGAATTCCCCTGTGGCTGAGCTAGACTCGATTTCCAGCGATCATCAAAACCCCTGAAAACGCGAAATGACACGCTGCAATGCGCCACTCTCTCTCTCTCTGACATCAATTATTCCCAAAGTTTTCCATTGCTCGACGATTGTCCATCTGCGTTGAAAATGGGGTTTTTGATACAAAATGACCTCCCTTGAAACTCTCATTCAAGGAGCAAGTATCCCCGAACTCAAAGAAGCTCTCAGACAATTCGAGGCAAGGTGTCCCAGGAGCAACGAGTTATCTCATATGTTGTTAGGGCTGTTGGAATCCGAAGAGAAAAACAGTAAAGATGGGCTGAAGGGTGTGGTTGAAGGTGTTTGTGAGAGCTTTGAAGAGTGTGGGGAGATCGTCCGTGAGTTGTTGGGTGACGAGGATGAATTTCCAGGGCGAAACTGCATTCTTAATTTCAGCTCAGGGGAAGAAGGAGATTCCGAGAACGAAGCTACGAGAAGAAAAAGCAAGCAAAAAGGCAAGAGGAAACGAGATCTACTTTCCTCCCCACCAAAGCGAAAGGAGATGAAGAAGATCAAGAATACTCATCAAAATGAGAAGACTGCACTCTTGCCTCCAAAAATTCCAAGTTGGTGGCCAAACCTACCCATGGTTCAGATTAAGAACCGAACATCAAGCTCCAGCTCAGCAGCACCCCCAAAGAGAAAGCGTATCATAGGAGAGATCTTCGAAGCAGACAGACAGCGAAGAGAGTTGGAAGCCCAACAAGAAGCAGAGCGGCGGAGACATGAACGCGAAATCCAAGCCAGATGCGCGCAATGCAAAGCGTTCTTTCTAACAGATGACAACTGGCATGACTCATGTGTTTTCCATTCCGGTGAGTGAGATGCTGAGGCGGCCCATAAGACCAGAAGAAAAAGCCCTAATGAAGCGTTAGGGACAATGAGGCGTTACCATCCTGCAGAATCCGGCTATGATAGCAGATGGTTCTGCTGCGGACGAGAGGGAAACAACGACGGTTGTATGGAGGCGAGGCACATTGATGACAGGATTCCGGGGGAGATGGAACGGATCAAGGCTATTCGGAAGTCTGCGTGGGAGGAAGCTAGGGTTGTGGTGTATAGGAGTTGTGAGGACTGCTATAAGGACATTGTGGTCGAGTATGACACCGAGCATTCGGATGTTGAGAACATGGTGACTGATGAGGACGACTCGGTGGCTGAAGACGAGGTGCCTTTTCCCGATAAGAGCAGCGGAACTCTAGAAACAAACGGCCCAGCTCATGATGAGAATGGGCCGGCAGGTAACGGGGATGACATAGCTTCCGAGGTGGATAATTCGGCTTCTTATGATGAGGACTTGATCCTGGGTGAAGACCAGCCAGTTCTCAAGGAGGGGATTCTAGCCAGGAGATCGGTAGTCTCCCTACTTTCCCCGAGAACCTGAACTTCCCACCTCTGAGTCGAAAACGATTCCTCTGTCATTCTTGCGAGGAGGAAACTGCAGCCAAGAAATTGCAATGTAATCTATGCGGCGATCATTTCAAGGTTCTGCCGTCCCACGACGCCTATACTTCCGAGAAACCGATTTGTGGGCAGTGTGTCTGGACAAATATGTGGCTCCGGGGTGATACCTGCTGCTCGCATTGTAGAAAACTTTTGGAGTTCCAGATGCGGCCACATAGTTGGAATGAGTTTGAGGATGATGATGTTCCGCTTTGTCGAGAATGTAGGGTCGAGTTGATGGGTGAAGATGATGAGGAGTCTCTCATGGCTTCGATGGGTTGTGCTACTGTTGATTAGATTTGGATTCTGTGTTAGCTGTTAGTGCTTGTATATGGCATTGAGAGGGGCAACTTATCGGATACCTTTAGTTCAGACCGCACTATCTCGTATAATCGTAGTTAATTGATTCTTTTCTGAATACTCACATCTGCCAAATATTCAAACTTTTTGCTATGCTAGAGACCAGCTATGCCCAATGAAAGCCATTCAAGGTTCACCCAATTACAGCAAAACAAACTCTGGGGGGAAACGCTCTTTGTATTCATATGCATCCTATATCAAACGCCGCAATCCCTATGCCCAGGTCCCACCGCCAGGCCAGTACAAAGCCCAGGCCAAAAAGTGTAACGCCGCCCCATGCACGAATCCCTATTTCTGACCATGCAAGCAACCAAAACCACTACTCATCTATACGCACAAACTCATGGCGAGCTCAAAGTCTGACTGCTCTCGGATTCCTCCCTCGACTCCGGCTTCCCATTAACCTCAAGCTTCACCTTGATGGTGTCCGGTGGTAGAATGGGCGGTGGCTTTGCATCCGCCTTCACCTTTCCAACCCAATTCTTCTCATCCTTCTTCACTGGCTTGATTACCTTCTTGATAATAGGATTCTTCTTCTTATTCTTTAACGCAGCTTTTCGGTCCCAATAATCATCATCATCTTCTTCAGGTTCGACATCACTGGGTGGAGGCTTCGATTCAAAGCTCAACCCACTTGCTGAATGCTGACTTGCACTCTTCATCATGCCTGGGGCCTTGAGTTTCTTGACAAGGGGCTTCTTGATGACCTTCTTTTGCTTCTTTTGCGGCGACGAGTCGGAATCAAAATCCTCGCCAGGATCCCTCTTGTTGGGACTGCTGCGGTTTTTGTTGTTGGGCTGAGATGAAGGAGCTGGGGTGGAGTGTCGACTTCCGCCAGATGCGTATCCATTTTGGCTGCCGTTTCCGTTGCCATTCTGGATTTTCTTCAGAGCATCGCGTGAGGAATTTCTTCCACCACCACCAATGCACTTAAGCATATGCCCGTTCATACGTCTAACGGGCAGGAACTGTCCACAATGTTGACACTTGGCGTGGGGGAACGGTATAGGTTTCTGTGGACCTTCCCCTGGAGGTGGTGAAGCCGCAGGAGAGTCTTGACTTCCGGCGGGCGTGTCTTCCTTCGGTTTGAGAGGATTGACCATGTCTTTCTTCTTCTTGCCTCTGCCAGGACCCTCAGGTTGAAATGTTTGGCCATATATATCATGATGTGGTTTGTCAATAAAGGGGCGTTTCTTGCAATATTCGACTCCAGACTCAGGTTTTCTGGCCCCATTGCCGTCGGTCGGATGGAGAAGTCGAGGAAGTCCGCATTTCGAGCAGCGTAATTCGGAGGTAGTGGCAAGAGGGTTTCCTTTGAGGTAAATAGTGCCGTTTTCGTATATTGCAGCCTCCGTCTCGACTTTCCCTGCTTTTGTGCTTTCTCCGACTGGACTCGGTGAGTCGTGGGTATTGTTGGGATCTGCAAGTGTGGCTCTTTGCTGGATTATTATTGCTGCAGACGCAGCTCGAGCTATCTTCTCTTCGCGGTGGGTTTGGAGAACTATGTCGTGGATTATATTGTAGAAGACATCATCTAAGATCGCGTGTGTCTGCTAGAATCAGCCGTTTGGCCCTTTCAGGCAGCTGAAGCAGGAAAATAAATAGAAAATGAGTAAAATACCATTCCCAGCATGTTATCGTCTTTCTCGTCCTCAGCAGGAACTACAAGTCCCTTTTGCGGAAAGCTGTTGTTGGCAGACATTTTGTGCTGGGTCCAGGGGGCAGGCTGTGGTGCTGTAATCTGCGGGAAAAGGAACGTTTGCAGTGCACCGGGTGATGCAGTTGCAAGAAGATGCAAGAACGATGGAGGAGCCAAACGCCAGAGAGAGCATCTTATGGGACGGAGTTCATCGACGGCTGAACATTGTGGGAATAATTAATATTGTCGGTTGGAGGAGTGCAGTCAGGGATAATAATAAATGACTGCACGGTATTTCCGTGCTGTGGTCCTGAAACTGAGTTCAAGGCCAGGAGTCTGGCAGAATTCGGCGCTAAAATTTAAAGTTTGGTGTGCTAGCAAAGGCGGTGTCTGAAAGGAGGAACGACTGGTATGGCCATATCAAAAGAGTGTACGAAGCCAGATTGAACATTTCGCGACAACCCCTTTCTACGAAACCTCTCGACCTCCGGAGCGTGGTCCCTTGGACATAATCGAGACCTTGAGGGACCACAAAAATCTAAATCCAGCAAAATGGACGTCAATGGATCAGCAAACACGTTGAATCCTCGAGTGCAGCCCACAATCCGATCATTCTTCCAACCTCGACAGCCCAGTTACACAGCACCACCCTCTCTTCCCGTCAGCAAACCTGACACTTCACCTCCCCTAGCCTCACTCTTACAAACGCCCCCATCAGCGGCCCAAATGCCACAGAACACCACGTTAACATCGACAGTCCAACCACAACGATCCGTCACTCTCCCGCAACAAGCGACCATCTCCCCCGTCCTAGAACAACACATCCAACCGCTCCGGCGCATAAACTCCCTTCTCCTCCCAATCCACTACCCCGACTCCTTCTACCACAAAATCCTCTCTCCAGACGGCCCCATCTCCTTCTCACGAACCATACTCTGGACCTCTCCTCCCTCCACAGACTCCCCCTCCGAAACCAAAGTCATCGGCGGCATAATCTGCCGTCTCGATCCCGCCCTCTCTCCTCTCTCAACACCCCGAGCCCCCATATACCTGGAAGGGACTCACGACATCTACATCCAATCACTCGCACTCCTTTCTCCATACCGCTCAAAAGGACTAGCCGCAGAGGTATTACAGGAGATTATCGAGGCAGCGGTGATGCAGGCTTCTGCTGCCCCGATAGAGGTGAGGATTGCGAGTTTATACGCGCATGTCTGGACAGAGAATGAGGATGCTTTGAAGTGGTATGCTGCACGGGGGTTTAAGAGGGAGGAGCCAATTCTCCACGGCTATTACAGGAGGCTAAAACCGGACACTGCTTGGATTCTGAGGAGACGGTTGATGCCTACGGACCATCTTGTCAATTTACCTCTTCAAATGTCTCAATCAAGTCCGACTCCACCGCCAGCACCAATCTCAACGCCAATAGCTGCACCAGTGGCGACGAGGCCGGGGGCTCAATACTCAGCGCGATCTTTCCAAGAAAGAGGCCCAGACAGAGAATGGAACGATCTACCGGAAGATGTTCTGGGGAACGTGATGTTGAAGCCGCCTTCACATCTAGGGAGTAGAGAGGGCAGTGCAACGAGCTCGAGGAGTAGTTCGAGGAGCGGCATTGAAGGGAAGGGGAAGAAGAAGAGGGTTTATCCTGCGGCTGCTTTTGGGAGTTGATCTCCTGCTTAGCTGAGGGGGTTGTTTGAATAGAGAGCGAGACTAGGGCGTCGGCGTTGGAAACGGGGTTGAAAACTATAGACGGAATGGAGGCATTAATGATTGATGCATAGATCTAGAGACACTGGGTTAGGCTCCTATAGATTTGGAAATGGTCCGCGAGAATTTGAATGAGATTGGCCTGCTAGGGGTTATACTTTAGTAAATCCTTGGAATGGTTCCACAACTCAGCTTAAGCCAAAGAGGAACTCTCCACATCAAAACCACATTCCGCCGAAAGGTAAAAGTTTTTCATACACTGGCATTAGTTCGTTAGGCTAGGCTGTCTACAGTCGACACTCCTCTATTCGCTTTTCTCAATAACCTTCACCCTTTTTGGTTTAGGCTCCGACAGAGAAAATAGGAAAACATGATGAGCATGCTCCTCCTTGGCTTTCGCCAGTATCTTGTCAACCTTCTCGTCCATCCCCGAGCCTAACAGACTCATGAATAATCCCTCTTTCTCTTTATTCAGACCCTTCTTCTCGCCATGCTTTTCACCATCCCCCTCAACATCCAAGCTCCCATCCTCAGTATATTCCCACATCAACTTCCACTCCCCTCGAGCCAAGGCTGTGCCCCAGAGCGCACCTAATACTCCAGGAACGAGATAGAGCAAAGCAGGCTGTCCATGGTTCCAAATCCGCATCACCGTAATTGTGACCATCATGGCAATAGAATATCCAACCAAAGCAGCCTTGAAATACACCTTCGGGAACCGCGCGCCATCAGCAACGGTAACCTCCTTGCTTCCAGAAGTCCAGAACCGCTCGCCCCATTGACCGGCCGCTTCCTCATACTTGGGCTTCGCGATTTCCTTGGAGTCAGGGGTAGAGGCGGTTTTCTGTTTATGGAGGTAGTGGAGATACAGGTCAAAGCGGAGAGCAATGGAGATCATAATTCCTGGTAGTACGACGTCCCCAAGTCCGAGCATGCTGCCTCTTCCTGGGCCAGGGAAGACGAGCTTAATTGGGGCGTCAATCTTCGTTGCTACTGTCATCATCATAGGTGTATAGAAGACCATGACAACATCGTAGACGAAGAGCCCGATAAGTATCAAGGATCCAGTCCAGAAAGTGGTTGGAGACATGAGTTGCAGTGCGCCATAGCAATACCCGAAGGCGAGCAGGTTGGCGAGCCACCAGGTCTTTGCATACACGTTGTATACGACGACGGCTACGATGCCCAGAAGGAAGCCGATTACGTCGTTGAGCTTGATGTTCGTCTTGAAGCTGAACCAGCCGTGGAAGTACGCCCGGAAAATCCAGTGGTTCTTCAAGAGGGCTCGGAGGGCCCATAGTTGCTTGTTGATCGAGGCCGGGAGCTTCATGCTGGACAAGAGACCAGGGAAAGGATTTGTCTTGTCATCGAGGATCTTGCGATGAGTAGCTATTCTTGCCGGCTTGACTGGGCCCGTTTCTTGTTGAGATAGCAGAGGGTCGACGTAGAAGGTGTCCTTAGATGTTGCCCAAACAGACGGGAAGATGAATGTTGTAACAACACTCAAAAGGTCTGCAGTGAGCTTGCCCACTCCAACAACACCTATAGCCGAGAAATAGTAGTTTAAGATCTTGTTGAGGATAGCAGGATCTTCAAGCCACTTGATAATGAAGTAAAGACCAGCCAACGTGATACCAGCAAAGACAGGAAACATGATAGCATCGGACGGACTCATGCCGTCGATCAATGGCTCAACCTCCAAGTCATCATCTTCCTCCTCGGTTTGTCCCTTCTTTGGGTTGGCAGCCGATGGCGGACGGCGTAATGAGGCATGTGAGCCGATGTAGATCGGGAACAGGGCGGAAAGGAGAAGATGGATGTACATCTGTAGATGCTCTCGATGATCGTACAATCTGGCGCCCCAGTTTCCAATGAGCTGCAGTGTTTGACTGTCGCCTTGGAACAGGTCTAAGGCCCTGTCCAGAACAGAAGAGGGGTTCATGATGAGCGAAGGAAAGGTTCCGGTTTAGATCATGGGGATGCAACGTTCAGCTTGGTCAGTCAATGAGGCCAGATATTCCCAGGTAAGTCCGCCTCCTTGACTGATTGCCAGGAAAATGAAAGATAGATGTCGTTGAGGAAGGCTATCCTTGAAAGAAATACATCAAGAAGATTCCGAAAAGGTATCTTTGAAAGGTGTTGAAAAGATCGAGCAAGCTGGGTGTGGTCAACAAAATATTGACAAGGATGTTGACGAGGCGGCGTACCGAAGATTTTCCGGCCTTCAGCCTCGTCAGGTACCACGAAAAAACATCAACAACTGTTCGAACAATCAGCCTGACAATTCAACAACTTAATGATACGTCATCACAGGCCCAAAACTTCTCCCGACTGTAACTGAAATCAGATACAAGGGAATTCGCTGGCCAAGAGCAACACCATCGCCAATTCAGGCTCACTTTCCGGACCTCGATCAACAGCATTCAAAATGGCGACTAACGTTGCATTAGAGACCACGATGGTATGCTCCCCATCATTTGAGCTACCAAATCTGCAGGTACTAACTCCCAAAACAGGGCACAATAGTAGTAGAACTCTACAACGACCACGCTCCAAAGGTTTTCCCTCAGCTCCTTACCTCTCAACCCAACTAAACTCCCCTCCCAGACCTGCAAAAACTTCAGCACGCTCGCTTCAAGAGGCTACTACGACACCCTCCTCTTCCACCGCATAATTCCCTCCTTCATGATCCAAACCGGAGACCCGACAGGAACCGGACGAGGCGGCTCTTCAATCTACGGCGAGAGATTCGAAGACGAGATCTCACCCTCCTTAAAACATACCGGAGCGGGGATATTGAGTATGGCGAATAGCGGACCGAATACGAATGGGAGTCAGTTTTTTATTACTTTGGCACCCACGCCGTGGCTGGATGGAAAGCATACGATTTTTGGGAGGGTGACGAGAGGGATGGGTGTTGTCAAGAGGATGGGGCTTGTGAGGACGGGCGCAGAAGATAGACCAGTTGAGGAAGTGAGGATTGTTAGGGCGTGTATATTGGAAGGGGGTGAGGAGGCCTGATCTGAATTAAGGGATGATGATTTGGAAGGAACCACCTGCATGGCGCTCGGCCTGGACATTGTCGACTGAAAAGTTCGGCATACTGTGGCAATTGAGGGTTTAGAAGGTCGAGGTTTGGGCTTCAAACGCATAGAACAGATGGCCTCCGGAAGAATGACTCAGATGAACAGCACCAGTACGCTCAGGACGCCGATATTCTACTCAAAATCTCTCCAAACGCCCCGAGTTGTCCCGTATGTACATCTCTCATTGACCAGAAGCTCCGTATGGACAAATCTCACGACACAGTTCCCGACTTCTGACCTGGCAACCTCCAAGCAACCAAGTCGTCTCGAACATCGAACTCATCTACCTCCTTCGCCTTTCTAAACCCCGTTCTTCCTCTCTCGGAGCTTTCAGAAGAAGTATCAAGCCCATTCGCCGAATCTGGCCCCAGTGATTCACGACTGCCGTTATGTTTATGACCCAACCTAATTTTATTCCTCGCTACCGTGATCGTAGACTGTGAATGAGAGCTAGCCCCTGACAGATTTCTGTGATGCCGATGTAGATGCTCATCACTCGCACTATTCTCATCGATCACGCGAGGTGTGGCTGGCTTTTCGTTCTTCTCGTATTTCCATCCGTCTCCCCCATTGAAGATATCTTCAATGCATTTATCGGCTGGTAATTCTGACGAATTTGCGGCCCAGGATGCTGCTAGTGCTCGGCGATACATATCTTGCAGCTCGCCATGATCTCTGGACTTGCTTATCGAAGGCATGTCTACCCATCATCAGTATACCATTCCAGAGGCTAGAAATTAATACCCACGACCAACATCATCTTGTTCCGCCTGTTCCCCCGCCATAATCCCCGCAATGCCCCCAAAAACAGGCGCGGTCTTCAACGGCGGCGCTGTAAAGTTCCTCTCCCCATCAATCTGCTTCATCGTAATCCCAATCTTCAACGTACTATTAATCTTGCTCTCCTGCATCAAATATCTCCTCATCACACCCTCCTCGCCATCCGGGCCCATCTCACTGTCCTCGACATATTCGGCCAGATTCAACGTCACATGTCCCAACGTTATCTTCTCGCCTCGCACACCAGAGCCATAGTCTTGTACCACTTCGAAATTGATAAGGCATTCTTGGAGCTTGTTGGATTTGTCAATTGTGAGTCGCACGGGGATTGTTCGTGAATAGTCCCAGGCGACTTTATGGTCTTTTATCGGTGCTCGTTCTGTTCGTCCGCGGTGCTCGGCGGAGGTGGACGAAGGGAGGTGCCATTTTATATAGGATGTTCCGGTGACGAGGGGGACATTGTTGAGGTCGATTACCTGTCTTTATTAGCCTCGGAATATCTCGGCAGGCTCTTACAGACGCACTCTAAGAATCAGCTCAAATTTCGGCTATGAAAGATGTCAGTATTGGTCCTGCTGAAGCTCCGGCGCATGGAGATGAGAGGGGCTGACATACCCTTCGGGCTTTGGATACTAGCAAGTTGGAGAGCATTGTGAGTCATTGTTCAAGATTTGGATGCATTGAGGGAATTGACTTACTTAGAGGATTCATATTCAAAATATGCAGGAATGCGAACCTTTGTGCGGAAGGCGCGATGTTGTGTCTCTCATTCTTGATTGAAGTTGGGATGCTCGGATGCGAGGCTGGAAGGCATGACGTCTCGCGTAAATCCGTTATCAGCCTTCTCCTTCTCCTCCCCTTCCAACTACATCTCCAGTCATGTGATGGAGATTTCGGGGGATGCCATTGCGGAGGTGGTGTTGAAAGAGTTTGAGAAGTGGCCTGCAAAAAGGAAACCTTTGGTGAGAAGTGATGGTGCGAAAGAATGGGTGCCGTTGAGTGGGATTGTGGCGCAAGGTTTTCCCCTGAATTGGCTGGCTGAAGATCATGAAGCTGATATGTGGGGTAGACCAACAAGGGCGTCTGACTTGTTTAGCAGCGGCGTATGAATAGTTCTAGCTATGGAATGGCATTCGTGCTGATGTGTTGTCAGAACTGGCATGAAATGCCTTCCACACAACAAAATCTCACAGGCACAAGGAGTCACTATCCATGATTGGCATGCCGAGATCTTGGCGATTCGATCTCTCAACCGTATCTTACTTCAAGAATGCGATTCTCTGGTTAAGTCAGATCATACATCAAATAAGTTCATTCGCCGCAGAAGTCGGGACGAAAAGACCGAGAACCATTTCCAACCATTCGCTCTCAATGATGGTATCAGTCTCCACATGTATTGCTCAGAAGCTCCATGTCAGCCTTACAGAACCATGCTCATAAACATTTGCTGACACACTCTGAGGCGGTGATGCAAGTATGGAGCTTACGATGGCAGCCCAAGAAGATTCTACACCATGGGAAACGCCTGCACTAGCCAACATCACGGTCCCTTCCGCATCTCCCAGTCAGCAATCCCTTCTCCGCGGCCGCGGCTACTTTTCTGCCCTTGGCCAAGTTAGAGGCAAACCCTCTCGCCCCGATGCTCCACAGACCCTCTCAAAATCATGCTCGGACAAGCTCGCCCTCAAGCAGTCCACCTCTCTACTCTCCTCGATCACATCTCTACTAATCTCACCTCAAAACACCTACCTTACTACCCTTGTCCTGCCATCATCCCAATACTCGGAAACCGCATGCACACGAGCCTTCTCGTCCTCCGGAAGACTTGCCTCTCTCAAAGAACGGACATGGGAAGGCGGCTACCACTTCCAAGAATTCAGAATCCTGACCACGGAAAAGCAATTCCCGTACTCTAGGAGGCAAGTGCTGAAAGCTGGAGAGAAACTGGTCCCGAGTAACCTCGCATCAATATCGGGGACTCATCCCAACGACAGCGAGACGTTGATAGGTGGAACCCTTCAAGGACGCAAGCAATTTTCTTTGCCTGGCGCGAGTCGAGTTTGCAAGAGGCGAATGTGGCAATTCGCTCTAAGTCTCGCAGCGATTTCGGGCAAGAGTATTCTCGTCAATCTGGGCAATAGGAAGGATGAAGGCATTCGTGGACAGACTTTTGAGCGTTTTACTCTGAGGAACGACGCCGATGAGAACAAACTGTTGGCTGATCATCCGGTTGTACAGTGTTTAAAAGCGGACACGTATGCGGAGGTCAAGGAGGGAAAGTTGTTGGAGTCAAGAAGAAATGTTAAGAGGGAGGTTAGGGAGATGGCTTTGGAAGGGTGGGTGAGAAACGAGGGCGGTGAGGGGTTTGGTTCTGATGGGTTGATGGGTGGGAAGTGATTATTTACCCAACGAGTGATTGAGTGATTGCAAGCCTCTGCGAAGGGCAAGCCGTGTAATTTTCTCGTGGTCCAGGGGTGTGGTCGCACTGTTGGAGAACGTTCTCTGAACGTCTCGAGGCAAAAGGTTGGCCATGGAATGAAAGTAACCTTGGTTTTCAGGAAACTAATTAACCACCCACAAGAATGACCCACTGAATACCTACGTTATTTCTCACTCTCCTCCTCTGCTTTGCATGCTAAGTTGAGAACTCAATCACTCCAATTCATGGGTAGTGCTAAATTCTGACTTAGACGCCGCATTTGGCCTGAAATAGCAGATTTCTTGCAGTAAACTAGCTGCCTGACCTCATCGACCAAATCCGTCCATGTAGAAGTAAACATCTCTTTGTGTTTACTTCCTTTATCTAATCCGGACTGCTATCCGTACCTGACGATCTATTTCTAATTTTCTTCCTCTCTGCCATTGGTTAATTTGGTTTGTGAGACGTTATATAATAATGCAAGAACTGGTTTGTGTCACTTCATTTTGGGTTAACAAGGATGAGCGAGAACTTCCATGTTTGTCTTCCAAGTTTAGTATAAGAGGAGAGACACATACCCATCATAATCTCATCATCTGCTAGACATTTTTCCTGTCCTAACAACCTCTCGATCCAAACACAACACCCCTCAAAGCACTTCCTTGGCTTCACAATAGCTGAGAATTTGGGTTAGCATCTAGCTAACTCTCCAGATGTTTAGCAGAGGCTAAGAGGTCAGGCGAAAACTGACATCTTACAAGCATTCGTATTAAAAGGTGCCTTCTTCGGCCGACGAAAGCTAAAGGTTGAATCAACATATGTGGCAAGCTTGTCGAGGTATGGGTCATGCAGCCCGAGGACACGACATCTTCGACCGATGGAGAGGTGGCTGATATGACCCTTTGCCAGCCAAAGAAACTGCACAATTTTGCTCTCGCCAACGAAGGGGATATCCGGGACTTAAGTGAAGTCATGCAACTCTCCGACGCACTCCATATACAACTGCGATGGAGCACCAAGCCGTTATCCTTCAAGATACCTAAGTCCCCCGCCACTGACCATCCGATAAGTCACCACCTTTCTGTCTCTGATTAAAGTTGGGAATCCCAGCTATCGTCACATATTCTGAAACCATTTCGGGGGTTTATTAGCACAATTTAAAGGACCAGGATAAAGCGTCCTGGTTAATTTCGTCCAGAATCAAATGTTGATCTGTTGCATTCAGGAGAAAGTCACAAGCCTTTGGAGTAATGCAGAGCAGCAAATGGGTATTATTGCACAACAATGCCACACCAGGCCATGCCACCAAATCTATGAGGGGGGCTAAGGCATTGTTCCCGTCCAAACTATCTACAACCTAGAATTTATTGCACGAAGGCACAAGCAAAAACAAAACACAGAACACACCAGCAGCAAGCACACCCGCCCAAACACCCTGAGCCACCACCACACCCCGTACCTTCCTCTTCCCTTTTCCACCCACTCCGCCTTCCTCCAACAACTCGTCCACCTCCTCACCACACCAGACCAAAGCTTTCCTCTCCACACAGAAACTTGTGGCAACGCCACAGAATAAGACTGGAACTAGAAGAGAGCGAAGTTCCCATCTGATCTTAGAGATTGTCAAGAAGGTGGTCGCCAGAAGAGAAGAGACGATAAGAACAGGACCGATGAGACGAGAGGCAAACAAGTTTGCCGGGCAGGCAGGGGATCGGACGATATGACTGACAAAGTCGAGATAAGATGCGCGGAGCAGTGGTTCCAGCTGCTTTGTGATGAGACGAAAGACGTCTGGGTGGTTGCTTTGCTGGAGGGATTGAAGGAGGAGTGCCCGGTCTAGGTCTGACAGGTTGAGCTCGCGGGGGGAATGAGGACGAATATAAGTAGCTAGACACTTCTCAATCTCGTCTGATAGTTGAGCATTGGTTGTGAAAGGGGTCGAGGGCTCGTGGTCTCCGCCGGCTGTTGTTGGTGGAGTACGCGATGAAATAGAGGAACATCCGGTGAAAACGCCAAACTCGGTGTAGTTGCTATGGGAGGTTGGAGGAGGCGAGGTGGAGATGACGGAGGTCGTGCGGGAGGCCCTTCTAGCTGTCATGACGGCTCGTCTCGCATCCTTCTCGTCATGCTCCGTAAAGCCTGGGGAAAGTCGGATAGCTCCTTGAGCGGCCAAGGTAGTGTAGAGTTGCGTGTAGCTGAGAACGAAAAGGAGAAACTGGAAGTTTTCTTGGGTATACGTCTCATTTGTGAGGTACATAAGGAAGTCGCTGCGAGAGATGGGATGACCAGCTTGGGCAGACAGAACGTGATCGAAGGAGAGCTCGGATGGAATATCAGGTGTTGCGCTGCCGCCTTGCAGAATAAGCGTGCGGTAGGCCTTGAGAGCCTTTGAGGTAACTTGCTGGGAGGTCGGAACGGGAGGTCGGAAGAGGAGAACTTGAAGGAGGACCTGGATCAGCCGCAGGAAGTAAGACAGCATCGTGACCGGGTTAATAGATGGGGCGATTGTCCCGAATACTTCAAGAGCAATGACATAGAATGTTCAGAGTCTTTCTGGTAGATTCAACGAGCGCAGAGCGTGGTAGAATGCAACGAATTTGAAGCTTGAATTGAGATCGGTAGGAAAATTTGAGTTTGTGGAGAGAAGAACTCTGCCACTGAGGCAAGCGAGCCTGCTCTCCCTTCAAATCCCATCAAAAGCTTGAAGTAATTAAGCATGACACCTCTTGAATGTCTATGCAAGATCTCACAGCAATGATATTATGTTCGGATTGAAGACAGCTAGTCAACGGTGAGGTCTGTCGTACGATTCACGAACAGGGGCAGCGGCCCCCGGGGGAGCACACCCGCACATGCAGCGCAGTGCCGCCGAGGTGACAGGCACGCAGTTGGGGTCGAAGATCACGGTACGACTTCCGTTGGTCACAAATTCCAAGAACAGGCTGATAATATGATGTAGAGCCCAAGCAGCAGATTTTTCGACGGGTATAGAGTTACAGAGGTGTGCGAGGGCGGAAAGACTCCGGTATCAACATCCCTTGCTCCGCTGCAACTTCATGGAGCAGATGATAACCTGCTTCAGAGACATGGCCTTCGCCAGCGCTAGCCCTTTTCAGGCATATTCGAGAGGATCAAAACACATTTCGACCTTACACATTGCCTCCCAGGGCCGGATATTGCCCAAGGCTTTGTGGCTCAAATACCGCATTAGGACAGGGAACCCTCTTTGGATATGAACAAATACTTATCAGGGCCACCAGTCCTCTCGAAAACATTTGCACATCAAAGTACAAACAGATTTCTCTCTCGAAGTCAAGATATGGAAACCTTTTCAAAATTTCAGACATCGAAGGTGGCATACAACTGCAGTATCTTGGAAACAAACGCCTCAGGATACACAATTCGATCCAGCATGCTTCCCACGCCTCTGCTCCTGGCTAACTATGCCGGCATGAGATGCTGCTACTTCTGCATCCATAGGAAGCACAAAAGACGGGTAGCCGACGAATCTTGCATAACGATGGCGTTGGTACCACCCTTCTCTCATGTTCAAGAAGCAAATCAATTCGAGGGCAGGTCACTTGTACCTGCAACCACCCCCAGAGTTCTCGGTTCTTGTCTCGAATCGAGTGGGTCGGGTCAAACCCCGGCTCAAGGCCTCAACCTTGATGGGACCTGTAGCACAGCATCTTGGGGGGTGGGGTTCTCCTTTAACACACAGATAGACTGACAGCCGAGTTCTTATCAACATTGTGTCTTTAAGTCAATCTTGAGTTAATGGATATGTAAGCAATCACAAGAGGAAAAGATGGGGATGTAGTCGGTGCTTGTTAATTCCGACACTAAAACCGTGGCGGGAGATGCGGATGCGGCCGCCCCCTTTATTTAACGAGGAAGCTAATCTCCTCTTGTTTAACCTTCTCGAAGCTTTGATCTGAATCGAATCTCATCCAAACCCAAATGTAGAGCCGCAAGACTCGAGGAAGGTGTTCAGAGCATGCTCTCCCACACTATGTCCTTGCCTCAACCTCCCCCACTCGTTCGATGAAACGTCGTGCTACCTGGGGCCGTTTTCCATATTGGTCATGCATAAATCTCGGGAATCGAGATGGCACGGCAGCCTGTGTTGTGCTTGAATTGAAACTCGCGATGTCCATGGCGAACAATTCATCTTGTAGACGAACCCAGCTCTGGACAGATGACAGGTCAAGGACCAAGGATCGGCGGCACGAGATTGTCGAGTCGATTGTGTGAGGGAACACCAATTTCCAGATGCTGCATGTATGGTGCGGTTCTTAGCATACGGGGCTGGAGAGCCTCGATAAATCTTGATTATCTCATCCCACTCTCAGGCCGACCTGCAGGCTGCGGAAAGGACATACACGTCCGAATTAAATCGAGGATTGTTATTTTCTTCCAAGTTTTCATTCCCGCTGTTCTAGCGCTAGTGTCAATTCCCAGAAGGCAAGATGCAAGCGCATGTTTCGAGATACCCAAAGTCTTTCCAAGCTCGCTGAGCAACATTTTGCTCCCGCTCATACAATTTGGGGGGAACACCTTGGAGAATCTTTGAATGATGTCACCAACATCATCTGGATGGAAATGTGGGTCAGGGACTGCAATTGCTCTTGACTTTGAGTAACACGGCATGTCGATCACTGCCAGATCCACCTCCTCTGCCTCTAGATCACTCCGCCTTCGGGACCTTGCAGTAGTCAAATGATTGGGTTTGATGGTGTTTTATTTCCTAGGTAAGGTCTCCTGGGTTTTGTGCCAACAATAATGGCAAGGGTTCTCTTCTGCTATCCAGAAGGTGGGGCGGAGGTCCAACACTCCTCCATTCGTTCTACAGAAACCTGGCTTGCCTTTTCAGCCATCTAGTTTCGACTGAGAATGCTTATGCCCAACAGAGTCGCACATAGGGTATCCCTCTGGAGGCTATAGCTCGTCTTGGGCAGAAATTGCGCTAGGAGGGATCTCGATATTGGGGAAGCATGGCTTTCGTCGTCTGAGATCTCCTTCTGGCCTTTTGAGACACAAGATCCGAAATGACTGGTCAATCACGTGGAACCCTCATGGCCCATCACCGTGAACTGAAATATAGCATGGCTCTCATCTCAAACCAAGACTTTTGTACGTACCAAAGTTGCTCCTCGAACTAGCTTCGTGACCTTCCATTTCTTTTCCATTACACAAATCGAACCTTCCATCCGTACCACACAAACGCAACGTTGCATCCTTCACCAATGCTTCTCTAAGATATCCACCGCATTGACGTCAACCCCCTCCTTGAACCACCTCTCTTCATCTGAAATCTTGACATCGTTCCCGCTCATCTGCCTCTTTCTCATCCTACCGTCGGCAGCAAAGGTCCAGTCCTCGAGGCCGTAGGTGCGGTACCATTGACCTGTTGTGTCATGCCATTCGTACCAGAATTGCACTGCAATCTGGAATATCATCAGCTAAGTTCATGGCCCCCAAGATCCTCATCCACACCAAACTCGAGGGCGGAGTGGACAGGAAAAGGGAGAGATCACGTGACTGACTTTATTCTCCGTAAAAGCAAACAGCTCCTTCCTCAACCGATAACCGTTCTCAACACTCCATTTCTTAGTCAGGAACTCAACGATCTCATCCGCTCCCTTCAAGAATGTGTCCCGATTCCTCCAGATAGAATCGGTGGTGTAGCCATTCTTCACTTTGTGAGGATCCCTAATCACTGTTCAACACTTAATCCTAGCATCTGACGAAGAGGACTTACTTGGTATTCCACATATCTTGAGCAGCTTTGACCTTGATCTTTGCTGTCTCCAAGGTGAATGGTGGGAAGGGAGGTTTCCCCGCATCTGCTTGAGTGCTTGAGGCCATTCTGATGTAGTGGTACGGAAACGTTGGCCGTGATACTGGAGTCCTGAATTTCAGAGCGGATGAAAAAGGAATTGTTCTTTTAAATACAGCTGCTGACATGGATCGTGAATATTACCACGCCTTATGTCTGACAGAGAAGCCTTGCTCGGGACAGGCTCGGGATTTTCTGACTTCCCGAGTTCGTTTTGTATCTCCTCGGAATGAAAGTTGACTGAAGACCAAGATGAGATGAGTATTCAGCATATAAGAACTACTTAGGTTGGAAACTGAGTGAAGAAAGTCTACATGCTCGAGATGGCGGGGTTGAGAGGTGTTTCTGGTATGTAATCGGGGTGCAGCGACCTCGGTATGCCGAAAGGACGTCTATGCCTCCAATAGTAAGCTTTCCTCAAGATATCTGTTTTAGATCTAGCTCTCACATCACGAGAACTTAACAAAATCCCAAAAATTATTTCTCCATTACCAAGAAACTGGATCTAGAGCCCCCATTAGCAAGCAGCAAGCCCAATGACGCCATCCCGCACATCGGCATCGGAAATCGGGAACCTCCTTGGGGTCCCGAAACCTCGTCGCAACACGCCGGACCCCTTTGTACCTCGCATTCGCATGTTCCTCCAATAGGATGCAAGAAGTCTGAATGTTTATCCTACAGCACTGTTACAGGTCAGAATTTGCTGCTAGGATGTATTTGTATTTATTTGTCGCTGTGGATTTGAATTACTCAGAAACAGGGGTAAAAGTGGGGCGGCGCAAGGCCTAGACAACCCCACCATTAGCGTACAAATACCTTAAGGGTCCCGACAACGACGTCTCATGCTTTTCCCTGCAATACCTCACTTTCAACTTTCAGATTTCAATCTACTGCCTCAAGTCGCACAGCAACTCAATTGACCTCAAGAACACCAAAAAGGAAGGTTAAGGGACAAAGAAAGCAAGATGGCATCACTCAAGGTCGGAGATAGCTTGCCCAGCGACGTCGTCTTCAGCTACATCCCGTACACGGAGGAGAGCTCTGAGATCACGGCGTGCGGTATCCCAATTAATTATGATGCTAGCAAAGGTCTGTCCCTCACCTTCCTTCCTCCTATCTCTCCCCTCTTCTCTCCATTCATACCTTACTCCTTTCCTCAATCCTCTCGCCCCCCTGCCCTGATACCAGAGGAGATAAGCTAATAGAGATGGTAACACAGAATGGGCCAAGAAGAAAGTTGTCCTCTTCGCCGTCCCAGGAGCTTTCACTCCCAGCTGCAGCGTCAGGCACCTCCCAGGCTACATCGAGAATCTATCAGCCATCAAGGCCAAGGGCGTCGATGTCGTGGCTGTGATTGCGTACAACGATGCGTTTGTTATGAGTGCGTGGAGCAAGGCGAACGGTATCAAGAACGACGACATCGTATGTACAATTGTGTCAAGGTTACGTGTTTGAAAGACAATTACTGATGAAAATGGGACAGCTCTTCCTCAGCGACGCCGGCACCGCCTTCTCGAAGAAATTAGGCGACTGGACTCTCGGTGAGCGCACGGCGAGATATGCGTTGGTGATTGATAATGGGAAGATTGTTTATGCGGAGAAGGAACCTGGACGCGAGGTCACAGTTAGCAGCGCGGAGGCTGTTTTGGCTAAGCTGTAGGGTGCCTCCGTCCATTACAGGGAGTGATAGGTGGGTGGGGAAATTGCAGATGAAATCAATGAATGATGTGCGACCAGCGATGGTTTGCAATAAAACGAAGAAACGATGCTAGAGAGGAATACGAAGAAGATCTCTACTCGTTAATTTTTGCTTCATGTCACTCACGTTTTTGCCCTGTGGAATTGTTTCAGGCAGGTTGCCTTCATTGTTGCTCCCGCTACATCTGATTCTCCCATGCCATATTGTCAATCCTTTGGAAGTACCCTCCACTTGGTTGTTCCAAGTGTGTCCTGTACAATTGAGTGCAATAATAGTCCAAGTCGCTCTCTCGATTTGTTCCCTCCCAAATTGGAACAATTGACATACAAATACCGCCGGTTGCGCCGTTACTTCAGCGCTGCATTTGCTTTTTCCAAGACCATTCCACTGGCCTGGTCCATTTACTCTCACCCAGCGGAACCATCCTGTTAATCTCCACATATTCGACAGTCCTAGGAGTTTTCCAGTCGTCAAGCTTATGATTCTCCTTATACTTGCTCAAAAATCTGCCCACGGAAGCGGGGTTAACCTCTCTTTGCTGCGACGAGATGAAGAGCTGGAATGTAGGGATGCAACTTGACCATACCTCCTCCAATCTCTGGGGAAAGGGCTTTCCATCCATTGGCTGATATTGTTTCACTTCTCTCGTGTCCTGAACCAGGTAGAGGGATTCAAGACCGCGGAGTTGTGATACTAGTCATGATCGAGTCGAGTTCGAGACACGCTAATTTGCGTTGGGCAGGACACCGAAATGCGAACCCCCTAAAGCAAATACTCTCAACGAGACACTGCAAAGAGCAAGATGCCGAACGTCATTGAAAATTCTTCAAGAATCCTGGAGCGTCTCGGGGCGGGGGAATAAGACTGGGAGGCCTCGCCCGCAGAACTGCTTTGTGGTTTGCAGCAGGGTGGTGTCGTGCTCCTTATCAAAACGGATCTTCCTGCCACCTGACTCTAATTCACGGATGAGCCAGCGATTACTCGATACAGAATGTTCCAGGCGAACTAGGAACATTCTCTGGGATGAGACTATAAGACAGGTATTCCCCAGCAATCACTCACCGATGCAGCCATCAATAACGTTCAATACAACACGACGAGACTGCTAACAAGCCTCCAACGACCCGGAAGCCTTCGTATCAGTGTCGAACTTGACCTCGTGACCAGGCATCGTAGCCTCAGCACGACGTTCGATTCGGAAGGCATAGGAGCGATCTCGAGGTGGGCACAGCCACATAATTTTAAATAGGAATGAAGCTAAGACAGCACAGATTGGCTAATAGAGACCAATAAAACTCTATCTCCATAAACCACCCGGCTTCGGTTTAGATGTTGGTCGCCGTCGAGAAAGACACGCTGGATCGACCCATCCGGCTGCCTCAGAATAACAAGTCAAAGGATAGCCTCGTGCGGCTAAGGGAGCGACTACGGGCGAGGGAGATGCAAAGGCGAGGCAAGGACTGGGTGGCAGTATTGTAAGGTGCATTATTTGTTTATTTTATTACTTTGTTTAAAAGCCTCTGTATTATTAACTAATTATTTTTGTTGCTTCTTAACAAATCCACAACGAAAGCACTTCCAATACCATAAAATATAATAAGATATTTCTAATCGTTGCATTCTCTTTTGAAAAGCAAGATAACTTGAGGATAAGAGAGAGATGAGCAATATGGTAATGGGTAGGGTGTGGGGTTTAAGAACAATAGTCCTTTACTCCTCGCTTAGAAAGAGGCTCCCGCCGCGAGCAGCAGCTTGAGGATCGCCTCGTTCCACATAAAGGCTGCGCGGTATAGCGCAGTCTGGCTATCATTATCCTTGGCCTCGATGTCTGCCCCCGCCGCTAGCAGTAGCCTGACGATCGCCTCGTTCCCGTTAAAAGCTGCGCGGTGTAGCGCAGTCCAGCTATCATTATCCTTGGCATCAATGTCTGCCCCTGCCGCGAGTAGTAGCCTGACAATCGCCTCGTTCCTGTTAAAAGCTGCGCGGTATAGCGCAGTCCAGCTATCATCATCCTTGGCCTCGACGTCTGCCCCCGCCGCGAGCAGTAGCTTGACGACCGCCTCATGCCCATTGCAAGCTGCCAGGTGCAGCGCCGTTTGCATATCGCTGCCCTTCCCTTCAATGCTGTTTCCCAATTGTAACATCATATCGACTACTACCGTCAACCCAAATGCCGCCGCAATTACTATTCCAGGAACTTCGCTCGGAAATCTCTGACTCCAATCGCGATAGGGAGAAGTAATTGGGCTCATAGCTTGAACCGTGCTAGATACCAAGGAGTTGTGGTTGAAAAATTCCCGTACTTCTCCTTTGATTTTTTCCTCTGGATCTCCATAAGCATGATTACCCCAGTTGCGAGAAGCATAGCCAAGAAGCTTATACACTCTTAGTCGACCTTTCATATCTCTATCGGTAGTACAAGGGCCTTCCCTGAAAGGATCCATTGAAAGATATTGAATGCAAGCTCGTGAGATATTGAGTTGAGCTTCTGGAAATATTTCTCCACGGTGCCGTTCAAAATATTCCTGAGTGGTATAATGAATCAAGCGGATCACATTCCTCTCCTGATCGATGGTGAGAATTCCTCCGCAAACGGTAATCAGTAAAGCTTCACTAGGAAGATCTTCCTCATCTAGGCAGGTCTCATCAGGCTCAAGATCCATGACGGCCATTGCGTGTTGAATCTCGCCAACTTTTAGGGGTCTCAAGGCGTAAGTTATCCAGGACAGCATTCTCATCGCCAGCTCCGATCTGTCTTTATGTTGATTTTGGATCCTTTCCAAGGCTGCATTATATATTTCATCTAGCTCCTCTGGTAGATCATTCAACGCTTTCCGAACCCTTTTGAGGGTATTCTTCGTCGCCAGAGATTGAACGTGCAACTGAGCCAGCAGGAACCTAGCAAGGCAATCAGCTGTGGGAGCTAGGCGTTAGAGGATTCCAAGGGCAGGCACATACATTCCATTAGCCTTTTCAATAATCTTCTCAACGATTGTGCCTTCCAGAGTCTTATCTCTTCCACAGAACTCAACTAGGCTACCTTCCTCTGAGATCCGTGCTTGAAGAAATTTTGTCACATCCGTATCGCTTGCGCGGATTTCAAGACGAGAATAATTGGCAAAGCTTTGCTCGATGTCACCAAGGTGTCGAGAAGTACAGAGCAGATTTGCTGATGATTCTTGTAGCTCCTTGATAAGTTTCATCCTCGCTCCATTGCTCCAGTCACATTCGTCCAAGGCATCGACCACAATATATACGTCAGTGAAAGTAGCAATTAGTGACCGAAGTATCCTAGAATACTCTTCAAAGCCTGGTCGCGTTCTTTGGTGGTTGTGGTGTGCGTAGAGTGCACGAACGTCATCAGGGATAGTACTACTGCGTTGGACAAGCTGCTGAACAAGGCTTGCGATGAGATTTGTAAGTGTTTGGCCGTCGCGCTCTTTATAGTTGCAGTATATGAAGGCCAGTCCAATATTTGAAGAGGTGAAGTGTCTTTCGAGCTTATCGATTATAGCTGACGCCAAAATAGTTTTGCCTGCCCCAGCTGAATACAAGTCAGTAAAAGCTTGCTTACGAAAGAAAGTAAGCATACGCAGTCCCGAACACCATAGAATCTTCTCTGTACCAGATAACCATGCTTTGAATTCAGGGGCTTCGAAGAGCCATTCTCCTGTCCCGTCTTGTCGCCTGCGTAGCGTGTCTTTCTGTGTTATGAAGAAGTTCAAAGGGGATAGCCAGTCAATTATAGCTTGACTCTCTTGATCTAGGTAGTTGTCAGTCGCATTAGGAACCTTTGAAGTTAACGGGAAAGCATACCCGTGTGACGAGAAACGATAAATTTATTCAAAATGCCAAAGTCATCCCCGACCTTCTTGATTTCAATCGTCATATCCTCGATTTGAGTAGACACATGGTCTAGCTGTTCCCTATATGCCTTGTTGTTAGCACCGGGATCTTTAGATCATTTGTTGTCGCGGCTGATTGTGCTTACAAATGAAGCGTATTCATCGCAAGGCCTAGACTACCGCGAATATCGGAGACAATCTCTCTCAATTTGAGCAAGGTGCTTTCTCTAAATGGATACACAAGGCGCCTCCCGTGTTCATGAACCTTAGACAGAACATTGGATCCTTTGACCTCCTGGACTTTGGCCAACTCATCCTGAAGCTCTTGAATGCCGCTTGTGCAGGCTACGATGCTGCTTTGAACATTCTTTATAACATCTCCAGCCAGGGATTTACCATCAATGTTCTTTTTCAAGGCTTTCAATGTGTCAGTTAAGTTGTCCACCGACTTGCACATTGTTGCAATGTCTTTGCGGCTATCCCTCCAGGATCCATAATACTGCACGAGGCCTTGGCAGACGTGTATTCCTAGGCAGATGATACCGATTGAACTTCCAGCACCAAATTCAGCCATGTTTGTCAGCCTGTAACTGCAATTGGGGCGACGGGAAGGTTGAATTTTTCAATGCCAAAGCCGAGGAAGAATGAAACGCATGGGATAGTATCACAGACTTGCTCTCCACTGCTCCGGTTTTGATGATCAGATGGCAAAACAGCCGTCAAGATAGACTGTGGGCTTTGACGACAGTAAGGATAAAGATATACGAAAGATGCCCCTATGAAGTGGATACGGCTTGTGGTGTTTTGGGGCTGCAAAGAGTGAGTTGTCGTCGTATGTATACGCAAGATGCTGGAAATCGATTCGATATTGGGCATATAATTATTATGGAACACATTTGGAAGTGGGGCACTCACGGAGGTTAATTAAGCCCACCACCTAAGCGAGCCAATTAGAATAGGACCACCTGACCTCCCGCTCTAATAAAAGCACTCGTATAGTTAGCTAGCTCTTCTTTCTATCTCTTTCACAAGCGTTACATACCTCTTTATTAGCGAATTAGAGGACTTAACTACTTTAAAACATTAGTCTAAACTGTTGCATGGCAACTGCAGGCTAGTCAAGTGAGCATACGTCACGAATTGTATTTAGTTACGGCTATCCCTAGCACACCCCACTTCCTTTTATATCTTATACTATTATAATCCAACCGAATTTACTGCAAAATAACTAACTTTAATCCTTTACTTATAACTAGACTTACCTTAAGGTTATATAATAATACTCTTATATTATTTGTAACCTTTATTAATACTTAGCTAATATAAATCTCAAAGCCTAATTTAAACTACTTACTAAATTCTTTTAATTTAGCTATTTTACTTCTTTAAAAATCTTAAAAGTACAAACCACATACTTATAATAGAGTTAACAAGGCTATATAAAGTAATAATTATTTATTAGCTGGATTTCGGGTACTAGCTTTAGAAATAGTGTGTATTTGCTTTTATTACTTCTATCCAGATTATCCACCATGTTCCTAATAATTAGCACTTAAATTTTGCTTTGCCACAGCTTTGTTAATAATGCACTATACCAAAAGATCTAATTTAGCAAAGGTTATTGTTTGAATTGTACCAAGAAGGTCCTGTTTAATGCAAACACTGTTGTGTGAGTGCAGGGGGAACAATCTCTAAGCGTCCTTGTGAAGCGGTGTTCAGGAGTGTCCTTCAAACAAGGCAGGGTAATGGTGTTTATTTATACCCTCCTGCTGCTCCAGAATGCCGATTGAGATTTAAGTGAAATTTCAATGCTAAACTCACTTGGAACACTTTGAAACTTTCAGAGCCCTATCTGTTCAATCACCTCTATTTAGGTTGAACACAACATCCAATAGTCCCTTGTTCTATTTATGTAGCATTTCTTAACTCTGAAATTATTAATTATGCAAATTCTTAGAAGTGTTTGGTGAATACCCAAGTTTCTCATCATTGGACTTGATGTCACCCTCTGCACAAACAAGTCGTTCCAGAACTGACTGTGATTTGGCTTTGAGGGTTGTGGACTTTGGAAATTTTGGGCTGTGGCTCAATTACTTAAGATTCGTATTAGCACATAAGCTCCTCTTTTCACCATAGCGGCACAACACCAGCGATCTCTGAACAGGCCGCAAGACCTGATCCTGTCTGTATCACACAGTGCTAACAGCACTTTCATACCCAATCAGTTTGGTTCCTTTGACTTCTTTCAAATCCGCCTGGCTACCGAAAGCCCAGTTCAGGTTCTACCTTATACAATGTCCAACATGGGTCTAGTCTACAACGGTAGCCAACTCGCCTTCACGCCCTTTCAAAAACTACTAACTGAACTCTAGTTGAAAATATGGATGGCGGCCATTTCGGAACCCGGTACTATAAGCTGCTGTTAGCTTGAGACTACCTCTAATTACTTATCCTCTCCTTAAAGAGGCTTAATATTAAACAATAGCTTTCTAACTTTCTCTTTGTAAAGTTTAAGGATATAATAAAGAAACTAATATACCTTAATATAGTTTTAATTTAGTCTTGCATTAAACTTATGTAAAGTATATATAATATTAGTATCTTTCAGGAGAGTTACATAAAGCTCTTTAATTTTGGGAACTTAATATACTATATAATTAGTATTTAGTAACTTGACAATAAAGGAGTCACTTGAGGAACAGTGTCTGAGAGAGTGAACAGGCAGAGTCAAGTACTTAGCGGTGCTGACGAGGCGACACTTCTGCCCGATCAGGTCACGTGCCGGCCCCCTTTTCCCCGTGGTTCATGATGTAAACAATTCAATCATTGCAAGGTTGACGTTATTTTTAACCCACGCATGAGAGACTTGAATGCTATTCTAGAAATGATGGTTGAATCACTATATCGAAGTATCTTGGTACACATACTCATTCCAAAACACTCGCATTGTTCACATCCTCGGAGGATCATATCTGACCAAGGGCTAACGACTAGATTCCACCACCCTCCCACACCTCAAACGCCATCCTCCACCATGGAATGAAGATACAAGCATTATCTTCCCTGCCTGTCCTTCTTGTCCTTAAGCCTTCTCGACCTTCGAGGATGGTCATTCGAGCCATTGATACACTTTCCACAGTGTACATGATCACAAACTGGATGTGAGCATATCGTATACACCTTGGAAGTATTCCACCAAGAGTCTTTTAGCTAGGGGATTACTTGAAACAAGTAAGAACAGTGAGGAAGATTCACTGGCTGGTGCCTCATGAACTGACAGCACTGCCACTCGTCTCGAAGAGGGCAGTTTCCTTGCGGTTCTATGTAACCTGACATTTCTATTGGATTTGAGAGATAGCAGTCGATGTTCTCTAGAGTTGGTTGTGAGATCGAGTGAGTTTTGCAATGGTTGAAATCCTGAGATGTGTTGCGGAGAAGAGAGCACTTGGTCTCAAAGGACTAGGACCCCATATTTGTACCCAGTCGCTCACTATAGCATTACAAAACTGAAAGGAGAGACATCTGTGATTGTAAGCCTAAAGATACCGCCATGGCTTTTGTGATTGGAGAGTGCAACCAAATGTCTGGGAGTCGGGATCGAATACTGGCTGATATTGTTAATGTTCAGGACACCACACTATCACTTTACTACAGAGGAGAGAAGAAATTACTCAGATTTTGGAGCAGTTGATGGTAAACTATCAATCACGGACCGCTGATCACAGATTCTCTATAACTTTTTGTATACCATCCACAGAGTGAGAAGATTATGGCTGCATTCCTACCTATTTATTGCATTAAGTTAACTCAAGAGGATGGAGGTTATATGTCGTGTGGCAAGAGAGTCACGAAAACGTTAAGCTTGACGTTTCAATTAAGATTATTCATAGGTCTTCGAAAATAAGTGGGAAAATCAGGAAGTTATTCTAAATGCCGGTTTTGGAAGTGAAAGGCTTGGATGCGTGTCTCAAGTTTGCATGATTACTAAGAGAAAAAGGGTCAAGAGAGGGTCAGGGCTCTTAGAGTTGCGGGATTAAGGTTATTGCACAGCTGAGAGAGAAAGATGCAGTGTAAGTCCTCATCACGTGCCCCGCCCCCTTTCTTTACCGAGATCATCGCCAAGATTCCCAAGATTGCCCACAAGTGTGAGATCATCAAGATAAGTCTGAAATAAAGATCTAAAAAATTTATTAAGCCCACAGCGCGGCTATAAGTTGCTCCAGTGAGGTCTTGCAACTCCTGGAAATGTTGCTGAAAGTTACTTTGTTTTTACCCCGCTATTGCGCCCGACAACCTCATGTTTCTTCCGCTGTTGCGCCACCACCACTTCTCCTTCTCCAGCCTATAAAGCAAATACGAACTCTGAACACGAAGTTACTTTCTTCTTATTCTGATTAGTTGATATCATGATCCACCATGTCGCGACTACCTGGGGTGGGCTGAGAAGCAACACTTGAATCCGGCTTCTAACTTCTTTCCGTAAGAACCACGAAAATATCATTATCTTAAGATATTTTCCCAAGCTATGAGACAACGCGACTTCTGCACGTTAGGCCTGGGTCTCGGAAGTTTGCTCTTCTCGATCTTGACGCTCGTCGCCGGCTGCAGAAAAGGAACACTTAACGATTACGCAATAGCTGCAGTACATCAACGTCCCTTCATCACCGAATTTGAAAAAGGCTAACACTCCTCAGTACTCCTATGACCTCACCGACGGAGTGGTCTACCCACCATTAAATTCAACCAACTCATCCATACCTTACGACGTAGGTCCGTACGCAGGATTGATAGGCGATGACACCCATTGGCGGTTCTTCACCGTCCATTTCCTTTCTATTTGCGGCGGCTACGTTGGAGGGACCGAGGATCCTGAATATGGGTTCCTGAAGTGGGAACGAAGAGCCGCGGGATGGAGGTTCAGGACGGATGATCCGTTCATTGTCAACTTCTTGAGCTTTGATGGGAGATTTCCTGTCAACAGTACAGTCCCGTGGGAAACTGTACCACGGCTCCGGCGTTTGGACCTCTTGTTGTTGGGACTGTGTTCTCTGTGTTCAGTGTCGGGATTTTGGCAGCAGAGGGGTTTGGGGGTTGGCTGAAAGCTGGAAGGGTGGCTCAGGCAAGTGTTGGGCTGCTGGCAGTATATTCCCCAAGCTGCGAGAAAAGAGAATTGTGCTGATTGGTTTCGGGTTGCTGCAACGTTTCTGACGATTTCAACAGCGTTGGTCACTTCGAACATCATGCAGAGTGACGTGTGGATACTGAATATGCAAGCTGGATCCATCATTTCGAGGCCGTTGCCTGGACTGCTGTTGCGTTTATCTATGTGGCATTCATCTGGAAGCTTTCAGATTTTATGTTTCAAAAGGAGAAAAGAAGACGTCTCTTGACAACTGGTCAGATTTAGCACATCTAAAAATGACGTTTGCACTTTATCCATATCAAGGTCAGTGTTTACTAATCCTGGCAATCTCATCCATCGGAGTATCAACTTGAAAGAAGATTTAACACATATTCGAAATTGTATCACGCAAAGAAATTAGTACTCTTAGTACCAGAATTGTTCAACTTCACGATGGGATATTCTCTCTCACTGATCCGGAACTCCTTGGCAAAAGGGAATTTTGCTTCTTTTGGCAATTATTACTTATCTAACAAACAGCGACGGCAACCTCGATCGTCTCTGCTATGCGCGACAGACAAGCCCTGCAAGCATATGCGTATTCATTTCTCCGGCAAAGTGTTCCGTTTCAAGAAATATAATGATCCACTTCCGAGCCATGCCCAAGTTCCTGCAACAACAGAAGAGTTGTATTATTGGTTCTCTTTCGTCCACATGTGGCTATTCACAGGGTTCCGTTGACAATGGAGCGTCTCTCCCAAAGGACATAACCCCGTTTAATGGCGGGAATTTCGCAACCCGCCAATTGTGCCTTTTCCTTCCACCGATTTTGAATGAGTTCATGGTGCTCCCACAGCAACCGGCCACGACGGCTGTCTCGCAAGTAGCTCTGCAATTCCTGGAGCTCCCACTCGTCCAACTTCTCGATTGGTGGCGAGACTAATTCTTCCTGGCTGAGAACAATCCGCACCGCCGCACACGCCAATTGCTTTTGATAAGCTGCCCAAAGATGTTTATCAAAATTGACTGGACCGTTGCGAGATTTCTGCAAAGGAGTAAACTCCTTCAGTGACTGAAACTGGGTAAGCACCCATAGGTTGTTGCAAGTCCAAAAGTGCTTCTCAAACCAGACCAACCTCTTGATGCCGAAAAAGACGCTGCTGTAGTCTCTGCACCATACCCTGCCAGCGCTTCCCAGAGGTGACTGGCTCATTCCCAGGCCCTCTTCGGTATGCAACAGGATTGTATTATTGACTCCGTCAAATCAAATCCTTTTGCCACCCCTGCTCGTAACGATACTCTAATACACACCAAGGATGATTTCCCTCGAGGTAACGCAGGCACCAAGGAGACCACAGGGCTTGGTATCCGTACTAAATCCCAAAGCTTAGACAGCAGCAACCTAGTCCGCTGCCCAGTCATAATCGTCAGGGTAGGTTTCTGGCTCATCCATCAACCAGTGTGGGACATGGGTCTTGAGCTTGATCACTCTTGGGCCGGGAATTGCGTATTTCCAGATATTCAACTGGAGCTCGGCCGCGAGCTTGGGGAAGATGTGAATTTGTCGATGGGTTTCGTGCCTAGCTGTATGCTTGACTTTGGACGATTGCGAGCCATGTCGAGGATTTGAGAACGGCGACGAGACTTGGACTGGTTGTTTTGGCTGCTCATTGTTTCGAGTGGAAGGCGGTTGTTCCAGGACGGTCTGGGAGAATGGAGGATGGCTTCGCAGAGAGGTTGTGAAAGATCGTTGTTGCAGGGCTGTCTTTGACAATGTGGAACTCCTCCTCGAAGGGTTGTGGAGGTTGCTTGCAGAGCTTGCTTTCAGGGAAAGTGAGCAGGAATAAATAGCTCGATGCTCGCCGCCCACCGTCGGTACAATTTCGAAGCGCGGCACTCACTATTCACTTTCAAAATTCGAGAGCCAGATATCCAAACCGCGCGAGCTGCTCTCCTTCAACACAACAACTCTTGCGACAACTCGAGAACCTGGATTGTATCAAGAACCGCAGGATAATCGAGAGTTATCCGAAGATGCGCCTTCAAGGAGGCAGAGATCTCCCAGAGATAGGTCACAACTGTACGAGGTAAGCTGGACGTCACTACTGCCGTCTCAGTTCTGACTTCAATAGCAGCGATTCCCCCAAAGACAAGACAGAGACGACGATGCCTCCTGCGAATAAGGCACTAACCGAGTTCACACTGTTCCCTAAGCTGCCGGTGGAGTTGCAGATCAAGATTTGGAAATATGCGATTCCTCCACCTCGCCTGGTCCGAGTCAATGTTCGAAGGAGATTCCCATTTAGCCTGGGTTTGGTTTGCTTCAGCACAAACACACCTGTTCCTGGTTTACTCGGAGCCTGCAAGACCTCGAGAGAGACGATTCTGAAGGTGTACACGACATGCATCAAATCCAGAAACAGGATGATTCGGATGGATGGTGATAAAGATGTCCTTGTGCTCTTCAGTTCCTCCGATAGCTTTTCACGAGAGCCGTTTCGCTTCCAGCCACTTCCGTGGATTCTTGATCGAGCAATGCTTTCAAGCCATGTCGCCATGTCGCCATGTTCTCGGGTGTGAAATCCATGGCAACGCCCAATTACGTCTTCACTGACCGCTCGCCCAGCGACCAGTGGTGGCTGCTTTCGCAATTCCAAGCTCTTGAGCGCTTTTTCCCTCTGGAAGGGTGCAAATATCAAAATTTGAGCAGAAAGAAAGATGGGACCTTTCTTGCAATACCGGGAGAACACTGGGCCAGACTTGGTCTGGAGATTTCAGCAGAATGGCAGGCTAGTAACTTGGGTTCCAATTATCTGAGCAAAATACGCCAGCCAACTCTCGACATCTTAGAACACGTTGGTAGCAAGATCGATGTCGTTCCGGCCTATGTCGAGATCAATCGAATCTAAAGAAGCAATGAAGGTCGGCCGGAAAGGATGCCGTCTGTGTTTGGCCAATCGACAGCCATGCACTGGGACAATGTAGGATGGACGGCAAAGGACGGATGATCATGAGCGTCGGTCTTGGATTGGCATTCGGATGGGGAACAGTTGTAGGCTCTTCAGCCTCCAACTATTAGCCTGCAGAGGATCGCAAGAAAGTAATACTGCACCTTAGAAGCTCCGGTCCAGTTTCGCCATGGCGATTTTCTATTTCCTCCATGCTTTCAATATGTACAACACCCTGCCCTTTCCAACAACTCATATTCCCGTCTTTACGAGCCCTGTAACTTTATCCTCAATCTCCTTATCTGACAGCCCTACATCTCATTAGTTTCCATTACCTGTTGCTCCACTCTCTCCTTGAACTTACCTGCTAATGACTCGCTCTTCTCCTGTCCGAACTCTGTATGCCCTGTTAGAACTTCATTTTCTTTCAACAAGCTTCAATTGTTTCAAACGCCTATCCTAGGAGAGCGAACTGACCATATCTTGCATATACCCTCGGTTGTGTTCCAGCAGCTTCACGGAGCATGATCGGTGTTTGTGGATTGTTCTTCTTCATCGTAGGGTATGCGCGCGCAAGGAACGACCTATTCTCCACATCAGCCGTGTTCTTCCCATTTTCCCCCCGTCTCCCCTAAGCCTCCCTGCCCCTTCCTTCCTCCTATAATTTCATCAATCTTCCCACCAGGATGTGGCAAGCACGACACCAGCACTCCGCAAACTCACCTTGTAGGCCCACTATGCTCCGCCGTCTGACAAAACAAAAACCGCACCTCCTTCAACGTCTGCGAGAAAGCATATTTGCCCGACATCTTCAATCTCTCGTCGCGTTGCTCTTCAATTGGTGTTTGCGATGAAGTGGTGATGTTCCTGAGCTGTCGTCAAATCGAAGCAAGCTCCACGCACAATTTCGCCTGAATAAGTGGCACTAAAATTATGCCAGCATAAATCCGATAACGCTTCTCTCGCTTCAACAATCTTGAATTCAACAACACCAAGCTGACCTTTAACCTAACTTTACACCGGGATCTCACTCTCCCCTCTCTCCTCTCCCCACGACATTTCGCGCATTCTCTTGTCTCTACGGCTCCTCCCTCTGCCCCGTGTCGCGCGAATAATCGTCAATTGATAGATCCTTGAGGTTGTTAGTGCACTGCTCAGCAAAAGAGTCACCATGCCCGCACCAAGCACACTCCTCCGCGCCGCCCGGCCAGCCTTCCGCTCGCAATCGCAATTCTTCACCGCACAGAGTCAGGCGCAGGCGTTCCGGTCAACGAGAGCTCGGTTCCAGCAGCAGGGCAGGAGATGGCAGAGCACTGCAACGCCAGCAGGAAACCAGAGTTGGGCGAAGAGGTTGTGGGATAGTCCGATTGGGGTCAAGACTGTGCATTTCTGGTGAGTTTGCACCTTTGAAGAGTGACGGGAGGGGAAGATGAGAGTGAGGACTGTGGAACAACAGATGCTAACGAAACTCTGGTTTGCAGGGCTCCGATTATGAAGGTACTGATAACATCTTCCCCTCTTCTTCCTTTTCGATTCTTGCATTCTTGCGCAAGGCATACTGCTCTTGCTCTCAACAAGACTATACTCAATCCTACCCGGAAACTCTTTTACAGATGCCTCCTTTCCTTGGACCAATGCTAATATCTACAAAAGTGGTGCCTCGTCCTTGCCGGCATCTCCGACTTCTACCGGCCCGCCGAAAAGCTCTCCCTCACACAAAACGTCGCCCTCACATGCACAGGTCTGATCTGGACCCGCTGGTGCTTGATCATTAAGCCTAGGAATATCATGTATGTCATTTCCCCATTTCCCTACTTCCCCTCCCATCTGCAAGAATGGGGCTCATCACAGAATAGGCTCGCATCCGTAAACTTCTTCCTCGGTCTCGTCGGCGTAGTCCAAGTCTCCCGCATCGTCGCCTACAACACCTCTCAGAAGAAATTGACCGCAGGCCAGCAAGTCGAAGCTGCGAAGGAGGGAGCCGTGGAGAGCGCGCAGGGATTGAAGAAAGATGTTGTTGAGGCTGTGAAGTCTTGAACTGCCCTACCATACTCCCTCTCTTTGCTTGCCTGGGTGAGGAGAGGATTATATTAAGTGCAGGGAATGGGATGTGGTGGGAAGTGAGATTGGGTAATGAATGGGTGTTGAGATATTGGAGACGGGCGTGATGGGGAATGATGATGCATACAGGCGGTCAACTGCAGTACCACGCGCTTTGATTCCTGCTTCTTGCACCCTTTCACTTCTTGAATAAAAATCTGGGTAGTCAGGTCTTAGATTAAGACATACACACAGATGAGCATTGTACGATAAAAGAACAATCGATCGAATCAATTGGGCTTTTTCATTTGCCTAACACCTATCTCCCTCGTTCACTTTCCTTCCCAAAGTCAGTCCCGTCAAATTTGCATCACAAACGTAGCGGCAAGTAATTACTGTAGGGAAAGAAAGACGCAAGTACGTTTGATCAACCTCCTTGTATTTTCCGCTCCACCATTGATTGCATCTAAAAGTACCATCCCTATTGATGAAGTACGTCTTTTTACTATACAATACCGACATAGATATCCCCATTGCTCTCGAAAACGTCTTGCCCGGCTGAAAATGCACGCTTCACTCATCTCTTCCAAAAACGCCATATGAAAATCGAGAAATTCGCCCAAAACGCCACCCATTCATCCATTTCTGCTCTGCTGTCTGAAATCAAGGGAGTCCTGCTATATTGCAGACTGCAGAGATTCTGTTTCTGTTGCGTGGTATCAAACATATCCGTAGATAGCAGGCGTGAAGCGTAAAAGCCGCCAATAATCCTTCTCCGCCATCATTCATGAATCCATCAATATCGGGTCCAGCCCTCCCCCATCATAGGTACCATGACACAATCATCACTTAAACAAAAACCCGCCTTGCACAACGCAAAGACATCAACAGGATGCTCCAATGAAGACCCAAATCAGGGGGGATCACATCACGGCACACTCACCCTCGTTTTGCTTGCCTACTTTGGAGCGCGAGATGCGCTCCCGTGCTTTCAGGCCCGCTTTCGAGCCGCCTTTCTTGAGATCTTCGAGCCGCTCGCGGGCTTTGGGGAAGTTTTGTGCTGTTGTCACATCATGTTAGTAGATATTTAGATAAATCGAGTCATGTGGGAATAGAGGAAAGAGGAGACATACCGGCAGCTCTCCAATACCACCTTTTCGCATCCTCCAGGTTGGCAGGTGCGCCGATTCCTACTTCAGTAAAGTAACCCATCGCATACTCAGCCTTTGCCAGACCCGCCATGGCGGCTTTCCTTGCCCAGAGATAAGCTTCCGTGTCACTTTGCTGTAGAACTCCTTCGGAACCAGTGAGATACCATCCAGATAGTGCGAGCTCGGATTGATGTTCCTCCTGTGCTGCGGCGCGAGAATACCACATGATCGATTGCCTAGGGTCGATTTGGCAGCCGAAGAGACCGTACTCATATGCACATCCCAGTCGGAATTGCGAGAATTTGTAGCCTAGGTCGGCGGCTTGGTTGAAGAGAGAAAAGGAATAAGCTTCATCTCGGACGACCGAGTTGTCGCTTCCTTGCGGTTGCTCATACAGGAGTCCGAGTTCGTGAAGGGCGTGAGGATTCTCCGCGTCTGCTCGCTCGGCTGCGCGTTTCAACCATCCGACTGCTTCTCGAGGGTTCTTGGGTTGCCCGAGGAGTCCCTTGAGTTGAATCATGCCCATCTTGTACATTGCCGGTGTGTCGCCTAACATTGCTGCGCGCTTGTACCATTGGATTGCCTTCAGAGGATCTTTTCGAGTGCCACCACCTTCTTCGTTGCCGAGCTCGCAGCATACGGCTGTTCGATATGCAGCTGCTGCATGTCCTGCCTTGGCTGCGGATTGGTACAGAGAAAAGGCTTCTTTGTTATCTGTTTCGAGACCCAATGCACCACGGCCATAGCAATCGGCAAGATAGAACATAGCGTCCATATTCTGTCCCTGAACAAGCCTCTTGAGCAGCTTAAAAGCGTCCATTACATACTTTTCTCGAGCTTTGTTCCGAGCTCGTTGATCTGGAATTTGAGGTACAAGAACTTCTGATGCCTCGACCAACTTCTTGGCGAGAAGCATTTGCTCTTCCTGATTGTTGGGATTGATCTTTACAGAGTTCCTCAGTTTTTCGATTTCCTCGACCGTGACAGGCGGCGGGGGAGGGGGCGCTGCAGCTGCAGCTTGAGAAGGCGCAGGCTGTTGACCAGGCGAGACATTATTGTAATTACGGACCGGCATTGGTTTGTTGCTGGCTTGAGCAGCCACGGAATTAGGTATTAGGCCGGCACGAACAGGTGGTGGATGAGAGGGCAGGCCGCCTTCAACGCCTAGTGATGGCTGGATGGGCATAGTGCCAGCTCTTGTGATTCCTCCATTTGGAGATGGGCCATTGGGAAGACCATTAAAGCCTTGCTTTGGCCCATTGGGAAGACCAGCAAAGCCCGCCGGGCCTGCCCTTTGCGCCGCTGATGCACCTCGTTGTGGTGGTACGAACCCATTCTGTTGATCGTCATAGCCGTAGCCTTGCTGAGGAGGCGGGCCACGTTGATTTGGCGGCCCTTGGTTATATTGACCACCATAGCCATCATTTTGATATCCTTGCTGAGAATGACCACCTGGAAGTGCAGGCGCATCACCAACCATTTCAAACACAGCTGCTTGAGGCTGAGCTTGGCCACGGACGTCAGGTTGAGACTGCATAGGCTTAACTTGTGCGAATCCATTTTGCCCCGGTCTGATGTGCTCCTCGATTGATGCACCCCCCCGATGGCCTCCAGAATTAGCCGGACCAGCATCGAAGTTGGGCATTTCAGATCCGGCAGATTGAGGTCTTTGCGGTTGGTCATAGTACGAATCGTAGAAATCACTGACACTCTCATTTTGACGATGAGCACCGTAGCCTTGATCGTTACCGTTCGCGTATGGGTCTGGAGCTGGTCCCTGACTAGGATAACTTCTTCCTGGTTGAGGCCGATTTCCTGAAGCAGTTGAAGGTCTTGGAAGCATTCCGCGACCAATGGGACCATTGTACGGAGCACTTGGGCCCGGAGCGTCCATTGAGCCTGGCAAAGGAGGTTGACGGCCCATGGGCACTGGTGGTTCGTTTGGCATTGTCATACTACGTGAAGGAGGACCAAAGTTATCTCGGATTGGGGAAGTTGGACCTGGGGCATATCCTCCTTGATCATTGTAGCCAGGACCATACGTGTTTTGCCGTGCCGGTCCGTAGCCAGGATTTGGTCCGGGGCCTCGGCGTGGTTCTGGATATCCTTGTTGAGGGGGAGGACCTCTTATGGGCATATTTCTGGGAGCTTCGCCTGATGGACGTCCATAATTTTCAGGCGCTGGGCCTCGTCTCTGGCTTTCCATCGAAGGACGTCCATAATCATCTGTGGTAACGGCCCGCCCGCCAGCTGGATTCCTACTAGAACCTTTTCCTTGCGGTTGACTTCCAATCTCCATGTTAGCCATCTTCTGCAGAATTTCTCTCTCTTCTGACACAGAAGTCTTCTTCTTCGCACCCGGGAAGGTAGGAAAAGGGTTATCCCACGCAGGTTGGTCAGGGGACATTGGGGGGGTTTTTAAGGGTCTTCGCGGAGGTCTCGCTATTTTGTTGTCAGTGTTGAGCCAAGCAATACACTATCTATACTCACAGCTCGGGTCAGAGGAAGTCGATCGCTCCAAAGGCGCTGGTCGCCCTCCTCTGCCAACAGGACCACCATTTGGAGGATAGCCTCTGCCTTGCCCTCCGCCTCTTTGATCGTATCCGCCCCGAGCTCCATCGGCTGTTGGCGGTCTTTGCATCGGTCCTCCCCTACCGCCTCCTCTGTCATTACCATAATATTCTTGTTGTGGGGGATAATTTTGATTTGGCGGTGGATATCCGTTTCCTCTCCCGCCACCATTCATATCTTGGTATCCTCCATCATAGTCCTGCGCGTAGCCGCCATTGTAGTCATCATATCCGTAGCCATCTTGCGGGTACTGATCGTATTGCTGCGGAGGATACTGTTGAGGTGGCGGTTGCGCGTAACCTTGTGGAGGACCTGGTCTTCGAGCCGCTGCCCCGTTGTATGGTCGTTGCGGCTGTTGATAGTAGCCTTGATCGTATGCCATTGTGTTGTTGGATCGTGAGTTGGTCGCCAAGCAGCGCTGAGATGCGACGGGAACGTTGACGCGCCTGGTTATCTATGAGAGTTTGCTTCTGTCCTCATCCGCTGGGGCAAGTAAGCCATGAACAGGGTGTGCGCAAGGACTGTGGTTTATTGCATCTAGTGAAATTGCAAGATGCGTTCGTCGGGTCTAGGGTCCGCCTTCGGGCTGACGGATCTCAAACGTCTCGAAGGGGGCTTGTCGCGATGAGGCCACGAGCTTGAAGGAACGTTGGTGATTTTGATGTTGAGAAGGAGAGGCTCTGCAAGAAGAAAGATCGGTGTCTGTCGTTAAGGAGCGTCTGAGCGGGTAAATGGGGGTGTATTGTGAAGAATAATGCCGGTGGGGGCAGATTAGCTGGAGGGCATCGAGTTAAGCCAGGCGAGAAAGCCGTTGGCGGAGTGGAGTGGAGGACCACAGCCGCAGCTGACCACCGAAGGATGTGAGGAACAGCTCGGAAACTCCAAACGGTCAGACCTCAAAAAGTGACGTTGTTTGCATCCTCTGAATGGCCACTTGGACTGCAGCATTGAGGATCAATTTTATTCTAATTTCTGGCGCAGAGCATTGAAGATAATTCGGAGATCTGGCCCTGTTTCTTATTGTTGCCCTCATTCACACGTCTCGAATCGAGCAGGGGGCTGAATAAGGCCAGGAACACAAAGCATCCCATTGGCTAAAGGCCGCAAGACGTGGGCCCGTTTATTCCTGGGGAGACAACGCCAAGGCCAGCGAACGTCAAGAAGCAAATGCTATCTACGGAGTATGGCTGTGCCCTGCAGCAGCACAGGCGCAGTCTCTCACCTCTCCAGTAGTAAGTCACAGCTCAAAGTTTTGCTTCAGATATCCCACAAGAATCACCGTTATGAAGGGGCGAGAAAGGGAGGTGTTGGTAGAATAGGAGGCCCAGCACTGTTGAGGCAAGGGACGTCGAAGAGGAGCGGAAATCACTCCTCTTACCCAGCGCAACGCCAGAATTTTAGAAACCAGAGAGAAAGTGGCAGCAGTGTAAGACGAGTTCCGAGATCCTAAAGTCTTACAATGGGGAAGGTGTCTGACTGAGAGGCTGTTGATCCAATGTCTCTTTCCATTCAAGCTCTTGGTCGTCGCCATTGCTTGCTTGTCAGGGAGCTGCTCCATCGACTCTTGTAGGAGAACATATTTTTAGCAAATAATGACAGGCCATGATCAGCTGGGCCTAGCACAATCCAAGCAGACGGCATTCTTTCGGCTTTAGAGGTCCCGCTTTGCCCTTCAACTTCGGAACATGCAGATCCCGCTTGCTCTCTCGGTAAGAGGCTCCTGAACGCCACTATCGCACAGCCACAGAATCCCAAATTCCTACGCCAAGTGTAGTACCGTCGTCCGTATTGAATATCATCATTGAAAGCAGTCGATCCTTGACAAGCTGAGACCAGACCAAGATTCTCGCGATTTGCTGAAAACAACCTCGGTCTCACGCCATTCGGAGCTTGCATTCCCTTCGCCACTACTGCAAGATGCCTCCCAGGCCGACAAACTGGAGATTATGGGGAAAGATGGCGGCAGCGTGAGCTCTCCTCCCGATCCCAGGAGACATGACACTGACCCCTCCCAGTGGCGCCCTCTGCTGCATCGGCGGTCCCGCACTCGTCTACTACGTGTCACCCACCGAGGAAGAGCTCTTTCTGAAGTATAATCCCGACTTGCAGAAGCGGAGTCTGGAAAACAGGGCTGGGAAGGAACAAAACTTTGATGATTTCGTCGGCAAATTGAAGGAATATTCGAGGTCGGACAAGCCGAGTATGTTTGCAGAGTCGTCCGAGCTGAGGGATACGAGCTGATTATTGGACAGTATGGGAAGCTGCTGCCATAGCTGAGAAGAAATCGAGGGATGGAAAGATTGCTGAGCAAGTCAAGTTAAGTGAGGAGATCGAGGCGAGGAAGAAGGAGATACGGAATGCGGGAATAAAACCCATGCCAGGTGGAAGCTTGTGAATGTGCTGATATGCTACGACTTGGTGTACATTACCGGCGTTGCGGTTTGCTTGGGTCAAATATGGCAGGTAGGAAATCGAAATGTCCCATCTTCATACGAACAAGGAGCATCCCGAGTCATTGTACCGAAAGCGACGCGAGGGATAATTGCCTCTGGACGTTTGTCAGAAAGGAACCAAGTTAAGCTTCACCATTCTGCTCCTCGAGCAAGAATTTTCTACTCCTTGTGGCCAGATACATCCTCCCGGTGCAGTGCATCTATGCTTTCTGTTTTGATTCTCCACCGTCTGTCATTGTCTCCGTTCCGTACCGCATCTTCCAATATCCCAGTGGACGATATTCAGAATGAGGAATCTATAAAGTCAACACTTCTCTCGTTTCTCCTCATCTCTGCAGTAACAGCTGCACGCAACAAAACCCCTTCCTCGATTCAAATATATATCCAATACAAATCAAACCAAAATTGCCTTCAAATTCTCTAAATACATGTATACCTTCACTACCACATCATCAACATCCTGCTTTCGGAGCACCCACTCCAAAACTCGAGACACTCCAACAAAGACTTCAATGTCTAATCTGCCTCCAGAGCTCCCAAGCACCAATCAACACACAATGATGATTGCCGGCCACGCCTCTGGAGACGATTATGGCGCCTTCGGGATCCCTCTGAAGCCAGAGGAATGCCTGCTACCAACGAGGTGGCAGAACCGAATCTAGGGAGAGTTGCCTCACAACATGACAACCACCGACCCACGACTCTCAGCCGAACCTTAACCATCATCCTCGGGAAGCAACAGGCTGAAGCTCGCTCACCTATGCCCTGCAAGAGCATATGAGAGCTCACAAGCAGACAGATTACCGATCGATCATGCAAAGTTGGGTGCAGATTGAAATCGTGGCAAGCTTGAAGCAATGGAGATTTTGTTACCTGACTGAGGATGATTACCTGCACAAGCCTCGGAGATACAGTCCACAATAGCCATTTCCACTGCTCCTCCTGCATACCTTGTCCAAGCCTCGAAAAGGATCCCCGGGGCTGGTCAGCATACTCTCCGGGAGATGAGGGGAGTCTGCCGAGCTGAAGGGTCTGATTGAAGGCACTCTGTGGCATCAAACACAGAAACGACCACGCCATCCAGAGACGATGAAAGTCGTGGAAAGCCAGTCACCTGGAATGATGGAGAGCCTTCAGACGTCAATGCTTGCACAGAACAAGCTTTCCGTGCGGAAACCGGAGTTGTCACTTCTCGACGCCACACATCACCCTAAAAAATGGGATGACGAACTCATCGCATAGTCGATGTAAGATCTTACAAATCAGGAACTGGAAAGTAAACAAATCCCAGCAGACACCAATCATGTCTAAATCAAACTTCCACACGCCAGCCCAGCCCTTGGTGGTGAAAAGGAAGCTTGAATCCCACCGTACATTGATTAGACAACAGAACAGTACACGCGTTTCCAATCCTTGAACGACCATCGTCCGGCACAGCTCCAAATACAAATCGTCTTCCCTCTTGCAATTACACTAGGCGGAATTCTTGCACAACCCGGGAATTGTAGAGAAACCAGAGTCGTCGGTTCACAGACAACATGGAAGAAGGCAAACGCGAGACCAGGACCTCGCCTGCACCATGGTACTGAAGTAGGAGTGCAAGTCAGGCATGACGGCTATTCGCCGTCGAGAGTCCCTGAATAGCAGGGTGTAAGTCAGTTGTCCTTCCCTGCCGTGGCCTTCTAGTACAAGCCACTCATAAATGGTTTGGGATAGCTGGAGACAAAGATCAAGGTCGCTGTCACCTGTATGATAATGGCGATCGGACCTCATGTCTTGCGATCGAGTTCGGCAAGTCAATAAAGCGAGAAAAGCCTGGGTTGAGACGCAGACCAAGGAACGCAACCTCACTAACGAGGCTTTCGAGCGCTTCTCACTTCAGTGATTAATCGAGAGGCTGTTCGTGAAGCATCTGGTTGCGAAGGATGGTCTTTGCAAGGCTCGGTGCCACGCTTGTTTTCTTGACGCCCACTTTATTGGTCACTCCAACATCAATCTACTTCAACAACCCTCGTTCTCTCACACACAGATCTGCTCTGAAGAATTCGAGCCACAATGTCGGAGCCTTTGAAGCCGCCAGATGATGGCGAGGGCGGTGCTCAGCGTGACAAACGCCAGCAACACAGCCCACCCTCCGAGGAGCCTGAGGATTCCACTGAGTCCCAGTCTGAGCGACGAAAAACGTCAGATAAACAAGCCGATGAGAGATTTCAGACGTCACTGCTTGCAAGAACAACAGGCTACGACCATCTCACCTTCTCCTCCTACATACCCTCGAGGTATTGCCTCCCAGGGCCATAGGGAAAACCAAGGCCAACGCATCTGCCGCTGACGATTTGCTGTAATGTTCGGTCACAAGATCTATGTCATGGATGTCAAGACTGCATTTCTCTGTGGAGAAATTGGTGTCGAGACCTACATGAAACCACCAATTGGATTCAAGTGCCCGAAGGGAGCCGGTTCTTCGCTTGCTCAAAGCTTTGTACGGACTGAAGCAATAACCACGGCTTTGACCCACCAGTAAGAGGAAACCGAAAGACAATCTCTGCGACAATTCCTAGCTGGAATACATCAATTAAAATGAGCCTGATACCATAATCGGCACCCAAAGCGGCAAAGGCAAAACTCCATTACTCGACCGAAATGAGCTCAACCGCGAAAATGACGGACAATCATCGATCCAAAATGCCCGAGAGCAGATGATAGGAAGGCTCTTGTGATTGACGAGCTTGAGTCTGCGGGTCCGCGAAAACGCTTCCGCCACGAAGAGCAAGAATGAGGCGGAGACGCTCAAGCCCAGACTCATGCACAACCCGAATATTCACGAAAGTTGTTGAAGCCTTGCTGTTTTACGAAACAAGAGAAGTCACCGTGAAACAGAAATTCGAAGACAGCAACACCGACACCATCTCAATCGAAATTAAGGGACCAAACTTCGAGTTCGGATGAGAGAAGACAAGTGGCCTTACTGGTCGAGACCTAGCGGACAAGGAGGAGAAGTACTGCAAAGTCAGGGAAGCAATCAAGAATCTCACCTCCTCCTCTCATGAGCACTGAAAGATGAAGAGCCGAAAGAGAAGGTCGACGAGAAATAGCAGGCCGCCTTATTTTGGGTGAACGCACCTCTCGTAGCGGAGGGATCTCCGCAACTTCAATCCGCTCCAACCAGTCGAGGTACCCATGGAATTCCTGGAGGAAACCCCCTCGGGATCACTGCTTTGTTGGCCTGTTTAAACTCTTGTTCGAAAGTATCCAATTAGAGCTCCCAGTTCTGTTTTGATCCATACGCCTTACAGCCACCTGCAGCACTCTCACGCCTTGTTATTGGTTTGACTTGAGGTTCGTTTCTGCCAAGTCTTTCCAAAGATGCAGTCAACTGATCGGATCTGCAAATTAATGGCCGCTTTGTGGGAATTTCAGGGATAGATAGCATCGAGATCCATCCCTTATCTAACAAAGCTTTCGGAGGCGGGCTTGAGGCCTGGCCTCGGCTAGTTCTACTCTAAAAACCATCTCAGATTCGCACAAGTCAGTGCATGATCTTCATTGGCTGTCGATGAAATCCTCCACACTTCAGGAGATATACCAGGCTGGCATTAAAGAAGGTGGAAGAACATATGGGATAAAGACTGCGAGCTGGGATTGAAGTTTCCCATGATCACATTCCTATTGCTCCCAAGTTGATTATTTGCCAAATATTAGATACCCGTTAGAATGGCGCTCCAGTCCATGCTTCTGCCCGATGAAATCCTGCTCATGATCTTCAGCCATCTGCCTTTACAAGATATCAAGTGTTTGCGGCTTGTTTGCCACTGCTTTCTTGACTGCTTTTCCCAGTTCCTACTCTGGTCTCTCGGCATCTCTTCTGCATCCCGAAGCCTTCATTTCTACAGGAAAGTCTCCTCCGATGACCTCTTCCGCAAAGACATTTCCACAATTGTCTATAACACTAGACTGAATCACACAATCACGGCAGAACATGACAACGTTCTTCCAGACGTTCAACTGGCGCCTGACGCCTTTGATCAGTGTTACAGCGTCTACGACTTACTATGCTACGGCATTCCACGTCTGCCCATGCTACGAGAGATAATGATCACAGACCGAGCATTGCAATTATCTCCAAATCTAAGCACCACAGATTCTTTCATCAACTCTCTTGAAACCAATCAAGCGCAGACCGCAGATGACCAGCTTAGCCTGTTCGTCTTGCTGCGAGCACTCTCGGCAGACACAGCAGACCTCAGACTTTCCGAATCTCCCTGCAGAATTGCATACCCGGCACTCCATCCTTGATTCCACCACTCAATACCCAGCTCGAGAAAGACAACTATGGAAAAGGATATGGCACTCCGAATCGCCCACTCTCTTCGATCGCTGCCTCACGACCGCAGCCCCGATTTTCGAAGATCTGCGCCATCTAAGCATAATCACCCAAACACCATCTCATCAAGCCTCCACCGAAACCTCCTCCGCAAAATTCACTCACAGCCTCTGCGCCTTCATCTCAACAGGCGGCTCTAATCTCCAAATCCTCGAATTCGAAATCCACGAAAGTTTCCCGTCACACCCTCGAGTTGAAGACCCCGCCCTCTCTACCTTCGTGTTCTCTCTCGCTCCCACTCTATTCCCCGATCTTCGAGAAATGAGATTAAAAGGTGTGCCGATGGAAGGCTTCTCACTCATCGCCTTCCTCAGCCACCAATCATCACTCGAGGAGCTTCGACTGCAGGAAGTTTACTTAACATCCTCATCATCGGATTGGGCGGCGATTATCGATGATTTGTGTTTATTGTTAGGTGTGCAGTCTGGGGATATGATGGGGAACAGATCAAGGAAGAAGATGTATAGAAAGAGGATTGGCGGCGAAAAGTTTGTGGCCCCGATGGAGAGGATTAGGTTGGAGTTAGAGAGAGAGTGTTTGAGCCTGGTGATATCGGAAGGGAAAGGGGTGTTAGTATTGATAGTTCACAGTTGAGGGGGTACTTTCAGGGCAGGGAGGATAATCCGTTAAGGAGTTGCTATGAGAGTTTTGCTATGTGAGTAAGTGAGTTGTGAGGATTGGAGTGGTTGGGGTTTTGATGGGGGAAGAGCTTAACGAACGATAAAAGGGGTCGAGATTTCGGTTCACTACAGTATACGAATCAGGGAGAGGTATTTTTGAGGATGTATGGGAGGCGACCTTGGTAGATATCTGTCAGCTTCAAGGTTTAGGCAATATGGAAGAGATCACATGGTTCTTAGAAACAGCGATCAGATGTGATTTGTCTCAGTTCGGAGCAAATCAGGTCAAGCCAAGGGATTTTGAACGAGAGACAGGCCCCTTCCTCAACGTCTTTATGACATGTATCTGATTCAGCGCCCTCACTGAAGTACAAGGGTGGCAGCCGCAATCCCCTTTATTCTTAGATTTGATTCCGCGAACTGAAGTATTTTAGACTGGTGTCCGCCGAAGTGGGTGGAAGCGAGCGGGAGCTAGTATGGGAGCACCGCCTTCGCAGTTCCCTGGAACCAATTCGATGCGGACTGGAGTCCATTTCAATACCAGTTGCCATAGTATTTATATCTTGTTCGTTTCTTCTTTCCCCTAAAACTCCTCCCACATCAATACTTCTCAAAAGCTCTCCTCACGTCGTACCAAATCGCCCCTCACCGACTGATTTTCTCAACCTGGGAAGCTTGCTTTACAAAGCACAGTTCTAACATCAGAGAAAATATCCCAAAAAGGCATGACGCTCGAAAACTCTACGTTATCTAAACATCCCATAGAGGTTCTGTTAATGATCTTCAAGTATGCACTTGAAGAGTTGAGGTGTACAGAGGAGCGGCATGCTCCCACTTACAATGGACTTCTTCGCGGACCAACACGAGAATTCCATGGTCGAAAATTCGACTGCAAAGAACTGGGATGCTGGTTGGTTTCTCATGTAATTGAGAATTGTATGGCGAGGCATTGTGCGTGTACGAAGTACCACAAGGAGAACATCTTTAGACTAACGCTTCGAAACTGGCATTCGATCAGCTTCTGGGCTAAGAAGAACGCCATTCAGTCTACCCGACACTTGGAAATTCAGTTATAAGGCTCAATATCCCTTCTTGGGCCTTCCCATCCATATCTCTGTCACGAGCTAACGCAAACACAGCGATGGCATCATATCACCGACTGAGGTGCCAAAATGCCTTCAGTTTCCATGGACGAACCTCTCTCGAAACATAAATGATAATTTGCTCGATTTGCTAACGCATCGGAGAAGTAAACTCTCGGAAGCTTTAAGCTTGGAAACACTTGAAGTCTTTGCGGAGGGTGTCGAAGGCGCAAGCCAAATAATCGACGCTGTCACCAAGCTCTTCTACTGGACGGTTCCCAAGCTACAAAAGGTCGTCGTAAAGTTTCTTCTCCACGAATACGAATGCCAGCAACTGGCCATGATGCGTCAAATGCGTGATTATCTGCAATATAGAACTAAAATATAAATTCCCGAAAGCCGGCAACAATCGAACTTTTGAATGGCAGACTTGGTTTAGCCAGCTGCATTCGATGGGAAGGCCATCCAGCTAATTGGATTGGGACTGCTTCTTGGCAAACTTGAAAAGCGAAAGCTCTGGCATCGTCAAAGGATTTGGAAGACTTGAATGAAGAGAGCGAGAAGTGTGAGGAGGTGATCTCAGAGTCTTTATCTGCCATGAAAGAGGATTCATTAGGGATGGAAAACTCGTCTAGAATTGATTGCTAGACAGGAGGCCATTGAAGAACGACAAATTGCCAGGAAAATGGAATTAGCGTGGAGATTATTGAACAATATCGAGTCATATTATGTCCCGCTCGTGTAGCGGAATAACAATAGATATATATCGAAGTCCGTTCGCCCCGACCACATTCTATATCCTACTCTTATCATAACTCTTCCAAGACCCCACTTCTACTTCTTGCTGTCAATAAAAATATCGCCATAAAACTTCGCCGGAATCACAAAGCTAGGGTAAGCTGGCTCCCCAGCTGGCGCCGCCGTCGCATTCCCTGACATAATCCCGTGATTTCCATTGATCCCAGCCCCATATCTATTCACAACTAACACCAAACCATCTTGCGTTGTCGGGACCAAGTTTGCTTGCACATTCTGGTCTCCGCAGGGAACGAGCTTTTGCTGGACATCGGTACCAGAACAATAGGTGGAGAACGCGGGCCCGACATCAGCGGATGCAGGGCCGTTGATGTTGAAGTTGTAGGTGCAGCCGCCTGGGGAGCAGCCAATTTCAAAGTTGGTGACGGTCCAATTTGTGATGCCACCGGGGTTGACTACTGTTTGGGGCAGGGCGTGCGAGGTTGAGAGCAGAGTGGAGAGGAGGGTGGTGGTGAGTGTGATTGTGAGATGCATTTTGGATGTTGATTTACTTCTTGAAACCCGATTTTTGGTTTGTTAAGAAAATTTGAGATGACAAATTATTGTGTAAATTGTCTTGGGTGTATGTCTGATGTTGAGGCTGGTGGAGTGAAATATGCATGAGGAGATGCGCCCGTATTATACCCTTCCCTTCCTTTTCACTTCACATGATGAAGTGAGTCATCAAAGCTCTATAGGCACGAAGTACGAGCTTGTGTAACAACTCCGACGTCACCTCGTACTCGAGAACAGTAATGTAAGAAAATTACGTGAATTATTGTATCTCACCATATTGTGTAACGTTTCGTATCGACCTACCTCAGTGGCGAATAAGACCGTTTGTGTCTGTGTGTTGCTCTAGTTGTTTCTAATTGGTCTAAATTTTTGTCCCGAGCACCGAATTGTTCGGTATGAGCTATGGCTGACGTTGGAGATACGAGGGAGTGTCGATCTCTGTATGTCAAGTTTCTCGCTTAGCTAATAGGGGAGCCGAAAATTGTAGAGTCGATCATGTCAACCTTCACCGAGAAATTTTTTAAGCTTGTAAATGAAGGCGGCATTGATCGACAACATCGCTGTCTTTTGTAGACCCATTAAATTCGAACAATCTATACCCAGGTGACAAGAAGTGAGATCTTTTGGTCACATGATACAGTAGCGACAAGGCGTCAGTGGTTCAGCTGAACCCTAATGTCCCTTCCTTTCATCAGCTATCCGGATCTCGGATTATCACCACCTACTTCGCGTTTCACGAAATGTTCAAGGACGCATTTCTTGAGTCGCATGTCAGCCCAGCACGAGCGAGAAAACTCTTTGTGAGACATTCTCCAACAGATCGTGGGTTCTTGCTTCCCCTAGAAAGGAGCACCTTCCAGAAAACGCCAAGTCATGTCAATTTTGCGAGGCAATTTTTAATACTATTTGCTTTGAAGATCCAGCAGAACCTTGCCTTGTCATTCGAGCGAGACCAGGTGAGCCAGCCCAGATGGGACCCTGCTCCGTTTTCCGATCTTGGGTTTGCCGTAAGGTTGCCATCAGAAGTGCAGCGGCGAGGCGGGGACAGGCCCGGACTTCAGGAATTACAAGGGGATATGTGAACCTAAGTATCTCTACGCCATGAGAATCATGACGCTGGAAGGTTTGATTAACCGTCATCATTCAAGTGCAGGACTTGGCTGATGACCATAGGCACGATAACTTTCAATCGGCCGTACAATTTGGAGATCATCTTGCATCTGACCCCATCTCTGATCAGTCGATATACATTATGCAGAACTGGCTGTGGGGGTGTGACAATAGCTACCCCGAATGTTGAATTCTGGACTCCCGCCCCAGAGACGGAGAAGACCCTTTGCTACCAACTCGCGTAATTGAAGTTGGTTTTGCTGGGGACAGGAAAGTCAGGATTTTTGTAAATCACGGTTCCTTTGGCAAATTTGCCGCACCGAGCCACCGCTGGCTTCCAGGGAAGACACCAAAATGTAACAGAGACAAGGAACCTCAAGAAACGATGCAAGGGCCGCGATCTCAAGGTTTTGCCCAAATCGATACAAGACGCAATCAAACTTACCAGGAAGTTGAATTTGCGATATTTATAGGTCAAGTCACTCTGTACCTTGCAGGATTCAGCGGAGGATTGGGTTATTGAATCATCCAAATGGTCGATATGTACTAGAACGCCTACATTCCACTCTCCGCTGATCGAGATCGAGACCGTGACGAGGGTTTTTTGGTCCACGCATAATTGAAGATCCTGAACCCCTGGCACTGAGGCTGAGAATTCGACCTGGACATGATTCAACTCTTCCAGTTCAGACAAGAACTCCAATGAGGTTTTCATATCCAGTACGGGACTTTGAGAGTATGGTCGATGAATCTATCTTGAGTAAGCGCCGTTGGATTCTTCAAGAACGACTCATGTCAAGACGAATTTTACACTTCGGGAGTGGACAAACATGCTGGGAACGCAGGGCAACTGGATCAAGAGGATGGGATGGCCCTTCCGGAACGCAAATGGCTGAATACAGCTCACAAGGCCCTGAATAACGTAGCAACTGATGACAACTACTGGCACCAAATCGCTGAGGTGTATTCGCGAAGACAACTTACGCAATACACTGACAAACTCTCAGCTCTCTCGGGAATCGCTAGCACCATTTCTGCAAGCTGAGTTCGAAAGATATTGCCATTAAAGAACGGACAGGGACTCTTTCCTTTTCCAAAGCCAATTGTCACATTTCACAAGAGAAGGCTAGCTGAGGGGGCACCGTGGCTGATGCCTTGAAAGTGCTTGTTCTGGTCGGGATGAGGTGGTGACATGCTCCTCCTATCTAATCATTGGTGCTGCGCATGAGTGTGAGTACAACCCTGATTCATTGAAAACCAGGTTGACACTGAAATATGCACTAGAGTTCAGATATAGATGATAGTGGCCTGTTACCTCCTCTAGAGGGTAGTGAGGAAAGACGTCGTGTGTACCTACTCGCTGCGGGTGTTTCTCCGCTTTGGAAGTTTGCTGGGCCAGCTTTCTTACCTCAAGCTTAAAACAAGCTCTTGTATAAATCGGGTTTCCATCGGTCTTCAGCTTTTTGGATTACCTACCTAATTCGGCAAAAGGAGCTCGCATTGGTTCGCAAATTGCTTTGTCCGCACTGCGCAGAGGCCTGACTTGACCACTAAGCAACCATGCATGCATGAAGAACTTCTAATGCGCATTGGTCCCAACCATATTCCTTTTCGGATTTTGAACAGCCACTCATGATTCACCGCCCGAAAATCAGCATTTTAAACCTGTTAATGAACCCGGATGCTTGGGACATCGCCATCTCAAGGTCAACATCCATTATTCTTCACAGAGTGTCAAGCCACCCTATATCCACATCCCTCTATGTCGACAAAGCATCTAGACAAGTATGGCGAACGGACTCTCTGGACAGGGGTACATTGGGAAAATAGACCATGTTTCTCTCTCGATTGCAATGACGATAGCTGGCTTTTTCGCCATTGCTGTCTACAACGTCATTGAGATCAACGTTATGATCTTCAGCACCTTCAAGCGACGTACGGGACTCTATTTCTGGAGCCTTCTGATTGCTTCTTGGGGAATTCCTGTTCATGCCACGGGGTTCCTGTTGAAGTTCTTTCACCTTTGCGGCAATGACTACGTCAGTGCAACCCTTGTAATCATTGGCTGGTACTCGATGGTCACGGGGCAGTCCATGGTGCTCTACTCTCGACTTCACCTCATCGTCGAAAAAAGGAGAATCCGATGGGTCTTGGTAATGATCATCGTCGACTTTTTCCTCTTCCATGTTCCAACCACGGTTCTTTTCTATGGTTCCAACTCTTCGAAACCTGACCTTTTCTCTTCCGCGTATGAGATTTACGAAAAGATCCAGATCACCGCATTCTCATTGCAAGAGTTCATCATCTCCGCCATGTACATTTGGGAAGCGAGGAAGATGCTTCACTCGATAGGAAATATTAAGAAAGAGGAGGCCCGCAGCGTCATGCTTCATCTCATTCTCGTTAATATCTTGATGATTCTTATGGACATTACTCTCCTGGGCACGGAATATGCCAACGAATACTCGATCGAGACGACGTACAAGAGTACTTTGTACAGCATCAAATTGAAGCTCGAGTTCGCTATCCTGAATCGACTTCGTGCTCTTGTCAAATCACAACATCAAAGTACTCTTTCTGGCGAAACACCGAGTCCCGCTATCCTTCCATCGTTTGTCCGAGAGCCGAAGCAGTGCCAGTGTACTGGTATTGGAGGAATCAAGGTCTCTAGGTCATTCGAGGTTACGTCTTCGATTCCGAGTATCCAGGAGCAAACATCTATGCTTCGGAAGAATTCGGTGGCCACGGAATTGGGGCTGGATCTCTCCCATCCTGCGGATCGGAGAAACAGCTGAGCTAGAATTACCAGATGTTGGATACTCAACAAACTTTTTTTGCCAAACAAAGAGACTCGGGGAGGGTTGCAATCACTCCTTTGAAGTTTTCAGACGGTGCTTGGTTGGTGAGGCTGGCTCCCCTGGCAAATTTGCATAAAGGGGGAATGGGGTTAGCTGGGATTATGATTAGAAGTTGAGATCACGAACAACGAAGGGCATGGAAGATGGTTTCACGAGCGTGCGGAGCTTTTTGCATTAATACCGGAAGTCGGGGGACAAGGACCAGTTGCTGGCAAGAAGTGCTTTTGGAGTGCGACGGCGATGCCCTATCCCATCCAGCTCTCACACGCCACGTCGCTTATCGCAGCTATAACACTTCAAAACTTTGACCTTTCTATTATAAGATATACTCTAATACTAATAAATATACGTATTTAATCCCTTCTGATTCCATTTATCTAATTCATATTAAAATTAAATAAGGTTTTTATTTGGTCTTTGTAAAGTGTTGTAGTTACAATAAGCGACGTGACGGATGAGCGCTGGATGGGATAGTGGTGGCTCACGTTGGAGGCCACATAATTCTAATATATGTTACGGCATTGATACAACATTTCTCCTGGCGATCTATTTTATTAGCTCTTGTTGCTCATTTTGTCTGGCGGGACGCTCTCACCTTTCAGCCCAATCGCAGCCGAACACGGGACTCTAGTTTGAGCAGTTTGGTATGCGAGGGGTAATAAGATGGATTCACTCATATAGGCTCGCAGCTACTCGGTTTGAGGTGGAACCAAAAGGCCTCACAGAGAAGCATTCTCTCTTTTTGGTTTCATACTGTTCCAATGAAATTATAAAGACATCCTCTTCATAGCCGGAAAGAGGTTTCTCGCATCCTTTAGGGGAGGGGACCGAGAAAATGTCAGATGACATTTGAAAGTTCTTCTGTATTCTCTCATGTGTCATAAGCGTGTCCGATAATTCTCCACCTGCTTCCATGTTTTCTTTCATGCGCATCCTTTAAAGCTAGTGCCCAGCATTTAATCCTCGTTGCCAATCTTTACTCTAAATTACAACACCCACACTGCAACTCTGCAAATCTGACACCCAAAATGGACATCCAATCCTCGACTAAGATCTCGAAATGCTCCATCTGCCAAAACCCAACCAACTTGGTTTGTAGCGGCTGCAGCGAAGACCCTCTCAACGAAAACAAGAAAACCAGATATTGCAGCCGGGATTGCCAGAGCGTTGATTGGCCCCTTCACAAGAGAAGCTGCCAAATGCCCAGGGCTCGTAAGGATCGTTATCGTGCAGGATCTATCCTTCAGCAAATCTTCTACTTGTGCCGCGAAAAACTCTTCGATCTTCCAATTCACAGAATCGAGTACAACAACAATCGCATGCTTCTACATCCTCTTCCCGCCAAAGACTTTCGAAGCTAGGCTGACTTGAAGAATTAGGCGTTGCCACCGGCATCCTCGAAGTTCCTGTTGATCTCAAGAACCACAGACGGGAAGTGGTTAGAACAAATCACCTCAACCTACGAAACATGGAAAGACATGAGGTGCTAAGGGTGGTACTGAAGCACGGCGGTGAAGTGTATGCCCCTGACATTGCAAGCGCTCAGTATGGCTTTTACAAGCCTGTAGCTGTCTGGGACGAATTTGTGGATACTCGCGTGAATAGATTTGTATGTGGATGGAACAAAGGCAGACCATGTGGAACTGACAAAACTTTGTTCAAGAAGATGATGGCCAAAGCTTCGCGTTTCATCCAAATCACATCTCTTCTCGCGAATAGACAGACAGAACAAACACTAGATTGTATCAAGGTTTGGATGGAGGAAAACCGACTTAGCGCCCGGAACCTCCTTCGATTGAGGAAAGGCGAGTTTGAGCTGAGAGAGACTGAGCTGCTTGAGTTCATCAAGGGACGAACTCGATTGGATACCGAACTGGTGCAAGAAGCATTTGAGATTATCAAGGGAGCAGCAGCAGAAGGAAGGATCTGATGCGGGGAAAGTAGGAACCTGTTGAAAGTCCCCCTTGTTAATCTGCATCTGTATTCTAGCACAGAAATTCTAAAGAGAAGCTTTGGAGCAAATCTCATTTGTTAGAGAGTTGAGAATAGAAGTGACTATCCTTCAAGCTTCTCAGTTCTCATGTCGATAGGTACTGTGGAAGTCCAGGTGAACGCAAATGCGAAGGCAAAACATGTATAAAGTCGGAGTCAGTAGGTTCACCGAGTCAAATCCGATTATCTAATTATGGTCAGTAGCCAGTCCTCAAGTCATGACAAAGTTCTTCTTTGTTTAATGGAATCATGCTGGCAACTGGAGAGCATTAATATGGACTTTTCAAAGGATTGCTCAAATCCCCAGAAGGGTAGGTCACGAGTAAAGGCGTGATGCGTAATTACTAATGCGAATCAGCACGTTGTCCAATCGTCTGCACCATAAATCACACTTCCCTGGGGAACACTTCCAAAAATCACTTACTCACAAAGGGAAATTCAAAGTGAGTAAGATGACTCGATTATTGTTTCCTGTATCGCTGCAATATTTACATTCAATTGAAGTCGATTCTGCCGCGATATGGGAACGAACGAAGGATGTATTTACCAGGAATTGGTATTTGGGGGTCACAGCATTTGGTGGTCCACCAGTGCATTTCCAAATCGTGAGTCAAGCATTAGCTGCCTGTAGAATGCACCCTAACTCTACCTAGCTTCACAAGAAATTTGTTGAAAAGAACGAATGGGTTGACGAGCAATTGGTGAGTCCCTTCGCAGAGCTTGAAAGACTGGTGCTAACAAAAGATGAATCAGTATCAAGAGATATTTGCGCTGAGTCAGGCTCTTCCAGGCCCAGCCAGCACCAAGATGTTGTTTTGCATAAATTATATTCATGGAGGTCTCATGGCTAGATTGGGTGCATTTTTTTTGTGGTGGTGTGTAAACCCGAGTCCCTAAAGAGCTTGTGGATGCCTTCCCTTTGGCATCTTTCTAACTGAACAACAAGTCTTCCTGGAGCTATTGGAATGTATGCTCTCTCATTAGGCGTCTCCCGCATTGGAGATACTCTACCTGCTCCTGTCTACGCTCTCTTGTCCGGGATAAACGCAGCAACGGTCGGGATTATCGCCCTTGCCGCTGTTCAATTGGCAGACAAAGCCATTACAGACAAGCTCACTTGCGCTCTAGTGTTCCTCGGTGGCGTTTCTGGAATGCTCTACACAGCATTATGGTTCTTTCCGGTTTTGATGCTCGCATCTGGACTCGCAACCCTGGTGTGGGATTTCAAGTGGCTGCACCGCATATTCAAGCCACTTTGGAGAAAACGTTCACGGTCTCGGCGTACGAATAAGCGGACTCCTGGAGGTGGGCAGACCGGTGCTTCGCCTTTGGAAAATTTTCAAGAAATCTCCTTACACCATCGACACAATGCAGCAACAGATCATCAAGAAGTGGCCCTTTCCTCACTTGAAGCTGGTTCTGCTACTGCGACCGAAAGGCCTGATCCAATCGCCGACTCAGAGATATCTGACAGAATCGTTCCATCGAATATACAGCTGAATCTTATAACCTGGAAGACTGGAATATATATTATTACAAGCTTTATTGTCTCTTTTATTGCAATCATGATCATTCGGGATTTACTCAAGACGCCACCTCGAGGCGTTTCCCTGTTTGCAAATCTTTACCTTGCAGGCACAATCATATTTGGTGGCGGGCCCATGGTCATTCCACTCCTTCGCGAGTACATTGTAGCTGAAGGCTGGGTCTCTCCACGAGATTTTCTCCTTGGTCTCGCATTAATCCAGTCTTTTCCTGGTCCTAATTTCAACTTTGCCGTCTACCTCGGCTCGCTCGCAACTGCTCAAACCTCTTTACCATCCCTCGCAGGCGCTATCATAGCATTCTTGGGCATATTTACTCCCGGCATCATTATACTGACGGGAGTGATGGGATTGTGGAAGGTCTTACGCCCCCGTCGCTGGCTTTTTTCTGTTCTACGTGGGGTAAATGCTGGAGCTGTGGGTTTGGTGTTTACAGCAGTCTATAAATTATGGCAGATTGGCTTTGTGGACGCAAAGAATCAGAGCGGAAGTCCTCTGGGCAGAGATCCGTGGTGGGTTGCAATAACAGCCACGAGCTTTGTGGGAGGTGCTTGGTTTGGTTTAAAGGCACCGCTCGCGATTTTGCTCGGTGGTGTCATGGGAATGGCTTGGTACGCAGTCGTAAAAGCTTAGAATGTGTGGGATGAAATTAATCCGATTTGCAAATTCAAAAGAATATCCAGATGTAGCACTATTTTCAGGAGTATACGGTCGTTGAGACTTAAACAGGGAATGCTGCTGTAATTCAGTGACTATGACCCTATTGACTTCCACTTTCAGTGCAAGTGCGGGGTAAATGCGGGGTACGAGTACCCTGGACTAAACCCCCAGGTTCTGGCAATATGCGCCAAGGATCGACAATGCGAGTAATGCCAAGCAGCACTAACGACACCATTAGTGGAAGAGGATCCGTTTCTGTCATCCCGTGGTATTTTCTCCTCTGTCTGAGAGTCTACAATTGTCTTTTCTCGCGTCAGGTGGCTTATTAATCTTCCCAACCTCCTCCATTGTCTCCGAGGTCAAGAATGTAAAAATATCTGAGGTCCAAGGACCTTAACGAAACACGTGTTTGCCTGGAGCTTGATAGGCACCGCCTGTCTAACACTTTGCGTGTGCCAATCGGTTGGATTTCCCCTCACCGTAGGTGAGGAGATGGAGCATTTGTGATTGTGGCTTCCGGTGCTCTGCATGTGGAGAGGGATTTATCCTCAGTTGTTTTAACCCAACCTTCCACCTCAGCTGAGTAGCCGCCCAGCCGAGTAGCTTATGGCTTAGGAGAACAATCATTCTTAGGGGGGAGTTAGTTCTCCTCCCGTAGTATTTTGTGATTATTCTCCTTAGATAACCAAATGTTGAGAAACTTGAAGCTAGACTACAAGCTAATGGATCTTGAGGTACCGCCTCATTTATAATCTGATCTTCCTACAACGCTCACAGTTAGCGGCGTGATATTGCAGATTCGCAGGCAGACTTATCTGTATTTGATCTTCAGACGTAGCGCCTCAATTCCCTTTCAGACCTATTATGTAGCTAAATCCCTTTAGGAGCAAATAGCTCGTCTCCAGGGACATCCAATTCACATTTTCCCGTCCTCTTACAGCAGCTCAAATTTTTCAGACAATTATTATCACCGAAATAGTTTAGGTTTAAAGCCATCGGCAACGTTGCGAAGCAATCGAGATCATCGAGGGGTTCCACATATATCATGTCCCTAGACCCCTCCGGTAGAGCCAGAGAACCTCTGCAAACACAACTCTGTGGCATGCGTAATGCAGGTCCGTGGTTGAAAACACAAGCGAATAATACGCTTGCTGCAAGGTGCCTCAAAATTGACTCTCGTTTAACTGAATTAACACCGAGGAACTAACGACAGCTCCTTCGCAACGCTTTTGATGACCTGCCAGGCGGACCTGCAACAAAGCAATGATCCACCATCTCGAAGCGTGGCTGGGCTGAGCTACAACCTTATAACTCATGTCACCTATTTAAGATACATTATCTCTCTGTGTGAGACAATGGCGGCGTTGTTTCTCGCCCTTTGGTTGGCCAAGTCGAGACCGTCCGCGGAAGCAAGATAAGTATCTTCCCATTTCCACATCCACCCCAGCTCTTCAATCTTGATCTTGCACTGATAACTTTAATACTATTGCTTTTCGAGATTTACATTCCACAATCCTCACTATCACAGCCATGGCTTGTGCACCGCCATCTGCGCTCGGCTGTTTGCCGTTGCCAGGAGCATCTTGGTCCTGATGGGATGATATAACGGATCTCCTCTCGTTTGCGGCACTGCCTCTCAGGGGTCGTACTCTCAGGAACCGAATGTATCACAATCTGTACCAACTTCAACCTAGGTTACAACTATGTGACTATGTCAGCATGACGGGCGGGGACTTCGTCTGTGGTACCAGCTCTTCCGTACCAATAACCACTCCTGTGTCTTCTTTATTGTGCAATCTACTTTGTGCTGGGGACAACTCAATTTGTGGAGGGCATGATGGTATTAGCCCTGATAGCGGTGCGTGGCAGTTCAACGATGGTGGGAGCGTCGACTGTCCAGCTATATCAACTACTTCTACTATTTCATCATCAACCACTTTCAGTACTTCCACCATCTCCAACGCCCGGACTCCTTCTGAAACCGGCGCGCCTGATATTACTCCTTACCCTAAGATCAATTACTAACGTAGTTTATGTTGTCATGGTATTGTGAACGGCAAAATAAAAAAATCGAAACCAGTCTCCTGGCACCGCGGACCTCGAACTTCCCAGATGAAATCAGTATCGTTAGCGCCTCCACGGCTAGATTCCCAGCAGTAACTCCGTTCGCGCCTTCTACTTATGTTCCGTGAAATTACCATGTACCTTGGACCGTAGTCTGCCCCTAACAATCTCCAGACAAGCAAACATCGGCGCGGGTCAAACTGTTACCGTTCAACAAACGGTGTCCATTTGCCCGCTCACGATATACGCTCCGCTCATTTCCTGCCAGCTGAGTGTAAATCCTGTTGGTGAAAGCAAGGGGCCTTCGATCTGCACTTTCCAATACTGCAAAGTGGTCACAGGAACTTGTGGTAGATTGGCTACCATGAGGGCTGGTAAATGGGGCAGCAACTCTCCGCAGAAAACTGCGATGGCTAGCCAGACCTATGCCATCGTTCAAGCTAAGATCTATTGTCCTGTTGCTGCTGTTGCCTATGTTGGCCGGATGACTTTGTAATGGGAGGGAAAGCAGTATGGTCTTGCATAAATTCTGTCTTTCTGTGAAGAGGGGAAGTTGTATTGCCGTTATGAGTTCCCTTCAGCACAGTTGTGCTATGAGCCTTTGGGATAGGTACAAGTCAGATGTAGTAATGAGATTGAATCACGGCACTTCTTCAAGCGGACGTACATTTTAGTCTCGCGTATGGGAACGGCAAAGGATATTGGTGAAGCTTTTATGTCAATTGAGCTATGCTGGCGGCTGAGGCCAGAAGCGGAAAGGAGACACACGTGCCAGCCCTCTAATCTCAACTGATTGTCGAAATCTCATCTTAAAGTCGAATATCAGAAAGGTGAATACTTATTGAGGTGCACAACCACTACCGCCCTTCAGTTCGCTCAAAGGAGCAGGATTCGCCGTCATGCGAACAACGAAGGCATCCATACCCTCACCAATCTTCTTCAGAAAAGCTCTCTTTTTGGCCTGATAGTGTGCTCGAGGCAAGTCAAGCATTGCTCCAATAGCAGTCAAGCCTTGGGCCGCCACCCAAACCAACGTTGTCTTATCCAGAATCTCGGATGCGCAGAAGTTGAAGCCAGCAAATTGCGAGAACTGGAACATATCTACGCTACTCATGTTGTTGACTTCCTTCATATGCCATTCTTTTAGTCCTCCAAAGTATCGATATTCCTCCCAGTCATCTCTCACGATAATCCTCTCAACGCGAGTGTTCGAATACTCTTCCCAAGGAGTAACTTCATCGTAGTATCCGAACTGGGCACCTGTCAAATCCAAAGCATAGACCTCTCCATTCTTGATCTCAACTTTTAGGATATTGTGGAGAGTATCGTTCTTTCCTTCTGGCTTGGGATTGACGTCGATAACTTGTCGCTTGGGATTCTTTGGCTCTAACGAGACTTCCTCAATCTTTACTGCAACACCTATTTAATATTAGCAATCGCCGTTGCGAAATTCTAGCTCTGCTGAGTGAAGAATTCGAGCCTACCTTCCAGCATGAGTTTAACCATGTCATGCATCCAAGCAACGGCATCTGAGCTAGCGTCGTGAGTGAGGACCGACTTTCGAGCTCCCCTACTGCCACACTTATTTCTGGGAAACGTCTGAAGAAGTTCCGCGAAGGTAGGAAGCCTGGAGATTTGAGTCATGTTGTCTATACTCTCGATCTTGATATGAATGTCGCCGCCACCGTTCTTCACCTCAACGCCGAGGATCTTCTTGAGAAAAATCTTCTCCTTGTAGATGTAAAAGATTTCCTGGAGGACATCGCCAGCACGGTAGAATAGCTTCCGTGCTTGGAGTTGCTTGCAAGTTGCTTTGTGGGTCTGCTTATCATCTTCGTAACACTGGATTGTACAGTAGGAGGCGCTGTGGATTTGGGGATCGAGAGCTGGAGCGTCCTGGCAGCCAACACAGGACAGTGTTGCTGGGCTCTGGCGCCGAGCACAAGTGGTGAGCGTCGGGACTTTGTCTGTGAAATTCATCTTGAGTGGATAGAATTGAGGTTTGTTTGGCAGAGCTCGAGACTGGAGGCAGAATTTGTTTGAATATTTCACCCCTTCTATGAACGAGGAAGGAGCCTTGAAATAAATTCCAATTTACTAGCCAATTCTTTGGCGCTGTTAGTGAATTGAGACACGTCACTTTAGACCCAACTTTACCTTGCCCTTTTGATCTAGGAACTTCTGGCAGAGCTCAAAGATAGTTCCTGGTTATCACCAAGGTGCAGCTGAGTAGCTGATATTGATATCACCTTCGACACTTCAAAGAATCTGAACAATGACTAGCTTTGAAGTTAATATTTTTTTTTTTATTGATAACAAGTATGTAACATACTCTTTCCTGTTTTACTTGGGAAGAGAGGATTTACACAACAAATGTGCAAAATAACGGCATGATAGAGAACGGAAGCGAAACAATTTCCCCTTAAATTAATTAGATCTAATATCACCTGTGTACCCTCATTTATTACCTCGATTCTTACTCTTGGATTAAATTCATCTTCAAGTCAACCTATCTTCCAAACTTCTAGGTTGTAGGGAATCATCGCTATGGGATAGTGTTAATAGCCCCTCAGCTGTGGGCTTGAATGCAAATACGGGGCAAGTGTGGGGTAAGGTGCCTTGGAATCTCTGAAATTCTTAGTAAAATGTAAGACTACGAGTACCTAATAAGTTCTGAACGTTCTTATCTTGATATCGGTTGTATTTGCTCACTGTGGAACAATATTCAGGAGTGGTATTTGATCGGTTCCAGCTCCTGATGATCATTTGCAATGTGAAACCCCGACAACGCCTTTCGGGTGAGAATTTCTCCTTTCCCTAAAGTCCTATCATTTCTTCAGCTCCCCAACTGCATTGGAATTAGCAAAAGTGTGCCTTTTTTAAAGTAAGGAAACTCACAAGAAATTGTCTTCTCGTCCCAATTGAAGACTCCCATCATCTTCTTCAAAAACGGCATCCCAAGAATGACCGTATTTTCAGACTCCATCACCGCGTCAAACATCACCGCACACTCCTCCCCAGGAAACATACAAGACAACGGATATCCAATCTTCTGCACATAATCTTCGCCCTTCAGCGTCACATTCTGGCCTTTCAGCCCGATCGTGATTTCCGGCAGAGACGCAATCTCGTCGCAGTCAACGACCATATATGGCCCACAACGACTTTCCCACGCGTACATGTGGTGCACTAGGCTTTGAGCGATCGTGTAGGGAAAACCGATGAATGGCATGACAGACATGAAGAAGGCTTTGCCACCAGGAATGGATTTGTCGACCAGGACTTTCTTCCCCCCACAGTCGCTGTCGCCCACCATGGAAATGTTCTCTAGCTCTACTTGCCACCTCGTCGTGTCTTCTGGGAACAAAGGGTGAGAAATCAAGTCTCCAGCAAGCAAGTCTTCGTCATAGCTGCCGAAGACGAGACTTCCTTCCTCCTGCGTTTTGCTTGGCCAGACGATGGAGAACATGTTCTCATCCAGGAGGTTGTTATCGATCATGTTTCTGAATGGGCTAGGGAGGATGTTCTCTGTGGGACGACTATCAAGACCAGGCATCCATTGCTTCTCAACAGCAAGCCCTAGCGCCACGCCATCAAAGAGATCTGTATAAAAGTTGTCGACCCAGGAGTAGTACTTGATGTCATGAAAGACCTGTCCAGGGACTTGCAGTCCATCTGCAAAGGTCAGAACATCCTCGGAGAGACGAGCATAAGCGTCAAATGGCCCATAAGAGATTTGCGTGATGGTGCCGTTGTCGTAATATGTTGATGAGGCACTGGCGTTGTAGGTGGCGTTGCCGGGACTGCAATATCGGGGGTATGGAGACCGTGAGTAGCAACCTGATGACGGGACGAAGAGGTCCGCCCAGTTTAGGTCGACGACTGCGCGGAAGGATTGAGGTGGAGTGCCGAGGGATATGTTTGTTGTGTATAGGAAGAAATTTTGCTCCTGGGTATGTTAGATGGTGTGGAGAGATAGGAGACAACTGACTTCAACTGGGGAGCCATGTGGCTTGGAGAATGAATTGACAGGAGCGTGGGAGGAAAGCTTGAAATTGCCGTTTAGGGGCTTTTGAGCTCGGTTACGTTGATCTGGGAATGGTGAGATAATTCTCGGGATAGTTCTTGCTGTCTTCGTGATGGGAAGGGTGAACTTCTCGGCAAGCGCGGGGATGAGGAAAGAAGCGAGGAGGAGAATCCAGGTGGAAATCATCATGACATGCAAACGGCGCGACACCAATTTTGATAGACGAGAAAACAATTTGTGGGAGCGGAGTTGAGCAGATAAAAGCAGGGAAACGTTTTGAGAAGGACACCTTTGTAAACTTCAGAGGGGATTGTTGCCTGGCGATCATGATGACAGCCGTGTTGGAGGATGCGGCACGGGCGAATGCTGATTCGATGACTCGCTTGAGGCTTGAGATGTGACAAGGGGTAAGCTCCTGACCTGAACCTATGAACCAAGAAACGTATCTGAAAGACTTCAAACTTTTACTCATCTTGAATATACGCCACCGTAGAGTCCTTATCTCCATCAAGAGGACAGTGTTCCAAAATCATCCCATCGCCCTCGCATTCCAAAAAATCCATGCATGATTATAACCTCGACTCTGAATATGGTTACTTTTGGTGACAATTGTTGCTGTTAATTTCTTGAGAAGAGCTCAAGATTCAAGTACAATTGAATCTATTCGTTCTCTGGTGCTACGTCTACTGTGCTTGGGTTGCTGCAAATTACACGTGACGTAAGCGAAAAATAAAGGGGGGCGGTCGGTCAATGAAGACCGACTCCAGAAAATATATCACAACCGTGCGTACACTAAACATTGCTGGAAACATAGCTGATTCTAAGTACATAATATGGTACACGATATGATAAAAAAAGTGGCGACTCCTATGTAAAGCTAAGTTCTCTTGGCCCTGAGATGGTAATATGTCAATGGTTGCGTTCACCGAAGATGGCCCTTCAAGCAAACGCCTGATTCCACCTCTAATAGAGTGATAAACGGACGGGAGCTGTTGGAATGACGTGGACGAACCTAAAAAATGTTGCCATGGGTGTTTTCAATATCGAACAGCTCTTTTCACTGGGGACAAAACATTCACAGCACCAAAGCAAGTGGGAATCAAAGAGAGTTCTTGGGAGGATCTATTTTTGACTATCACTACAAGGAAGTGTCATTCGTCGTATACCACCATGGTCTAGAAGCATCTATAGATGCCCAACTGTCCCTTCTCGATTCTTATTATTTTCCTCATTGCCATTCTTCCACCACTCGTCAACGTATCATAGAAGCACCTATACAGATCTATGTCCCCTCCAGTCTCCGTTATCGCATCGCCGTCATCACTGTATCAACCTTAGAGTCAGAGAAGGCATTATCTTGGAGGCAGAATGAGGAGGCTGGGATATCATTAGCAAGGTAGTCAATAATGTGGGTGCGGGTAAACTTACGACCACTCAGAACAAAAACACGCATAATCGAACTCGGAAAGGGTGATTGAATGAAGAGGATATCTTGAGAGGCCGGGACGTAATCAGATCTGACTTGAGCGGCTTCCTGAGGGCCTCCACGTCCACGGTGGGACTGGATCATCATCCTTTTTCCATCTATAGACGTGACTGGCGGAAGGTATTCTCCTCATACAGGGTGTATGTTACACTGTGGGACGTGCGATGCACTGAACTGATGTGTGGCAGACCGTTCTGTGGGGAATTCAGTGGGGGCAAATGGACGGGTGGGCGACTCCGTGAGCCATGCTCCAAGTCGCTTCATTGTTGATGGGGGTTCTGAGTAGGGCCCTGAGGACCGCCAAGTCCACGGAAGGTGACTTGGTCATCATCTATTCCTCCCCCTCCTCAATCTTCAGAGAGGCGAAGGGGTTCGTATGAGAGAATGAATGTCCAGTCTGACCCGGGGAGGAGCGATAGGTCCGTAACCGCCACGCATGGCCACTGAAGAACCATTAGCAAGGCAGTCAATGATGTGGTTCCAGAAGGACTTGCGGGTATCAGTGACTGGTACATACATACTCGGACCTTGGTGGTGACCTTAAGTTGCGAGGCTTGTACACACCGTTGATGATAGAATCCCGTTCAAGAAGGGGGGTAGTTCCCAACTCGGTACTTGCACCCCATTTGGGTAAAGCGCAGGTACCTTCGTGAATCCACTTGTCGCGGTAAGTCCCACCAGGAAGATCGAAATCGATTGAGGTTTGGGCCGATCTAGATCGGCTAAGTATCAAACCAAAGATCAGTATACTTTCAATGAATCCAGATAACGGGGTAAAAACCTCTGGTGGGACCATATGGCCTTCAGCGATAAGCTTATATCTCATCTTTTCCATGTACTGGACAGCAGAGCAGCCCGTAGGACTTGGCTGTAGGCCACCCAATCTCCAGCGTTGTTACCATTCCGAACGTCATCAGGGCTGTTGCAGCCAGGTTGCGTACGATGTCCAGGAAGACCAAGAGACTTCTGCAAACCGACGATTTTGATATTGCCAATGTTGGTACGGTCCAAGAAGAGAGGATGTATAGAATGAAAAACTGGGCGGTTAGTTGAGGTCGAGATGGATTGCGGGGGAGGGAGCTTACCCATGGGATGGGGCAGAGTTCTAGCTTCCAGAGAAGCTCGCGATCCTATATAGCATGTCAGTGGGTTTAAGAAATGCCAAAAGTACTGGGAACTCACCACAGTAGCACGCTCGGGTGCGCATCTGGGTCGGGTGGCAAACTGGGGGTTGATGCCCGCCTCAAGTTGCTCCTGCTCATGGGACAGACATCGCATTTGGTCCTCAGAAGAAGCACAAGAGACGACCTACAACAAGCAAAACTCATTGTGTCAGATTAGGGTCCTCTTGGCTGTGTTGGTGGATGTTGGTGTTTTGTGTGGGTGTTTGATATTTGTGGAGGAAACGGACTTTCGAGACGAATAGATTCAAAGATTCAAAGATCGAGGAATGCGTTTACCGAGAATGCTTTAAGGTAGGGCTCGAGGCTTAGGGCAAAGCTAGTCCGGTTTTGCGCGTTGAATTGATGGGAGAGGGCTGCGGGGGGCGACAGTCGGGGGCCGAAATGGTTGAATGGTGCTCGAAATGGCCATGTCTTTAGGACAGTTTGTACTTTCAGAAAACTCCCTATGGTGAGCGGTAAGCCCAGAAGATGAGCGGTTCCGCATTTCTTTCATTTCTAATAAGATAGATAATCTATGGTTGTCTGTTGTTGGTCCTCATTCCCAGGACAAAGCAGATCAAAGCTGTCTATCAACGAACGTTCCTGCTAGTTTCGTTGGGATCGCAATGGTGCACAAATTCACAGTAATTGAATTCTGTGCTGCCACTGATTTAAATTGACAAGACCGACTTGTCAAGCTTACAGACTGACTTGTCCTGAGGACCTTAAAGATTCGTAAATGTCTGAAAAGGAAGGCACGTTGGACACGGAAGAGGTTAGGTAGGACAGGAGAGGTGATGCCCTTTTCTTCGAAAAGGAAAGTATCTTATTAGACAAGAAGTTGGTGATGCTAGACAAAAGAAGTGAGCGGTTGCTTGCTGGCCACCTGTGACATCGCCTGCCCACAACGATGCGATTTCACCTGACCCACAAAAATCGAGCTCGAATTTAACAAAACCTTGTTTAAAGCAATCACTAAAGATTTTCTTCACCGAGTATTGCTTGAGGCTATTGATCTACTTCCACGCTCTCTTTGCACGATATGGAGTCCAGGTATGATTGAAAAAGCAACCGCAGGTGCGTACACGGCACACTCAGAGGACCTTCCGCAAGTTGACATGTGGCAGGCACCCACACGCAACACTTCACACGCTGCTATTACGGCCCTCTTCTCACCCAAAACCTTAACCCAAGTATCAAGTCCCGTCGCTCACCAAGGCTGAGATCAACATGGGCGTTCTCGTGGAAGATCTTCCAGCTAGTAAGTCGGTCCTCTCGTCACCTGCCTCCGGAATCTGTCTTCGCTACTTCTTTCCATTCTGTCTAATTGCCACTTCGTCAAGGAAGTTAATACTAACACTTGCAGCATCTCTTCGCAACCATTGGAAGCGTCGACATCGAAGGATCACAAAGCAACGACGCTACGAACACTGCCTTGGAAAGGGCTTCTAAGCTTGTCAAATCGCAGCAAGGAGTTCTTCGAAGCCGCACCAGCTTTCGTGATTCTGCTAAGGCTTGTTTGTCCGATACAAGTACAAGATGATGTTCTGTACCACTACGCTGTCCGTGCCGAGCCACATTGACGGGAGGAGAAAGCGCAGGACCCTCCCGGTCCCTTGAACAACACTTCAACCTGCACTAGATCTCAAGACACTGAGTGAAGCGCCTACTAATTTCTACCCAGGGAGATAGTACGAGGTCAAGATCTCCTTCTCCGCCCGGAGGGATACGCGTGCCATGAAGAGGGGCTTGCGGAGAGCTTCATAGAGTATACCATGACCAGCAGGTTGCAAGAGAACAAAGAAGTGTAAGGCCCAAGAGAATACCAGCATGGCCAGCGGTTATGCTCCTGTCCAGTATGGTTTCCAGCGTCGCGGTCAGTATGGTACTCAGTATAGTGACCACCACCAAGGAGAATCGAACGACAGAGAATACAGAAACTTTCGAGGCACAACGACTTGGTGGAACAACATAACGAAGTATAATGGCAGGCGAGGAGACCCTTGCGATCATATCGAGAGACGCGGCGGAGCCGACTGTAATACCATGAGTCCAGTACCCCTATCCTGCCAATCATTCTAACAGCCAAGAATCCACAAAACTAAACAGATGATTCACGCCTCGTATTTAAGTTCGTCGAGGTGCTTCTGGATAGTACGAATACTATATGAAAGTCGCTAGCGATCAGCCGGAGATCTGCTTAGATTGTTGTTGGCGTCCGGAGGAAATCAACCCTGAGCATGTCAAGGCCTTAGGAGCTCCCATAGGCACCTTAGCCCTTTTTTGTGCCCTCACGCCCACTTGATTACCTGGTTCTCCTTCCTCACGTGCTTGCTCAATAGCTACTCTCTTCTTTGCTCTCTCAGATGCCCTGCTAGCCTTCTGAACTAACGAAATTGAACCACGATTATTCTCCTTTGTCATACTTCTCTGCCTTAGTTCCTCCAGGAAGCGGAGCATTAGGGTTTTGTAGCCACCACCTAATATCCATGCGTTTCCTAGCAGTAGGAATCTTCCTACCAACCCCCTTAGCAAGCCTGTAATCCCACGCATCTTCGCCTTTAGTAGGCCAATTATTATCAGGCTCTTCAGCAACATGGGAGGGCAAAAACTAGGTGCCGGAAGAACGAGCTCCTGGAGCAGTAATATCAAAATATTGCTCTGCTCGCCCATAGAACGCTAACGAGGCATACGCGGGGTTAGGGATAAACGAAGGGTTAAAAGAGACATATTGGAAGTGAGGTAATTTAATGAGAGGTATAAAAAATCAGTGGTTGTACTTGTAAAATAGTGCCTGTACTATAAACTATATTTAGGTAATAAGGAAGCAGAGGCTTTATATATATTTAGGAGCTCTGGAAAAGTGTCTTTACCCCTATTAGTATCTCCTTTAATATCTAGAATAAATTAAATAAACTATGCAATGCTATAGGGTATAGTATAAACAAGTGAGATATAGTAAAATATAGACTATAAAATAGGTTAGTAGCTATTAATTAGCACTTGTGAAATTTTTATTTTATTAGTAATTAGTTAATTAGTCGAGGATATAAAATCGAGAAAGTTAATTAGTTAATATATAGCCCAACTTATTAGTGCTTATTAGTCAAGGCTTTTAATTTTTTTCTTTTAATTTTAGACTTATTTATAGGTCTAAACCCTTCTATTTTATTCCTAAAATCCTAAATTAAGAGAAGTAAGTATAACTTATTAAAAAAACTATAAAAACCCTGAAATTCTCTAAGAGGCCTTTTAGTAATACTCTAGTACTAGTATATAGTAAGGCATATAGAGGGGAGTGAGACGTGCCGAGATATGAAGATATATTTTTCCACGTGATTTTTCACATATAAAGATTATTCGTGTAGTCTAATTAGTAGCTAATTAGTCGATATTAGTGAGTTAGTTAGTCAGTCAGTTAAAGACTTTAATTACTAATTACATTAGTTAGTTAGTTCAAATATAGCCTTAACTAATAATGGACTGATATATTTATAGCCTAATAAAGTAAGAAATTAGGCTTGAGGATATACTTAGTATTAATTATAAAAAATCTATATTATAGCATAAAGAGAAAAGCTTAGGCGAAGTAAAGAATATAGAATTAAGGATATATTAAGTATGAACTAGTGAGTAAAAGATTTCAGCTCTCTTAGCCCCTTTAGCCCCGAGACCCAAATATTATGCAATTAATCAATCGGGCACCCGGTTAACTAATCGGGACCCACAGTGGACCCGAATCGTAATTCACCCCCTATTAATTAATCGCTCATATTAATGAACGGGGGTAATTATATGCTCCATTATTAACTTTCTGCGGAGGTACGGTCCGTAACCATAATAGTAGCGCTAGCAAGGGGGCCTAGCTTAGATCATACATGTGTACCTTTGCTTATAAACTTATTAGTTATTATAACCTTATTGCCCTGAGCCGGGGCCCCTTACTAGTATTGGACATGTCTCACCGGATGAAGGGATAACTCTCGAGACTATCTTAAAGGGGGTGGAAGCATCGGCTTGGACGCCTGTACATGCAGCTATATGTCAGAGACGGAAGTTGCCATAGTGAATGCACATGCACACCCTGTCTCTTAAACTTTTCGGTGTAAAAGCCTCTATGGCGACAGCACAGCGACATATGATCACCCCCTTTATAATACATAAAATGGTGAGTATATTATAATGTTATGCATAATGTTATAATTGGCCCACTATAACAGCTAGTGTGACGGCGGGATCAATGCAATGGTCGAAGGCTCAAAGTTCAAAGAATCTCATGTATTGAAAATACTAAGTTGGGGAGCAAAGAAGGGAGGAATGCCTCGACCTTTTAGTATTATCTCGCCCAAGCATTCCGGCTTAGCTTCGTTTTGCACCTGTTTCCGATACCCTATTCCTGGCAGATCATGCCGTTACGCTAGCCGTCACAGCTAGCAGAACTGCACAATCTGCTGCAAACGTTATATAAGAAATATACCTAAAATGAGTCAAGTGAGGTAGGAATTAGCAGAACACTACTAAAGGTCGAGGTATCTCCTCTTCTTTACTCCCTAGCTTAGTATTTCTAATATATGAGATTCTATAAACTTTAAACCTTTAATTATTACATTAATCTTGCTATTATATCTAGCCTAAAAACACTTGAGTAATGTAAAATAAGCAATATATTACTTCAAATATACTATTATATCTCGGGCTATTAAACCAAGAAAATAAGTATAAATTATAATTTTTTGGATTTTTAATTATAAGGCTAATTATTAGGCATTATAATATTTATTTTAGTACTTTACTAAAAACCTAATATTTAAATATTAAGGTGCCCTCATTTATTATATATTAATTATACTTTTTATATAATATTAGGAGAAAAAAAACTTTATTTTAACTTTTATATTTATACTTTTAATATTATTTGTATTTCCTATTTAAAATATCTAATTAACTCAAGCTTAGCTTCAAATTAATAATAAATAAGCCCTCTTCTTTTATTATTTTAGAATATATTATATAATTACTCAAATTTATCTCTAGTAACTAATTATGCAATTCTTTTATACTATTTTATCTCTTGCAATATTCTCAGTTACTGCGCCCGCTTGCCCGGCTAATATAGATGTCTCGACTAGTACGAGAGATGCTACTCCTCCATGCGAAAATATGACATGGAATTCAAAAGGTAGTCCTCAAGGAGGATGGTCGGTATGTTTTTTCTAATAATACCCTTAATATAATACTTGCTAATATACATTTACTATTATAGTGCGGTAGTGACAATCGCACTTGCTGTGAGTACTATTATACATATACTCCTCCATACTGGAGTGTAAGTATAGTAGATATTTCTTTTTCTTATTTTTACTAACTTTTTATTTTAGTGTGCTTAATGTGGTACGGCAGGCCGTACCCTCCAAAAATCATGTTGTTTTGGCGGTTTTGAGGTTTTGGTCACATGGCAAAGGCCGCGGCCTTTTGCACGTGACTTGCGGGAATCACATAAGAAAGCTGGTTTTTCTGTAGTTCTAGATAACAATCCCTCTTCAATATTCAATCAATTGAGCTTTGCACACTGCACACTGTTTATGCTTTACTGTTTACACTTTTGCTCTTGTTGTTTTGCTGTCAAGTCACGTTTTGCGCTCTGGTGTACTTTATGTGGGTTTTTGTCTTGTCGCAGTTTCCCTCCCACATTAATCGGAGATATCTTTAACCCTGCTATAAAGAAGGGTTGTGGAATATATAAGATATATAAAAAAAAGTACAAGGCCTTACTATTTAGAGCACTACTCCTAATAATTATTACTCTCTAGTAATAATTACTATTGTGGTGGGGTTTTTTGTCTCTTGTCTTGTGACTACCATCACGTGTCCTGCTCTCCAGGCATGCTGGCGCTAGTTTAAGGGGTTGCATAAGACTTCCGTCCATACACACAATTAGACTTACCAATACATCAACCTTCAGAGCTCCTTATTTTTGACCAATCGTATTATTTCGTTACAAGTGTTGAGAGTCTTCAGAGTGTTACTTCTATTATTCAGCTTCCTACCCTCCTTACCTCCACCCACGCATCCAATGCATATATATGGTCCGAAATCCATTGTCTCAAGTACGAACTACTATTATGACTTAAAAGCTATCCCTGCAGCTTTGGTAGGGTGAACCAGATCCCAGATGGGTTTGGCAAAAAGACCCTCAAAGATGTTCCCTTCGTCGTTCCTGGTACTCGGACATGATTTCGGCTCTTCATCATGACAAGTCAGAGTCTGATGATGCACACAGAAGAGTGCTGCAATCCCACTGGGCGGAACCAACACGTACAAGCTAATGGTCGACGGCGTGAAGAATGCCTCCTCATTTATCTTTGGCTCTCCCACGAGAAGATTACAGCTAGATGGCACATCTGGTTTTGGAGCAATGCAGCCGCCATTATGTGCAAACCACAGAGATCATAGCATCCCTCAGCTTGAAAGCACCTAGAGCCCGTGAACGAATATTTAGGGTATCGGCTGCAGGCACAATACCAAATGCCTTCGTTCGTCCAATCCAGATGCGGTTGTCGGTGAGCAGTCTCTCGATTTCATCAATACGGTCTCCAGATTTGGTGGCCCATTGGGAGATATCGGCAAGAAATCAACTCAGTGTGGGAGAAGTTTAGTACGATTAGGGACAAAGCGGAACTTGACTCGACCAACAAGTGTGGAACCTCTGATGAACTAAAGTATAGACCTGAGTCCCTGACTGGCGTCTACCCCTGTCCTCTCTGGCCAGGCGATCCACAGATTTCCAATTCCGAGTCGTTCAAAATTGGGTCCTGAAGACGTGAACGATTCCTCAGTCAATCAAGAACAAAGTGTTATATAAAGCATTGAGCCTTCTTGAACAGTTTCACCAATGTACCCAATCACGTTACGGGCTATCAAGGTTCCACTCAGCAAGAAGAAGTTCATCAACCGTTCCGCCTTGAAGCCAGCCGGCCCTGCAATCTCATTCGTCCTGTATTCAAACCTCTTGTTGGAGCTCCGCCAAAAGATTCTCGACAACGCCATCTTCGGCAGACACTTTGGCGTCCAAGTGATCGAAATGGCAGCGGGCAGTGGACTAGCCGAGCTTGTTCTCATGGCGGTTTGGACAATGCCATGACTACGAGCGGCGAAGGTTACCGATACCTCTCCAGCATATACCGTTACCAACCAATATTCAGGAACGGTAAATTACCGCCCAATGAGGAGAATACCTTCTCATTCTCCTTCCATAGGAGAGAAGTTCCGAACGCTAGCGCAACGTATGCTCTTCTTTTTGGACATTGGAGAGGGTTCGAACACCCATGAAGTCCACTTCCATTGGGTGAAGCCGGCGAGTTGGGCGAGACACTTTCGACAATAATTTCGAACGTGCCGAGGGAGACGCTGTCAATGAGGCTTTCGGAACCCCGGGGGGACGCACCCAGCAGTGAGCTTTGGAGGACATCAGTTGGGTTCGGGAGCGCTACGCCTCTGCTAGAAAGTAAGAGCCGACAGATGAGGAGATCATAGTGCGTACTCAAAGAAAGAACTCCCGTTTGTCCTCCCCAATATCACCACTGGCCCTGAAGCATCCTCCCAATGTCATAAATGGAATGGCTGCTTAAACAAAAAGAGACGGTTCTCCATCAAAATGAAGTCAACCGAGTCGCTTGCAATCCCGAGAAAGTCGTTTAGTATGGTCAGAATTCTATCCCAAATTCATCCATCATTGATGAGAAAAAGTGGCGCTCGCGTCATCCGACGTTTGAAGATGGACAAACAGTCTTCTGCGGAGCATGTTGAGCATCCCAAGAAGAGCCTTGATAATCCAGGAATCAGCGATGGCTCTGGTAGGTTCGCCGTGGACCAGATGGCCGACGAAGCAAGTCAGGTGCCCGCCGCGGTGAGCCACAACTCAAGGTCGAATATCTTGACAATGCATAACACAGCACAGTGTTCAAAATGGCCCTTCTTCAGAGAATAACCGGATCCTTCGGTGATCCCCTGACAGCCGCAATCGGGAAGATGGTTGGCCTCGGTGGCCTCGGTGGCCTCGCTGGTTGGGCGTGAATTTTCTTAGGAAGTCGAGCGGGAGAACATCGAGGAGGGCGGTCCCGCTGCTGAGAAGGACCTTCACGTTGTGGAGGCTTGAGCCTGATGATCATTGACGTTGACGATGTAATGACTCGAGAGCTGGCGGATAGTCTGTTCTATCCTTTGAGACAAATATATAACCACCGGCAAAATCAACCAGGTAACTATCTTGCGCCGCGGGCCGGAGCCGTAGGCAACCAGAATTGTCTGAGGAGATACTATCGTATGAAGGACCTGAGGTCAAACACGAGGATCTCTATGACGCATGTTGCAGCTCATGGTGTCTATTAAGACTAAGCTGGAATTGGGTAGTGAACGTGATACAGACTAGGAAGAGACCGGGCCACGGTCGTGGGATGCTCAGTGGAGAAACAGAAAAGGAGTACTGTGCGATGAGGTCAAGCCTGATGCTGGCGAGGTTAAGAAAGCCGCTGAGAAGGAGCAAGAGGAGAAGAGTGAGATTTGGGACTGCACACCTATCAATGATTTTAGCGTTGACGATCCATTCATCAAATCTTTCAACTTGGTCATCAACAATGACATGTCTGTCATTGAAAATGAGGGGCGTTCGGCTGCAATCCCCTCTTGGTGAACATTCTTCTCTTTCTGTCTCGAAGGCTACGAAGAACGACAAAGTCACCAAGAAGGCCCCCAAGAAGGAGACTGCTACGTCCGTCAAGCAGCTGAAGGCCAAGCCTGTCAAGGAGGAGTGTGAGGGGGCGGGTGACGATATCCAGGAGGTCGAGCAAGAGGGCGTTGAGGAGAGCGGTTCCACTGCTCTATCCTAGAGAAGGGTGTCATCTACTTCTTCTGCCGTACCCGGGTTGGTGTTGAGGAGCCTCCTCATGAAACTCCACGTGATGAGAAGGGCCAGGTTGGTGTTGAGGAACCTCCAATGCATCGGGGATGTTGCTCGCTCATACATCGTTCTCCGTCCGCTTCCTCCCCGAGCCAGGCTTGGCGAAGGCCTACGTGAGCATCCCGGTGATGCGAGACTCTTGCCTCTGGTTCTCGAGAGCCAGCTGGCCAGACCATGTGTCATTGAGAAAGACTGGATAAAGGCCTACAACCGTGCCCATTCCAAGATTTATAAGGCCGAATGCAGGGCGAGCTGTTCTTGGCAGCTTCAGCGACCTCCACAACGAGATCCTCAATGATGGGATGCCTTATCTACCGGATATCGAGGTACTTCCTAACATCGTGGTTGATCAAGATGAGGCCAAATCTCCGAAGGGATATAATCTTACGAAGAGATCTCCACTCGCCAGCCACAAGTGATCTCAGCCCTTGGGTTTTCGCAGCATGACATCGGACTACTATCCTGCTGACCATCGCATGAGCCTACCCGGAATCTGTGGTCAATATGCCTCCCCATATGGTGGATCCTCGCAGAAGAGACAAGGCCCCATGAGATGGGTATGGCGTCAGATGGGAGGCCCCTCCGAGATACAGCCATCGACGAATTGATCAAGAAAAGGGTCTTGAGTGCCAATTTCGTGAATGATGACACGAAGTCTAGTTTCTCGGGCTTCATGAGCAGGACTGGCGAATGTATACCCTGCAAACTCGATGAGAACCAGACCGACCAAACCATATAGAGCACCTTCACCACCGTCAGTCTCGTACCAGAATCCATTCATCTCCGAGCCACCAGAGGTCATGTCCCCAACCTCTCCGGAGGTAACTAGATATATGAGACGCTAGGGCCAAAATCGGTTTCAACCTTCTTCAAGTATTGCGATAGATGAGAGTCGAACATTCCCACGTGCCAGGATTCTCCCACCAAAAGCTGCATGCCTGTTCGAGCGCCATTATAGCCGCTCAGGCTGAGAAGCACCGCGGTATCTTCCATCCAGCAGTCTTCGTCACCGGAAACCCAAATGCCAGGGAGATGGAGATGGCCAGCTTTTTCTGTTGACTGATTGCAGCTTGCGAGCGTTGTGTGGCCACCATGAGATATTCTCTCTACTCGATGGAGACCCGAAAGTGATCTCGACTTTCAGGAACCCCAAATCACGCAGGCCATAGCATCACTGAGCTTGAGGGCATGCTCTCAATACGGTTTGTATCGTTCCAAGGTCCCACGAGACCTGCCTCAAGTTGCCATCACACAGAAGAGGGCTGCGATTCCCCACTGTTCTAGCCGATTGTTACTGGTTTCAAGTTTGCGTTCCCACTTGGCGTGGGCTATGGCAAGAAGATTTCAGCTAAAGCCACAGGCGTCTGCCTTGAGGAAAATGGAAATTTGGTAGCATGTCCCTCCTTCGCCGAACAAACATCCCCTAATGGTACCGCCAACGCCGACAGAAGAGTGTTGCGATTCCACTTGGGGCGAACGATTTGTTCAGGCAATCGTAGCTGGTCTTCGAAGTGCCTTCTCGTTCGGTTCCGGCCATCGCCTATGCCTGCCAAAGACTCTGGTATTAGCCTGTCCCGTCCAAGCGGGGGCCTTCCAGCTCGCGCCTATATTCCCCTTCGCTTTTAATACTCTACTCTTTTCAATGTTGCAGTCCTGGTTCCCCGACACACCCAGTGAATAGTATACCGCTCCCCGGAAGGAAAGGACAGGCCGCTCCAGTAAGAGTTCATGTTGGCGAGGGTAGAATCCTGCGGTCTCCCCTCGGTCTTGACAGGGGCAGTGAGTTGGTTGCTAAGAACAAGGTACGTTACTCCCCCTCCCCTTTCATCTTCCTAAGCTGGCGATCACTTTGTAGGTCTCCGAAGCCTTCTGCACCTACGTCCGTGGCCAGAACTGGAGGGCTGCCAATGCCTACAACGCCCAGGGTTGCCACCACAAGATGGGTTCCGCAGGCCGCTTCACCGTTGGTCCACGTAGCTGCGCTCGCCTTTGCTGCATCGCTGGTGATCAAGTCCGAATCCGCAATGTCGCTTGTTCTCCTTCTACTAGAGGTAGAGATGCAGGAGTTGCCGAAGGATGTTGCTTTAGACTTTGTCGAGGGTGGTGGCCTCGGCTACCGGGCCGTCTTCCCTGAACATCTCTGCGACCGTCCTTGGTTCCACGACATATTTCGAGGATATTGGCTGGTGTAGGAGAGAGTTGCTGGGGCGAATCTTCCGCGGGCGGGGCTTGGTGATTGATGGGCTTGGAGTTTACGTTCGGAGAGAGGTCTCCGGCTAATGCCATGTGTAAGTTGAAGTCTTCCCTTCAAGTTGAGTTCTTCCTTGTCCTGCGCTTTCTCACTTCGACGGCGACAGATGATGAGAAGTCATTGTCTGATGTCTTAACAAGGCCACTGGCTTCGTTCTGATATATCACGAAATGCACGGCTCGCTTCGTTCCCATCTACTGTTTGACTTCAGATGATTGGATAGCGTTGTTTGATGTACAGCCGAGTTAGCTTCGCTCTGATGTATTGTATACCGTCCCTCCAATTCTTGCACACGAAAACTTGCTTCGCTCCCATCTCCTGTTCATCTTCGGATGACGAGAAGTTATCGTTTGGACGTTATCTGAAGGTGCAATTTCGAATCGGTTTCGCTCTGATCTTTCTTTTTGTCCTCAGATGACGAGAACTTGTCGTTTTGTCGTCATCCTATTTCTGACACGATAACTTCCTTCGCTTCACCCCCATACTTCCCTTTGTTTCTCTTCTATCTTTAAAAGAACAGATGAGCTAATCCTTCCCAATAGTGGCTACCAACCTCAACCTCAAGGTGAGTTTGACCTTCGCGTGGCCTTGAGGATCAGTATTCCCAATCACAATGCTAGCATCGATGATTGGTGAATTGGAAGAGCGTATTTCGGGTTGTTGGTTAAGGAGGACAAGAACTTCATCCAACCATAAAGCAAAATTCCTTCTCCTACCCATGAATTGAATAATTCGACTTTGGTGCTTGCTAATATGGGAATGGATCTTATTTCTGTTTTTGGTTGAATTGATTAGCCAATAGCACCTGAGGGGGGCTGCGGTACCGGAAATACAATCACCATGGCCTGGAAATTTGTTCAGATTAACCATTGAGAGGAATGAATTGACGAAAGCTTCGTCCAAAATAAAGTGCTGTTGATCAAGAACAAAGTCAAGTTCAGGAAAGTGTTTCCAGCACCATCGTCCATCGTTCTCCCCTCCCCAACCTCGACTCCAAGGGCAGAAATTACACGGCTCAGCTCGAGACACTTGGGAGCTGTACAGTTGGCCATGACAAATCAAACAGAAATCCCTGCTCTCAAAGCAGCAACACAAAGAGCCCCCTGCAGCTTCCGCTTGAGTCGGCTTCCCCAGCATCTGAATAATCAAGGAGCATTGCCAATGAATTTACCGTCTTAGGGAAATCTCACGTGGCTATGCGTGACATAAGGTGGCTCAGACCATGGCGACTGGCCTTTATCAATGGTGGCAATTGCCGTCTGACTTCCTGACGCGTCCATGATACTATGATAGGAGTGATCGCGCTATCGCAATGCTCCAATTGTGCAGACGTTGTTGTCTTCCCCACGTTTATCAACTTTCTGGAAGTCTCGGAGCCCACAACGGTGAACCCTATCCCCTTCCTTTAACTGGAGTCAATCTCACCATGATTTATCATTGTATGCTGATCTTGCCCTTTTCTGTCTAGATCAAGGTTTACCTTCAATTCAACCAATGGGTGTGTCACATGTTCGCTTCGAGACTGGGAACATTCGTCATATTTGTTGACCCCTGCTGTCCTCAGCTCGAGACGCCTGCAGGCTCGTAGATTGTGACTGCACAACACTTTGCTGAAAGGAGTGAGCCTTGTGCCGTCGCAGAACCATTAGCAAAGTGTACGACTCTCTTTTGCCCCCTTCTTTGCAGTTTCAGAGCTGATTACTCGTTCCTCTTAGTGCTGCATACACAAGCTTGCCGCTACCCACCTACCCACTCCCCCCGCATGAAGTGCTCGACGTAACGCTTTACTCAAGCCCGAGTAGTTTCGAAAGTCTATACTGCCGATTTTCCCGGAAAACTGGGGAGATACCTGCTGCCAAAATGTCGGACCACAATGGAGAAAGGTTAGCAAATTCCCTCAAATACGAAGGAGAGGCTGCTCGTAGCCCCGGTGCCTGGCATAAATTTCTCGAGCCTTGCTAATGATGGCATTGCTCAGTCACAAGCGCAGTAAATCGACTCTCCATAAACTGCGACGGAAGGAAGGCAAGGACGACGATAAGGAGAGCAATTCAGAGGAAGGATCGATGACTTCATTGCCCCTTGGGGCAGCTTCCCCAGCCTCAGTCGCCCATCATGCCTCTCGCGGCCACGCTTCAAAACCATCGACAGGTACCGCAGGGCTGATGAGATCTACTTCGAATCTGCAAGCTCCGAGAATCATGCCAGCCCAACCGCCCCTTCAAGAGAAGACGGTGTCCATCGAGCAATCGGTCAAGAAGTTCCGTATCTTCGAGGCGCTTCGAAATGGAGACACTGCGTCAATATCAAAAGCGATAAGGGAGACGGATGGCAGTCGTATAAGCACATCTAGCGCAGGGGGGGCAGGATCTTCGGGACTGGACGACACAACCATATTGCATCTTGCTATACAGTGCGCCGAGCTCCCTGTGATCGAATACGTGCTTTCAGACGGTGCAGGGTCGATCGATGTCAATGCGCGAGATAAGGATGGGAACACGGCGTTGCATGTTGCAGCTCAACAGGGTCGAGGGCAGGTTGTGCGATTGTTGTTGGATCAGCCTGGCATCAATGATTCTATCGCGAATTACCAAGGCCGCCTGCCCCTCGACCTCGCGCGAACCCCAGATATCTTCCAGCAACTACAATTATCGCGGTCTATATTTGTCGATGGAAAGATCAGGCAGGTACAGGCGCTGGTTGCCCAAGGGGATTACAAGACCTTGGGTGCAGTTCTGGAAGAGCCGCGGGTGAAGATGGTATTGGACATCAATGGGGGGGAATTTGCTTCGGACATCAACACCATTCAGTCTGGAGGCACCTTGTTACATGAAGCAGCGAGACGGAAAAATACCGCCTTGATTCAGGTCTTGCTTCTCCATGGAGCTGACCCTTTTCGCCGAGATCGAAAAGGAAAATTGCCTCAGGATGTTACCAAAGACGACACCACGAGAGCTATGCTCAAGCGATCTCCAGCTGCAGTGGCTGCACAGCGTGGAATTCAAGAAAAGGCTGTCCTTGGTAATGCATCTCAGCAAGGAGCGGTCAATGCTGCCCCAGGTGATGCACTTGCAGGGAAAGAAGGTCGTGAGATGAAGGGCTATCTGAAAAAGTGGACGAACTACCGGAAGGGTTATCAGTTGCGATGGTTTGTCCTAGAAGACGGAGTCATGAGTTACTACAAGCACCAAGATGATGCTGGGTCCGCTTGCCGTGGTGCCATCAACATGAAAATAGCCAAACTTAACATGGACCCAACCGAGAAGACGAAGTTCGAGATCATCGGAAAGTCATCGGTCAAATACCATCTCAAGGCTAACCATGAAGTTGAAGCAAAGAGATGGTTTTGGGCGCTCAACAACTCCATACAGTGGACCAAGGACCAAGCAAAGGAAGAGGACAGACAGAGGCAAAAGAGCGCAGAAATGCTACGGCAAGCAAAGGCCGAACACTCTACCTCTGGTTTGACGCGAGACACATCCATGGCAGACCTCACTAGCGATGCAACAAGTGTCGCAGATACTCGACGAAGCAGCTTCCAAACCACCTCCCGGTTAGTCCCACAGCCAAGTACCGGAAAGCATAGCGGCCACAAAGTTGCATTTGCCAGTGGAAGCGTGGGGGACGATGAGGAAGGCACAGCCTATGGATCCTACGAGCCCAGCTTCATGGGAGATCCAGGCAAGACGCCGAGCAATAATGGACCGCCCATAGGCACTGATGGGGACGATGACGACGAAGAGTATGGCGAGGGCTCTAGTGATCCTGAAGCGCCAGCCACGAAAGATGCATTCGAAATCACAGCACAGTCAGCGACGTTGCAACTCGATATGATGGGGCAAGTGAATGCTGCCCTGCAGTCCGAGCAAGTCAAGAATCCAACTCTTTCCATATCGGACTCCATCGCCATACAAGCAGTCCAGACCTACGACTCTTCGATACGCAACCTGAAAGGTCTTGTTGGAGATCTCCTCAAGATATCAAAGGACAGAGACGCGTACTGGCAATACCGCCTTGACCGAGAGGCTGATATGAGGCGAATGTGGGAAGATAGCATGGCGCAGGTGGCACGGGAGCAAGAGGTTCTGGAGCAAAAAGTCGGTGAATCAGAAGAGAAGAGGAAGTTGACTAAGCGAGCTCTTCGCGAAGTCATCGAGGGAAGCACAATCATCAGCAGTCGTCCAGAAAGTGCGGGGGAGCCCTCAAAGACCCAGGAATTTGTAGATGCTCTTGAGAAAGTCTCTCTCAATCACGATGGCACCGCACTGAGACGGAAATCCACAGCTGCAAGCTCTCTTCGCAGGAAGTCGATCCTTCTAGAAGTGGGCAACCTCTCCGAGACAGAGTCGGACGACGATGAAGAATTCTTTGATGCTGTGGATGCAGGAGAAGTAGCCGTTGCTCCTAAGCTGCTTCCGCCAAGTTACGAGGGTAAGAGTATCAAAAAGGAGAAAGAGAAAGTCGCCGAGATTGAAGGCATGGATCTCAGTCCTTCATTCAAAGGCTACGAGACTGGAATTCGTAAGAAGCTCAAGATGGATGCAGATGACAGACCTAAGATCTCCTTATGGGTGAGTTTATCATACGAGATTAAGATCATGGCTAACATTAATTGTAGAGCATTCTCAAGTCTATGATCGGCAAGGACATGACGAAGATGACACTTCCGGTCTCTTTCAACGAACCTACCTCCTTGCTCCAGCGATGTGCCGAAGATATGGAATATGCAGACCTCCTTGAGGTTGCGGCTGATAGGACAGACTCCACTGAGCGAATGATCTATGTGGCTGCCTTTGCTGCAAGTGAGTACGCTTCGACTATTGGTCGAGTTGCGAAGCCTTTCAATCCTCTACTTGGAGAAACGTTCGAGTATGTACGGCCAGACAAGAACTACCGCTTCTTCATTGAACAAGTCAGTCATCATCCTCCGATTGGCGCTGCATGGGCAGAGTCGCCGAGATGGACGTATTATGGAGAGTCTGCAGTCAAGTCAAAGTTCTACGGCAAATCTTTCGATATAAATCCTCTCGGTACCTGGTTCCTCAAGCTCCGGCCGAACAGCGGTAAGGAAGAGCTGTATACTTGGAAAAAAGTTACATCTTCAGTCATTGGCATCATCACTGGCTCACCAACAGTTGACAACTACGGACCGATGGAAGTCAAGAATTGGACAACTGGTGAAACCTGTCTCATCGAATTCAAACCTCGCGGCTGGAAGGCATCCAGCGCATACCAGATCACTGGCCGGGTGAACGACGCAGATGGCCAAACACGCTTCAGTATCGGCGGCCGCTGGAACAATCGAATCTATGCCCGCCTGACTCCCGGCTATGAAGCCACGCCCGAAGAGCCCAAAGTCGGCCAAGTAATGCACCACCGCGGCAGCGTCAGCGAGCCCAACCAAGCCTTTCTGGTGTGGGAAGCCAATGCCCGCCCAACCGGCATCCCCTTCAACCTGACCCCCTTCGTCGTGACCCTCAACGACATCAACGAGCAGCTAGAACCCTGGCTTCCACCCACAGACACGAGATTGCGACCCGACCAACGAGCAATGGAGGACGGCAGATATGATTTTGCGGCCACGGAGAAGAATCGCGTGGAGGAGAGGCAGCGGGCGAAGAGGAGGGAGAGGGAGCAGAAGGGGGAGGAATTCGTGCCGGTTTGGTTTAGTAAAGCGAGGTGTCCGGTCACGGGGGAGATGTTCTGGCAATTTAATGGGAGGTATTGGGCTGAGCGGGAGAGGGCGAGGGAGGAGAGGGCGTGGACTGGGGTGGAGGATATTTTTGGGATAAATGATCAGATGGTTAGGAGGGAGACGTGGAGGTGAGGTGCGGGGAGGGGGTGTATGTGAGATGTGGTAGATGAAAGAAATAAGAGAGAAGGAAGAGTATAATAGTATGACTGTAGTTAATTGTTCAGCAAGTGTGAGCAAATAGGTATATCAAACATCGAGGGCAGTGAATGAGATTTCATTCCACTAAACATTTCCTGAGTTTTATTAAATATTATGAACCACAAGTCAAAAATGATTTCAGCCATCACTTTCCATCCTTTATATCTCGTGTATGCCCTGTTACGATTACCACATTCCTTCCTTCCAGACCTAACCCGATTCAAATCAAGCCAGCCCAAATAGCAGCCACAGCAACGACGGCCGACATCCCATTAAGGAACACATTCCCGCTAACGAGAACTACTCCTGCACTTGTTGATTGTGTTGGGGTACTGGTGCCGCTTGTCTTGGTTTCTGTTCCAGTAGAAGTAGTTGTTGACGTAGGAGGTGAGGCAGAGGTAGAAGTAGAGGCAGAGGGAGGGCCGTTGACGGAAGAGAATACTCCTCCTGCTACGTTGGCGGGTGTCGTGCTATCGGTAGTTTTTGAGGCTGCTAGGGCGTAGGAGGCGAGTGTATCGCCTGAGATGCTGGGGGGTTTGTTAGATTGGTGGCGGGATGTGAGAGATGGAGGGGAGAAAGGGAGAAAGGGAGAGGGGGAAAAGGGGAAGAGGGAGAAGAGACATACGGCGGGTTCACAACCCCAACCATCCCCAGCTGACAATGCATAACCTCCGAACAGTAAAACCAAATCGGCTGCGTATCGTTGACCGTCACCACAAATTTTGTAGCATCTTCTCCAGAGTCTGGGACTATGAAGCCGGAATAGAAACCATTTGGTGAGGGGGCGCAGGGGGTGCTGAAGGAGGACTGCGCGACGTTGTGTTTGCCCGGGAAGAAGTGGAAGGTGAGTGTGTCCCCAGCCGAGGCGGAGGTAGTGTTGGGGGAGAAGGAGAGCGCGGGGCCAACAGTGATGTCGTGGTTTATGGATATTGAGAGGACTGTGAGGGGAAGGAAGAAGAGAAAGAACGAGATAGGGGTGGCATGACGCATTTTGAGGGTTTGGTGGAGGCTCTTGAGTTTGGATTCGAATGTGAAAGAGTAGGTGAGAATTGGAAGCTGACAGGTGTTTGGGGAAAGGTTGGGGACTGTTGTTTAATCTTGGAACGTTCCTCCTTTATATATCTGAAGACTCTTTGTTGCAGGGCTCGAGAATAGGCCTTGCAAAATCGTATCCTGACGCTGGACTCCATCCGACTTGCGTGTTGATCATAGTAATCGGATGAATGTTCAAAATTTCGCTGATAAATTCATTTGCTTCCAGAAGGAGATTAACGCAATTCATCTCCTCTAGGAAGCAATCACCAAGTTGCATAGCCCACTTGAACCTTCACACAGTCCTCGGCTCTCCCATCAACTCAACCAACCCGAAGAGTCTCACTCAACCTCGACGTACTTTGTGTGCTCGGATATGAAGCTATCCGAATGTTGAGCCTTGTAAGAAGGCCAAACAGTATACCCCAAGTGGAGGACTTCCTCATTCTGGCTCTTTTCGTGGCTCTTTAGACGAGGTGCGTGGTCAGGAGAAGCAGAATCGAATTTCGGCCTTACTCAACACTGACGTACTTCTTCTACTCGGAACTGAGGCTATCCGTCTTCTCAGCTTTGCAAGGAGATGAGAAAGATGCAATTGGACCTCTTCGCCTCTGCGATGTTGAAGCGGAGGAACCTTTCCGCGGCTTACACCCGTTACACGCACTCAGCGCAAAGGCGTAATTTTTGCGACGGTCTGGACTTTATTACAAAGCATAGAAGGACTTGTTGAGAGTGGCTTCACCCTATACTTGCTCTTGCAATTCAGGATAAAGTGTCGATGGGTTGGAGAAGGAGGAAGGGATTCCGCCGCGGGTCGGAGCAAAATGGGAGAGGATAGCGACTGGGGTTCACAGAACCAAAATCTCTGTAGAAAGCGTCTTAACAATTTCTCAAAAATGTTCAATCACACTGTCAAAAGCTGGCATGGATCTTGGTCCAGAGGGGTCGGACCCCAATATTCTAGTGTTAACGTATACGGAGAGGGTTGACTTTAGATATACGATAATTCGAGGTTCGTTCGGAGCGGAAGTAGAAGCCGTGTTCAAAAGGTCCACCTTGGGGACATTGATTCATAGCCCGGCGTTTTTTCGTTCGACGCGAGCCAAAGCCAATAGCCAGCCCCCTGCAAAATATCGTCCTGTGCTGTAAGCTCAACGACCTTCTCAAAACATCCACCACCAGCTCCAATATGAAGCGCATAGCTCAATTACCTCTCGCAGAAGGCACGAATGCCTTCCGCAACTGCTCGAGAGCCCGGATATCCTCACCATTTACGCAGCGATGTCTACACAATTCGCCACCGAACCCAGCAACAGTGGCTCCCATCACAGCTTCCGGCCCACCGCCAACAGCACCTGTACCAAGCGCTGAACATGTGGACTCGCGAGTTGCAAGACGGAGGAAACAGGCGGACCTGCTGAAAAGAGGACAGGATATGAGGGCTATTGCTGGGGGCGCTGGTGGTGGATCGGCGAAGCACAAGAGATTTTGGAAGGATGTGCATGTGAAGCATACGGATGGTGTGGACTCCATTCAAGTCCTAAATCACCTTTCCATCTATTTTGTAGGGCGCGTGCTAAAGAGTTGATCTATAGAAGGCCTCCAGGTCCACTTGGACAAACGCCCCCTCCGCCGCCCATCAAAAGCCATCCTCACAGTCCCCCACCACAAACCACACCTCGCATCCGCCATCGCCCTAGAATGGGATCTCTTGGTGTCCGCCCAACAAGCACTCAAACACCACCTTATTCCCATGACCTCCCTCGTCTCCCGCGCCCTCGACATCGCAGATGAAGATGAAGCAGGAAAGGGGGACATCAGGGCCAATATAGTGAAGACTGTGATGCGGTATCTAGATACCGATTCATTGCTATGCTGGGCGCCGGAAGCAAAGCCCGATCCGCCGGGATACGATGTCCACGTCAAGAGAACGGAGAGTCTGAGGAGTATTCAGAGGAGGACCGCGCAGCCGATTATTCAGTACTTGACGGAGAAGGTGTGGCCTGGCGTCGAGATCGTACCGGTGCTGGATTCAGAGAGCATTGTACCGAGGAGTCAGCCGCAGATGACGAGGGATGTTATTCAGGGGTGGGTTAGCGGACTTCCTGCTTTTGAGCTTGCCGGGTTAGAGAGAGGAGTTTTGGCGGGGAAAGGACTACTCGGTGCAGCTAGGCTGCTGGTTGAGTGGAGCACGGAGTTGGCGCATTTGAGGGACGAGGAGGCGGGCAAAAAGTTTGGGGTTGAGGAAGCGGCGAGAGCGGCGAGCCTGGAGGTCGATTGGCAGACGGGAATGTGGGGGGAGGTGGAGGATACGCATGATGTTGATAAGGAGGATGTGAGGAGGCAGTTTGGGAGTGTGGTCTTGCTCGTCTCGGGCGAGGCCGTGTAAGTTGTGTGTTTGACGATTGTACAAGTTGTACAGTATATTTAGATGTTTATATATTATCATATCACACTCCTCTCCTCAAATCGAGGACCTGCTGAGCCGGGGGGGCCGGCGGCAAGCGCTTTCTGGTGGCAAGTTGCCTGTGTATCTGTGGAGTCTTTCATGGCAATGACAAAAGTTCAAGGTGCTCTTGCTGTTCGTTCAGGGTTCATATTTCACGCGTATGTTGTGTCTTCGTACATTTCAATGAGGGAATTGCGGTAGCGGAGTCAAGATTCTATTGAAAAGGCAGCCAGAGAAGTATCATGCCTAACGCTCCCGGAATCGATCTTGGAATACCAGACCTCGAGACAATTGCTTGAGCGGCTTTCTTGAAAGGTATAGGAGCGACGACGTTTGAACATCGACACAGTAGAACATCTACTGCTCGTCTCACTGACGTCGTCAGTGTAGATACCGTCTTGCTCATGGTTCCAAACCTCCTCTATTTGGTATCAGGAAGGATAGGCCCATTACCAATATGCGTGAGACTCTGGGTGTCAGTAACCAAAGACAGCACCGCAGTAGGCTGAGAACCCGTAGAATACGGCCCCAAATCAAAAGCCCAAAGGCTTGTATCATCCGACTGGAATCCCGGAATCGAACTCGCAACCACTCTGTTCACCTCACACTTCCGTCACAGCTCTACACGTGCTATTCCCGAGCACAATGCTGCCGTTATATTTCGCCAGCGGATCATCGCTGATACATACATCCCAGAAATCCTCACATACCTCCACGGTTATGATATCAGACCAGAATCAGCTGGCGACGTAATCACTGTATGGGTAGGTGTGGACGGAGTAGTAGGCGAAATTGTTTGCCAAAGCTGGGCTCCGAGGGGAATCCAGAGGCCATTGCAGGAGAAATTAAGGAAGTCGGCGCATTGGGGGCAGAAGACCGATTATGGAGCCCAGTCGGAGCTGTAGCAGCCTTCCTCTGCAAATACATTGGTTGGGTTTGTTTAATTGGGAGGTCAGCATATTTACCAGGAGATAGCATCCGCGTGCAGGAGCTGTATACCAGTTGCCCCCAATGCCCGGTAGAGTAGGAGGAGGGCGAGATGCATCAAGGCTGGCTGATTCTTAGCATGCTGACGGCTGAGGCGACAAATGTCCAGAGGGCGAGCATAGTGCACACCTTCTCCTCCCAATTCAGAGTCATTTTCTCAGAACCATATTCAACATCCATTCCAATAGGAAGTCCTCAGGATCTCGAAGCCGAGGGTCATGGGATTCTGTTTGGAATTTAGTGCGGCGAAGCTTTCATTGGCAAAAAAACAGTGGAGCTTTGTGAGTTCACAACGACGATCACCTACCTTTCGAGTCAGCATCAATTAATGCGTGGAACTCTTCATGCTGACGCTGTTCTTTGCAGCTTTGGTTTGCTGCTAGGAGAGGTGGAAATCTTGTCGTCCTCTGAGAGCTGAAAACCGTGAAGCTTCCTTGCGAAGTGAGGTTTGTTCGGACTCGCAAACGGACTCGCTAGAGCGGAGGAATCGCATCCCGACTCTCTGACCCTGCAGTTCCTTCTGCGTCTTCAATTCCCCCGATATCGAGAATTTGAGACACGAGCTCGTCCAGAAAGAGCTCCATTGACCAGGACATAGAGAGTTCTATGGACTCGGATGAATCAATCAGCTTCAAATTCCGAACTGATTGCTGTACAAACACGTTGGCCCGACTGTGGCACAATGCACACAAGCTGGAGGCTGAAGCAGCCGCCCCATCAATGGACAATGTACGGCGTGGCTCTCATCCAAGAGCTAGTGGGGCAGTTGACCCGGCCCCAATAGGGCATGCTATAATGGCTGCCTTGATATGATGCGGCCTGGGCATCCGTTCAATTCTCGTGTTAAGAAATCTCTCTCGTAATCCCGCTTCTTCATGGCTATCTATTCTTTTTAGCAACCTGTAACCTTTGATCCTTTCCATTCTTCACGAAGTTTTCGATCCCAAGTTGTCTGCTAGAATCCTATAGCCACCATGGAATCGTCAGAGAAGCCAATTGCGCCGACTGATGTGGCAGATGCTCGTGGTAACGAGATCACATCGAAAGAGGAGCCAGAAACTGCAGAACAGAGCATTGAGGAGAATGCATCGGGTCCTGAGTTCAGCCCGAATTGGAGATTCTGCTTGGCGTTTTGCTCTCTTGCTGTGGTTACACTGGCGGTATGCATATTCTCCGAAAGTCTTCCGGCTTGTGAGACACTCGGGTCGACATTCCTCATCAGGACTTCTCGAGACCTTTGATATCCCTTTCCTATCAAACAATACTAATTTCATTAATCCAGGCAGCTCTAGACGCGACCTCATTATCGGTCGCCCTCCCCATCATCGCTCAAAAGCTCAAAGGGACAGCCATTGAGGCATTCTGGTCTGGCACATCATTCCTCTTGACTTCGACCGTCTTTCAGGTAAATAAAAAAAAAGTTTAGTTTTATAATATTAATTCTAAATCAAAACCTTAGCCCAGCTATGCCTCGTTCTCCCATATCTTCGGCCGGAAGCCCTTGGTTTTCGTGGCCTTGACTTTCTTCACTGTCGGTGCGATCATTGCGGCAGTTTCTAATAGCTTTACCGTCATGCTTGTTGGACGAAGCCTGCAGGGTATTGGGGCAGGAGGCATGATTTCGTTGACGGAAGTTATTATCACTGATATGGTGCCATTGAGAGAGCGAGGGAAGTGGTTTGGGTGAGAGCTTACTCTTTTTCTTTTTACTTGCATGGTTGCTAAACAACTATATAGTTTTGTGAGCGGAATGTACGCAATAGGCTCAGTCTCGGGGCCTATTGTTGGAGGTGCATTTGCTCAAGATGGTAGGCTACTTCGAAGGTTCATCGTAGGTTGTTTGCTGATCGACTACTTCGTAGCTTCGTGGCGTTGGATCTTCTGGATAAACCTCCCAATCATTGGCATTGGATATGTCATGGTCGCATTCTTCCTCAAGCTCCAACACACCAAATCCGCCCCTTTCCTACAGCAGCTGAAGCGTGTTGATTGGTTTGGATCAGTCCTATTCATTGCATCCACTACTAGTGTCTTGATCCCAGTCTCATGGGTAAGAAGCACTCCTCTTTAGCAAGAGCAATACTAATGTGGACAGGGCGGTGTGATATATCCATGGAACCACTGGAAAACGCTTGTCGGTAGGTGTTGGGGGAGAAACCCTTTCCTATTTGCGACTGTTTCATGAGATTTTCCTAATACAATGTCCTCTCCCGAAACAATCCCAATTGAGCAATTGCTGACTCCCCCGTTACCTAGCACTAATACTGGGCATTGTTGGCCTTGCGGCTTTCGCCCCTTACGAAATGTACGTCGCCAAGGAGCCCATGGTCCGATTTAGCATCTTCAACAACTTGTCATCCAAACTCGTCTATTTTCAAACATTCATCCATGGACTGCTTCTCTGGAGTCTCCTCTACTACTTGCCGATCTACTACGAAGCTGTCAAGGACTACTCTCCAATCATAACCGGCATCGCGGTGTTCCCCGAAACGTTCACCGTCGCTCCAGCTTCCATCGTCGTAGGAATCACCACAAGCATTACGGGGAAATACAAATGGGCGCTCTGGGTTGGCTGGATTCTCACGGTGCTGGGAATGGGACTCCTCTATCTGCAAGACGTAAATACATCCACCGTTGCCTGGGTCTTCCTGAACCTGGTACCCGGACTCGGAACCGGAATTCTCTTCGCCGGCATGGGTATCGCCATCCCATCCTCAGCGGCAGCAATCGACAGCGCCTACGCCGTCGCCTTCTTCTCTTTCTTCCGGGCCTTTGGCCAAGGAGTCGGCGTCGCTATCGGTGGCACGATCTTCCAAAACATGGTCCAGAAAAAACTCCAAGCGTATCCCCTCCTTGCTCCTTTCGCTGCCGAGTACAGCAAGGATGCTGCGGGCTTGGTACAGGTTATCAAGGCGATGCAGCCAGGATTGGCGAAGACGCAGCTCATTCAAGCATATGCGGATAGTATTAAAGTGATTTGGGTTACGATGTGTGGGCTCGCTTCTGTGGCGATGTTGACGTGCTTCTTTGTTAAGGAGTACTCGATGGATATTCAGCTGGAGACGGAGCAGGGGTTTAAGCATCATGGAGAAACTGTGGATGTTGAGTCAAGCGACGTGGAAAAGAACTTGGGGAAGTCTGAAGGTCGCATTTAAAGATCTGGTTTCGTCTTAGACGTGAAGGTTACGAATTTTCGTTCTTGACTGATACCCCGCTCTTTATTTAGACTCAGTTTTTCATTATATGATTTCTGCTTTTTAAGATAATAATTTTGTTGCCCAGATAGTTCTTGGATATCGAAAAATGTCATGTAGGCTATGTGATTTCGTACTGTACTTCCGTACAACGTTCAAATTCTTTGGCTACGCTCAATTTTCTGAGAAGGCTCGCAACAAGAGCCCTAAAGCTCGTCTCAACTAGACCTCAATCACTAGCTTCATACGAATAAGAATTACAAGATACATTAACTCATATGTTACACCGAACCCTCCATGATCTATGCCAAGTAACGCCATTTTTAAGATACCAATTAGACAATTTGTATTTTAAAATTGTCTCTTGACTGGGCAAGTCAAGCAAGAAGGTCGAGTCTACACCTTTCAGCCCAAATTGCCGCACCATCGTGAATTTGAGGATGGCCGCATATGGCCAGGAAGGCCTGATGAAGAGTCATGTTCAACGTCTTTCTCTCCGCAGGCCCCTGGATTGTGCCAGTTTGGAATCCTTTGGACTCCTCTCTTAGCTGAGGTCTCGTAGGCTTGGGGTCATTTGGATACTGTAATTGTGTCAACTTGACTGCAAATGGAATCGTGCTTTGCTTAAATCTGAAAGGCTGTCGTCACCTTCGTCTATATGAATTGGGCAGCAGGTGGCCCTGCTAGAACGTTCACGAGCGTTGGTGCATCCCGCATTGTGTTGGAATGCGGCTTGTGGCTGTCTTCTGGAGCCTCCGTTCACCCTCTGCAGCGAATATACTGCCATAGTGCCTCAAGAAACGTAGTTATAAGCTTAGAGTGCCCTCGATGTTAGCAGGCCTTTTCTGCAGCGCATCAGCTCAATTTCCAGTTGCTCCCCCTAAGTGTTTACCTCCGTTCGCAGGGAAGACGCTGCCCAATTGATCCACTGGCTGCGCTAGACACCATTCGTTCTGCAAATTGTTAGCATTTGTTGAACTTGAGGAGATCTTTAAGTTTGTTTTGTTCACCAAGCTTGCTTTCAAGTCAAGAGCATGTGCAGAGTTTGACAAGAGAGGTTGTCTTTCAAGCAGAAGCTGACTTTTAGAAAAACAAACTCGCACTGTTTGGTGGTTTCAAGGGCGCCCTCCAAACCACACTCATTGACCGAGCCCAGCTAGGGAAATGGGAGCCTATGCGAAGCATTTCAGACCAGACCGCTGTATTATCATATAGGACAAGCAGTCGTCCATGATAGGTTCTGAATGGAGCCCTTTCTGTCAAGTTGAAGGTTGCAGGGCCGCGTGATTATGACAAGAAACGAATTTATGCATATGCAACCAGCAGCCATAGGCTTCTCCAGCAACACACTCCTTGCACTGAGCTCCATAGAAAGTTGGGGAACCCATCGGAAGACCCAGCCCTCCGGATCAAGCAAGGGTTTCCGGGGGAAGCCACCAACTCAACGGCGAGGCTCTTCGGGAGAGGGGTGACCTGGGACAGGCTTGCAATAACCGCTCAGTCACGTCTGCCGTGCTGAAAAGGCAGATAAGCGGATCTCCGATACGCTGTGCCTTACGCCCAGCTCTGGTGAAGGGACCGGCATCAATCCGTTTCCCGGCCAACAACTCGCCAGGGAGGGAGATCGTCAGGTCCGAGCCGCCGCGTAACAGGGGGCAGCAGTTCGCGAGATCTCATTCCTTTTCTCTCTTTCATTCCAACTTCTCTTGAACCAAAGCCCCCGCTGTAATCGAAATGTGAAACTGCTGTTGAAGATCAGCACCTTTACTGAGCTATCCGCGCTGAATACTCACTCTCACTCATGCGCCCCTCCATCAAAACTCAATTATCATTCTCTACACGAAAAATCCCCCCAAATTTGAGGGGTTGAAAAGGGCGGTCTTGCCGTCGTATAATGAATGGTACGGTAGTCCACAGTTCGCTCTTGCAATTTGATGGAGATAAATTTCAGACTTCTCTTTATTCATTAAACTGATCCCTGCGAATCCATCCAGTGACTTGGATGACGCATAAACCTTTCCTATCCCTTCCTTCAATTCCGGAACTGTTACTCGCACTGGAAAGATCTCCACATAATCAATTTCTACGCTCCAGGACAAAATAAATATTCAACTTTGAGGACAAAATGAATGTTTGCTAGTTCTTAGAGAATGTCTTTAAGCCCCCTTTCCAGCTCTCTATAAAGCGATAGTCTAATTTTGAGAGCTACCCGAAAGGGGCGTTCAGAGCGCTCTCGGCACGAAGACTCCGGTGGAAATAAGAAAACATGTGGAAGCGCACTCAATTCGTTGATTCTGGGGAAAGCCATCTCCCTTCCCACGCCATCACCCACAATATGCAGTTGTTTTCAAAATTGGTAATCCGGGCAAGAATGACTGTGATGAGAGCGGCACCCCACAGGGGCCCTGGCCGATGTGACGGCGAGTTCGCCAATCATCTCTGCAGTGAGAGAAACGCCAGTCAGGCTTCCGCATATCTGGGCACCAGTCTGCAGGTTGTCGGCTATGGCCTTCGAGTGAACAGAGCAGCTGGAGAAGTTGGAATTTCAACGACGCCAGTTTGCTTGCCGCGATACCGCGGGATACATATTCCTACCGTGAGCACACATCAGCAGGTAGACATGGAAGAGAGATTATCCCTGAGCCTGGAAAAAGGATCAAGCGAAGGCTGAGCAATAATCTTACCACCCCAGACTCTCGACCGCGGGCCAGACATTTCCCATAAATACGGAGTAAAGCATCGGACGCTCGGTCGATTTCTGGCAGCTATTCCATGCGTATCCCCGAGAGTTTGGAAGCAACCGTGCCATGCAGTATGCGTAACACCCGTATCCCGCTGTAATCCATGCACGCGCTTGATATTAAATTCGTGACGAATCCGAAATCACCTTGCTGCTCCAATGATGTTTCATGGGCAACCCATGCTCAGGTTGATGGAAGGGCCGAATTTGTGCACATTACCGAATGGAATAGCAGCGGAAGGGAGCACATTATTCACCGCGAAGTTTGAGGGTGCTGACCGCATAGACGTTGTCTGAAAGGGAGCCTCGACTGACTCATGTAGCTCACGCCATGGCCAAGCAATACAACTCTCGTTTTGGTATTTCGCCATGGATCGAAGGATGCTGATGGAAAGGGACTCTCTGGTGGCAGGTCGTCGGTTGGGTTGAGGAAAGAAGAAATTGATGCTTGAGTGCCCGACGATGCCGTCGTATACGTAGGTGTCTCCTGTTGGCCGATCTCTACGGTGGAAGCACCTATCATATCCCAGCCGTCCTTGTAACACAGAGGCTCGTTTGGCTTCAGGGGCTGTCCAGCCTCAAGTCAGCAATTCGCAGTGGTCAGCTCTAGAGGAGTCAAAAAGGGAGAGGGGAAGAATAATGTTTCGTTCACAAGAACAGCTGAAGGAGATGTGCTGCATCGACCACAAGTTGGAGCATCTTTTACGAGGCTCAAGGGTGTTTAGGTACGTATTTTGCTTTGGTAGAAAGGCTGCAAAGCTTCATGTCTTCCGCGAGAATGGCCCAAAAGTTTCAGTGGAGCTGCTAAAAACAGTTCGGAACACCTCCAGTTCAACAGATGGCAGCAAATTCGACACTGGGCTCAGCCTCAACGAGTTCCTGCTTCTTTCAACAGTATAACTACCTCGATGTTAGCTTTCAACCATTTAGATGCCGCGCACGTCGGTGCTGCTCACCAACTTTGACGATCGGCACACTTCGTGTCTCTACCAGTGGTCCTCGTCCTCACCTACCTTCAACGGATCGCGATCTTACCCACCTCTGTGTAAGTCGACTCTTCTCGTGATCTTATAAGATCGCCATCAGTCTTTCAGAGGGTCGTGATAGGAAATCCTGGTCTACTTGCTGATCGCACCAAAGGTCCCTTCCTTCTGTTGAGATCGTTTGTGTCTCCGCGAGGACTGACCCGACCTCAATCATCCAGGAGATAGAGGCACCAAATCCCACTTCTTCGAATTCATATTATGTCGATAGTCCCTGCCTTAATCCACGAATCAAACCTCATTGGCATCAGAAGAACAGCCCCCTCTGCGAAGCAACGTGATCCCACTGCCGAACTCCTCTTCCAGCTCTGCGAAAAAATACACATGGATGACTGCCCACTGCAACAAGTATAAGGCGAGCGTATCTTGTGTCGCAGGGAGGTTGCCGGGGCAATCTTCTCATCCCTTTGTTATCGAAGCGCTCTGGAAAGCCCATACACTTAGGCTGAAACACAACGCACGGCTTTGGAAAGGTATAGTCATGCGGAAAGTTCGGTTATGTCCAGTAGCGCATGGACTCATGTCATCCACTCCTCATCGCAGATGCATTGTTGCAGTGCTTTTGTTGGATTCGAATTTAGGGCTGATCCGAAGGAGCACTTCGTCGCCACGTAATGGAGGGTTCGGGCTCATCTTTTGGTTTAGAGGCAAGCATCAAGTCAAGCCATGGCTTCTATCATCGGATATAGCACAACTAGTATTATTAATGTTGTTGCGATGAAGAATGTTGGCCAGCAGTCCTCCTCGCACTTCGATTTAGCACTATTTCTACATACTTCCCGCAAGCAAAGTCAAATTTGGCCTGATTGTTAGTAAATTGTGGCTCTAAAAAACTAGTATTTTTACAATCGTTGGGGTTGTATCTATCTTTAAACAGCTACGATTGTGTTCAATGTTTATCTCATTTGATAATCCGCTCTAGAGAGGGATCCAAAACTTACCTAAAAGGTAATTCTATTTATCGGTCGAAGCCCTAAACAGAAAATCCAAAAAATTATGAAATAGCAATCAAGCTCTTGTGCAGTTTCATACCCCACTGAAGTTTGACTTTTCTTATTATTGAGCAAGTGAAGCAACCTCTCCCCTGAATCGCTTACCCTTAGCGAGCCCCTGAAGGAGCGGCTAAGCGATCTGAAAACTTGCATTATACTATCTTCATTAGCTTGTTAGGACTCAGCTACATGTATGAGCTTAAGTAAAAAATATTTAATTTCGACCTTCAGTCTCACTGGCGTTAATTCCTCTCCTGTTATGCCAAGATTTAAATGGGATACAAATATCTTGGGCGCCAATGAGCCAAACAAGTCAGAGACAGTCGCTGGGAGTGTTGACGTCTACTCATTCTGAATTACCAGTACACCCTTTCCACGGTCATTCTGCGTATTAGTCATAGAGTAAAAACCAATCAAGTTATCGGTCATACATGAACCTGTTCAACTCACGTGACGAGGCGCATGCACGCGGGTCTGTGCCTTGTGAAAATATTGACGCCTTCCCAACATCGCAACACGCATCAAATGGAGCTATTGGAGATCCAGACTGCCCCATCCAACTGCGTCGAAAACCTCTCCCAGCTACGAGTACGAATTATTCATCTACGCAACACGCGGGCCTTTTAGGCGATATTTGAAATGGATTCAATAAAGGCGGTGAATAGCCTTGCATCTCGAAACATCAATCCTACGAACACGGCAAAACATAACTTTTAGATAACATCAAACTGTCGAACATGGACACGCTCCATCTGATCCCCACCAGAAGCTCTGCCTTACCGCCCAGCGCTCGAACCCCAAACAGCGACAAACCCTCATCCGTCATCATCTTTCAACGAGAAGCCCACTTCAACCTCTGCCTTCGATCGGTCCTTGACCTTCAGTGCATTCCACTCACTGGCGTATTCTGTGAAATATTGCCTAAAAACATTATCAATACTGCACCATATCTGTACATGATCAGCATGGATCGCCCGACAAGATTTGGGGTATTCACGTCGCTGTACCCACGAAGACTTCATATACTTTGCCCTCCGTTACAACACACATGATCAAGGCGAATAGGAAGATAAAGGTTGCAGTTGTGATCGCCATCATCAGATGAGACATTGGAAGAAGGAACAAAAGAAAGACAGGACACATTAAAATCAACAGGATGCTAGAGACGAGCAAGAATCGACCGACGCCCCTCTCAGCGGCAGGAGAGAAGAACGTGAATCGTGAGTCCTTGGTTGGCTTTTTCATCTCCTCACTTGCCTTGACAATTCGCTTCACGCCATCAGCATTGTTAGATGTCCACAATCCTCTTGTAGTATCGTTGCAAGGGGATTACGTACCCTGATGGGAGACCAATGGTGTGAGTCTATGTGGTCGCGAATGAGTTCCTCACAATAGCTTGGGGGGTTCCCCGAGGTAGCCACAAAGTCTGAATCGTGGAATATGTAGTCATAATAACCCGTAGTAAGTGGCTTGTTAGTCCAATGCCAGTTGAAGTACGACCGGTGCGTGCGAGCCGGTGGCTTGCCAAGTTGTTGCAAGAAGACTTGGTTCCGAAGTATCTCAACTACACTGTATTCAGTCTTTTTATGCCAGCCACTTAGACTTCCTTGATAAATGCTCACCATACTCCTTGAGCTTAGCCATCAGTTTATCTATCAAGTCTGCCTGGGCAGCGTCCCAGCCTTTTTCATGCTTGGTCGACCTTAGACGGTATGTCATATCGGGATTTGCGGCGTCCTCCCTGTCTAGTTTGTATAGTTCCTTTTCCAGCTCTGTTATTTGTACTTCGAGGTGCAGAAGGCCGCGGCTGTGGCAGTATTTAAAGCTGCGATGCATGGAGAGAGAATCGTCACAGCTGATGAGAGCCGCTAGCTGTGGGAAACCTTTTGGATATTCGTCCACTGTGCAAGCATTCATTAGCCTCCATCTTATTTAAATTGGAACGTTAGATGGACAACTCACACTCCTCTTGTATGAACTTGTCATAGCCTCGCTCATGGTTGAGTTGTTCCCGCTCTTCAGTACTCTTTCGAGTGGGTAGTCTTTCTCCAAGCCGATCAGAAAGCCGCTGCCAAGCTGATTTGATGAAAGAATCTTGTATCGAGAAGTACCTGTATTAGCTGACTTGAATTTAGGACTCTCTTGCTCACCACCCATACCTGGAGACTCCAAGTTGCCCTCGCTGGTACCTGGCGTCATGGTACCACTCGTGGTACTCGTCGTGGGACTTGCTGCGGGACTGTCACCCTGGTCGTCGACTCTTCCGGGTGTTTGCTCGGGCGCACGTCGCTTTCGGACTCCAGCGCTTTGCATTTCTCCAAGATTCATCTCTGCTTCTGCTCGTTCTTCGTCAGCAACTCGACATCTCTTCAAGACAACCGGGCAAAGCCCCTGGAGCTTGCGGGCACCCTTTGTCACTGCCATCAGGGCCCAGGTGGCGGCTTCGAGGAGAGAGGCCATGGTGGACCTTCAACACGATCACCGCCTCCAAAAAGAGGCCCATTGTGACGGCGACTACTCCTCCCCCCAGAGAGCGACTTGCTGCCCAATGCAAGCAACAAGGCTATTATGATCGCCTAATTTGTGTGTGACAATAGGGGAGGCCGGGATCAGTTGGCCCACACCATCTTCCAAAAGACCCGAGCCAGTGATATTCTTACGCGATTAACTACCCGCCAGTTACACTTCTACTCTATTGCAAGGCTGTCGTTCCTTCTTTTCACGAGTTTTCAAAGGGTTTGAGATGGTTGTTGTGGAGATATACGACGTGGAGACTAATGCACGCAATCTAAGGGACGGGCCGAGGGGGAAAGCTTGCTGGGATACAGCGCTGGGGAGTCGCTCTTATATAGACAACGCCTGCCCAACGTGCTGTGCGGGCTGCTGCTTTTGAGCATTATTGGGTCCACTACCGATGGTGTGACAAGGCTTGAGCGATTTACGACCTCACTCATACCAGCATTTTCACGCTGGAGAACAACGAATTTCGAATTCGACTTTTTTAGTTAACTGATTTTGCTGTTCCTGGTCGTCTATATAAGTGAAATCATTTTTTCGAAGAAAATTCTAGCAAACTCTAGAAATTCATTGATCTGCGCCGCCCAAGTACGCCAAATTCAGTCCCAAAACCAACGTGAACCGCCTTGAAATCGATTTCTGCCCACTGAAAAATTATACATTATGCATTTTCCGCTTCCATGACATGCTCATCCCACAGCCTGGCATTATATTCAACTCCCGCTTCACCCAGATGCTCCCGTGGAACCAGAGGTATCAACTGTCGGCGGCCATCTGACTGGCGGGTCCTGTGCCGCGTCAGTAAATATGGACTTAAGATCGGACATGTTTCCTTACGGGTTCCTCCTGTCCTCCAGCAATCTCTGCATATTCGAGCTTGGCATCCGACATCTCCTTTGATCAATGCAGGCTTTTCTCTTTGAAGGCGCAGATTTACTCCCAGTTCCGTCTGCACGACGGTGCCTTTCCCCAATTTCCTTTTGTCAGAACCTCCTATTAAAAGGGTTCGACCAGGAGTTATGTAGCGAATGTGTTAACTGTTGGGAAGGCAGTCGATCCCCAGTCTAGTAGACTGGTCAGCTACGCTTCTCAAAGGGTGTTGAGTGTGGATTGAAAGACATACCAAGATGTATCTTGAAAACAGTGGCTCGAGGTTGACGCGTCGAGATCGCGAGTTGAAACCCCCACCAGTTCGAACGCCGGGAGCCTCAGCATGCAGAGCTATTATCCCAACATCAAGAGTCGAGCAGGGAGTGAGGTGCTGTGGAAACGACCGTCAAGTGAGGATGCGGTGGATTGACAGAGGTTGACGGTTCAGGGCGGCAAAAATCGAGACCGAACGAGGGGTCGGACCTCCAGAAAATGAGCCGCATAGGGTACCCTATGCTGACTCGACATGCACCGCTGTGGACCGAACCAGTTCCTCGGGTTCGTGATTGGCGTGGGAGCAAACATTTCAACTGGTTCCAGAGGTGCAGGAAACAAGCCGGAAGCCCAATGATAGGCCCCACAGGTATTAGACGGATCGAAGCGTTCTCGAAACCAAGAGTCAGTATTTGCCGGTCGGAAGCTCAACGCAGATGCTTGCAAAGGCTGCTCTCGGTATCGACCCTGGCCCAAGAGTATGAAATGCTTGATATCGCGGGCCATCTTTTGTCTGAGCGGTGTGCTGCAAGGTAGCATCGGGCGCTGCAGGGAGTACTCCAGATCGCCTGCACGCGCCTCGGATCTCAAAATAACAGGAGCGGGAAGGACTCACAAAGTGGGGCACAGAATGGGCAAGCCATGAAAAAGCTGGAGTGACCCCGTAAGACGCCGTGATCAGCAGACTGAGGAGGCTTTTTGGCGTCAGGGCCCCATGTTTTGGCTAACGAACACCCCCTGTAGCCCCTCCTCGAGGCCATGACACAATCCGGTATCGTTGAGCCTCAAGACTGCCGTCCCATAATAAAACGGGGATGCGCGGTTGTAGATGTTTGCTCCTTCAAGTATGTAAATTCGAACAACACTCAAGTCAAGGAAAGTTCCTGTCGGTAACTGGTACCCTGGGCGAGTATCCCCAGACGAGTGCGGAAACATCAAAGAAAATATGTGGGCTGCCTGGTTTACAAGCTTCTAAACCGATCGTCGGCCACAGATGCCTTCCGAGCAGTCTCAGGCGTTGCACGATGAAGAAATACATTGAGAGATACGAGGAGATATGGCCAGCGTCATGTTCTTTCTGTCCGAACGATACGAGATCTCCTCAAGCCCGCAAGCCTCCGTTGAAATTCAATCAAAAACTCTCAATTCTTGCAGTCATACACAATGTTTTTCCCTCGAAAAGATGAAGTAGTCACCGAACAACTTTCTCTTCAACCCCTTTTCTGTGAATTCCTGATATTGCACAATATCAAACAAGTCAACACGAGGTTCTCCACCAGCCGGAGTCCCGATTGGCTCAGCTCCCGACTGTGGATTTGTAGTGCTTGGACCACACCCGGCGCATTTCCAGCAAGGATTTGCTGAGAGAGACACGATGCTGGGCGCCACCAGATAGGCCAACTATGGCTGCCAGCTCACTGAGCAGGAAGAGGGCGACTGCATAGATGGGAAAGCATTGCGGATACTGAACGCTGATATCTTTCGAGCTCGCGAAACCTGCCAAAAACAGAATAGAATTGAATCACGACTTTTGCGGTTCGCACTGGTCCGACAGAGTGACGAGCAAGGCAACTACCGGTAGATGGCCCTGTCTTCCAAGCGACTCGTCCGCATCGTTCTTGTCACGACTGTTGTTGATTATATTCTCATATTGATGGAAAATCGCCTTCTCCTGAAGGGGCCCGCCATTCTTTATACACAGGCGATGCTGCTATAAGCCTTGGGCAGAAGCACTTGCCGAAGTGGAAACCCGAAGAACCCCCACAGGGAAGGTCGCGGCGGTTGTCTCGGTCGAAAAAGCTTGTGTCGGTGGTTGAGGGATTTCTCTTTGCGACCTCCCGATGGAGACGTCGTTGCGTTGATTCTGGATTATTGGCTTGCCGCGGTACGCTGCTTTGCTTGTGTGCCGTCGTCGACGACCTGCATTCCACTGGGTATCATGTTGAAGGCAGATGCATCACGCTCGATATGGAGGAATGCCAACGAGGCTTTGTCAGGACACGCAAGATAACCGCCCGAGCTGCATATCAAGTTACGTTTCTTCGATCATGTCGATCTCATGGGCTTCCGATTCCGCCTTTGCGACTTGGTCGATGTGTATTCGTTGGGTGCCAGCAAGAAAGATACGCAGGTGAAAGAGACAACAAACCTCGCTGGCCTCGTCAAATTCTGCAGTACAAGCCTCTGCCTTAGTACTCATTGATGCCTCGGCAACCCATGCAGCCATGCTAGACTTGGAGCTGAAATGGGGTAACAGGGCACATTGAAATTACCCCAAACTCGGGCAAGGTGACCCGGCTTCCCCTAACCTAGGGTGAGCCAATACCAACATCAAAATTATTGTCACATTATTCAACCGCCTATCAGCTCTGAATGAGTGGCACAAAGAATCGGGCAAGTTCGAAGTCTTTGCTTTTTCAAAATGTCTTAAGACACGAGGCAATCTATTTGAAACTCGAAAGGGCCAGATATATGATGCATTAAAGACATCCGAACATAACAAACACCGGGTAGACGACTACTTCTTGACGTTGTTGGGTCCGTCCTTGGACGCGATCATACAAAAGGCCTACTATTTCACGGCGTTTGCCAGCGGGCCTGATCCAGGGATGATCCGTTTGCGAGCACCCAGTGCTACCTTGCACTGCCCTCTCCTGATGCTTACCACTCCTCGTCGCACTCATCAAGCAATCGGATCTGTCCCGGGTCTGGAAAGATTTTGGAATCCAGAATCAGGGAAGGTTTCTTGGACCAATTACGTACGCTTCCTTCACTCCTGAAGGAACCTTAGTATCTGATCAACACCCGTGTGCAGCGCCACTTTGTGCAATCGAGGTATTATTTAGAGCAGCTCCTCTACTACTCGGATTGGAAGACTACATTGTCCATTCTACGAATACTTCTCACCCGACTTTAGGGAACTCTACTTCCCAGCCGCGCTTCACCGACACCGAGGGTATTCCTCAATGCCATGTTGTGGAGTAGATACGTATTCGACGGGAAAAAGCGCTTTCCGTTGGGATGACTTTACCTGGCGTATGCTTTACTTCCTGGCAGGATCTATGCAGAATGCTCGGTTGTGTTGACATGCACAACTTCCTGGCTGGTCAGCAACATTCATCGAATTACAGGTAACAAGATCCTCGACAAGTCCACTAAAGCTACGAACGACGTGAAGCTAGCTGTACACCAAATCGTCGACGTTCTTAATTGCAAACTCGAGGTGCGAACTCAGACAGGAGACTCTACAAATACCCGAGCTTTCCAATCCTTCCCCTAGAGAACAGATCTTTTCGGGCATCTCTTTGGAACATTTCAACACCACTTTTTATTCACAGGACGCCCAGTGAATGTCCAGCTGTGCCTTCAACTTGCCATGAGTTGTACTACAGGCTTGGCCGTGGACGAGCTTGGTAAACGTTCCATCTCGAATACCACGATCTCGAGCCCACCCAGACACTTCGAGTTAGTCCCACCATATTCAAAGAACCACTCTTGTAGTATCTTTGGCTAACGGATCTACTTGCTGAAGGTCGAACTTTCTTCCGAACCTTCCCACCTCTTGACTGAATCTCAATCCAACTCTACCACGAGTACGAAATTGTTTGAGCAGTCGAGTGGAACGAGCTCCCACAGGGGCACACAGAATAGCCCAAGCTGGGGGGAGATTTATTTATTTTCGAATGGCTGACATACAAACGTTGTTATCGTTGCATGATTCTTGAGCGCCGCCGAGTATAACCTCAACTTCGATCCCTAACTCCTCGGATGTCCATCCACGAAACTCTACAATGTTACTCGGAATACACACCACACGGATTTAAAGACAACGCGATACAAGGGGCTAAACATAGATGACGTCCAACGGAAGAAATGTAAGAAGAGCAAGTGTGGCAGATTCTATTTCTACCCCAAATCGGGCACCATCCCTCCATGTTTGAACATCAAAGCTACAAAACGCCTTTTCCACTTGATCTTTGCCAGGATATGGTTGTTAAGAAGTTGGAATAAGCAGAGCGCCATCCCACAACACCACACTCACACCTCCTTGTTCCTGTGAACCCCGACCGCCCACTCCAAGCTTGTTGATCTGCATCAACATTAAGAAGTCACCATGACATGCATCTCCTTGGCAGCACAACTATCAACGCTCTCAAGATCCAAGTCCATACGAAATATGGTACGCCAGTCAGAATTCCAGCACTCTTAGCCACCTCGATCATCAACCGATATCGAGTTCGATTAGGAATCCGACATCCTCACCTCCATACCTGCAACCGGTCCAGCTTTCACCCAGCCGGCCGGGAACATACAAGACAGCTCTTTCTTTAGCATGGATAACTACTCTCCTCACTTCCGCAGAGCAGCAATCTCGAAGCGACCTCCTCGCCGATACGAACGTTTCAACTTCGACAGTTTACTCGTTGGGCAATTCCTTGACTAAAAGAGTCAGACTTCTTCAACGCCTACACTGATCTGCAAATGATGTGCTAGGCGTGCATATGAGAGTTCTTGGAACGATAACATCAAGGAATACTATGGGTTGTGAAGTGTTCTGAGGAGACGTTCAATTGCCCCTACAGCAGCCGGATGCTTTCAAATGGATTGCCGTCTCCAAGCTGACAATATTGAGTATAGGGACTCTTGCGGAATAGGGCTTGTTTCCATATTACCCATTGGCATCGTTCCCTCCTCCAAAAAGCCGACTTTTTCAAAGGCAATCCAATGTTCAACCTTCTAGCTTCACCGCTTCTGGTCACGACGCCAAACCTCCCGCGGAATAGCATGGGGAAATGATTTGGGGCAAGAGACATAAAGTGAGACTTGTTTGAGAATACAGCCACACTCTGCAAATAACGGCCCAAGGATAAGACTCTGCTTGGGTGTTTCGATCAATGTTGTGCAATCCCTCCCTCGCTACCCTACCTACCCCTTTTCTCCCCTGGCGACACTAACTCCCAACTTTGAGGAAGCACCCAAACATCCAACCACCTATGGAGACCAATGCAGGTACCTGAAGGCACAGGGACAAGTGTCATGCTCTCTAAGGTCCGAGACAGAACATTTCCGTCTCGAGGATGACATCATCGCGAAGTTTTCTGTGTGTCTCACGGCTCTCTTCTTCATTTCTAATAGTACTCTTGATCCCCATTCTACCTGCATCGACTGAAATGTCGTTTTTGTTTTCAAAGTTCTGTTCCTTTCTTTATTTACGATTCATTGGGACAACTTTCTAGTTATTACCCAGAACGCTGCAGCTGGAAAAGGTGATGCCCTCGCATGGGTTAACATGGAGTACCTCTGCAAAGGAGTTGGAGTTGTAAAAGATGTTGACGTGATTGAGTTCGGCATAGAGATAATACATGCTATGAAGCTTCGTGTGTTTGACCTTTGTTTGCAGTGATCGTAGATGGTGAGGAAGTTGAGTAGTTTTCCATGATGGAAGTAATGGTGATGCGGTGTTGATGCGGGTTATGTTCTCTTGAACATACCGAAACCTTTTAGAGTTTCGATGTATGCATATCCGGTTGGCATATATTCAGATTTTCTACCCTACAAATCTTTACTCCTAGTTAACAGAAAGATTGTAAATTGGAGAATACTTGCTGTTGACAAAGGTTTCCTCATGTATACAAGAAGCATGCATAAATACATCTGCCCATGATCAGAGGAACTCGGGTTCTCAATTTCCCCCCTCCCTGCTTTTTATATGATATTTTGTCTTGAAGTATTAATAACGGAAAGCCTGCATGCTAAAGTGATGTATTTGTGTCCCCTTAAATAGCCTCCAAGATAAAAACCAGGCTGGTAAGTACATTGACTGTCATTTTAGCGTGTATTTAGCGTCCCGAGGCTGGAAAAGATCTGTATGTCCCAAGACTTCGCCATTCTCATCCCCTTTTCTCTTGTCAACACACGTTCTTCTGGTAGGGTCCAACACCACCTTCAACCAATAAATAGAGAAGCTACTCAGACGAAAACAACCTTGTTCCGTCCCAACCTTCCAAACAAACCAATCTCTGTAAGTAGGATGTTGTATTCGGGATGTCAACAGAGATCGAACTGATGTGGTACTCCGCAACCGCCATCAAGACGAAGTAAGTTGAAACTGCAAGACCAGATGATACCACAGTGCTAACTACATTGACAGCAATAACTGGGTGTACATTTAACTCTTGTCTTATCTATGAATGAGGTTGACCAGATAAAAAGTGCAAGTGGCGCTCGGAACTGTTGTGCCTCCCTGGCATGTGTTTTGCTCAGGTAATGCAGGCCTGCCCTCTTCTTTACGCTAGTCACCACTTTTAATTTTTCCGCAAATGCCTCGTATGGGTACTGAGTCACCTGGCTGAGATCGACCTCGGTTTTGATCCCTCTCATTGCTTCCTCGAATATCTCTACCGTCGGGAATCCGTTATGAACTTCCCACGCACCCGGTCTCTTCCAATCGTACTTTGGTTATGCTAGCCTCACCGCTGCACAGCAGCATCAAATGGAAGCCGTCTCGAATAACATCGTATTTGGCATCTAGTATGTTATAGTATATCATCTTGAGAAAAAAAGAGGGATTTGTTTTCTCACTACGTGATGCCCCCCCTTTTTCTTCTTCGCAACAATTATCAACAGGGTCAGCCTCGCATCCGCCATGTCCACTCTCAGGGCGCGGTTGCGACTACTGCTGTCTTCAGACATAAGCCGTAATCTTTTCCCATGATGTCCTTGGGGCTTCTTGACCTCCCCGAATTGTCTAATTATTTTGGGACTTGTCTTGTCTTGTCTTGTCTTGTCTTGTCTAGCCCAGTGTACTGGACTGAACTGTACATCTGTATGCTAATTGTTTATATAGTGAGCATTCCTGCCCACCCGCCTTCCCACGGGTGCTGCAACCTTTTTGCTGCAGGAGGGTATCGTGCTGACTGGGGTTTCGTTGCGCGTAGGTTTATTTCATTATTTTGACTCTGCAAGCGATTGGTCTTGCCAATCTCAGATCTTTTGAATGATGTCATTTGTGGCTATTGGATTCCAATGATTCGCAATTCCTGGGTCATTGATATACTGACATACCATGCCCGCCAACGCGTTTTTCCCTCCTCTCGCACGTAGGTTCTCTCGCCTCCCGACATCCCTGGAGAATGTTGCCAATTGACGGGGGACGTCCAAGGCTAACTCTCACTCCATAGCTCCTCCAGCTCCGGCCCCACCCGCTGCTGGTAAGTGTCAGTTTATCTCAATGTACCCCTCATTCAAAGGACACTGCATGCTGACCTTTTCTAGCTCCTCCCGTCGCCCCGGCAGCCCCGGCAGCCCCTGCCCCAGCTCCCGCCGCAGTTGGTAAGACCCCATCCTTCAATGGGACATATTCAGATCGGTATACCACTCAATTAGGTACATTTGACTAATAGTTTGTAGCCTCTGCTCTTGCCCGTGGTGTTCGTGGTGCAAACCTCGGTGCTGGTAAGCTTACTTTCTATTTAGACTTGCAATCAACTCATGTCCATGTTTTCCCTCATCTGGGATATTTCCAGAACTCTGAAGCACTGGGGCCGATTCCTGCTGAATGTCCTTCGGAATCGCGAAAAATGGAAAGATTGGCGTTCAAATGCTGACTTTTGTTTTTAGACGATGACGACGATGATGACGATGGTGATGACGACGGCGAAGATGAGGAGGACGAAGGTGATGAATATGTTTTCGTCCCACCGTGGACCTTTCTCCCCAAAAAGGCAATTTAATATTTCAAATGATTCCTGGGCGTGGCCACCCTCTACCCTCCAAATGGAAAGATGTATTTGCTTCTCGTCTGATTAGTTCTTTGGAATATGACGATTACCGTCCCCATGCCGCTTTTATTGACTTGACAGAAAAGGCAATAGAAACGAACGAAGAGATAAGTGCTTCTTGATTCCATTTTTATGAATGCCCAGCTGACCTTCTGTTCTCGAGATTTGCCGATACAGCAGTTCGAACCTCAAAGTATCGCGGCGAGCTGAAGTATTGGGGCCAAGCTTACCTTGGTGTCGAGACCGAATGTAAAATTTCGAAAGTACAAGCTCGATTGAAATAGAGAACTCGCGAAGTTCAACGACACAAAACGAGATGTAGACCTCGAAAGTACGCGCGGGACTGGAACAATGGAATCGCGAAGCTTGAGGTAATCGACGAAGTTGGAGAGCTGCAGGGTTCGAAAGTACTGGCAGCAACTGGCTTGAGCTGGAACATTCGAAGTCGAAGAGAGAGAACGAGGACAGGGGGAGGGGGGGTCTAGGGAGGTGGGAGAAGCATTGGCCATCCGACGGCATGGCGTGAAGAGAGATGGCGGGGATTCTCGATACCTGGCGGGGCAATGGCAGAGGTTAAGTACCAAGGAAGGGTGACGTGGAGAGAGGAGAGCCATGACATGGGGCGGATGGTGGAAATGGGTGCAATGACGGAGATGAATGGGCGAAGATGAATAGGAGAAAGAAGGTTCTACACAAGCACAACAGAGGATTGAATGTACACAAGAAAGAAGGCGTAATGACGAGAAGATAACGGACAACGGACATGCAATGTTTAAATCAGGATCCAAATAGTAGAGATTTATACAGCAATGGCGCGCCCACATACCTTCTTCTACGCTTCCGTTTCTCAACCTCTCAAGGAAGAGCCATCCAAAACTTCAGCAGTATGCGTCCCCAACCCCGCCAACGGATCCCACCTCGACACAGCCGTAAACCCAGCGTTCCCACACCCGGGGTTACTCCCTTCTTGATATCATTCAGCGCGCTCGGATTAGCAGACAGCACCGGATTGGTACTCCGACCGGCTTCTTACCAGCAGTGATACGTGCTTCATTGATAAGCGTAATAATACTTCCCACTGTTGGCGCCGCTGCTGAAGCCAAATAGATAATGGCCAATGCCGTCCACTGCTGTGAGATGCCATGCTCTGTTGCAGAGATATCAGGGATCCCGCGAGTTTTTCCGGAGGCGTCGCAGCTAGGTCTAGCAGCATATATTCGCGGTCCGGATGGGAGTGGAGGGGACGTACAGAGTGGTAGAGTACTTCGGCATGTGGCTCTTGAAATACCTTGCCACAGCAGACGATTGACAACTCAGCAGCGTAAAGTTATTGCTGAAACCACCACCAGAGTAGATGGTAGTTTCGCACGCCACTTCCGCAGCTGTGATCGCAGCACCAGGAATGATTTGCGTTGCTCCGACAGAGGTTATGTATGGGCGAGGACGGGTTGAACCCTCCTGCTGCACCGGCGGCGTCGAGAACACCACAGGCGCAGCCGACATATGTGCAGCATATTTTGCCATTTCCGCGACCTCATAGTCGCCGTTACTAACGACGGTGGTTACGCCTCGGAGACCGAGCTTCATCCATCTGAGAAGAATTTAGCTGGTCATTACCGATTATGAATTAGTTTCTTACACATTGCATTGGCGGTTCATACAAGCAACAGGAAGATTTCCTTCGTTGCCTGCCTAAGAAAATGCAAATAACTGACGCTTGTGTGAAAATCCCACAGGCTTTCGGCCCTTTGTATCTGCCCACAGCAGGTTCTGGATAGACCGAATCACTGAGGAAGTTAGGAAAGCAGCTCAAGTACTCCGAAAATAGATTCAACTCATAGTCCCGCGACGTTTCCGCCTTGCCTAGGTACAATGGCTGATGTCGAGGGCGTCCAGGAAAGGGTTGAATGAAGCACCAACACCTTCTACTAAGTCTCCGCCTTGGTATAAAGTCACCTTTTGTGGATACACTACAAACTGTTAGTGATGGTCTTTGGCATGGCCGAGGGAGAGAATGTGCCAAGTGCTATTGCATATTCAAGATCGAGGTCAGACTCTCCGTTGTAGTAAAGGCTCTCAGCTATTTGCTGCAGCGTTCTACCATCGATAGAGGCCAGAGTCCAGGCAGATCCCTGTGGTACATTGATAGATAGATAGTGGTAAAACAAGCCAAGATCGCTTTGGATCTGCGCCTAGGCACTTGTGTGAATTGGCCGTGCAAAAGCAAAAATTGCACTCACATTAGGTGCTTGCTCATGGATTCCGAACGAAGATCCGCTCAGGTCAGAAGAATTCTCAACTCGATCAAGGGGCCATACTTGGCCATCGAATAGATCGGGAAGCCAGAAAGACCCCTCAACAATCCGGAGTAATATACGAACTGCAGTATGATAACGCTGACGAGGAAGCTCCTGGTTTCAGAGCGACATAAGGTGTCAATGGAGCTTCGCCTCCGGATTTGCGACCCCCGCCACCGGAGCCTAGACATAAGGAGTCAGCATCGCTCATTCCAAAAGGCAGAATCGAGAATGTATACTGATATTGAAAGGAGGAGCAGATTCACCACCATGTTTCGTTTCAAGAGACGAACCTTCCTTCTCGGCTCCGGATCCGCGAAGAATACGTCGAACCCAATAGCGGGCGTGATGAAGTCAATGTGAGCCTTGATTTCGACGGGAACCCTGTACTCATCACAAGCAAGATGAGATTTCTTTGTTTCGGAGTGCTCATAGACCTTGATACTGTCAATGTCGTGAAACTTCTTCTTGAAACAACAAAACGCTCACTTTATATTTGGTTTGCAGCAATGCTTCGGCTTCTCCAATTGTCGAACTGAACAGGATCCAGCTGGAACCTTTCGAGATCGAAAGACGGGCTTGTTTAATTCCGTGACTTGAGAGCCATTCCTTCATGGCATTGAGCGTCTCAACAGTCGAGGCAAAGACCTCAACAATCGGTGTTGTCGCCCTCGATTACTCCCTTTTGAAGTTCGCAGCGTACCTGTTCTGGTGCTGGTTGGATCCAAAACATCCATGAGGAAATCATGGCCTTTGTGTATATTCTGCTGTGTCAAGCCGATAGAAATAGGGAGGGGCGTTCTCCTGTCAAGCTTGACATCACCTGGGAGCCACCTTGGGTCTTCAACTTGACGCTTTTCATGGACAGCATAGCTTGCCGTCGGTGAGAAAGAGACTGATGACAAAAGACCTGCAACGGCGATGAAGGAGAGTCTCATCGTTAGATAGCAATCCGTATGAGAGAGTAACTCGCAAGACTGCAGCACGCTAAGCGAGCCTGTCTATAATCTAGTCAAGTATATCGGAGAGATTTAATCTCCCGAATGCAGGATCTCAAATTCTCTTAGCAAGGACTAAACTCCCCGCGCCCATTTCGTCTCCCCATACTCATGTAATCAAGCCTTCGGACAAGAGCGCTGGGATCCCAATCCGAGCCCAAAAAGCAAATATCAGTCAGAATTAGGACGTGAATGGCTCTGAGACAGAATTCAATAGAACTAGTGATGTTTCTGACACCTCTTAGGCGAAGTCGGCGCCATTCTGCTCCACAGGGCGTGGAATGGTCCAGATTTGGCAGAGATCTTCAGTCGCGAAGAAGAAATCTCAACCGCGGCTGATTTTGAGGTTGATGGCTCCGAGTCGTTGGCAAACCCTATTCACCACGTGCGGACCTCGTATTGCACTTTAATTGTGGTCTTTCACATTCGAAGCACTTTCCGGCAGAGAAAAAGAACTTGGAGAATGTGCCCGGGAGTCGCAGGCTTTAACTTAGAGACATCTTAAGCCTTCCTCTCCTGATGCCGACACAGTATAAACAGCAATCAATCATCAAAACTGGCAGTTGTAGCTCTCAGCTCATGACGAATATGTCTATCGCCGCACCTGTAATCTGACAATCATGTTCAAAGTTAAAATCGTACGGTTTCACCCCTTGATTATTGTAAGACTTGTCTTATATGCTGGTGGCCGAGTGAGCTCGGTTGGAAAGAAGATAAGGCTGAGACCTGGCTCAGCGCCTGGCTCTCCTGAGCCAAGCCACGTGATCAGATAGGAGAAGTCGAGAGACAATCACTTTCATTTGATTGGTTTATCAGATGATAGACGAGCAGGTGGCGGGGCTACCGGGGCACACTGGTGCAGAAGACTTGAAGCTCGTCAAAATCTGGGGAAACGACTTTCGATTGTGACACCAATCAGTCTGGCAGAAGTTGAGATGTACTAACTCTCATCGAAAGCGGTTATCAGAGATGCACTTGGAGCTCGTGGGGTCGAGACGGAGCACACTGGTGCGAATGGTTCCCTTACTGTCCAAGACCTTGAGCTTGAGCTTCGTCCACAAAATCGCAACTGCTGAAACAGGAATTGAGAGACGCTGACTCTCCTTGACCGCGGCTTATCAGATGATAGAGAGGGGTCAGTTAGATCAAGGAGAGGCACACTGGAGCGAATTGCTCCGTCAGCGTCCGGCAAATGAGTTTCAATTCGATGAGCCAAATCCAAAGCACGCAGATCAAATCCGTTCGCCCATCTATTAATAAGTCCTAACCTCACTTTTCCCCTATATCCCATTTTCCAGTCCATATGCCTAGACAATTAACGAGTATCCGAACCGCTTTTATGAATAATTCTTTCGCCTTTGATTCCGTTCCTAACTCCAAGAACTCCAAGTTGCCTCCCAACCTACCATCTCATGACATGACGCATCATTTCGCCATGGCTACCGCACACACACCGTCAGCACCGTAGCATACATTACAATCATGATTCACAATATCACGTCCGAAAATCCCAGCCTAGAGAAAGCAACCGCAGTCTCTCGGATACTAAACGGCAATTCCGATCCTTCACCCTCAGGATCGGAACCATAAAAACATAACGCACCTTTCAGGAGCCGGAACCCCTTTCGCAACCAAACGTGCGCACCCTTCTCATTGCCCAATATGCTCTGGAACTCGGTGAACAGGTAACAAGCCATGAAGGACAGCTCCCAGGTCACGGTATCTGCTTTTCCTTGGATTTTTGACAGCTGTTGCGAGAGCAGCCGCACGGCTTTGGAGGAGTGATAGGAGGCGGAACTGTGTAAGGAGGCGATGATCGAGCTGTAGTTTACGCAGATGTTGACGTGGTTCGAGTGGTGCATGATTGCTGTTGCGAGGACGAGGTGTCGGAGCGAGGGCTCAAAGTGAGTTACTTGGAGGAGGAGGGCCCAGATTGGGGATTTGAAATCGGGGGATGAGGGGTTGGTGCGTAGGGAGACGAGGTATTGGAAGTAGTAGGCGTCTCGTTGGGAGATTGGGAAGACGGGTAGTTGGGGTGGGGGGTTTGAGAAGAGGTAGAGTGCTCCACGTCGAATGTATGGGAGTGATGATCGCCTCAGTGGGGGTGTTGGTGGGTGTGTGTCGTGGATTGGCAAGCAAACAAAGCTATGCTTTCGAGAGAGGTGGCTGATTTCCGAATATGGAGGGGGAGGGTCGTTACAATTCGTATTCTCTAGTCTGATATCTGATCAGCCTAGGAAAGCAGAGACGGGCATGCAGTACGTACCTGCATAAGTAACACGCGAACCTTTTCTTTGGCCCCGGTCTCCTCCATCTCGACTTCCTCCTCTTCACGGTATGTGTGATTGTCAAGCTGGTGGTGCTGCCATTTCGACGGCCTTGAGGTAGATCTCTCGAGCACTGCTCCTTGCTCGAGTAGATCGTCTGGATGGAGACTTTCCGTCGTATAACTCGATCTGTCTTGAGCACCGATATGATAACTCGTGTCTGGGAGACGAGTTGCCAGAGGAGACGCGCCGAGAGAAAAGCACCGTCGACACATGTAGTCTGCTCAGCCTCGCCCATGGTCGCCCAACTCCAACGTTGAAGCAGCAACGCGGCAGTTGGAACGCCAAATGTTTCCTGGGAGGCCTGACATTTTTGTACGGGATATAGCAGCACAGATCGCGGAGCGCGTTGAAGCATCCAATTTTAACTGCAGCAGCATCGCCAACGTGGCAGCGTCTGCAGTGGAGGGGTGGTGATTGGGTTACCAGGTTTAGAGTGCCCGCGCCTGGACATTTTTGGATGATCTGCTGCTGGGAGTGGAAGGTTCAGCGGTTGAGCCCCCGCCCAATGGAGATCATGTTTCCGAGATTGAAGCAATGCACGAGAAAAATTGCGGGGCAAGGCTGCAAAGAGGGGGAGTTTTGTTGCGCAGAAAGGAGTGATTGGGCACGACCAGAATAGTTTCTAATTAACCGGAGGGGTAGCTTAGGAGCTCGCAGCTCGCAGCTTGCAGCTTGCATAAAGAAACTTTTCCGTTCCCCGAAGAGCTGTGCGATATCGGTGCAGAGATCTAGAGATTAATATTCCGTTCTCGCAAGAGCATTTCCCTCGAAGGCATTAAGGATGCCTATGCATCTTCAAGAGAATTTTATATGTACTGCAGAGAAAATCGAGAATACTTTCCCCAGAAATCTATCTTGATCCTCCTCGCATGACGCTTAAATAAAGTTTCAAGTGGGCTGGCTGCTGCCGCTGTTTTCAATCATGCATGAACCCGCAAAGGCACTCGGCATTCAAGGTTTATTTAGGTGAAGGTTTCGGCAAATATACACCAGATTCTCAACCCAGTGTTGTACGAGGATTGGTCTGTCGGGACCTTATTGATTGAAACAACTTTTTGGTATGTGTAACCAGCAGAGGGCTGGGCTATGTTGCCGCAAAATCGTCATAGACTTGCAGATATAGATGGGTCTAGATGTGTACCCTGCACACAGACACTTGAGCTCCGAATCCAAGCACCGAATCACATCAAAGGACAGTTTGAGCATGCAAGATGGCGGTAAGCATTGAAGTACTATTAATGAGAAGGAAACTTCAATCCTCAACGAACATCCTCCCATTCAAGAGCCCAAATTATGCGGCTATTTGCAGCCCAAGACAACATTTGAGCTTCCTTCCAAGACAGCATCTTAGTTTCGTCTCATCCCAGCTGTTTATGATTTAGAAAGACAAGAATTTACTGGACAAAACAACCTTCTCCTCATGGAGCACAGTCACGAGCTATAGTCTAGAAGATGATACTGATACCTCAGACAAAAGGGCTATCTTCTCTTCATAGGACACACTTATCCTCTGGAAAATAACGCGATCATTTCGGACGAAAAGGTGTGGTTCTCAGTCACCACAGGAGAAGAAAACCCAAAGAATTACAGCAGAGCAAGCATTTAAAGCTGTTTATCACCCAAAAACTAATAAACATAATACCCACTCCGTTCTCTCCCTCCCCCTCTCCAAAGTAATCAGGATAGATGCCCTTGCCTCTTCTAATATCCTTGAGCCTCTATTCTCCAGTCACTCCTAAATCTTTCTTTACGAAGCTAAATCCAAACCAATCAAATCGCGCGTCTCTTTTCCTACCACATACTTTAAAATCCTTGAGCGACGAGTCCATTCCAATATATTGTACGAGAGTATGGCAACAACAAAAACTCATGAGCAAATGATTCAGGTAATCAAGTATATAATACAACAGGACACGGTAATGTAGCCAGATGTCTACTTCGCGCGGTCATTGTCTCTCTTCTATCAAGTTGGAATCACTCAATTCCTTTGATACTCATCCAAGCTCGAAGCAAGCAATCAACAATCAAGCGGCCACCACAATTGGGCTCTCATCTATATAGCCTTCCCGTCTCGGATCTTGTGCCATCACGGTGTTGCAGAATCTTCAAAGCTACGCAACTGTGCGAATAGCCCCTTCTCTTCTGCCTTCCTCTCCACTTTCTTCCCTCAAGCATGGGCCTCAACCTTCATCTACACCCAGAAATTATCCCTCAAGACGTCTCAACTTAATCCCTTTCGGCACAACAAACAGCCCCTTAGCCTCAACACAAACCCTCCCATCCACCGTCTCCAATCTGCCACTGACCCAGCCCTTGCGTTCCGTAAACCCCTTCTCCGGAATCGCCCTGACCACATAGAAAGAATTCGTAACAACCGGCTTCAAATAGTTCAATTCCAGATTCGCCGTCACGCCCGTCTGGGCCGGAAACTGTTTGATCGCACAACGTCCCAGTATCTCATCCATAATCGTCGCCGTGACTCCTCCATGTGTTACTCCGGGCCATCCAGCAATCGCACCCCCGAACCAGATCACCGTTACAATTTCTCCCGATTCTTTGTTCCAGAAGATACGTTGGAAACCGCCGATGGCGCGCGCGCCGCCGAGGGGCCCGGTTGTGAGGCGGCGCGAGAGCTCGGTGTCAGGTACGGAGGAGTAGGCTTCGTAGGAGGTCCACTTGGGGTCTGTGGAGAGGGATTGCACGATTGGGAGTTTTTCGGCTTGTTTTTGGAGGTGTTCGATCATGAGGGTATCCTCTTTTGAGCCAGCGGGTGGGAGGGGAGGTGGTGCGAGGACGAGGCGCACGTATTGGCCTGCTGTGAGGCCGATGGTGAAGAAGATAACTGCGTAGATGTACGGGCGGAGGGAGCGTTTGGGTGTTGGTTGGAGGGAGGGTTGGGGTGGAGCGGGGGAGGAGAATTGGGAGCGCAGGTCTGTTGGTCGAGGAGATTCGGTGGGAGGAGAAGTTGGCTCAGTCGAGTATTGGCGGTTGCATTGAGGGAAGGGACGCCGTGAGGACGAAGATGCTAGTTTGGAGATGCGAAGACATCTTGTTGAAGGCCGAGTTATTGGTCTCGCAGTCTGTAAGAAGACTCGAGCTGGTAACCGCGTGATCATTGTGTGAGTATTGGAGGTCGTCTGCCGGGAGGGTTGAAATAAAGACACCCTCTCTCCACCTAATGTTCCAGCTTCCTGCTCTGCTCTTGCTTGCCGGCGCAATTGGGGGTGAGCTCGAATAACAAAGCCTCAAGCTTCACTGCCTCGGCGCATGTCTCGCAACCCCTGACTTTGACCAAAAAGCGACCTCTTTTGCCTTAACCAATCGATAAGCAGCAGCGACATTCCCCCGATAACAAATTTCCCGTCAAGGTCCAGAAGAACTCCCTCGAACACTTTATAAGCCTCGCCCACAACTCACCCACAATGGCTTCCTGCTCCTCTCCAGCCACTTTCTCCGAACATCGTCTCCCTCCATGAGGCCTTTCCTCTCTTCTCCCCGCTACCTCACACGATCAATACTCTCCAAAGCCGTCCATCAAATGGGCTCCATTGTCGCCTCCCGAGAGCTCAGGACTCTAGCACAGGTCCCCCAACTCGCCCTCTCTGTCGCAGAAGACGATGCAGAAATCAGAGCAAAATACCGACCTTTCCTGCTTGATCCAGAGGTAGAAGCCACAGATTGGATCTCGCAATTGGAGCTCGACACCGTGATGTCCATTTCCTCAGCCGATATCGAGAAGACCGGTTCTCGACTCAAGGTCTTGGTCCTCTACGGGAGTCTGCGTAAACGGTACCCCAACCATATCCTCGCATTTCACTTTTTCTAGTTTTGATTGCTGATATGCGGTGGAATGGACATAGGTCTTATTCCAAACTCATGGCTTTCGAAGCTTCCCGCATCCTCCACCGCCTCGGCTGCGACGTCCGGATCTTCAACCCCTCCGCCCTCCCCATCCGCGACTCAGTCCCAGACACGCATCCCTCGGTCCAAGAACTACGCTCCCTCTCTGCATGGTCCGACGGTCACGTCTGGGTCACGCCCGAACAGCACGGGAACCTAACCGCCGTGTTCAAAAACCAAATCGACTGGATCCCGCTCTCCACCGGTTCCGTACGTCCCACCCAAGGCCGCACATTATCGATAGTCCAAATCAATGGCGGTAGTCAGAGTTTCAATGCGTTGAATAGTTTAAGGATATTGGGGAGGTGGATGAGGATGTGGACGATTCCCAATCAGAGCAGTTTGCCGATGGCATATAAGAATTTCGAGGATGAAGGAGGTGATGGGAGTGGGAAAGCGAGACTACTGCCGTCTGGGAATAGAGAGCGGTTGGTGGATTGCATGGAGGAATTTGTGAAGTTCACAGTGATGCAACGGCCGTATAAGGAGAGTTTTGGGGATCGGTTTAGTGAGCGGAAGGAGAGGAGGGAGAGGAGGGAGAGGGAAGAGAAGAGGAGGTTAAAGGAGATTGCAGAGAAGGAGAAGGAGTTGGCTGTTGGAGGGAGCGTATAGAGGCGGCTGTACCTCCACTTTAAGTAGGCTTTTCAATCTAGACGGCTAGGGGGTCAAACTTTACGCTCCATCCCCCTTCTCTTGTTTTTCTTCCTTCGGAGCCTCCGTTTCCACCCTCCCGTCACTCCCATCTTTAACCTCCACCCCAGGCCTATCAAAATAAAACAACCAAGCATCACTCTTCAGCCCACCATCCACAAACCTCTCATAACTCTCCTTCAGCACCTCTCCCTTCTTCCCACCACATTTAACACAAACCCTCTGACTCGCCACATTCTCCGGGTGCGTTTTGGCTACTAACCTAACCACATTCATCCTTTCTGCCATCCTTTAGTTTTTCCCCCTGGTTGAAATTACGGACATGAAAGAAGGGAAAGGAAAGGAAATGGACGTACCAGGAAGCGTCCAATACAGTTCCAGAAACGTCTTAAAGCCCTCAGTAGTGTACCCCGTCCCCCAATACTCGACATTCGAACAATAACCAACCTCCATACCTTTTTCACACCACCTATTCGTCCCCACAAATCCCACCATCTTCAAACCCCCCTTCTCATTCTTCTCATCTTTCAACAACAGAGCATATTTATCTATATCCCAGGTCTCTTTCGTTGGGAGTATCATGTACTAGCCAGTCACGCGATTCTTCGAGCGTGTCCTTTTTCGGTTTTGATCTGGAATTCTCTTAATATTTAGAGAAAAGGGAAAGGGGAAAGGGGACATACGACCATAAAACCGCCTCGTCATTATTCCAGAGCTCGTGGAAATCTTCTAGATGTTGTACGCCAAGTGGCTCGAGATATAACCTTTCGGTTTCTGCTGCATAGGTTGTCATGTCCTTTGGAACTGCGGGGTTGAGGGTCTAGCTGAACAGCTAGGAATTTCTATGGAAAGGTTTCTGTGGATGACACAATACGAGATGGGTGGAAATTCTGAAGAGAGGAACTGTGGTGTTCGATGGTAGCGGGGAGAGATGGAACGCCCTCCGATGACTTGACTTGCTGGAAAAGGCTGAGTGGTTGTAAGACGGGTGATTTGGACACCGTGAAGAGTGAAAGGTCGCCTTGGGAGGAGAGGGCAGCTCTTATAAGTCGCCCCAGCGAGGATGTGCTAAGAGAGGAAGGCCGATGAGATAGAGGGATGGTGGGGTGAATCACGTGCTTGGCGGGGTATCTTTGGTCTATGGATGATATCAGGGACGAGAGGGACGAGTTGAGAGAGGTCTTGTGAATCAAAGGAGTGTTTTGTATTCTTTTGTATCATACTTTCATTCATGAGAGGCGGATCCAAACTTTCCCTTATCCTATCCATTGCTCCATCCATCCATTTACTCTTTTTCCTGCCCTATCCCTTCCATCCCTGCTCTCACTTCAAGCTCCTTCACAACTCATCCTCGAAATGCGGAATCAACCTCTCCTTAAACTCCTCCAACTCCATCTCCCCATCCTCCTCAGCCTTCTCCTCCCTCCCTCGAGGAGTCTTGGGTGGGATTAACACACTACTCACAACATGAATGACCCCATCCCTCGCAATCCCATCCTGGACCGCCACGCTCGAGAATCCATTAATCTTCATACTAATAAAGCCTCCATACCGCGCCACGTCAATACTCAAACTCTTCTCATCCAACAGTGTCGGGAGATCAACATGGAAATATCCCTTCGGGATATCTTCCTCGCCGAATTGTTCTCGTCCATGACATCTAACACTATCAACTGACTTGGCCTTGTAGAAAGCATCAGAATACAAAGTCTGGTTGGCAACAACATGGTATTTTAAGAGAGCCTTTAGATATTTCTCGCCGTACTTGCTGAAGAGGAAGGCGTTGATGCGCGGACCGAGTTTCTTGAATGCCAAGTTCGAGGGTGCGAAGATGGTTCCTCCCTCATGGGGAGAGGACGTGATGGCTTCGAAGAGACCGGTTTTCTCGAGGCCGAGTTGGAGAGTGCTGAATTCGGTGGGGAGGAAGGAGATGATTTTAAGGGCTTCAGGTGGCGGGAGGATGATGGAGTCGACGCCATGGATTACGCCGTTGGATCCAAACTATTGCTCTGGTTAGATTGGGTAAAGAGAGGGGAGATGGGGAAACAAGAAGGAGGACGAACAATGTTGACAGCAATAATCTTGCTGTAGAAGTTGATATTGAGACCCTTGAGGAGACCGAGTCCTACACGGAGTCTTTGTGGCTCTCCGCCGAGTTTGTCTTCTCCAAGCGCAGTGGGGATGGTGTGTGATGTCACGATTCGACCAGCGGGATAGAAGTCGGGTGAGAGGTGGTAAGACAGGACTTTCTTGATGAGTTCCTTTGAAGGCTTCTTGTGTCCCTTGGGGATTTTCTCAAACGCCTTGTCGATTGGAGCGAAGAGAGTGTAGTTTGCGGCCGTGCCGTTCAATGTCTCAACCAAGTCGGGGTACTCGTTGATGAGCTCGGCCAGCCTGGTGGTGTACTTGCTGCTCGAGATGAGCTGGTAGATAGTCTTGTTCGACTTGTGGTGGGGACCGCCATGGCCATGATGCGGCGGTTTGCGGTGGTGTGGTGGCTTGTGAGGAGGATGTTTCGGTGGTTCAAAGACATCGATGCCATCTGGAGTTTCCATGGCGGTGTCGAGCCATCCTGCCATGTCGAACTTGGTCATGGACATATGGCACTCGAAAGTACCCTTGGCTTGTTGAGCAGCATCATTGGCCGCATTGAAAGCATTGTCCAATGCGTTCTCGGAGAATGCAACGGCGTTCTTGAATGATTCCTCGACTCCTTCCCAGAGTTCTTCGACGTTGCCCTGCAACTTGCCGAAGAAAGATGGCTCCTTTTGAGATTCGAGGACGATCTGGTCGGTCATCTGCTCGTCAGGAAGGACGAATGCAGAGCTGATGACCGCAAGCGGCAGTAAGGTATTGACAAACTTCATTTTGATGATTTTGATGTGTTCGGTGAAGTTGGAAGAGATGGGAAGATGAAAAGAGAGATGAAGCAACACTGCCTAGAGGTTGCGTGATGACGCCTAATAAGCTCGGAGCCGAACTTTCTGATACACTCCGAGGTGGATGAAGCGGGGTTGCGAGAAAACGAAGCTTAAAATCGAGAGAGGATTGGAGGCGAGGAACAAAACCAAGTTGATCTACTTAAATCCGAGCTGCGTACCCGACTTGGGCGATGAGGCTTCAGGAGCTTGCGTGTCGTCTGCTGAAATGGGATCATGGCATCATCGAGTTGGTGCTATTGGACCCCTGCTTACCCCTCGATCGGCGCATCTTGATGCCGATATTCAGAATCCCATATTCCGAGAGAAGGCATGCGATTGGCTAGATGAGCAGCTGGTGGGGGAAAAAGCAGAATTCCGAATTGATGAGAGGAAGGAAAGATTGAGATACTTATAAGTTTGAGGGAATGGGAGATGAAGTCAAACCCCGCAACGCTCCTGCATTGTCAACCTCAACCTCGATAACGATAAGAGCTCTGACTGCGGGGGATCGACGCTGAAAGTTGGACCAGGGGTAACGACAAGAGAGATGGCCTTGGTGCACTTGCAATCTCTTCGGTGTTCGTTCAGGAAGTTCACCTCTTTTGAAATTATGTCAATGTTTTCAAATTGTCGCCAAAGTCTTCGGACATTCTGAATCTTCAACCTCGCCTTGTCAACTCTCGCCCTCGCATCTCTCAGGTCTTAAGCTCCCCGTGTTTGATACCATTGGGAACCCATGAATCATCTATCTTCCACTCTCTAACACGACAGCGCCACTGCAAGGCTTGTGAGACTTTGCAAAAACGTGCTCCCTAGGCCAACGTTGCCTGCTCCGGAGACTTCATCCCTGCCAAACCTCCCACCCGTATTTGTATTCAGCTTAACATCTCAAAGACTATGCATCTCGCTGATCCATTTGTTTAATGTTGAGGTGCATCGAGAGAAGTGCCCATAAGCAAAGGAATCACGCAGAGGAGGAAAGCATCAACTGCTGATAAACCTTTTGCTTCAAGGTTCTTCGTCAGGAATGACCTGTTCGTTGTCTAGCTTGAGCTGGGATGCCAAACCCCTAACGACACACTTCAATGCTTTGCATGCCGGGCTGTCCGCGAAAGAGTCGAAGAAGCTCTCTCCATAATCGCATGCCATTCCTATCCTAGGATCCAAAGGCACTGACCCTAGAAACGGGATTCCCATTTCTTTTGCCAACGCTCTACCACCGCCTGTTGCTATTCCAATCATCAGCGCCATTCTCGCTAAGGGGGGTGGGAGCAACTCACTAGCCTGAAAAATCTGACTCTCAAAAGTACAATTCGGACAAACAAACCCACTCATATTCTCCACCAGTCCCAAAATCTTAATCCCCGTCTTCATGCAAAACTGTATCTCCCTCCTGACATCCAGCAGCGCCACCTCCTGTGGGGTGGTAACCACCACCGCGCCATCAATCCCACTCTCCTTCAGCAGCTGCACAACACTCAGATGCTCATCGCTTGTCCCCGGCGGCGTATCACACAGCAAGAAATCCAAATCTCCCCAATCTACATCCCGCAGAAACTGCTTGATCAACCCATTTTTCTTCGCTCCGCGCCATATTATCGCGTCGTCGCGGCTCGGCAGCATGAATTGGATAGACATGAGGGACAAGTTGTCGAGGACGTAAACAGGCGACCAGCCTGCGGAGGATATGTGGATGGTTTCGCTTTCGACGCCCATCATTTTGGGCATGGAGGGGCCGGTGAGATCGAGGTCGAGTACGCCGACTGTCGAGTCGGGATTATTTGCGAATGCGTGTGCGAGGAGGCCTGTGAGGGTGCTTTTGCCTACGCCGCCTTTGCCGCTGAGGACCTGGAGCTGGTGTCAGTTTTGAGGTCTGCTGATGGTGGGAAGAGGGGATTGACTAATATCTTGTGCTTCACGTCTGACAGCCTCTCTGTTATGGCGGGGATATCTAGATCAGGTCCCTTGGGTGCCGAAGCGCATATCTCTTTGTTTGGACATGTTTGACATGCATCCCCTTGTCCAGCTTGCTGGGACTCTGGACCTGGACAGTGCTCTGGTTCTGGGGCAACAAGTTGGTTCGTGCCACTCTCCTGTGGCTCTTCTAAAGACGGCATCGTTGCGGTGTTGGTTGTGTTGAAAGAATGAAGGCTTGTTTCTAGTGGCGGCGATGTCGGCTTAGAAATACACGAGACGAGCCCGATCTGAGAAGACGCTAAGATAACCTTAATTAACACCCCTGAGCAATTTAAACATCCCAACCACCGTTTCCTCTCCATTCAAAAGAAAACCAACTCGGAAGTGTCTCAGATTATTGCAACCAAGCAGTTGTACCTTTCATGAATTTTGCATCAAGCGAGGTACTTACATTGTCGAAGAAGTATATGTTATTCAAGAAGCATGCATGTTTTGCTTCTCTGAATTCAGAAAGATGCTGTCGAATAAAAATGCACGCACTGCAATTTTAGCCCCGTCGAGGAGGATCAAGAAACAACCTCAGGCACGGATGTCTCAACTTTCTTCCTCGTAGAACTAGACATTATTCTGGCTAGACTGGGCAAAATTCAAAATCTGGACTGCCCGAGAAAGTTTCTTCCATCTGCCTTTTGGAGTTGGCATTTTCACTTAAAAGAGCAGGCCTCTGTGCAAACTTCGATTACCCGTTTTCCTCTAGTTTCTTTACAGGGTCTTCGGGCCGCCCAAGATGGAAATTCCTCTCCAAAAGTTCAGATCACGCATTTTGAAGTGAGCAACTCATTGGCTTGCTCCACCCGCCTCCAATTTCGATAACATCGAGCAATGCCTCGACGAGCCTTGGCAAACAGACTCGCGGCAAAGTCGCATCTCCACCCCCAAGGGTCTCCAAAACGAGATGTCGAGATGTCGAGACGTCCAAAATCTATCATCAAACCCTCAAGCGTTTGAGAGACGGTCAACCAAGGTCCGTACCCCACGCCATCAAGAAGGATACAGTGGAGAACAGAAGCACTCCGAGGGCTGGAAGTGCAGAAGTACCCCGATGCATAAAAAGGCCCTTTAATGTTTTCAAAGCCAACCGACAACACCCCGCAATCGAAAGATTTCCGCGGAGTCCAGACGTGGCTTCCAAATCCTCGAAATCTAGACCAGGAAGCATGCAGAGCCTGCAGGGCGGGAAATCCCACACAACTTGAAAACAAGCTTTCGAAGCGAGGCCCGTGAATCTTGGCTCAGCTAAAGATAAAATAGCATCAAACTTGCCATCGAATTTGACTTTTGCAGCTCATAGCAGATCCTCGGTTTGGCAGAGCCAACGACCAAATGAAATCTAGGAATCTAGAGTTTCTCAAGGTAGGAACGCGAGTGCGTGGAGCATTATGCGGGGGTGATTCGCTAATATCAGCCCACACTCGTCATTGAGCTCTGTCGTCATACATACAAACAGCTTCCAGTTCTGTATTCAAGAACCTCATCTCCCCCACACTCAGTTTCTTTCAACATTCCCCAGTCCGACTTCAACTTCAATTGACAACAGATCCTTCACCAAACGACCCAAAATGTCTCTGGCACGCCATGTACGTTTACCTCTCCATCACCTTACTTCAACTCCTTAACACAATCCTAACAGAAGACAGGTCGACCCCGACGAAATCATCCAATCCCTCCACGGCCTCCATATGTCTTCCGCCGGACGTCAACACGTGCACTCCCAAGGTGGAACCTCTCACATAACTCCCTATTCTACCCGCTACGCCAGCAAGCAAGAGATCTCCAAATTCAAAATCCCCCACAATGGCGCCCCTGCCGACGCCGTCCACCAGATGCTGAAAGACGAGCTCGATCTGGACGGACGCCCTAACCTAAACCTCGCCTCATTCGTCGGAACATACATGGAAACGCACGCCGAGCAGCTCATGTTCGAAAACATCAGCAAGAATATGTCTGATGCAGATGAGTACCCGGCAATGATGCAGATGCACGCGCGCTGCGTCTCTATCCTCGCTCACCTGTGGGGTGTTCAGAAGGGCGAAAGGGCCATTGGATCAGCTACCACGGGCTCGAGTGAAGCCATTCATCTGGGTGGTCTGGCGATGAAGAGACGCTGGCAGGAAAAGAGAATCGCTGAAGGGAAAGACACGAGTAAACCGAATATACTCATGGGCGCCAACGCACAAGTCGCGCTCGAGAAATTCGCGCGGTATTTCGAGGTCGAGGCGAGGATCCTCCCTGTTTCCGAGAAGTCAAACTTCCGCCTCGACCCAGAGCTCGTGAAGCAGAATATCGACGAGAACACCATCGGGGTGTTCGTCATCCTGGGCTCTACGTATACAGGACATTATGAGCCGGTAGAAGAGATCAGCAATATTCTAGATGAGTACGAAAATAAGACCGGAGTCGATATCCCAATCCACGTCGACGCCGCATCAGGGGGTTTCATCGCACCATTCACGCACGCGAAAGTGAAGTGGGATTTCTCTCTCCCGCGCGTGAAAAGCATCAACACATCAGGCCATAAATTCGGGCTTGTGTACGCGGGCGTCGGATGGATTATCTGGCGCGATGAAGCGCTCTTGCCGAAACATCTAGTTTTCGAACTGCATTACCTAGGTGGCACCGAGGAATCATACACTCTTAACTTTTCGAGACCTGGTGCTCAAATCATTGCCCAGTATTACAACCTGATACACCTTGGTTTCACTGGATATCGGCAAATCATGGAGAACTGTCTGTCGAACGCACGCTTACTTTCAAAGTCATTGGAGGCTACGGGATGGTATACTTGCGTCTCTGATATCCACCGTCCAGTCGGCGAGCACAGCTTCCTCGGCACGGCAGCGAAGGTATTCAGCAAAGAAGACGAGACGTCTGCTGGTACGTCCTATTCTCCCTTCCATCCCTCTCCTTCCCCTCCTCCTCATCATTCCACACTTCTAACCATTAACCTAGATTACAACCCCGGCCTCCCCGTCGTAGCATTCCGCTTCTCAGACGAGTTCAAGAAGGAATTCCCCCATCTGAAACAAGATACCATCTCCAAGCTCCTCCGCGCAAAGCAATACATCATCCCCAACTACCCTCTCCCTCCCAACGAAGACAGCATCGAGATCCTTCGCGTCGTGGTCCGCGAAAGCATGTCTTTCGATCTTCTGGATCGATTGATTACGGATATCTGTGCTACGACGCAGGATCTGATTGACAATGATAAAGCGGATCTCGCGATTCTGAGTAAGAGCAAAGATACCAGCACCGAGAAAGAATATTCCAGTTCTGGAACACATGCAGATGGCTCAACGCAAGGAAGAGGAGGCAAGAGGCCGATGAGCGAGGGTGTGCATAGGAGTGTTTGCTAGTTTGGTTCATGGAGGGGAGAGGAGATGTAGAGTAGAGTGTGAAGTGGAATTGAGACGGCGGGGGTGGTGTGAGGAGTGGGGCGTGAAGTGGAATTGAGACGGCGGAGGTGGTGTGAGTGGAATAGAATGGAAATAAATCCGAGGATTGAAGATAGATAGATGTATGATGTATTGATGCAATGGGGATTCAGTAACAGGAGAACGAAAATGGGAAAGGAAGGAAGGGATTGTACATATGGACAATTAGAATCAAAGATCTCAAACACGTTCTGGAAATTCGACATTTGAGAAAGAAGAAAGTTCATGTGAGTTAGCGAGTGATATTTATCTATTCTCCTTGATGTAGCTCTCTCTTCCACCCGTTCCTTTCACAATCACATCCTCGCCAACCATCCTTTGAGAAGCCCAAGAAAATCGATTCTGTCTTAGCTTAGGTCTGCGCGTCTTGTCTGCGAGATTCCGAAGGGAGATCGTGTTCTTGGTTGGGTTATGTCGTGTTGTGTTCATGTCGGGTTCGAGAGAAGAGGGGAAAGGAGGGGAAAGAAGACTCTGAGCTACTTGCTGGATAGTGATTGCTGGAAGTGGAAGTCTTGGTTTGGGCGTGTGTATGTGTATGTGAATCGCTACAGTGTCACGGAGTGCAGGAGTGTGGAACGAAGAGGCGATTGGAATTCTAGAAGTAATAGGTAGCTGAGTGGGATATGTGATTTGATTTGACATTGAGGAGGGCAGGATGGATAGAGATGGTAGCGGTGGACTTGTTTCGACGTGGGATTTCAGCTTAAAAGGAAAGGGAAGAAAAGTGAGACGGACAGACAGGGTTGAGGTGATGTGTGAGGAAGGGAAGAGAAGACAAGCAACTGTAGGAAGGGAGGTGGTGAATGGGACTGGTGGGAGGGGGCTGGAGATGCTGCGATGGTGTGATGGCGCGATTGAGGCAACGAGGACCAGGGAAAGTGAAAGGGGGAGAGGAGGATACCGACGGCGGAAGCCAAGGCTGCATGAGAAGTCTTGAAAAATAGGCAATAGGGGGACATATACAGAGAGTATATGCGGAATAAGAGCATGGGAGGGATTTGGGAGTTTGGAGTGAATGGAGGATGAGGGAGACACAGAGATGGTGCGATTGAGGCAAGGTCTGGGTAGGGAAAATAAAACGCGGCGTGGGGAAGGGGGGTGGGGAAGTCGGGCGATTGAGGGGTATTGAAGGGGGTTTGGAATGGGGGGAAACATTCGAGGGGAGGATGTTCATAGTGAGGGGTCGCCGTGCGACTGAGCGTGGAGTGACACTGTGAGGAAGCCATTGGAGGTTCGCGAGTCGGGCCATGGATGTAGTGAGGGTGGTACACGAGGTAGGATGGGTGTTGAGTCTTGGTATGCATAGGAAGAAGCGACCAGACGAGGGAATGAATTTTGGGTTTCAGGTCTTCTCGGGAAGGCTGAGACGAACAGGTTAAATTTGTAATTATTTGACAAGAGTGGTGTGTGGACATTGAAAATCCTCGCATGAGTTGAACCTGTTAGGGGAAGTGATGAGAGAGGCTTCAGAGGCTGAGTCTGGTGACGAAGTTGCTGAAGTAGAGGGACGAATTGAAAGACTTGGTGTGTACAGGGGAAAGAGGCGAGAGAAGGCGATGTCTAGCATCCAGCACTGCATGAGAGGGCTTCGAGGGAGGTCATTGACTAGGTAAACATTGGCGAGAAATCCTGATTTTCAAGATCCTGTTGGAAGGCGGGCTTGACAGAGGTATTCGCGGGAGAACAGTTGGGGTCATGTTTCGCGTGATGGGGTTCCCCATGCCGTAGGGTTTGGTTTGTCTCAAGAAATGAGAATAGTGGGAGAAAAGAATGGTAATGCGAAAAGAAACTCTCAACTCCAGCCAGCTTGGGCTGGAGGGAGTGCAAAAAGTCGCGAAGAGTAGGAATGAAGGAAGAGATGCTTCGGGCGTGAGTTCCGACAAAAGATGCCTCGTGGAGAATACTAGGAGCATCCTCGAAAGCCATTTCCTAGGAGCCTGAATACAATTCCGCAGCAATCCTGGCTGACAAACATGCTCCTTGCATATTCTGTATGACAAGATGGAAAAAAGTTCAGAAATTTCAACGGAGGTTGCACAGAAACAAGCCAACCTCACGAAAACCTCGAGACGAGCTCGTGGCCGCTCGTCATGGGATTTGTGTCTCGGTATCGAAACCGCACATACTGTAATGATGTGCATCTCGCCAAGGAGAAGAAACTTCGTGGTTCCACGACAGGTCTTGCTCTTATTTGGTTATCTCAATATATGAGAGAGGCTGATTGGGTAGTACCAAGCAATATGTTCCAGAATCGAGCGATGTTACAAGAGGAAAGAACCTCCCGCCGGAGTCCGAGCTTCCACGCCTGGGAAAACGTCGTGGTTCTAGAAGGCTTGAGTTGGCTTGCGGGAGAAGTATGAAAGCTGGTGGCGTTAGTGGCCGTTCGAGGCGCATCCCAATTCTGCTTCAACAAATAGTTTGGGGCTGTAACTCAGCGACTTTTCTGGTCCGCATATTGAGTTGTTTCAGAATTCGGAATCTTTCCAAAAGGAGGCTCGCGACGAGAAGAGAATACTACAGTACAATAAAAAATTGTGGCGCAGACGTGGCGGCAAAATGCCGCTTCTGGCGTGAAAAGCCGGAGTGTACTTGTCGGTTGAAGCGACCTGGGCAAGGAATTCTGATGGACAGGCATGCTTCACTCGAAAGCATCTTCTGAGGAGGAAGAACTTTTCCAATTGATCTACTGATGCCAAGATCCCGGGAGGAAAATGTTGGAACTTGGAAGGTGCTTGTTGAGTGGCAGCCACAATCACACCCTCTTTACGAATGGCAATGTACTTCGCCGGTCTCCGAATGCCATTCGTGAACAATTTATAGATTAGGAAGCGCCATTTTGACATTGGTCAAAATCTCTCGGCGGAACTCTCGGGACTCCGAATTTCACGACCAACAGGGAATCCGAATTTGGGAAGAGAGCAGCAAGCACTCGTCGATCGCAAATCTAACACTCAAAAATGTGCTGCCCGTATTGAAGTACTCTTCGTTTGGCCATGTCCAATAGACTCTTACAACCAAGAAGCAGGTCTCGCGACCAACAAGACACGCGGCCCGGGAATTTGTTCTACAGTCCCCGAACCAAGATTGACAGCGCGCTACCAAGACGCCGGGTTCGGCAATAACGGCAATCATTACTTTAAGCAAAAGAAAGGAAAGGGAGGTTTCCGTCCCGAAATGCCATTCCGTCAGCCACACTTGTTGGGCTCCTTGACTCGGGCATCCCGTGAATGGTGACTTGGGTCACCATTGAGCGAGGAGCTACAGTATGGCACAAGCAAATAGGAGTGAGTGACATATGCAGGGCAGACCCGCCAAGCTGAAGCTGAAGACTTGGAGGGGAAGGGCTTTGCGGAGAAGCCCCCCCCCCTGTCCTCCCCCTCCCAACGAAACCTTTTTATGTATTGCAACAAACGCACACATGCAGCCGAGAAGGGCATAGTACACACTAATCAGCGGGCCGTAGCCCGTAAGTGGTTCCCCAAAGCCAGACTTTTGCTTTTTCATGGGTCGTGCACCCTCCACTGGGGTTGGCAGTTGGCACCAGCAGGGAAGGGAAGCACTTACCACGGCCGAATGCTATCTGGTAACAGCCAGGATGCGCCACCCTGGCTCTCGGGGAGAAGGCTCAATAATAGCCTCAATGGCAGCCTCGCGAATCTCGCGATGGGGGGAGGGCCTGGCCAAGGGCCTGGGGATCGGTGCAGGCCAACGCTCTTCCTGCTGGCGCAGTGCCACCGCTGCAGGCGGCACGGAAACGGGATGATTTAACGAGCACAATCAGTGTGCAGAAAGCCCATCTGAAACGGTGACACAACGCAATGCCATGCTGTTGACAGAGATACCACATGGCTGTGGAAGAGAAGAGCAGCAGAACAAGTGGATGAGAAGATTAGGAATCCTGAAAGAGAAAGCCGCGAGAAATTCACGAGGCTCCCAAGGTCCAAAGCTACCCCTGATTGAGCCTAGCCTTCCCGATCCCCTAAACGACACGCTAGGCCCAAGATCGACCAGTGTGTCCTCGATCTCAACGGCTACTCATCTTGTGATGAGGATCAGAGAACATGCAACCCATCAGACGAGGCCAAGCGCGCCCTTTCCCGCACGGAAAGAGCGAGAGGCGTTTGCAGGAAAATGCCTCCGGCGCACTGGAACTGCTGCTATTGGCAGTTCAGCCGCCTGCCGCGGAGGTTCTTGCTTCAAGAAGACCCAGAGGCACCCCCAGCGGCACCTAGACAGGCCGGATGCACATATGCAAGATAGAGTTTGGGGGCGGGGACAGCTCCGTCAACGAACCAGAGCAGACCCAATGCTTGGGTCCGCTCTCTGGCGCTTGAATGTGAAGTGTTGATCGGGACAGTTCTGCTGTGGGGAGCACTTGGCCATAATCGTCCACTCATGAGCGCATGACTTCCTCCCAATCCCACCGCAGTGTGAACGCCAGCCCAATACTACCCTCGTCGGCAGCCTAGTGCGTACCTGCACGTCGCTCGTCTTGTCGTCCCGAAACTACCTTAACATAATCTTTTCATGCTTGTCCTTGTGTCCCATACCAAGAACCGTAGGGCCTCCAACCTTGCAACCAGCGTTTCCTTTTTCTTTCTCCTTTTCCCTCTCAGGTCGATGTACTGCCGCAGAAGTCGAGCAGCTACAGAGTGCCTTCTAGGGAAGCCTCAAGTACGCTCCTCACCCACTGTCGTTCATGTTCCGCCGGAATCACAGAGCAACTCTCTCTGCACCCAGCATCTTTGGTCAACAACACTCCACTAAATCCCACGTCAGACGCCTCGGGAGCGCCGCCCAAGATGGATTCCAAGGACACCCTGATCTACCTCCTTCGACGAGACCTCCGCACTGCTGATAATCCCATCCTCCACTCCTTAAGCACCCAGAAGGATCTACCATTCACCCACGTTCTCCCACTGTACATCTTCAACTCACAGCAGTTGGAGGTCTCTGGCTTTGTCACAGAAGGAGAGAAGAGTCCTTACAAGGAGGCACGTAGTCAGGTTGCTGGTTTCTGGCGCTGTGGGCCACAAAGATCAAAGTTCTTGGCAGAGAGTGTCTGGGATCTGAAAAAAGGACTCGAGAAGCTCGGCAGTGGGCTCTGCATTAGAGTTGGCTCGACATCAGACGTAGTCAGAGAACTCATCCCTCAGCTGAATGGAAAGCCAGGCTTGAAGGTCAGAGCTATCTGGATGGTTGGAGAGGAGGGTGTTGAGGAGAACAGAGAGGAGCGAGCCGTCAGAGATATTTGCACCGAGGCCGATGTTGACTTCAAGCTGTGGAATGACGAAAAGTATCTCATCGATGAGTACGTTGCATTCTATAACTTGAAGTTGACAAGCTAGCTAACATCCTTAGCCGCGATCTTCCCTTCAACAACATTGACGAACTTTCGGATGTTTTCACAACTTACCGGAAGACAGTTGAGCCTATTCGCGAACATCCTCGAGCAGCTCTCCCTGTTCCAGAGCAAGACTCCTTGCCGGGATACCCCCCTCTCGCAGAAATCACTCCTCAATTCAAACCTTTCGCTATTCCTGATACCTTCCAAGCACTCCTTAACGCGCTTATGAAGCCCCTCAACGCTCAAGACCTCGTTCCCGAGCGACTTCCATATCCTGCGGATACCAAGTCAGCACACCCATTCCCTGGAGGCGAGGCTGAAGCTCTTGAGCGACTTGACTACATCATCAGTAGCGACGCTGCTTCCAACTACCACAATACCCGTAATGGCCTCCTCGGTGAAGACTTTTCTACCAAGCTATCCGCATACCTCGCGCTAGGCAGCATTACAGCCCGTCAAATCCACGCCGCACTGGTCAGCTTCGAAGACGGCACAGACACCAAATTCGAATCTGCTGTTGGCTATGGACGCGGTGAGAACGAGGGCACCAAGGCAATCCGTTTCGAGCTGCTCTGGAGAGATTATATGCATCTCTGTAATAGAAAATTCGGTCCCAAGCTCTTCTTCCTTGGCGGCTTCAAGTCCGATAACGAGCAACGATGGACCAGTCTCTCTAACGCCGGTGAACAGCCCCCCTCAGACGTCCGATCCATTATCGAGCGCTTCACCAACGGCACTACCGGGATGGGACTCATTGACGCTTCACTCCGAGAACTCATCCACACAGGTTATACCTCCAACCGTGCCCGTCAAAACGTCGCCTCCTTCCTCGCCAAGCATCTCCATATCGACTGGCGTATCGGCGCAGAGTGGTACGAGTGCATGCTTGTTGATTATGACCTCTCTTCAAACTGGGGCAATTGGCAATACCTGGCTGGCGTAGGCAATGATCCTCGAGGCCCTACCCGAATCTTCAATCCTGTGAAGCAGGCCTTTGACTATGATCCCCAAGGTGACTACGTCAAGGCATGGGTTCCCGAACTCCGCGGCCTTACGGAACCAAGCGAGATCTTCCAAGCTTGGACTATGTCAGATGCTAAGAAGTCCGAACTGAGTCTGAAAGGCAAAGACTGGGTTGAAAAGCCGCTGTTGAAGATTGACTTCACCGTTGGTCGAAAGGGACGCAACCTCGGTCGCGGCGGACGTGGAGGCGGCGACAACCGTCGGGGCGGAGGTGAAAACCGCGGTGGACGAGGGGGCGGTGATAGCATGGGTCGTGGAGGCCCGCCTCGCGGCGGAGGATACGGTGGACGCGGATACGGCAACACGAGAGGCCATGTGCGGGGCTATGGACGCGGACGGGGTGATGGCGGTGGGAGGGAGTTCCGGGCGGGTATGATGGATCAGGAGGGAGGGGCATACGCGCAGTATGTTGCTGCTCAGTGGGTGCCTACTAACTGATCTCCTCGCCCCATCCCTTTCCCTGACTTGGCCGCACTTTTAACTCTATTTCGAATGTCGAACTCGATACGATACCCGGACGAAAGTGTGTTGCATTGCACGGCGTTTTGGTCTTGATATCACGGCCACGGGGACGGGAAAAGTGTGTTAGCATGCTTGGTTTGCTAGACGGACGGATGGACGGGTGGCCGGCGTTTGCTGATGATATGAATTGATGTGGTGGATGGCACATGGGATACAGGACATGGCTGATGTCTTTATGACTTTATGAATCGTTGCAGATATGATGTCTGGAAGAACTTGGCTTTGACTAGGAGGTGGATCACTGGATCTCGGATTTTCTTTTCGGAAGATCAGAAACCCTACTCCTACTTGCTAGTAATGTGGAGCTACAATTCATAATTGCATCTCAACGGCTTCTGTACTGTGATGTGAGACCACTACGGAGATCGCGGCAAAAAGTATCGGGAATACAGGGTATTAGGAGACTTTTAGGTCCTCTAGCGTACAAATCAAGGTAGCAAATTCACGAGGCCCTATATTTCCGGACCCTTCCCTAAAGGCAGCCTATGCGCCTTCGACAAGGACTGCTACACCTTTTCAGGGCTTCTCCCCTGTAATTATAAGGGAGTCATCGCTAAGGAGGCCTACAATAGTTGCTCGTTTAAAGTCTAAGCGCTATCCCTAGAGGATCAACTTATCCCTTACGAATGTCTTATAACGCCTCTTTACGTCGTTTTAGGGAGTACTGCCTAGAGTTATAAGGGCTTATACAGCGAGATCTTGCCCTAAATTTGTACCTTGCACAGCACCAAGGTTCAAAATGCCCTGCATTCCCGATACTTTATGCCGTTGTCTCCGTACCCGGTGTTTCCCCAACACCCAGTATGAATGCTCATCTGGGTCTCAGGAAGCTAAAAGCAAGGTACATATACTAATTACCTACCTTGCCCCACGGTCGCATCTCTCCCCCTCCCCTCCTTCTTTCCTCAGACGTTTAGATAAAACTTGAAACTTAAAAGCTCTTGACCTTCCCAAAGACTTTAAGTTCCGAAGGGAATCACTAAGGATTCGTTGGAGGGGTTTCCAGTATCAAGGCGGCTGGCTTGTCTCGCTCAAAAATTGCAGTGTTTACCCCCTTTATTTTCAGGGGGATGGGGTACTTCTCGCTTAACCCGGGGTACTCTCTTCCCCCCCCCTTTTTCCCACGGCGCATGGCATGCAAAGCCGTGTATGCACTTCATCGCCCCTCTTCCTCTCGCGGGCTCGATCGTTGAATTGGAATTAGTTAGGTGTAATACCCTCTTCGTTTGCGCTAAAATTGCAGTGTCTGGTCCCATACTGTCGTATCCCTTCCGTACTCTCGGTCGCTGAGACTGTGATTCAACGCCTCTGTTGACGCTAAAATTGCAGTGCACACCGGGATTAGCCCATGTCGTACAGGCTACCGGTATTTCACGATCTCCGGGAAAGGACCCAATCGTACCCCGCCTGCGTCGCACACTGACTAAGAAATTCAATGCCTTCGTCTGGGCTAAAATTGCAGTGCTTACCCTTCGTTACCCCTCGTTACCCCTCGTTGAGCCTCGTTATGCTTCGCTATGCTCCCTTACGCGTCCTTACGCATCCTTAAGGATGGACAGAGTGCTTAGAGGTGTTTGATTGCCATTTATTGTCCTAAAATTTGCAGTATATTGGTCGTTCCCGCTGACTTCAGGGTTAAAAAGTTGCGGCTCTTCAGCTACAGTTCAGCCTCACTTGACAGCCAGCACACCACGGATTTACAGTCAATCTGGCAAGAGCCTTTCTTTGCATGAGAAGCTCTTGATAGACAAATCAATAAAAGAAGTCTTGCTTGGTGGGAAGCGAGGGAAAGAGGGAACTGAACGTCGATTTCAGTCGCCGCACTCCGCCTCCACCTTCTTTGAGACACAAACGTGAGCTTCCCCTAGTACACGAATGTAATGGAGGGTGCGACGCCTAGATGGAGAGAGATGAGTGTTAATATTTGCGGTTCGGGTGAGGTAGATGAGGGGAATTGCGGAGAATCCGGGTGACTGAGAGACTGTAGATGTTGCGATTTAGTGCAACACTCGCTGAGAGATCGGTAGCATATGGGTAGACGTCCATTATTTGCCGGCCGGATGAGGAAGATGAGCAGAATTTGGTAGCGAAGAAGCCCCTGAATGGCAGTTCAATAAGAGGAATAGTTGCTTTGAGTACATACTCAGCGTTAACAGATGCCAGTTGAAATCAGGGGCCTGGGAGAGAGTCACATGAGCATATTTCACAGCCTCGGGTCTTGTTGTCACAACTGGAGAAGGTGGATGGAAACTAAAGTAAGATAGAGGAATGAAGACAGAATACGGCAGTTTAGGAGGCATTGAAGATACTATATTGACAGGGATAGACAGCAAAGGCTAGTGCATGAAGGATAACGGAAATTACCTGAGTACACAATGTATTTAAACAGAGAGAGCTCGGCCTCGTGCCAGTCAGTGTCTGAAGTTCTAGCACCAAGAGACGGTAAGAAGATGGTTTGAACACTGGATCCCAGAGATTGGAAATGGATCTTGACATTAAAATGTAGTTGGAGCTACATAGGGAAAGCATTGTTCTCGACAAAAACGAAGGAGCTATGATAAGAACGTAATAATGCTTCTTGAGATAATGTCTAAGTTACATTGACAAAATGGAAAGAAGGAATTTAAAATGCTTTAGTGGTATCAAGTCTAGATGCCTTGTCCTTACTCAAGAATGAGAAAATTGGGGTTGACCCCTAAGAAAGTGACGCGATAATTCTCTCGTTTCTATGTCTAGTTTCTGCAAACTGACTCGTGCTTATAGCCTCCCCATTGCCACCAAGACTCCTTGTTGCAGAAGAGGAAGCTTGTTGTCTCGTAGTTAAATCTTCATACTGGCAGCTCTCCTGGGAGAGTCATTTTGTTCTTCACCACTTCTATAAAGAGGAATTATATGTACTAATACTCGAACATTTGAGTAAATACAAAGTTAGAATTCATAACTCTATAATATATATAAAGATTGTTGCTAAGAGGGAATTTATGGTCGGCGAAGGAGACTCACAGAGAATGACATCCTCGATAAGGGAACTTCTCTTTCCCAAAACTTACAGAGATGTAAAAAGACTAGTTCTGGGAACCTCAAATTTTGAACAAAAGCTCAAAGTTATTCAATTGTTATAGTACTTCTTCACAGTTGGGAGCTCGTGTTCTCGTGGGAGAATCGGGGGATGTGTAGCAGGTGAAGTCCCGTGCGAGGCTTATCACAACACCCCAACACAGCCAATCTCTTAGATATTATTAGGGCTTTATAGTAGAGCATTTGCGCGCAATTTCCCCCCTATTTTGTTTCTATTCTCAAATTTGAGTAGGCGCCACCGCATCTAGGGCAGTCGGCCATATCTGGCTGGGTATCCTTAGTCGAGGCCAACGAACCTGGTACGCTGCATGGTGGACTAACCTTGAGTGAAAATGATTGAATTCAAGAAGGAAACTCATGTTGGATCTCAATTTAAATGCAAGCCATGTGCTTTCATAGTCTTTGTATACTGCGAAGTTGGCCTTGGGGAGGATGGTTTCTGCTGTAGCCGTGGGAAAAGGGGTTCAACAAAGGAGTTCTCAAAACACTTTATAGCTCGATGTTGGATCTTGCTCCCTCCAATCTATTTAGCTGATTGCTATCTTCCGTTACACAGCATTACCACCAGTTTCGCTTGGATGGCCGAATCACGTTTTCAGACACCAAGCGCGCGGTGTTGCAGGGTCTGAGCTGTCTATATAATGAGTCGTCCCCATCGCTGAAGTCCGGCAAACTCCCGTCTCGGTCGGTGCCGTGACTCTACCTAATTCTTATTGCAGAGATTGGTTCGGTTCTCAAAAGGTGTTCTCCCATAATTCTCCTGCTTTCTTGCAAAACTCCTTGCAATGATTCTGGCAGCTAACCTAGACTGATTTCCAATCTCGCGCTAGATTGCGTTCGTTGCATTACCGATACTGCTTTTTTGGGGTATCTTTAACAATTTGATCTTTGCTCCAGATTTTTTTGGTCCTTCAGGGCTGATCATCCAAGTTGCCAAGGTGCTAACTTCGGATTGCCAGCACCAGACAAACCACTAACAAGTACATCAGAGCTCCGAACGGCCACTCTCCTTTCGAATCTTTTACGACCCGTTTACTTGTAAGGAGTTGCAATGGCATCTGACAAGCATCCTTCGATGCAAGCTCCGACTTCCAGCAGAGGAAATCCCCCGAAAAAGTCAAAGACCTCGGGGTCAAGGGACAAGAAGAGTACCCCAAAAGACAGGAAGCGCGTCCCAAAGGGCGAGAACGAAACGGACAAAGGTCATTGGAAGTCAGCAGATGCTGAACCTGGACCGGAAGGAGAGGCAAGCCAAGAAAAGGAAATCCGTTGGGTGTTGAAGCTGACATCAACATACAGGATCCTCCAATTAACGATGGAAATTAAAGGTCGCCATCTCAACTCCGTAGCTCATCAGTAGATGCGACATTGCAACTGGAGTTACTTTTGATAGATGATTTTGTTATTTTTCACCAAGAGCGTGGCTCAAGGAGGCTAATTTGGCGAAGGGTCGAAAGAGGGATGGGGTGCTTTTCTTAGCCCCCACGCAGAATCTCCCTTCCAACAACTCTTTGCATGGACTAAGAACGGAATATGGAAGAAGCAGACCTTGAGAACCATTCTTTGGGTGATATATCTAAGATTTGAAACTTTTCATCAAGATCATCTTGCTTCTTTCGCCAGTGTCAAGTTTTGCTGAGCCATTCCCCGCAGTGCTTCCTAGGTAAGTGTTGTCGCTGTGTCACGGCCGAGCCGTGACTCAACATCTTTGTGTGCACTAAATTTGTAGTGCTTACCTAAATGAGCTACTCGGCGGTGATGCAATATCTAAGATGCCTTTGCGCTGCAATTGCAGTGCTTCCTAGGGTAAGCATTGTCGCTCTGTCACTGGCCGAGCCGTGACTCAACACCTTTGTGTGCACTGAACTTGCATTGCTTTCCTAAATGAGAGCTACTCGGCGGTGATGCAATATCTAGGACGCCTTTTTTTGCGCTGCAATTGCAGTGCTCTCATCACTGATGCCTACTGTTAGCCGAGGCAAGATCCAATACCTTTGCTTTGTCTACGCTAGAGTTGCCGTGCAACCCAACTAAAGTAAAGTATTATATGACATCTGACACATTCAGCTCCGAGATTCAGACACCGAAGGTTGAAGCCGAAACTAGAAGGAAATCATAACCTCCTCCTGCAATGCAGCTTCTACACCGGTTTTATGATCTCTACAGGCAGCTTGTGCTGGTTTGTGAAAAAAGAAAGGATAGCGCGGCTTCACTTGATTGTTATGAATAAGTGGTGAGCGTTTGAGTCTGAAAGAGTCCTTGTTTTGTTTGCCTTGAGTAGTTGCCTGATAGCGGCCTGTAGCTGGCTGTGAGTCATTGAGAGAATGCGGAGCTGCAACAAGAACGATATGCTACTTATTGACATTATGGGTTTCTTGTATTGATATTAACGAAATAGAGAGAATTTAAAATGCTCTGTTGGTATCAGGTTTGGATACCTTGTCCTACTCGAGACTGAGAAAATGCTTGCGGAGATTTGTCTTAACCGTATGACCTAGGCTCCACAATAACCCCCTTTTCTGCAATAATTCTCTCGTTTCCATGTCTACATTCTGTAAACCGATTCCTCTTTATCGTCACCCGTTATCCCGGCAGATACAAGGTCGCAGAGAAAGAAGCTTGTTATCTCGTAGTTGCCTCGTTGTAAGTCCTTTACCTCTTGGTCGCTTGGTTTCCTCGAGGGTTGGAGTGCAGTACATACCTCGTGCTTCACTTCTATATTAATGAAGGGGATGCAGCAAGGCTCGAATATTGAGAACAGATATAGAGGATAAATAGATCGTGTTGATAGAAACCGAGGATCTGACTTGACCCTTTGAGGCCGGTGACGCCGATTAAGAGGCAGTTAAGAAGGCAATGCAAAGCCAATTGAGCCAAGTATCACGCGGTTTCTGAGAAGGATACAAAGAATTAAATGAAGTCTCGACTTAGAAGGGTTATAGAAAGGATATTTGAAAGCGAAGCCCGAACTTAAACATATGCGCAGTAAAAAGGGGAACAACGACAAGTGTGTGATGCGGATAAAGAGATTCGGGATGGTATCTCCTCCTTGAGAAACAAAGTTTGTTAATGTCGACTTTAAAGAGCATGAACACTTCTTCTGGCCTACTTACCTGTTCGGGTTGCCGTGCGAAAGTGTTGGCGTTCATGCTCAGCCGAGAAGGTAGCTTGTAGCATCCCTGTCGTAAGCACTAAGAGCTTCCAGCAGAGGATATCGCGGCAATGGAAAAAAAGATCTAGGCTACCATTCCGAAGGATTCTCGAGCGGGACTCATTGTAGTGCTTCCTTATAGTTGCGAGTTTGGTGTAGCCGCGGGGAGAAAGGGGTTGGGGTAGCGAGTGAAGCCTCAAGCGGCATCTCTCACAACACCCACACTGAACCCAGCCCTGGTATATTGTTCGTAGAGTATAGTGATATCTTTCACTGGCTTCGAAGCTGTTACTCTTGGCTGGGCCGTGTCGTGGTTTCCGGTTCGAATGAGGAGATTTGGCGCCGCTACTCAAGTTGGTGAAGCCGGTACGTTGCGCACGGAGTCTTCTTGTGAAAAGCTGGATTTTGGAATGGAACCGGGTAAACTGTCGATTTGCAAACATTTAATGTCCCTCAACATTCCACAATACCAACACGGGTAGTTTTAGGGGTAATTTGCTTCTCTTGTTGACGTGAGATGAGAGACTCAACTTCCAAAGAAAACTTCGCAATTCGATATGGTCTGCTGAAATTGTCTCTCCACAGCCCTCATATGTAGATGAAGTAGGCTTCGGCCTAGTACAAAACTTGCAGGTGCCTCGCTCTTCAAGGAAACTATCTGTCTTGTTGGGTATGGTCTGCGAAGGGGTTCTTCCCGGCGGTGAGGTCGTTCCGAACTTCCGAATAGCAGAACCAGAATGGTGTCGTACTGCTTTAGCCTGCTAATGAGAACTTTAATTCGAGTCGGTGTCGAGGTAAAGGATTGGGAATAGCGGTTTCGAAAGCTGGTGGATGTTGCTGGCAGCAAATGGTGAAGCCTAGAGAATTGACTAGCATCCATCGCGTTGCGAACTTGCATGCGAGAGCGGGCAGTTGTTTTGGTCTCGGTTGGCCACGCAATATGTTGTGGCGTTCGCCATGTCGACAGAGTCGATGTTCTTAAAGCCAGGCAAACCTAGCCTGGGCAGAGCAGGGCGAGAAGCGGAAGCAAGCGAGACAGAATTCCATGTGTTCTTGCGTATAGCGAAAGTCCATTGGCGTCAATGAAGAGAATATGTTATTGGGTAGTCGAGATGTTCGTGCATCGAGAGGCTTCCCCGGGTCTAGGTGGAGATGGGCGAGCATCGCTGGCTCGATCCCCGGGATATCTGAGATATGACGGCAAAGTGGTATTCGACAATGAGCCGACAACGCTCGAAGTGTTGATACTCTTGCACATCTTGGTATGCCTTCCATCGACCATCACTTCCTATCCAGCTAGATGATGCTAACTCTTGCTGACAGATGTGATTCGAGAGGTATGTTGCCTAGGAGTGCGCGGTGCATGGTCGAACTCAGGAGATAGCCGTGTGGGTTCAGATGGCTCGTCGACCGATACGGCAGCTGAGAGAGGAAACAGCGTTAGCTGAGGATGTTAAAGAGACAACAGCAGCGAGGGGAGCCAACTTTCAATGGGTAGTGAAGCTAGGAACGAGAGTTTGCGAGAAGACCTGTAGGCGAAGAAGTATTGAATCTACTCTTCGAGGGTCATCTTATGTCAGGGCAACGAGTATCCAGTCGTGTTTATTTGCAGGACGGTATGAGAATGAACGGTGTCTGGAGAAGTGTACCATTGCAAGCACAAGGCTTCTGGCAGAGTTTGGGAGGTTTGGCCTGTGCATCCGATAGTTCCCCTGACGCAATTTCCTCGTTCGGGTGTCACAGCAGCTTCGGACATCTCGTATTGCATAAACGGAATCGATCAGGGGCGAAGAATTAGACGAGCCTTCTTGTATCTGTCGCTGGAGCGGGGAGCCACAGCGGGCTCCAAATAAAATCCCGATGCTTACCCAGTGAGGTCGAGAGACAAGGTATGTCAGCCGGTAGAATTTTCTGCTGTTGACGTGCTTCTCGCGGCCGGCGCAAGCTAGGTTCAGACACTTTCGATGACAGCGACATAAAGCGATGCGGAGAAAATCGTAGAGATTTGCTCGAGCTACGGAGCTGGCGACCGGTACCCACTTTGGAAGCCACTTGTCAACTGGTGAGTTCACCCTGAGTGGTCCAAGTCGCCTCGTTGTTCAATCCATAGTGGTCGTGGATTCTGGAGGGATCCCTTAGCATCGATGGCAAGGTTCCAATCTTACCCCAGCGCGATCTGACGTGGTATATAACAGGTTTTATAATTCAAGTGGTGATCTTCCTGAGCAAAAGAAACCCTAACACACCATTTGTTTGCCTCAAGCCACAACTGGTTGCTGAGATTCTGAGATGTGATATCGAGGCGGTGATGTCAATGAGAGCGCGATCTCTTCGTCCGGATGTCAGATCTCAAGATCTAGGGAAGTGAGAATACCCAGTCAGGACCCAGGCCACTAAGCAACAGAAGGCGGGCCGGTACGAGGGGGCTCACACCCCCCTTTTCAGCTTCGCTTCCGATGACTCGTCCACTGATGGAGCACATGGCCCCGAAGAATCCGCTCGGAAAAAAGACAGGGCCTTCGCTTACAACCCTCTCGGACTATCTTCCGGAAGAATTTGGAACCGCATTTCTCGTTGACGGGCGCTGCATCATCCCTAACGACATGCCATCAAGACCCAACTGCAGAACGCGAATACCGCCGATAGGAATTATCGAACGAATCATAATTTGCATCATGCACAGGCACATAACCAGAGCACAACTCAGTCGGAATCGCCGTCAAGGTGGCTGTCGAGCCCAGCCGTGCCAACATTCCTCTACATCGACCTTCCAACAACTGCCACGATCGAGGCTTTGAAGACAAAAGAAAGTTTGGCCGTGGGGTAGGAAGCAGACCTATTGAAGCAATAGTTGACCCGTTAGCTTCAGTTTGGAAGCGTCAATTCTGATTTGAAGAGGTTGTGGCTGGTTTTGTGCCCAAGAGGTGGGGGAATCCCGATTGAAGACACCCCGCTTCCCTTCGAGCCTAAATGGTGTCACAACTGGCTGCAGCAAGGTCTGAATATAAAGCTAGGTGGGTTTCCACCATGGAGGACTGGGAAAGAGGATTTAACATCTGCCGCAAGACCGAAAGCCGGAGCCGAGCTACGGCGGAGGCACCTGCCAAAGTGGGCGGTTAGTGTCAAATCCGGTTGGGCTGACAATTCTTTCAAAGCATCTGTTTCTAATTCATTGTTCAACCAAGTGTTAGATGCTTTGAACGACATGTGCCAATATGCCATGCTCAGAATCTCATCAGAAAGTTATTCTGCGATAGTTGTTAAGGACCCTTATCGGAAGAGCTGGGCGTGTGGCTGTGATCACCAATCCTCTGCCATGTTCACATGCATGCGGCGCGGCCCAAAGTTGGATCAGCGCTGGCAACACAGCAGCCTCCTTTCGCCCAATGAAGGAAAAGAGCAAGAAATGAGATCACACGTCGCACGATATCTCTATAGGCAGGTTATATAGATGGTGCTTTGTGATTTGCCCCCTCTTTGAACCGCTTGGGAAATGAGCAAACTTCTGCAACTATTTTTTTAATCTATTCCTTGCCTCAATGAACTTGGCAAGTAGGCCATGCGAAGAAATATATGCATCCTTTGGAGTTTGGTAACGACTTTTACGTGTTGGAATGACAGCGTTCATCACGTACTTACGTCCGCCCCCACCACCCCACTCGAGGTGTATTATCGTTGAAGCATTTGCGCATCGGATGAAGAAAGCGAAGAAAAACCAAATTTAGTCATAAAGACGCGAACAGTTTCTCAACAGTGAAAGCCTGGAAATTGCTTGACATGGGGGCTTGTCAGTGCCAATCCTCCTTCATGACTACTTGGAAGTGCTGCTTCAAAGTTGAAGAATATTTAGGTGATAAAATGAGAGCAAGGATTGAAAGGTTGGGTGCAGGGCAATTCTCTCTTTTATGGGGCGTGGCACAGCAGGTGTGAGGCTCAGTTCCAAGCCTGCATCAGCAGGCATCTGGAACGGTCACCCGCTTCGAGGTGATTGCCGAGATGAAATGCGCGTAATTGGAATCTCAATCTATCTCTGTTGTCACAACGCCTCGATCTCCAGCTCCCAGATCAAGATCTCAAGCTGGGTCACATTGCAGCTTCTGTGGGGCTGCGACGTCCTCTCCACCAATCTGTTCGAAGCACCACCTGCTGGGAAGCTTGGTAAGATGCTGAGCGTACAGGGGCCCCTCAGGGGCCATGCCGCATCTGAACACAGCGTTCACAGTATCTCCAACGGAAGAGCTTCACGATACTTGGATTCCGCCATTCTCTAGGCAGAGTGCAAGGCAGACTGCGTATAATCATGGGAAGGATGCATTTGGGACTTTGGCGATGGTCGGAGGACGCTGTGCCAATGAATTTGCGGAGTCGCGCTTTGCCCCTCTCTCCAATCCGCTTCCGGCCAGTGGACGACGATTTTTTGTTCTTCCGCAGGGTCAGGACCGCCTCCAATCACGCATTCTAGGCCCTTCGACCGCAGAGATTTGCTGCCGAGTTGGCAACTTCTCCAAGCTCTCGAACGCTGCTCTGATACTAGTCCTCCCCTCCCAAATCCTACGCCACGAGCGAGCTCGCGAACCTGGACTGGCATTTACTCCGCGAGCCAAGTCAAACTGCATTCGTGGCCCAACCGAAACTGCTTCTTTCGACGAAGGCTCCAGAACGTGATTCAGCTGCTCTTTACTCCAAAATTGTCCAGTCCTCGCGTGCCCTTTCATGCACGTCCTCAAGGTCAGTCCTTGACGATCACAGTGCCATACACACATCACTGACGAGAGCAGCAAAGCTCCCAACACCAACGTTCCCCCGTCAATCCTCTACAACGCGTCGACTTGCGATCAGAAGGCCAGTGATGGAATCTGAGAGGAAATCATCGAAACGATCCCATACTTCTGGTTCGAAAAAAGGAGGATCCAGAAAGCCGAAGAAGACGGGATCGAGGGACAAGAAGACCTCTTCCACGGGAAACATGGGCGGTTCGGAGAATAAGACGGAAAGCGGAAAAGGCCTCCAGCAACCTGCGGATGTCAATCCTGGACCTGAGGGAGATGTGAGCCAAAGAATTCGGATATACGATTCGCTCAGCTAACATCACGGCAGGACCCTTCCGTTGAGGAAGATTCATTGAGGGGAACCTCCACAAGCGCGTAAAGCATATTAGAGGTGGCATTAGCGCTGAGAACAACGAGTATCAGTAGACTGGGGATTACATACATCATTTTACCAATCCAAGGAGTGTGGCTGGATAAAAGGCAATCTGAATTTGAACTGAGCTCGAGCTCTCTATTGCTGTAGTCTTGGGGTAAACTGGCTGGTATCATGCAATGCAATTTGAATAATGAGTATTTCTTTATATGTTGGTAGATAAAAGTCAAGAAAAATATCAATAGAGGAGTCAACTTGAGACCAATCTTCCACTTGCGTAACCCAATGCCGATGTTCGAGAAATCGGGGAAAGTTAAGCCTTGTGCGACCATCCATCTCGTGGCCCAATGGTGTTTTCAGAGCCACTCCCGCAGCGCTCTAAAGCCTGTGCTGTCTATATAAATGAGCCTTCCCCATCGCTGAAGTCCTGGCATGCTTCCGGCTCGTCCCGTTCCGCTCGTGACCCACAATAGCTAGCCTCTTTGGTCGAAAACTCCCCGACGTCCAACTCAATCGGCTCTGAATTTGGAGTGAAAATAGATTCGCAGCCTTGTAGTAGAGTAGATGTGTAATAGGAGGATCAATACTAGCGTAAGGATTCTAATTCGCTCGCATCTCGTGATGGTGTGCGGGCCGCTGCCCTGGGTCTTGGTAACACCAGGATAAGGCAGACAATTGGAGCCTCTTCAGTTGGGCAGCAAAGTTGTTCGCTTCCAAAGGGGTAGTGTCTTCGAGATGGACCCCTTTTGGAGAGCAAAGAGCTCGCTCTTGCTGGTTCTATCATGGCGCCTGTCGCCGCTGATGTTGTCGGTGCCTTGGCAAAGATCGTCCGCAAGCTCAAAGAGCTGCGGACAGCTGCGACAAAGAGATGTAATGTTGCTGACGAGAACAGAGCAGAGCAAGGTATACCTCTTGAAGATATGGACGAGTCTGGGATGAGAAACCGGCTTGCTTCTGGCCAAGCGTCGGGAAGCGCGAACGATAACCCGGATAGTCCTTCGACTACGAGTGGCGAAAGCGGAACAATGACACCAGGAAACGGTGAGAACTCAGAGAGTCAAGGTACGGACGCTGCTCATGAAGTGCAACATGCAAGGTAGCTGACATAGGGAAACCTACAAAGTTTCTTTCGTCAAGACAACTTGGCGACGACTTTCTGGTGGATTCGGCACCGGCTGGGTCTTTTGGAAGAGTGCAGAAGAGCAAAAACGAATTAAAAGAGAGCGAGGACACGATAGGTTCTTGCGAGAGAAGAGTGAGTTGACCTCGGCGCCATTATAAGGGCAAGACCCAAGCTGACGAGACTGTGCGGTAGTCGACGAGTACCCTGACGGATTTTCGAGGCTTGCTGCCTTCGTCAATAGCGATAATGACTTCGCTATGATACGTAGCTTCAGCTACTGCCACACTCGCTTGCTCCTTCAGCTACAAGTCGAAGTAACTGAGCTGGAGAAGGCACTCTTCACACTCGACAAGAAGGATGAGGCGAATCCAGCGATGAAATATCGCAGAGTGTCGACAAAACATAAGGAGAACTCGGACACCGAACACACGAAACTAATGAGCGAGCTTAAAACTAAGCTCAAGGAATACGGTGAGCTTTTAGCATAATGTCTGGTCCAACATAAGTAGCGTGAAGCATTGACGTGCGGGGTAGATGAAACTGTCCAGAAATTTGTGTTCCTGAAATCCCTAGGTCCACCTCCAGAACGTAACCATTACTCTTACTTCAATTGGATTTGGAGAAATAAGCCACTCAGCAAGGGGTACTACGACTACATATACCATGCGTCAGACTTTGTGTCGCTCTCAGGAAGCCGCTCAAGCTACTTTGAAGAACTCATCCGCCGTCATATAACTTGGTGGCGAGGCTCTCCAATCAGGGTAAGTAGTCAACTTGAGCAGTAAGAGAGATAGGCATGGACTTAAAGGTGGAAAAGGTGCTGACCTACTCTTTCCCAGAAGTGGATCAAAATCAAGGAGGAGGAGATGCCCACCTTGGACCAAAGTGTCTCTTATTATTCCCCTTCGAGGCTTGGGGGAGTTGTTCAGGTGCTTATGGTATCCACGATCATGGGGGTCCTCCTAATCCCGGTGTATCTCCTGTTTCTGGTCCCAATGTCGCATCTAATGATGGCCATCACATCAACAGCATTCATCTTCCTCTTTGCAATCATCATGACGGTTGTAGCTGAAGGTAGGATATACGAGATATTCGTTGGCACAGCCACGTAGGTGCTTGAGGTCTTACTTGACGTGCAGTGCTGATGAAGCATAGGTACGCGGCGATATTGATTATGTTTTTAGGCAATATTTCGCAAGCTTCTCTCGGCAGTAGACCAAATTGAGGATCGAGAGCCGACAGAGACGAAGGGGCTGGAGTAGGGGATCGGATGGAGAGTATCGGTGACCTTGAGTTTGAAGTTTTAAAGGTTTGGTGTTGTGGGACAGAGGAGTGCGAGTTCGGAGGTACCCAACTGACCGCTATTTTTGGCGGTTCGAGCTTGGCGTCCTTGGGATAGGCGGATAGGCGGTTTCTATTCTGGTTATGAAGATAAATTTGGTCAGGGCGGGATAGCATTTGCGTCGTTGTGCTCTTGCTTGTCGTTATTGAGAGAGGAGGGAATGGATGGGTGGAAGTTAAGGTTTGAAGTCCCAAGCCTCGTTACACCGAGAAAAGTTTAGCGCGCCCGACTTTCACGTGATTAAAAGCACTCCTTTTCAACAAACAATACATCTCCTAGTTTGTTTCTTTTCATAATGGAAGGATGGAATTAAGCTATAAAATAAAAATTCGCTACCTGGAAAATATCAAAGTCATCCTTGATCGTCCTGCTGCTGTTGTGGAAGAGTCTGGGAGTCTGAACTAGGGGCATGCATTCTCCACTTCAGCGTAGTAAATGCTTGTGGGGGAAGTAAATTAAAGTAAACGGAAGTAGTGAGTGAAAGAAATTTGATCAACATTTAACTATGCTACCTAGTGAATGTGTGCTCTTCTTCCTCCCCTACAAAACTATCAAAAAGACCACCAGCAAAGTCAACTCCTTTCTCATATCGCTACAAGGGTATTGGTTCACTGGCGAGCGGCGCCTGGGCCGCTCTAAGCCCCTGAAATTTAGCGACTCTATCAATCCCTCACGAGACATGAGCCTTAAACCTTCAGCACCACCATTCTGAACATGGCAAGTAATTTTCAAGACTTGCAATCGAATTGCCTACATCCAATCCATTTCGGCATACTAAATCTGGATCGGAGACTCGACGGCTTTGTGTCCACTGGCTGCCTCTGAATCTCTTAAAGCAAAATATCATGAAGGTTAAACTAGAAAGGAGACGCTTAAAGGATTGGTATGAATGTCACCAACCATCCGGCATATTACAAACATCCCTGACAAATGAAAGAGTTGTCCTTGGCGGTTGGAATTTCCCCCATCAAACAAACTATTGGGTCTCAGGTACAACGATGTTTCCGAGCCTTGGGAGCATCTAGAAGCTTAGCTGTCTTCGCACCACTGGGTGCTTTGAAATAGCAAGGCCAAAAACGTGTGCCTGGTTTCAAAGAAATCAACTGCTTGATCTATTGGAGATGTTTCAGCTCCGTTGATCTGGTATCCTCGAGCCCGATCTCGCAGATGCTGAGGAGTCTCGCACATCTACCAGTCTATCTGCCAGCCAGAATTGCAAACCTTTACCACCTTCTATGGTTGTTTCTGCATCCTATCGTAGTGATAAGTACTTCTCGCAATCCAACTTCCAAGTGTATAAAATGGCGCAGAACTTCGTGTGGCGCGATTGACCTCTCTCAAAACAGTTCACAACTCAGCAATATTCCCTGGAGTAATCTTTCCAACCCTCCTAAATTATAATTACTTTTGAACAATAGAGGGATTGCTATTCCAGAAATGTATGCCGTTGCAGTGGCCAGGGTAGTTTCGCGAGATGGGATGAGGGGGAAGCAAAGCGAAACAGCTCGACATTTCTCGTTCCTTTCATCTATTGCAGCCGAAATTAGTTGAGGAGATAGCGTTGGAAGACTCACTCATAATTCGGAGGCTCTGTAATCTTGTTAACTCTTGAGGGGTCTGTCCTAGTCGTTGTAGAGCCACCACTTTCGAAGTAATGCACAACTTTGCCGAAAGCAGGATGGGATTGAACTAGCCCGTAACGTTGATCGTGTACAGTTTGCCATGTGCAAAATCGATTAAACGGTCCCATAAGCCCATGGGATTTTGTTTCCAATCCCTGCTATTGTGGTGCTCTGGTGTTCTGATGTTAAGTGATTATTATCCAGAAAAGTCCGCCCTTTCCAATCATGACCATGCTTAGCTCGCCAATTTCTAGTTTCGAATTGACGCCAGGTAGGTGCCAGTAGCTGCTGGTATCGGAATTGGATGCGTCTGGAGTCCATTGGATTGTTTTATTTTGCTGGGGCAAGAAACGATTTGTTCATTCGAAGTCGTAAGGCGGCAGAGACAAGTCTACATCCTTCGTCGATGGCGGTACCTGGGCGCAGAAACAGCATTAGCTGAGCAGGTCAAAGACAACTGCAATGAGGGAAATCAACCTTTCATTAGCTCTGAAGATAGCATCGAGATAGTGAGAGACCATTCGTAGGCCAGTGAGTGTTGACTCGGCTATTGAGATTTCTCTTCTTCCGTGAGAAGAGAGTATCCAGATTTCTTCTTTTACAGTATTGTACGTAGATGGTAGATTGTTCAGAGAACGTATGGCGTGCCAAATTCAGTGATATTGGTCAAGGTTTGTAGCGAGTTCACTTGTGGTTTCCATGGGGAGATTTCGTGGGCCTCCAGAGTCCTCCTTCCACCATGTAGCTCCTGCCAAATGACGAACTGACTTCAAATCCCTCGTCTGCTGTTTTGTATCTTGTTGTGAGTGTCGAGGATTGTTGGATGATGAGTTGCGAAAATAGAAGTGCCAAGTTAACTGCGATGGCTTTGCATCGATTGGTCCGTGGTCCAGTAATCGGACGACAGAGTAATAGGCCTCGCATAGTGTAGTTGTAGGAGCTGTTTAGAGAACTAGCAAGTATATTCGCGCATATGATGGAGAGTACTGAAGAGATGAAGGGACTTTTCTCGACTTGGCCGGAGGTGGAAAAGCCCGCCATAAAGTTGAAGCGACGAGAGTACCACTGGACGGTTGGTAGGTCCTAGGTGACTTGTTTGCGTAGATTCCAATGCTAGTTCGAGGGTCTTTAGTCCTGTCGATGTTATAGTGGTATTGGACTCTTGACTTTTGTCTCCGTAGTGGCTTCAAGGATTCAGAGCCTGCTCAGTGAAGGCCAAGCGCGCGTTGAGGTCCGAAAGGTTGATAAGGTCTGCGTCCATCCTCGCACAGCCACCATGTCTCTGATGTAAAGCCACGTGTGCGTTTGTATATTGAATTTCGCCAAGCGTTCTCGAGGTATTCCATAGCCTTGTTCGGGCTGCAAATTCTGTTCGTCGCGCTTGTAGGCCATACCTAGCTCCCATATCAGGTTTCTCCCTCGGATGAAAATTAAGGATGCGAATGGCTGGCCAACAGCAGTAGGGTTAGCTCATATAATCAGCTCAAGGGAGAGGTGAGGCATACTGTTTCCTTTTGACGAAGGGCTCCCTCCATCTTTCCCTTGGGTAAGAGCGCTCACCAATTGCTATCATCCGGACTTCCCTAGGCAGGGACAGCCCTTCTTCTTGTGCTCGGGGGGCAAAGGCACGAACAGATATAGGGTAGATCCACGTTCGGGTGCTTCAAGTTCTCTCGGCCGAGTTTTTTCCTTGACAGTTGGGGACGCAGTTGAAGAAGAGACACTGAAGACACATGGCTACACCAGGGCACTGTCTGGAAACGTAGGAAGCGATGGATCGCTGGCGGCAGCAAATCGACCAACTTCCGATAAACTGCACTGTGATGCCATTCGGGGATTTGGGTAAAGGCCGGATGCTTTTGGGGTCGTCCTGATTCAGCAAGGTGGTACAAAGCAATCTCATCAGGAGTTTCGGATTCCATAATTGATAGAAAGCCAGAATGTTTGGAGAAGAACTTCAATTTGTTTGAACAAAGATAGTATCGAGAACGTCCCGCAGTATTTGTGGTGCTCTGGTGCTCGGAACTCTTTCATTCACCGTGTCTGACAGAAGGTAAACGGATGTTGACGGGTTTCAGAGCTTCGATTAGGGTTGAGCGATGCCTGGACCTTCGAGAGGACGCTTCGCACTCGGAGGGAAAGTTTGAGTCGGAAAATACTGATACTTCTTGTTGAATTCGTTGATGGGTGGAGGTGTTTCTAAGAGGCGGCAGACAAGGTTAAGTTCCAGCGCTCCTCGGAAGATGGTGAACGCGGCGTGACATGTACCTCATCCGACCTTGGTATCTTCCACTAAATAAAAAAATGGAGTTAGAGCTCGAGGTGCACACTAACGGGTGGCCTCAGTGATTGCCCTTCACAGCAGCCACTCCTGGTCGTACTTCAGTCCACTAATTTCAGGAATAGACGGGTAGCTGTCGTGCTTCGTTTGAGAGCCTAGGAACTTCAACTATGGCCAATTATTCTCCACCAACAACAAAGCGCACAGCGTCCTGCAAACAGCCGTCAGAGCTGAGTAATGGGGGAGAATAAGCCCCGAGGACCATGGAGTGTTATGAAGCAATACGTGATAGGGGGTGTGAATCGCACTAACTTACCCGAACAAGGTCTCCCCTCCCATCCCGTTCCAGCGGTTAGTTAGAAGAAATAATTATTGTCGTGCCCACGTGCCGGTAGGTAAATAGCCAGGCGACAGCAGCAGGAGCAGGCATAGATGCAGGACCGGGTAGATATTTCAGGCCGCTTCGCACCTCATAAGTACGACGCAAGCCCCTCCTCCTCCAACTTTGCCAACCCATCTTGATGACTCGCATCGTCCTCCTTCCTCCACTTCGTAGTGGTTGCCAGCTGCCCGGTGTACAGCAAAGCACCCATGCATATTCCTCAGGGCGTAGTCGCTGCAGCCGAAGAAGCTATTCCCATCGTAGTGTCGGAGCGGATTGATCTTAGCACGTTATGCGAAATTTCCTTCTCGTCCTTCAAATCCCTCTTCATCCGCCAGAGCCCTTTTTTGCAGAATTTTGATCGTTGGAACTTACCTCTTATCAGAAGTGAGGTGAGCAGTAGTGGCTGCAGATGTTGATGGCTGGCCAATACAGTGCTTAGCCCGCGCACACCTTCCTTTCCTGTTTGGTGCAGTTGCGCCAGAGCGGAATCAATTTTGATCGATTTGAACGGGGTGCATTCGAGCGAGGCATCCCTCGCCACTCAAATCTGCTCATTGAAGACTGCCAACTGTTGAAAATATCGTTGGCGCATTGTTCTTGAGATGTCCCCCCTAACAGAGATATCTCGCTTCCACGCCGTATATTTCCGTTGTTTCTGCCTAACTTGAGATGGTTCGCATTCCTCTCGGAACTGAGGCAAATCGATCATCGCACTTGGGACGATATGACGATTGGAATAAAACTTCTTTTCTTTAATATGTTTAACACAGTTCTGCATTTCTCTCCTCAAATTTCTCCGAGTTGTCTTTTGTTCTCCCATCACAAAGCATCCCTTTCGATGGCGGTGATGTTCGATGACTCGTCCTGATGTTTGAAAGCAGAATATTATGGCCAAAATAGCCTGTGGGCGCCAAGTTGCGCCTGCACGAAGCGAGAACTCTCGAATGGGGTCTGAATGACTGTGAAATGCGTCTGGACGGAAAAAGCAAAACAAGAGAGTATGAAAAATAGACAACAGCAGGAATATGTTCGTGCTACACGGCCTCTTAATATGTTTCCTGAGGACTACTAGCAGAAAATGAAGTCTTTTGCTTCTCGAGACGATGTCTGGGAGAGTTGTCGAAAGAATCTGGTCCGTGGGGTTAGTTGAGGTGATGTGAGCATGGTTGGCGGCCTTTGCGATAGTGACCCTTTTGCTTCCGATGGGTTCTGTTACCCTGAGTCGCAGAAAAACGAGGCAAACAGGCACAGAATCGTTGCAGTGCGGACAGCATGGCCATCTTATTGGGTTGAGAGCCTCCTGGTCCGGCTTGGAGGAGCCTGGTGCTCTGTTATGACAAGGGTTCGCGTCAAGCTGCACTTACCTCCCCCTGTCAGGATTTCTCGACTCTCCACTCAGCCTTATGATAACCTCTCGTCTATCATTGAAAGCCGAAAAGCCCAGCCAAACAGGCGGAGATCTGTGGTAGAGCAGTCGATTTGGCATGGCACGTCGGTATACAACGCTTACGGCGGCTCTCCTGCGTCTCCTGCACTGAAGTGTGCGTGGTACTGAAGCAGTAGCGGCTTCAGCAGCCTACTGGTGCTATGGCCTGCACATTGGCTTAGGACGTCCCCAAAAATCATTTTTCGAGCCACTACACAGATCTGGGGAAGCCAGTATACGAGGTACGTCTTGGGAACAGATCTGCCTTCCTCAGTTCCGTTGTGGTCGGAAGTCGACCAGAGTCTGAGCCAGCCGGGAGCAAAGTTTCCAAGCAGAATCCACACGGCGATCGTCCTGCAATCTACGTCCAGGCTCTCTAGAACACCTGTTAGTATGGATCTTCTACACGTCTGGATTTGACTAACCGGCCTGTCACAAAGTCTACGAAGTCATTCAGAGCCCATCGAGTCCCAGCTGGCAGTGAAGCCTTGAACAACATCCACGTTTCCTCGAAATCTCATTGAAACCATCAGGACCAAATGGATCATCTGTCAACAGTAGTTTCACCGGGATGCTACGGGGCCGGAGTCCGGGCGGACAGCCAGACAGGACAAACACATGGCGGGGTGAATCCCAAGCCAAAACCAAAACCCGTAAGAGCCCCAAGCCCTCGTTCCAGGGCTTCGCATAACAGTTGAGTAGGATCCTTCTCCCCCATCTAGTCCAAGGAGCTTAGAGGATCAGCTATGAGGCTTGTTTCAAGCTAAAAAGAGGAGGAAGCATGATTTCGATGGTCAAGTGAGATCTCGTGGTGACAAGTCGGAAATTTTGGAATTTGGAAATTCGAAATTGGCAAGGAGTGAGTTGGGACATAAAAGCATTGCTTATCTCGTCTTTATTAGCGTTCAAGTGTTCTGGAAACATCAATATAGGCGTCTTATATAGCTATAAAACTTCAAAAATAGACCCCTGTGGGATTTGACCTCAAATTCAACCCCCGTGCCTAATGTGCTCATTCATGTCTATCTAGCTGGCCACCGCGGGAGCCCCGTAAAAGGCTGAATCACTATTGGCCGGGCAGCTCCAGTACTGGGTGACTTTGGGCTCGAAAACCGTATAAGTACCTAATCTTCCGCCTGTGATTTTTTCGTCCTTCACCACCGATTTCAGCCTTTCGTGCGCAATCAAATTTCAACTTTTTTATCAAAAATCCATCAATATCAGCAACTATAGAAGCGAAAACCGCCGAAGAGCCTCAGCCTGATTAGAAGGTGCTGTCGCAACAAAAGGTAAGATCTTTCGCGTAGTCTGATTCGTCCCGGCACGAAGGATGACAGCCTCTGTGGTTGCCACCCCCTACCCCCTATATCGTTTATCGTTAGGCACTGTTGCCTTGGTCTCTACTGAGGCAGAAAGCTGCCCAAGCCTCCAGATGCGCTCAGAAGATGAGGAGAATGGCCTCCTTTTCGAGTGGTTTGAGACTCAAGGAGTCGTCGGATGGCAAGAATGGCTGTCGCAGACCTAGAGGCCGCTGTCGCGGTCGAACCGCGGCGTCCCCAGCGTCCCCCAGAGGCTTACGCCCGCAGCTCTAACAAGACCGAGCCAGTTGTGCTTGCAACGATACCAGAGAACCACGAAATGTCTGAGCTTCGACAACGACTCCAGACAGGATCCCCGCCAGCGGCTACTGCCGTGGAAGAGGATAGCTCACCGGAGACAAGCCCCACCTTGACTCCAACGTCCATTGCTGAAACTCGTAGAGAAGCAGCAGGTAAGGATGAACAAAGACAAGAGGATATCTTAGGAGATAGACAGACGCCTACTAAAATTCCTCGCAGAGAACTCTGGCTTGCTATCCATAGTCAAGGCAATGTCGTACAGTCTACTAACCTTCGTCAAATCCACATCATCACCTCGTCTCACTCCAGAAGAGGATCAGGAGCTAAACAAATCGCGTGGGTTTGACAAATTGAACTATGAAAAAGGTATGCCGTGTGGCTCTCCAGATCCTGGTTCTTGGCTAATACCTCAAATACAGTGGATGATTATCCGGAAGGCTACCCGCAGCTTGCTGCTTTTGCTAATAGCTGTGATACCTTTGCAAATGTTCGCCGATTCGGTCGACTGTCGTATCGACTTCTCGCACATCTCCAGAATGACTTGATAGACATGGAGAAAGTACTCGACAAGCTTGACAAGAAAGACGCTGCAGATAATACGATGGAGAAGAGACTCAGGGGATATGAAAACTATAATGGGTGGGATGACGAGCAACGGAAACTGGTATCGAAAATCTCGACGGCCTATTCTCAATATGGTATACTCTACCCATTAAGATTCGAGGAGGAGAAAACTAACGTTATTACTAGCTGACATTGTCTTGAAGGACGCAGGCCTTCGTGCTCTTGGCAAATGTCCACCAAGAAATGCAAAAGCTCTGTTCACATGGGTTTGGGACGAGAAGCCACTTGCTATAGGAGCGGGGAAAAGTGACTTTATCTTCTATCCCGACGACCTTGTGTCCCTGGCTGGGCAATCTCAACATGACCGTCCCTTTGAGAACTTCATAGAGTCCTTTCTCGACTCTTATCCGCTCCCTTGGATTAAGGTATGCGTACTCCTTGGTGTGAAAATCTGGAATAAATCAAGAACTAATATACCAAAGAGATTCCTCCAGCATGATACTGAGACGTGTCGAAAGACAGATGACGAGTATGTCCACCTTTATTCTGTGGACAAGCTCAAGATCGCCGCCAATATTCTGGAGGTGTCCGTTGCCGTAATCCTCCTCCTCATTCCTGTATTCCTTCTCTTCTTGGTCCCAATGGGCAAGCCTATGATGGCAACTATAGCTTCGCTATTTGTGCTCTTGTTCTCGGTGGTAGTCTCGAGTCTCACTGGTGCCAAGGTGCAAGAGGTCTTCTTCGGCAGTGCCGCGTGAGTATTCATTCTCATAGGAAGGAATCTCAATTGCTAACGAGGAAAAGATATGCTGCTGTGATCACTATGTTCCTCGGTAATCTGAATTCCAACTCCTCATCTACTGGCACGTCTTGAAGAGGCTTTTGCGTCGGAGGAAAGGGTAGTTGACACCATGTCTACTGATGAAAATATTGAGACGCGTGGCACATTGGCATGAGGGTTTGAGCAGGAGTTCGAAGGGCTCATGGGAGCACTGGGAGAGGGAAGAGTTCGATAGGGGCTTTCGTAGTTTCAAAAGTTCTGTCGTTGGTTTGGTAGTTCGAGTTTTCTTTGAAGCACAAGTTGATCCACCGCTGTTTGAAATCCTTCTCCAACCTCTGATTCCTCATGTTTTAGCCTCGTCTCTCCTGGTCTCGTAGGCTGTGCAGGCTTGGTATACACCGATGGTTTCTGTACCTTGAGCATGTAAGGTAGCGAAGATAGAGTTTGCAGAACCGAGAATGTGGGGAAGGACGGGAGGGAGTTGTGGAACAAAGGCGGATTCGAGGGGGAGTTGGGGTCCGAGCATCGGTAAGGCTGCATCACCCGAGTCAGGTACTGATCACGTGAACAGAAGCAAAAAGCCCAATCAATGTTTTTCTGATTGTTACATCAAAATCCGTTCCTAAAAGTATTGATTCCGGTTCCACCAAATTTTTGTTTATCTAGCTACCTTCTATTATATCTGCCATATAAGCGAGCTCGGCTCAGGAGGTGTCTCTCCAATCTTGACAACCTCTTTCAACCGCGATCAGGCCTGTGTAAACAATAACATAGTAGCACAACCTTGATTTGATTGCCTACCACGGTACTAGAGCCCCCAAGATTGGCCTTTGTATTAATAAATCTATTTCGACTAAACAAAAGTACTCCCCAAGTTCGACTTGTGAGTGGAAATATGAACTCAAGCATGTCGAACATCAAGCGAACACAAGATCCGAGTACAAAACAAAAGCTTATATCGTCACTTGGCGAATATTGGGAGATATCAAGGTACTTGAAATGAAAAACAGAATCTTTAAGAGATAAATGAAGAGAATTTTCCGACCAGTGTGCTTGGGCCAGTGTGAAGTGACAAGGAAAAGCTACACAGCCTGCCTTGATCTTATCCAATGACTCTATCCTCTGTGTATACAAGTGCAATTGTATATATGCGAGACGAAGCTCTAGATGCTTAGGTTGTGATACCACAACCAGGACGAAAACATAGCGGACATCCAGCTGGGTCTGGTATTCCTTGCAGAGAGGGATTTCAGGTAGAACAGTAAGAGGTAATTTTTGCTTGAATCTCAAAACGAACTTATGACCCCCAGAGCGATGCACTCGCATAGAACAGATCACCAAGGGCCTTTAGGATCGGGTGTAGATATGATCCAGCAGACATACAGTCCACCTGAATAACGGGGCTGGCCCACGTATGTGGCTTCCATCCATAACCTTGTTTTGCCATTGTTTGCTTCCTTGTATTTATTGAGACAAAAGACTGAAACTTGGCTCTCGTTCGTAACCATCATCGCGAGGCCGCGAGCCTCTGTGTAGAAGCTCTGCGCTTGGGAGTTTGAGATACCTCAAGAATACGAGGAATTTCGACTTGAAGCTCGAGGTGTCTGCAACAAAATGAATGAAGCAGTGTGGGGGAGGTTCGCATCGAATTTGAAATCTTGGACCGGGTCTGATCGAGGTCTGCGGGCTTTGAAGAAAGGGGATTTGACGTCCTTGTAAGTCAACACTATTGTTTCTTAGTGAATCGAATCGTGAATCATGTCCAGACTGTTATGTCAACGGAGTCTTTTGAACATCGCGAACCAAGGAAGTGTCAAGGATGTCCCACCTTACCACAGAGAAATGGCGCCCAGCCTGATAAGACTTAGCCACATAATTGAGCTACTTTCCAACTTCTCTCTACCCGTGGTCTGGGATTGGAAGACTTCTCAATGGCAAGGTCCTAAAGTGATCACCCAGGTCTGGTCTGATCGAAGTTGGTGATGACGTGAGCTGAAGTTCGGCTTCTTTTTGCTTCACGAAGACAGTATCCTTGTGTGAGAGGCGGAGTTGAGTTGACGAAGACAGATATGCTCCTGCTTCAGACATCCGTTAAGCTTCCTGGCCATAGGATGATATGTTATGGCTGCAGTCGAAGGGTAATAGGTGTGATGTGCAGTGATTTGAGGAATCGATTTCCAGGAAGCCCGGAGTCATTTGCTAAATCAACAGAGGTTGGAGGGCAAAAGTCGAATACGGCTGTATGTGGACTTTAAGTAGTACCGAATGTTGTTGAACAGCAGAGAAGTATTCTGCTACTTCTTTGTTGACTTGTGCTGGGTTCGGGCTCGATGAAGCGCGGAGCAAACGAGTGACAAGACACGTTCGATTCTTGGACAGAAGCATTCTTGAAGAGAAGAAAGATAGACAAGGCTGGTCCACGGCCGTTATTTCGTCGAGAATCCACCTGTCTAAAGTACATTCAGTGGCGTTTCGACGAAGTGGACCACGTTTTGCTTATGAGGCCTCTATGATCACGGTGGTGATGGAGGATCCACCTCCGTAGTGTATCGGCTAACATCAAATAGGGAGCCTCTTCGGCTCTATAGTGGCTAGAGAGATCGCAAATCTCGATCCGTGGAGCGCAAACGCAGAATATATATGCCGGCTCCGTGGACAAGTCCCGAAGATCGTCCGCGTGGTTGGCTATGAGCTGGGTAGATCCTTGGTTCCCGCTCCGTGTTAGGTGCAGATGCAAATAATACAATGTTCGTCGGATATCTCCCCAGCGTAGTGAGAGAAGGGTCTGTGAAACAAGAGTCTACCCCTATTCTGCAGGCGAGAAGCTCCACAGCGGGACAACGGGTCGGCTCCACATGTTTCCGGCAATCTAGGAGCTTCGTAGGTCTGCGGGCCTCCTCCAGAGACTATAAGAAAACCAATTACTCTAATATGCTGTTGCTGTCAATCCGGGTTTTTGCGAATACGGAGTCTTCAAGCACAGGGGCCTAACGAAGGGTGGCTTGATTCGCTTGATCCATCTGCAAATTGCCTTTTGTCACGCAGGGGCCCGCTGGGCTCGTACGACTTGCCTTGCAAAACGAATTTACGCCGCCAACAAAGCAAGGGAGACGCTGATGGTGCTGGGCTTGAATTGCTTATTGGAAAGCGAGGGGAACCGAGCCTGCGCTGGCGTTGCATTCAGGCTTTAGAGGGATCGGGCCGCCGCGGCCAAGGAGGAGCCTGCGCAGCCTGCCACACTATAAGTAAGTGTTATCCGTCACTCTTCTTTTATTGTGAGGCATTGTCGCTCAGCAGCGGCAGATGATTGAGAAGAGCTCTGACTAAGAGGACTGCGCCACATCACACTGAGCCCCTCCTGCTGATAGTTCAGCATCAGTGGCATAAAAATAGGCACCTTACAGTCATTTCAACCAAGTGTTTGGCTTTCTCATCTCTTCTGACTACTGGAATGAAGGGATATAAATATTGTATTCCATAAATAGAATTATCCCGTGACGATAGCGGCACAACTTTTATGCACGGACAACTGCTTTTTCATCACTCTTGCATGACAACGCTATGTAATTCGACAGATATAGATGGATATGCATTGGCGCCTATACACCACCCACAACCTTTGGTGTCTACCTATGATGTGGATTTCTCGGGAGGGGCCATCGTTATCGCACTATTCTTCGCTCCTTCCCCTTGCCCGATCTCCAGCAGACTTGTCCAGACAGCAGATCACTTCTTTTGCCTTTTTTTGTTTGCGACTGTCGCTTTCTTTACTCGAAACAATCATGGCTCTCAAAGTCCTTATCTTCTCTTATTGTTTCAAGTGCTTAAAACTTTTGTGTCCTGGCCCAAATCACATGACATCCCCTCTGGTCTTCGTCACTGGACAAGTGAACCCAGTGCATGCTCATATATTCGGCTGATCATTGTATTCTCCATCCCCAGTCTTATTTGAAAAATGGTTCTTCAGAGGGCTGAAAGAAATGGGGGAAATGAGTTGTCACTTGAATCCCTGTAATCGATTGTTTCCCCACCACTCTCCGCTGGCAGAGCAAATGAGAAACAAAGGTGGCTGGCATGGGAACGTCCAAGCAACTGGTCGATCTCCTCTTGTTGAGAAAAGTCCTCATGTCGCGAAGTCGCGGCGGAGGGAAAATATAATTGAAGATGGAAAGCAGGAGCTTGTTTATGAGCACGACAAGGTTGCGCCCGCTGCACACGCCCTCGCTCTGTGCCGTATCCTCATTGACTCCCACTTCTCTGCATACTCTCCGATTTCGGGAGAACTTGCTAGGGATGGGCGTCAATGCACCGAAGGCCCAAAGAACCTAGGCGTGCACTGCATAACTGTGGGGTTCATGTACCCCCTGTCCCAAATACAGCGTCGCGTGTTCTAAGAGCGAGCCTCAATCACGAGTCAACTCGTAGGAGTTTGAAGAATCTTATGGATTTGAAGCATTCATAGTGTTTGTGGTTGGGATGTTGATGAAGTCTTTGGTTTCGCGGTGTTTGCGGAACGAGATGGGTGCGGCTCGGGCTTCTATCAAGTCATATGGGCTGAGTATTCGGTGTCTCCGCTGAACACGACGGATCACGAAATACTGGACGGACCGTCAAGAATGCACATCTAATCGGAATCGTTGGCGACATGCCCCTGTTTGCAGAGAGAACGGTAACTCACCCGCCGCAGCCATGTTCCCAACAAGAAGGAACTTGGTAAAGGGCAGAGCGTGACATGCCGAATCGGAAAGCATCCTGCGGATGAGGGGCCGTTTCGCAGTTTGAGAAATCTTTTTTTTTTTGCCGCAATACTACTTTATCAACAGGTTTTGATGCACGCACGGGACTGTACCGCAGCCCCTGAGAGCGCTCACCGCTCTCATATCTCCAAGCTACATTTCCACGTCGTCCTAGAAAACACCCCGGGATTCGTCCAGAGGAACACCCTCATTGAATCTGGAGCTTCTTCTCAGGTAAACTTCGATGCAGTTCTCTTGTTCGATAAAGAACTGACATCCGCAGAGCGTGTGCGAAGTGAATTGACTACGGATTTGGCCCTTCTGTTTCGCTTAATTTTTTTTGGTGTGGTGCGCAATAACAACAACCTACGAAGAATAACCGCTGATCAAGAGCAGAGCATTGCAACGCTTTTCACACTATCGCTGAAGGAGGATTGGGTTCCAGTCGTTACAGATCCAAACATTCAAAAAAGGGAGAAAAGCGAAAGAAGGATAGGAGAACTTTGGAGAGCGAAGGAATATGGATATGCGTCGTTCATCCCAAGAAGACCATGAACACAAAAAGTTGCTGGGGAAGCCAACTCTATGCAAAGGCTACATTGTCCCTGGCAGCGCAGTCGTCGTTTGTCTCTTCGTTTGAGTGCTTAGGCTGGCTGCTAACGTCCCTTCTAGTATCCAATCACTACCCCACCACCTAAGGGGTCGAAGAGGACCAAACAGGAGTGACCACCAGTCGAATTTGTAGGAGAGGAGAAAACCTTCAACATACACACCTGGTGGACTCGGCAGGTTCATTGGATAAACTTGGCTGGCTTTGGTCTGCGTGCATTTCCATACTTTGACATCCTGTGGCAATTACGGATTGAGGAGGCGGGTCTGTCTGGGGAGTTGCTTTCTTTATAATGGTCTAGATGCGTAATAGAGAGGGGTGGCTAAGTTCAAAAAGCAATATTTGTAATAGAGAGAGCACAGGAGTACAGAAAAGGGGGTCGTTTGTCAATCTGCAAGCCTGAAGTTCAGGGAATCTGTGATCACCACCATGATTTGTCGATAATTTTCGTGCAACAAGCCCTTCCAATGAAATCCATAGCACCACCGTAGCACAGTACTTTGGTACCTTCAGGTATATAAGGTAGCCCTATGCCCCACTGATTCAGCGTTCTCTCTCTAACTGTCGCCTACCAAAATTTTCGCGTATTCGTGCTGCCCAGCCAGTAATCTCCCCCTTTGTATCTTCCAAGTTCTCATCCAAATTGATAGAGTCCGAGACTCCAGCCTCGCAGAAAGCCGGTGTTACCGTAATAGATTTTAAGGTGTTGTACATTTGAGTGGCTCGTTTGTGTGGAGTGATCAGGTGGGTGTCCTGCAAAGATGACGGCTCCATCATGTGCAACCTTTAGGCCGGGAGCCTCATTCGAATCAAGCCCAAGCCCTTATCAAGAAAGGTTCTGGCGATGATGGGTTTGATCACGAGTTCCTTGTTTTTATCAAGTCGCCCACGATGGCCGAGAGAAGTCTGAGAAGAGCGGCAACTGCCCCCGTGGCAGGCCGCTTGATTATGACCCCTCCAGCCGCAACTCACACCCCAAATCATAGCCGTGCTAATAGAGCCTTCGGAATTCATAGGCGGCATATGGACCATATGATATCCGAAGTGAGGAATCGACATCTCTCAGCGCCGAACCTCTCGACCACCACCGACCATCAAAGCTCCACGGGATCCGAGGAGACTTTGACGCCTACTTCAAGTGACAGTCGTGAAGAAGCTCAAGGTACAATTTCATTTGATCGAACTGCTGACTTATTGGATTGGAGATTAATTTGAAAAAGGCTCGCCAGCGGAAGTGCCCGCTTCGGGATGGCGGGGTCTCGTCGGCAGACTCCTTGCTCACCCCCCTTTTCAAGCGAACACCAAACAGAATGCGGAAGCTGAGGAAAATGGAGGATATAGCAGAGTGAAACATAAAAAGCGTACGCTGATGCCTACTCCTTATCCACATCTCAATTGTATACGCTGCTGACCCATTTGGTTCTAGTTGAAGACCATGTCGCTGGTACACCCCGCTTCGCAGCCCTACTCAATTCAAACGAAAGCTTTTGTATCTTCCGCAAATTTGGAGATGAAGCCGCGCGTATCCTCTTAAGAAGGGAAATCGAATTGTGCCAACTTGCCACGAAACTCGACGAGCTCAACAAGACGGACTTCGAAGGTAGTTTGAAATACAGACTTACCACCTTCGACCATGATGAGAGTTGGGATCCGGCACAACAAGAACTGCTGGACAAGATTGAAGTCAAGTTAGATGCGTACTGTGAGCTCAACAAGTTCTTGCAGGGTTGACATGGAAAGCAATTAATTATACGTAGATGGCTTTCTGTTGAAGTATACCGATGTGAGAGCTTTACCAAAAGTGCCAATACGCTACCACAAGAGTGTTCATAATTGGGTATCTGGCAATGGTCCGCTTAACAAAGGAGAGGAGACTTTCCTAAATAATCGCGACGACTTCGTCACAGCTAGACGGACACCCGAGACGAAGAACCTGATTGAAGATGTAGTAGAGGAATACGTCACCAAGAACCCTGGCTCTAGTCTAAATGTAGGCCCCGTCTGATGCAGCCATCACTGGTGTCGTGCCTCATTCCAGATCCGAACACTGACGCAGTTTCCAGGGTTTGCTAGGAGGCGAGGAAGAAAAAGAAACGCCAGACGGTCCCACAGTAGTCCATTTGTCAACGTTCCGGTTCGATATGCTTTCCAAACTCTCGGCAGCATTTCTTGCTGTTGGATTCGTCCTTGCACCAGTGTGTATTCTGTTTCTTGCCAACCTTGGCCGGGAAAAAATGGCGGCAGTGATGGGGGTATTCGTTCTCGTGTTCCTTTTTGGTGCATCCTTAGTCGTAGATCTGACAGCCCAGGAGATATTTGTCTTCGTAGTTGGGTATGCAAGGGAAATCGAGCAAATGTGATCGTCGCTAACGTGGTAACAGGTATTGTGCGATACTTGTGACTCTCTTGTCAAATTTTCTCCAAGCGAACGCGTCCTCAAGCAGCACGTAGTGAAGAGTGAAATCTGAGGGAAACTGCGTTGAGAGCAGTATAGAGGAGTCTCAGTGGATCGACTTGAGGAGGCTGAAAAGTTTATGCTTTGTTCTGGACGTAGTCGAAGGCTTGGAGGCAGGAAAAGTGGATTCACCGCTACTCTCGCTGGCTTCCATCTCATAGAAAAGAATATGAACATTTCTGGCAGATAAAGCCAGGCAATATTGGTGACACAAGAGAGCATATATCACCAGAATTAGAGCACATCTTGAAAAAAAAAATATGAAGTTGTGACGATGATGAAGGAGGACAGCTTTAGAGGGGGAGACCCCTAATGTAACAGGTGTGCCCGAACTCGGGAAGCGCCACCACGCTAAACATTGCAGGGGATTCTCACCGTCTCAAGATCCTATAACGGATGATAGGTTTTGAAAAAGGAGACCTAAAGACAGCTCTCAAATCCAATGGCGACGTCCAGAGCCTTGAGCGAGCTCTTGTTGTCCAAATCGACCATCTTTGGGTCACGTGTCAAGCCCAAGATGCGTGACATAGTATGATTACATGGAACCAGTTCACGGAACAAGCTGATAATCCAAAAGACAACAAGTTACAGAAAAGGAGAAGTTTAAGTTTACTGGAGACTGTCTGTAGCAAGTATAATACAGCAGCAGATGACAGGAAGTTGCAAGATCAGACATCCATCATCCGTTCTCACTCACGGGTAGCACTGCGGCATTACCAATCATCCCTAGGCAGCCCATCCGTGCGAAGCTGCGGCTCTGTCATCCACCGATTCAAGGTTACCTGATCCATCAACCCAATAATCGGTCTATCTCGCCTCCCATACCAAGAAACGTTTAGCGCACCCGCTCTATCACCTGATGCATATGGATCCCCTTGCCTGCCGTAACTATATCTTCTTATTTTTTCTTTGCATTATAAAAAGATGGAGTTAATCCATAAACTGAACTTCCTTTTATTTAGGAATCATAGCACTGTTCACTCATAACCCTGCTGCTATTGTGGGAGAATCTCAGATCTGGGGATGCGATTCACTGAATGAGGACATGAACGGAGAGAATATAAAAGGTAGTATTGAATAAAACACCCTCTATCTTTGTTACCAGGACATATTTATATCTCTTCTCCGCTTCAAAAAGCTATCAAGGAGACAAAGGGCGATTTCTTGTAGTGACTACCCCTTTTTGCTCTCGCGAGTTCCCTGGGATTGGTCCACTGGCGAACCGCTTGTAATCCGAGCCCCATCAGCCCCATGGACACTGCTGGCCCCTGAAATTTTAGCGACCTTCTCCCCTATTGCCCGGTGAGAGATAATAAGCCTTCAACCCCACAGCCCTGAAAATATCAAGTAATGTTCGAGTACTGCAACTGTTTTTTTCCTATATTTAATCGATTTCAGAATACTAAAACTGATCCGAAACTCGATATCTCTGTGTCTACTAGCTAGCATCTTGCCAGCGCTTTATCAAACCTCATGAATGTTCATCCGGGAAAAGAGACGCTCAAAGAATAGAGGTCGTCGCTCCCAACCACAGGGCGCACTAGTTACTTATTCAATGGATGAAGACTTCGTCTATTGTAGTTGGAATTCAAAAACTTAACCCCGTGATCTCCTTTTCAACCTTGTTCAGCGCCGAGCCAGGGAGCATTTCGAAACTCAGCTGTCTCCGCTCCACTTCGTGCTTTGAACTTGAGGGAAAGTAGAAATTATGAGCGTGGCCTGAAGTTCAAGGAAAGGAATTCCTGAACCGTCCGCAATACTTCCGCTCCGTCGATGTCTGACTTTGATCTTCTAACTGCCGAGGACCCCAAACCGACGCAGCAGCCATCCAGAATTGAAAGTCTTTACCATCTTCTATCGTCATTTCTGCGGTCCACCGTAGGAAAGACTACTTCTCCATACTCCAAAGTATACAACAAAACGGCGCAGAACTTACGTGCTGCAAGAGGACGTAACGCCTTTCGCGCCGAAGACTCACTACAGTAAGGAGGTACTTCTGCTTTCAATCCATCCCTGACTTCAGTATCAGTAACTCCCACCCAAAGAAAATCTTCCGAATGTTCTTATGGTTTGGCGGGTTGTCTGGGATCGAAGCTTTCGGTTCCGTGGGTGGACTACCTAGTGGTCGGGCGTAAATTCGCTCTGACAAAGTCGGTGAAACCAGCCTTGCGTAGAGAGCTTCAGGGACGCAGCCATCTCGAGTCCTACCACCTATCTCTCTTTCCAATGAGAAAGTCCCCGTTTATATACTCTTTCGTGCTGATGCGGTATGCGAGCGTGTACAGATCCCTTCGATATTGGGAAGTGTTTGAAGGCTGGCGACGTTCTGCGACATCCACAACTCTACAAATCTCTCAACAAGTCTGGCTCCGTTATACTGTACTACACATGTGTAGCCTCAGCTGGGTGCAGTGGGATCGACTTCGCAGAGGCCGTGAGGGCACTTCGGGACTGCTTCGAAGATGGTAGAGATTCGTGAATTTGGAGGCATTCCGAGCGACGACGACGTCTTCGGTCAAGAAGCTGAGCAACACAGCGGAGGCAACTCCCGGGGTTATTTGACTAACTGGAAAGAGAGCAGTCAGCTATGGCAGACACGCAGCCATTCCAACAAGTGGAAATACTCTTCGGTGCGGCCGTGGTTCATTCCTCCTGCAGTTTGCGACCGGCCTGGATTCTGACGGAGTTCGTGTCTGCAACGTCAAGTTCAACAGACCTAAGACTCCAAGGTTCGACGTTGGCCTCCCGCTAATAATAAGGATTAAAGCGTGGCCAAAGTCTTTCACTAACACGGAGAAGGGGCGGCTTGGAGACTCTGAATGTCTGCTAGCTCGAATTTCGGAATTTCAAGCATCGGGAAATGTGGTAACAACATAAAGACAGAAGTAAGGAGTCAAAGATCGATATAGTGCAAGTCTAAGGGGGTTGGAATATCGTCCTTGTCAGCTTCGCTGACACTGCCGTGTTGAGGTCTTGGATTCGATGAGCTGAACTTCGGAAGGGGACAGAGTCGAGGACGACGGCAGCTCTGTGTTGTCGGGACCACAGTGTTAAGTCAGAATTGTCAGAGCTCGAATAACTGGGTCCGAACCCTGAAGACTCGGTGTCGAGGACTTGAGCGCATGGTCTAGCCTATATTCTTTGGGGAACCGGACTCGTTGACAACCAAGATCAAGGCTCCCCCACAACAGCCCCTGAATCTAAAGCGACTACCGACTATGTTAGGGGCCTGTGTCAAATTCGACACGCCGATTATCCATGAGCCCACCACACCAACGAAAGCTTGTAGTAGCTCGCACCCATCATCATATCTCAACCGCACAGCTTTCCAGATTTCCAGCTTGGCAACTCGTTCAACAATTTGCAACACAGCAAAGAACAATTCCCCTACGTCTTGGGACTGTCCTCTACATCGCAGATCTAAACGGATGCTGCAGTCGATGCGTTGCGGAGGTTGGCTCTCCAAGTTGAGGGGTTCCCTTCGAGCCGCAGCAACTTCACCGATTGGAAAAGCCGCTAATGTGTTGGACGACTGCCATGCAGTCCTTATTGCTGCCCAACCTCAGAATAGTGTAAGTGAAAAATCACCTAATCTTCTGATATCATCCATGAGAAGTGGAGGTGCGCTCACGCTGTTCATAGGATACCTTCCGCCTTCCTTGGTGAGAAGTTATCCTGGTGGTCCCAAACCAAACCACGTGCATGTGCAAAAACAGCCCCTGCCTGCAGTGGGTGCAGCCATGTTGTGCATGTTTAGAGGCGGGCTGCAGCTTAAATATTGGGGAACCCCCCGATCTCGCCGGGGGCTATGCGGAAATGTTCTTTTCAGCGATGAGCATGGTGAGATTGGGAAAGCGGCGCATGTCAGTCCGTCCCATCCCGCCGACATGTTCCTTCACTGTTCATCCCTGAAAGTGCTCACACAGATATATATCCCCTCTCTCGCCACGGCAGCAACCTTTGCTTGCTCGTGCTATCGTTTCAATCGAAATTTGAGCTTCCTCTTATCTTCTTTGAATGTTCCACAAATTTGGACTCTTCTTCATCACTAGGAGCTGTCGCTAGTGTTCTCCGCTGGAGGATTTGGCGACATGCCGGCCAATCAGCCAGTGCCACAGTGGGGGAAGTCCCTTTTTTATCACATATCACCTTTTTACGCCTCGGGTAACCCTTTGAGAGAAATGCTGCATCTTGGGAACAGGAAAGCAAAGTTGTCTCCCCCACGCAATTCAAAGGATCTGAATGCGCTGACACCTCTTTTCTGACGATGTTATTTTGCGATTAAAATCCAATGGGAGGTACATAGGTACCAGTCGCGAGAAACGGAGAAAAGAAACGCATGATGGCATCTAGGATGTCTTTATTCTATTTACTCTTCTTGAAATTGTGAAACATTGGACAGGATTATTAAACGCAGAATCATATGTGTGCGAATGAGAGTTCGGAAATTGAAAGAAAAGAAACCGGCCCCGTGTTTAAATCGCAGTACCAAAGTCGCAGGGGTGATTGGATCATGAAAACGAGAGGTTCGGAGTCGTTATCTCTCGACCTGCTTGAGTACGTCGCTGGCTAGCTACTAAGCTCTCGCAGACACTACTTCGCGCTCTCTCAAACGAGTCTACTTCAAGGGAAATTTTGCGGTTGAAATGATCGATGGCGGGGTCCAAAGTTCACCTGTAGTCCTCAGCTCCAATCGCTTCGATCCTGGTGCTAATCCTCTCCAGCACATCTAGAGCCTGCCCGCTAAGTGCGGGTTTACCCTCTTTTGTGGTAATGATTAGGAGCAACGAAGGTTCAGAGGATAGAAACGAGTATATATGCAAGCTCGGCCCCCTGTCAGAGGCGTCCCGACCGGAGCTTCATGCCAATATCACGACCTGGATGGCAAGGTTGTCGGCCGGGAGACGGAGAGGGAGCCGAGTATCTGCGGCATGCTTTTCACACTCAAGCCGGGCGATACGCTTTCCCCCTTTCAGCACCATTATTTGGGCCGTGCGATATTACAGGCCTCTGGCATGTCATGCTGATCTTTACAGAGCCTCAAACTCGCCTGTGGCTGCTGGGAGTTGACTATTCTGGGATTGACTGGCTTTCGAGCCGATTCCCCAGATTTCTGTGGCTTCTGTGGCCTTCTGTGAAGCAGCACGTCACGAGAGAGGCCCATGGCAGTGAGGGGCTGTTGCATGGTCGTTTGCTGTCACGTTTGCGCAGCCTTGTTCTTCTAAATCAGCGGAGAACGATTCGCTGTGGGACCTATCATGATTGGCAGCGTGTCTGATACATGACATTGCAGGACTTCGATCTACTACTCGAAACATAGATTTCCGTCTCATTGATTGGTATTGGTGAGTGTCTGGGGTATGAGGGGCTCGTGTCTGACTCCACACAACGTGCTCGAGTTTGTGGTTTTCGCGTTGAAGCGTGTTGACCGCAATCAACGCCATCCTCTTCGACTATCTTCTGCTTGGTAAGAATCCAGACCGTCTTGATGTTGGAATAATGGCTGACAAGCTGCAGGAGGTGCGATCCTGGTGAAATTGGTAGGTACGGCAGTCGGCATGCTCTAGTGTTCGCACTCTGTTGGACGGGGAAGAGCCAGGAGAAACGATATGGGATATGAAGCTGATGCAGCATAGCAGAAGTTTCCTGGATCTGCAGCATACCAACTTTCTGGGTCTGCTTCCATTGATCCTGCGCAATTGCTCTTATTTACATCCAAACGGCAGAGAAAACGCAGGAGAGACAAAATTGTTCTACGGGCACGGCAGACTACCCGGCCGTGAATCTCGCACAACAATGTGCGCAGGGCAGATTGATGAAGGCCCTGCCCCTCCTCCGCCTGTATGTAAACCATCTATAGACCCGCTTTGTACGTCCAAATTGACAACGAAAAAGTATCCGAACCACGAGAAGCCCCGCAAGAAGAGGCCCCCCAAAAAGCCAAAGCCCCCGAAAGATCCGCCAGAACAAGAAGGTCAAGGGGGACCGTCGCGACCGTCACGATAGTTTCATAAGTGAAGAATTGGGCATGGGATCTACTTTTCCAGGGCTCTACCTCAAAGGGGCGGCGCGGAATCTCTTTTGTAGGAGTTGAGCTTGAGGATATATGATGGCACGGATCTTACAAAGGCGTTTTCTGGCAAATTTCTCTGGTTGATGTTTACGGACAGTTCATTTGGGATTATTAGCTTTGCAGTCGATATGGGATTTATTGTACTAAATGACTTCTATATATATAATAAGAATAAATGTGTGCGATTTACGCCCAAGAAAAAGGAGTTATTGACCTCTTGAGATTCGAGCCTTGTCGCCCAGTGATGTGAGCGCATCGGAAAATGAGTGCAGCCGAGTAGTCTGGCCGTACTACAGTGGCTTCTTCCAAGGTATATAAGACCTCGCACGCTCCCACTAATTTAACGTACTCCTAAGTCCCTTTCCACCCAAAAACCATCGAAAGTTACCCCCTACAGTCTCTTAAGTCCCCTTGGTAAACACATAATCGCCTTCCAAACACCACAAAATCCATAATTCAGCCTCGCAGAAAGTCGGTGATTCAATAATAGTTATCCAAAAGTGTCAAGCAGTTGATTTGTTCGTTTCTAAGACGGTCGAGAAAGGTGTGTGTGCTGATGCCAACTTGAATCCACCCATCCAACCTATCACCCTTTCGCCGTGAAACGTTGGGCCGAAGGCATCGACATAGTCAGGCCTCAGCCCCTTTATCTGTATACAAAGTAATCATCATTGCGATGGCCTCCTTTGCAAGTGCGAGGATATCTCTGTGTGCTCAGGATGTCAGGACCAGAACTTACCAGGGCGGCGACCGCTCCTGTGACCCGCAGCTTCGCCCTCGCACCACCGCCGAAAGTTTATGCAAAAGATGATAATAGTGCTGAACGAGGCTCACACGTTGCCTGGCAGGATATGCAGAATCACGAGATCAGACAACGCCAACGCCATGAACCGGTCGATAACGATGACAGCTCTGCCACAGTAGGGGAAGACCAGACGCCAACCTCAAGCGACGGCCGTGAGGAAATAGAAGGTATTAATTCATTATTCGTGTACTCAACTGATCACTTTTGACTGGAGGTTAGAGGGAGCAGGTTACGCGCAGCCTAATGTGTTCACTGAATTCCGACAGCGTCTCGGCAAACTCAGGCGACAACCCCTTTCTGAGACGGGAAAAGAAGACTCAGTAGCCGCCCAACGAAAGGTTGAGTACGACAAGATTCGACCTCATATGCGTGCGTCCAGAAGTTATAGTTACTCCTCGGATCAGACTGCTGACGATATATTTTGCAGTCGAGAAGGATCATGTCGCAGGTCTGCCACGACTTGCGGCCTTGCAAGATAGTAACGATAGCTTTTGCATCTTCCGCAAATTTGGGCCAGTTGCTGCTCGAATTCTTATAGGAAAACAAATTGAGCTTGACCAACTTGTAACAAGGTTGAATGAACTCGACAACGAAGACATCGAAAATTCAGAGACGAGGTACCGACTCCATAGTACCGAATTCTATGACGGGTGTGATCCCGAGCAAAGGAATCTAACGAAGGAAATTGAAGTCAAAATCAAAGACTACTGTTTGATCAATGATTTCTAATATTGCTTCTCCGGTTCTGTGCTGACGAGATTAGGGGATCTCCTCTTGAAGTACGCTGATGTTAGGAGTCTCAGCACCGTTAATCCCCGCCATCATCGAAGTGTGCACACATGGATGATAGACAATCGACCGCTGTTTGAAGGAGAAGATGCCTTTATCCTTTCAGTTGATGACTTTATCACGGCTCGAAGAGTGTCGGGCTACGGCCCACCGCATGGAAGTAGGCTTGCGGAAATGCTCGAGTCCTTCATCGCGCAGCAACCCCGATCAGGGCTCAGATTATGGCTCCATGTATGTTGATGCTCCTTCAGAACTCTCCTTGCTCCCGGGGGCCTTCGAGAAGCAAGCTAACAATCGTATCTAGCACTTACTCAATGGCAAAACTGGGCGTAGCCGGACGAACAATCCACAAGTCCATCACTATTCATCTTCGGGTCTTGATATATTTGCAAAAATCGTTGCGTCGTCCGTCGCAGTCGGGATTCTTCTCGTCCCTGTATTCATTCTGTTTCTGTTCGACCTGAGCCGTGCGAAGATGGCTGCCATCGTTGGTTCTTTTGTCTTAGTGTTTATGGTCACTATGTCGGTCTTGGTTGACGTTACCCCGCATGACTTGTTCATAGGAATCGCTGCGTAAGATCGTGGTCGTTTCGCAGATGCTATCGAGAGCTAATCGTCCATAGTTACTCTGCGGTTCTTGTGGCTCTTCTGTCTAACCTGGCACAGGGAATGGGGCCTGGCAGCTCGTCACGATGGACTAACGCCACCGCAGGGCACTGAAAGGGCTCTATGGTGGGACCGACATGATTTGAGAAGGAGGTATGAAGTCGAGGAGTCCTAAAAGTTTGCTTTCTTGTTTGATGTGGCTGTATTTTGTGATTTTCAAGCCGAAGGAAGGATTACCTACCGCCGTTTAGGGGTTCTCTTCGCGTATGGATCTGATTATTCGGAAAAGATGTAGCTCGGCGGCGGTGGTGTTGCTGTGCTGCGGAGTGTGAACAAAGTACGCATGCGTTTTTCGAGAATTGAGTTGTTTGGGGTCCTTGAATAAAGCCCAGAGTTTGAACGGTGAGGCTTTACTGCACAGAGCCCGACTCTCGCTCGGCACTGCAAGCCACATTCATCACGTGGATTCTAACCCTTTGGACCTTAGAGTTGATTGTCTTCTCCAATGACGGCCATTGATTGAAACAGAAGTTCTGCTTCTATGGCTATATCTCTATTTGATGTTATGTCTAGCGTTCTCAAAGACTTTCCCCTCCCCAGTTGATCGGGAAACATCACGTGTAATAGAGCCAGTCGAGCAACACTTCCCCTCATTCCCAAGGCAACCCATCTTACCGAAGCTGTGGCTCTGTCACCCATCGCTCCAAGGTTACCTGTTCCGTTTATCTAACAATCGGTAGATTTTCCATCTCAGTCAACGCCCTCAACTCCTCAATCAAAAACTTCACGTCCCTTAACTTAGCGATGAACTTTCCCAACCTTTCCCTACCTACCTATATCACCGCGCATGTTCAAAGCGAACTTCAGAATGCACGCAAAAATGGTTGGCTTGGAAAAGATAAGCTCCCTCGGTCGTTTCGAAATCGAGAGATCTTCCCCCGAATCTTGGAGGACCCTGACGAGCATGCATGGTGCCAGATTGAGTATATGGGATGGCGAGAGATTGGATGTTGCTGAGCTTCAGGTTTTGGCTTTTGATGGATTTGGGAGCCCAATTTATCCCACCTTCAGACATGTCCTCGAAGGATATGATGTCGAGTGCTGGTTGGAAGGGTACACCAGGGTGGCTTTGCTTGGGGACTCTGAGTGATATCTCGCCCGAGGCTTTGATTACACTGAATTGAGGCTGGTTTCCGGATCTTATACCCGATAGCGTAGAGTTAGAATTGAGAGGAGGATCTCGCTGGACAAAAACGGCAAGATATATGCGATGATTGATTCTTGAATCTCCCGGCAGGTTGTGACTTGGCAGTAGACTGTCGTTGAAAGCAGAAGTCGTAGTATTTCGCATCAACATTTCGAGACTCGTTGCAAGTGTCGAATATCAGAGGGACGATTGAATCTTCGGGTGCGTCCTTGTCGAAAAATTGATTGGCGGTGGGAGCAATATCAGGATTCTCTCGGGTCAGGGTCATCGACACTCGGATCAAGCGAGGTGGCGGAGATGGACCCACTGCTGTCGTCGATATCATTATTCGGATTTCGACAGGAAGCTTTGGGAATGAGTGGAATGCAGTCTATGGTGAAGAGGATGGCGGTTTGATGCCTTTTGTCGACCTCGTGTTGGATGCATGTGTTTGTTGATCCATGGCGATCGAATTCGGAGTAGAATATGTCGACACTTTGTCTTATTCAAGGTCCTGTGAGGCTTCTGATGTAATTTAATTTGCCGTGTAAAGAAATACGAAGGTAAGATCGAAAGGCTAACGTTTGATATAGCCTTTGAACGCTAGTTCATATCTAAGTACAGTGGGTGGGGCAAACGCAGAGAGCGAGACCTTGCAAGATTGCAAAGCCCTCGGAAAACAATAAGCAGAAGCAGAGACCTAACACTTCGAAGAAGAGTGTGTGAGGCTGAGAGTACAGCACGAACAAGAAAACCCAGATCAGACCCTCTTGAGTTTTTCTACATCAAGAAAAATCAGGTCGTAAAGAAAATCCTGCATGTCAAATTCCAAACGTTTTTCGACATTGGGCTTCATTTGATGTGTCTTAATACTTTAAATGAGTATCATTTAATACGTCTTACTCGGGATGATAAGGGTTTCGTCTGATGTGCTCTTAGGTGGGGTGAATACGACAGCACATATTCTACATAATATTCTCAGCATCCAAGAGCTTTCCGGGCAAGAACTGGAACAATGGGGCTGTCAACAAGCTCTTGAATTATGATCAAAATTAAAGATCTGCATATCAACTCCACCTCAAGTCTCCCGATCTTGAAGCCTCATCCAAGTCGTATTACTCGTCTTTCCCGGGATGAACCCTCGATACCCCAATCATTGCTACCCTTCAATGCACTGCCAGGAACTCGCTAGCCTTCCACACACTGAGGTAAGTATTTCCTACCCTCTCAAAGACACCCTCTTATTCTTCCATTACCAGAACAAACGAATAACCCCCCCCCAAAGGATATCAGGCGTGGGCCTAGGGGGATTCGAGTGTAAGTTCGGCCTTCAATATCTTCCTGTTCAGCAGCAGTTGGCTCCTTTGCGTTCATCGGTGACACGTAGCCAAAGAGACGGGCCTTGGGTCCATCTCCTATGATAACACAGAAACGGTGAGGAGGTAAAGTCATTTTTGGTCGATGTATCGGAGCTTAGACGGTAGCGTCCAAGCATCGACGAGTGGGCATAGCGATGCTGCCAAAGAATCGCTATCGTTACCGCGATAATGATTTTTCTTGAAATCATCCCAATCAACCCTTTTCTATTAACAAGCTCAACTTCGATTTTTTTCATCATTTTAGTCGCCCCAATAGCCTTCTGCCAAGGACACGTCGGGGGGCTGCGATTCGATCATTCCATCCCATCCACTCCACTCCCAGCTAGGAAAGTTGGGTAGCCGCTTTGAACTCAAGACCCCTAGGATGTATGTGACCAACAGAGTCCCGACATGAACCTAGCGCGGGAGCTTTCAGTTTGGGCCTCGAGACTGCGCTTTCCCTTTGGGAACAATACCGATACGCCCCAGGGATGCTGAACTGGACAGTGCCAACGCTCATACGGCTTGAGTACTCCCCCTGAATCCGTCGAGATGATCACTCGAATACATTGACGGCCTTCCTGAATATTCGCTGATTCGGCGTATGATGTCGAAGGCGTTCTGGCGAGTTCCGCAAAGGGGATATCCAAAGTTCGATGATTCCCACATATCCCTTCCATTCTGTATCGGAAAAGTGAGGGTCTCGTGGCACTTCATAACGGGACAATCAAATATAACGCCAGCTTCAGTGAAGAAGAGGCGCCTCCTGGATAAAATGGCTTCTTGGTAGGTCCAATCACGACTATTCAATTTAGACCCCTCGATCACCTTGGACCCTTTGATTGGATACACGATTGCCCCGAGTTTCAGATCACCAATATTGACTTGAACTGGACAGACCCTAGGCTGGAAAGCGGTCACGCCCGGAAGACCGAAGCTTGGGTCATCTCCTACTGTGGCAATGACAGTGATCTCCGCTTCTTGGTATATCAGGTCCATTTGGTTGATCTGCAGTGCCTTGTCGTGGCCGTCATTTTGATCAATACAGTATCTATCAACCCAAAGGTAGTGGTAACCAAGTTTGAGAGTACCCAAGATTGTATCTTCAACTGTACGGTGATGGTTTGGCAAGAAGTTTGATCCGCTATAGGGCGTATCTTCGGGTCGTTGAGCGCTTGGGGAGCCTCAATATAGCTGAGGGCAACATACTGACAGCCCTTCTTTACCATCTCGACTCGCCCCTTGGCGCAATTAATTACTTTCAGTAATTGTATTGGTGTTCGTTTGGTAAGGTGGCAGGTTCCTGCTTTTCCAATTCAATGGCCGTTCTGGCACTTTTCTATCCAGCGCCTAAGGATGTCGTAGTCGATTCGGCTTGCCTGTATGAGCTGTACAGCAGCCAATGGATCATTATTTCTCAAAAAGGGCGGGCACTGAGACCTAAGTACAAGCCTAGTGGGCGCGCCTTGTCGGATAAGATCCCAAGCACTGCAAAAAAATTTGATCCTTCTAGGGTAAGGAACTGCTCAGACGGTGCCTGGCCCGTGAACTTGAGCAAGCTGTGCTCTACACCGACCTAATCTATGTCTAGAGCGAAGACTAGATAGCAGACAAGCTGAGTTCCAAAACTCGTGTAGAGCACGTTGACTTTTGAATTCCAACTTCGAATAACGTCATTTTCGGTGCCGTTTGATCTAAAGTTTCTAGGGAGAGCTCAGAGCACTGCTGACACGCGTTCCGGTTTTCCTTAGATATCGTCGTACGGTTTCTGCAAATTTCGGCGACGGTGGAGCTGGAACCCGATGTTTCAGGTATTATGTCCAGTTCGACGTCGTAGAATATTGCAAACGGGGATAGGCACCTTACGAAAGTGAGCAAAGCAGTGCAGCAGTGGGAACCGTAACCAGCTGTTTCCGAAGGTCTGTCAGGCTATCGATAACTCAGCTAGTTTTGAACCCCACCAGCGGGTGGCTCTGGATTCGTGGGGGCTCGAAGAATTGTACTTTTCAGGTTCGAAGGAACAATAAAAGTGTGAAAAGGAAGAAGAGGCCCAAGTCGCGAGGAGGTCATCGTGCAGAGGTACGGTTGCCTGATTGTTTTGCTACAGTATGCTCGGCAAAGAGCCATCCAATAGGGGCTGCTAGTCAACACTCAGCTGAGAACTTCCGATCTCTGGTCTGTTAACTGACTTCAGGTGCCTCAAGCCAGAATCGTAACTTTGTCTTGACAACATAGCCTCGAATCTAGAATGTAGGACGTTGAGCAGCCACCATTGCGCTGGTCATTAGCGTCGGATATTGTTTGAGATTCCTCTGGCTGAAGAAACAACAGCTTCCCACTTGGGCGAGGTATGTATCCCTCTCGGTTTTTTAAGAATCGCAGAACAGAGCTTTCTGGTGCATCTAGCGTCTACCGATATAGCCTAGAGTTTCAACACTTGTCTCAATCAACAATCGCATCACGGTTCCTGATTCTCCTCGTGTGTATTCACAAGCATTCCAACCGCAAACACGGTCCATTCCAGTATCATAAATGTGCCCAAGACTGCAAATCCAGGAGAAGGCCAAACGTTCCATTGATCAAGCAGAAGCGTGAAGCATCGTTGTTGGGGTCAAATGTACAAAGTAACGCCTGAGATGCATCCCTTCCTCCAAGCGAATTGTTATCTCATCCTTCAGCATAACAGAGCTTTCGCACCCTCTCTGCTCTTGAGAACGTCAATCCCAAGTCTGATCCAGGTTGATCTTGTCCATGTAAAGCAACGCCATCTCCGTCTCTCCACCCAAGTGTTGATTGTCTATGAGGTTGGGTTGGGGTTCATCTGCGAAGCACAGGTCAGACAGGGTTTCTCGATAATGGGGTTGGAAAATACAAACCTTCCTCTTGCCACCGGTGAGCGTGACGTTCACAAATCGGCGGGTGTATGTGATTCTCTTCTTCGCGCGGCCCTTGGGGGTCTTCTTCTTCTCTTGAGGCTCAACCTGTTGATTTGAATCCATCAGCATTCTTTCTTTCTTCCGCCACGAGAGCGACTCCGTCCATCAATTCCATCTCAGCGAATGTAGTCAATGTCGTCTTGCAAATCATCCCGCGCCGCACCCGCATTGCCTGTCTATCTCTAATATTGTAAAATATCGCACCTTTGGTGTCTGAGACTTCACCTTTCCGGCACGAGCGAGGGATCCGTGGACCTTTCCCATGATTGCGGTTTATCGGGGTGTATTTGTCGATGATTGTCCGATCTGGAGTGGCAAAATGATCAGCTTTGCTTCCTACGTCGCAGCCTTCACTTTCAATATCGGGTATGGAAGGAGTGCGAGATTCGATGCGATGGTAGACAGGATGGCAGAGGCTCACAGGTTGATTCGAGGTGTCGATGTCGATGGGGAGGAGTCAGTCGGCGGTGACTTTGATCGAGGTTTGTGGAAAGATTTTCGCTTATTCGAGCTAGGATGGCGCTAGTCTCTAGGGCTTTGAGTGCGACACGTGACTCTTTAGATCTGAGATCCTGATAAAAACCGTCATTGAAGATCGCTAAAAAATAAAAATAAAAATAAAAAAGCTCACGGTAGAAAGATTCTATTTCTCTATCTGATTTAGGAGGCAAGAACTGGAAGAATCATCGTGGAGTCCGGACGGGAGGCGTATCTCCATCACCACGTGACCCTTCCATAACCCGTTCGCGTTCTCCCTAATCGATCTGAACTTCCTATTAAAATGTGCAGCTCAACGCTATCCTCTTTGAGCATTTGGTTATCCTTTTACCAGATACATTCAGTATTCGGGATACAACTCAGACCGCTTTGGCCACAGGTGTTTAAAACGCGGCTTTTGGCTGCAGTAAGTTCACAATCGAGGGGTCTTAAAGGTCACTAAACACCACCTATTCTTGAATTTCTGGAACTCTATGACTCGGTTGGCTAATCAAGGATAATATACCCAGAAGTCAGAATGAGTTTGGGCCGAGAATCAAGTCCCCGGGCTTGTTTGCAACCCCTCTTCAGACAGTAGGTTGAAACATACGCATTCTCGGCTTCTCCTGTCCGTCGATCAGTAAGAGTGACAAACCCTTTATGAACTGTCACCGAATTTTGACAAATATCCGGAACCACATCGGTTCTTCACTTCCAGCCTCTTTCACAACCTCAATTCCAATAACTAGTAAGTCAACAACCAGAACTTCTCTTGCCACAAATCTGAAGCAGGTTTTTCCAAATCCTTAACAGGACTAACGTGCCAAGTAATGGTGACTCAAAAGTCTCTCGTCCTCACCGAAAAAGGGAAACCTACGGCCTTCACCACCCTGCCAATCCCGACCCCAACCTCCACTCAACTCCTAATCAAAACAACAGTCTGCTGCGTAACTGTTGTGACGTCAGCGTCACATGACCTGACCCTAGCGTGGCACCCTGTACTTAGCTCGAGCTTCCCGCTCCTCTCTTCTCTCTTTAGACGTTACATACACACCCAAACAGAGCTGTTTACCAGACCAGGTCTTCAGCCCAGGGACGTGATAGTAACTATCATAGACCAAAGAATTCGGGACATAGACAGCTTTGACTTCTACCCCAAGCTCTCAGCTGTAGGGGCAGTGATCTCCTCGGGAGCGTTAATGCTAACGAGCACAATGAAAAGTTCCCCAATGGCTCTCACGTCTTCTCCCAATACACAAGTTTCCTCCCCATCGGTGGTGGATTACAAGAATACACTCTTGTGCATCCCGTCTATGCGGCCCTTGTTGTAGAGGGAGTTACGGATGAAGCTGCAGCTAGTTGGCCAATCAATGCTGTTACTGTTGGCATAGCGATATTCTCGAAGGGTGAATTTGGGTGGAGATTTCCTAGGACGAAGGAAGAAGAGGATGGTAGATTGGAGGGAGAGAAATTGGTCACCGTGGGTGGTGGGACGACGGTAGGGAAGATGGCGCTGCAGTTGCAAGACTGGCTGTTGTGCGGACTATCATTGCTACTGCTTCAACTTCCCACAGAAAAGAGTTGAAGGGGTATGGTGCAACGCATTTCGTTGCTCGCCAAGCAGAGATTGTTGAAAAGCAGGTTCGAGCCATTGGAGCTGAGGACCTAGTACATGTGTTTGATTGCACACCGGGAGGGAACCACAATCTTGTAGTATCTCTCCTTTCAACTTCTAAGAAAGGGATGTTCGTACATTTGACTCTGGGGAATGTTTATGGGGACGTTGTGGCGAGGAAGAAGGCGGGATATGAGGACAAGCAGATGTGGGGTGGTCGCACAACGATCCTGAGTTTTGTAAGCCGTTCCGGAGCAAGTTTCCTAAATTAGTGGACAGTGGGAATATCAAGCTGTTGAGGTATAAGTTGTTTGAGTGCTTGGATGTTGAAAAGATAAATGCTGCGTTTGATGAGACGGGAGCTTTGAAGGGAGTGCACTACCACGCACGGTTTTAGGGCAGTAAGGAGGAAGAGAAATGAAGACCATCGTTTTTGGGTGAATTTTGTATCAATTGAAAAATCGGTTCACTCCATTGGGGAAATGAATAGCCAACTTTGAGTGCTCATCTAGAGAGGTATACTATCTGATCCCTATCGGTGGACCTAGTGTACTACGAATGCTCCACCAACATCACCCACATGCCATAAGGCCACTCGAGTCATGAATGCAGATAGCACAGGTAATGCGAACTCCAAACGCAGCCCAGAAAAATATTTGGCCTGAGTGGCTGCAGAAACGATCGTTCCCCTATGTTGTGGAAACCAGACCAATGGAAGCAGCTGGGGAAAGGATGCGGGGTATCGACTTACCCCACACTTAGATTTAGGGGGGCTGGGGGGAGGGGGGGGACAAAAACTATATATATGAGAATTTGGACAACTCACCCTGCTAAAAGCCAAGACCAGAATCCAACGAGCAACACTGAAAATAATGGCACTCCTCGATTTCGAAAACTCGCTCTTCCTCATCTTGATCCCATTAGGTGCCTCTCCAGTCCTCTATCTCCTCTACTCGGCATTCCGCGCCATACTCTCACAATTAAGGGGGATTCCCGGACCTTTCCTCGCACGCTTCACACGATTCTGGAAACTGCGGGAAATTTACAAGGGGTCATTCGAGAAGACGAATACTAGATTGCATCAGAAATATGGCAAGTCTCGACAGAAAAACAGACAAACCATTTTTCTAATTTCGAGCAACAGGCCCAATCGTCCGGATTGCTCCAAATGAATATAGCATCGATGATCCCGAGGCGGTGAAGATCATATACGGCCTTGGTTCGCAGTTTATAAAGGCATGGAAACAAGTTTCTTCGCTGAAAGGAGAGGAGCTGACACGAAACGAATCATAGAGCCCGTGGTATATTGCAAGTGGGAGCGCTGATCCTCATGCACCGAAAGATCTCTTCACAGATCGCAACCCCACCCGGCATGCTGCAAACCGCAGGAAAGTAGCTTCTGTATATTCAATGACGACACTAGCTCAACTTGAGCCGTTTGTGGATGAATGCTCTTCGATTCTCCGAACGAGATTTACGGAATTTGCGGACCAGAAGAGAACTATCAACATGGCGCACTGGATGCAATGTTATGCATTCGATGTTGTTGGAGAGATCACCGCAAGCCATACACGTCCTTTATCTATTTGAGGAGAGGTTTGCTAATCAATATCACTTGATACAGGTAGCGAAGCGCTTCGGTTTTCTCGATGCAGGCGAAGATATCGACGGCATCATGTGGGATATCCACAAATACCTCATCCACGCCTCCCACGTTGGCGTGTACTCAGAACTGCACCGGCCCATCTCCAAACTCCTATCCCTCCTCCGTGGCCCGAAAGGGATTTCAGCAACAATGCAATTCACACAAAGCCAACTGCAAGAACGACTATCCAAAATGGATGTGGAAAAGATCGACTCGAAAGGCGACTTTCTCTCGAAATTGCTGAGGCTGCATGCTGAGAACCCAGAGAAGATCACTATGTCTGATGTCTTCACGACTTGTATGACTAATATTGGGGCTGGCAGTGATACGACGGGAATCAGTTTGAGCGCGGTGATCTACCATCTCTGCAAGAATCCGGAAGTAATGAGGAAATTGAGAGAAGAAATCGATGAATTGGCGGGGAAAGGAGAGATTTCGGATCCTGTGACGTTTGCGCAGGCGCAGAAGATGCCGTATTTGCAGGTTGTTTTGAAGGAGGCGTTGAGGATGCACCCCGCTACTGGGTTGCCACTTGGAAGAGTTGTTCCTGAGGGTGGAGCTGTCATTGCGGGAAGGATGTTCCCAGCCGGGGTTGGTGTTCCTTCTTCATGGGCAGTAGACGATGCTGATGCAAAATAGACCGTTGTCGGTGTTAACTCTTGGGTGGCCCACGCAAATACTGATGTATTCGGACTCGATGCTTCAGTATTTCGTCCCGAGAGATGGCTGGTCGATAAAGATCGATATAATGCTATGGACAGATACTTCTTTGCAGTGAGTCTGCTTTTTACTCATCCCAGAACATCTCGCTGATTCGCATATAGTTTGGAATGGGCTCCAGAACTTGCATCGGCAAGAATATCAGCCTCCTCGAGATGACGAAACTTATTCCGCAGCTTGTTCGTAATTTCGACTTTGATCTCGCCGAACCTGGTGCAGATTGGGAAACCGTGAATGTGTGGTTTGTCAAACAAACAAATTTCAATTGCAAGATAAAGTTGCGAGCGAGAGTGTAGCTAGGATCTGTAGCGTACATTCAATTCTCCTTCGACGGACCTGCTTCAAGCTTCGTGTGAAGCCCGAATGTGAGACGACATAACAGCGCCAGCACTCAGCAACGCCGATATCTGGAGCCATGTAAGCTCTGTTCTGCTATGCAACAGCCCCCAGACACCCCAGCTCGTAGTCAAATGAAGCAACTGACTCCAGATTGTTACCCTCATGAACCTGGTGCGCAGATGTGTTCATTGCAAATTGTAGCCTTGGCTAATTCTCTGTTGTTTCTCTGGCGTATCAATCATCACGAAGATTCAGTCGTAACCAACCCTTCTTGACCCTTTTGCGTAACGCTTCGAAACGGGCTGCTTTGCCTCACGCTTCTTGTTTGGAGTAGGCTCCGCAACCTCAGCAACCTCAACCTCCGCATCTTCCGGGGTATAGCGAAGCCAAATAATAGCATCATACTTCCTAGAAGGACCTTGATATCCCATCGCTTTCGCCTTGTTGACCAGATCGATGCCATCAGCCAGCCACCACTTCTTCTCTCTTGGGCTTTTGAGCACATCCCAAGCCGCAAGCCATTGGGATATCGCTCTGATGGACTTAGACGGGAGCTTGCCGTTGCTGTCCTTGAGAAGTTGGTAGGATCGCTGCATTGCAAGCTTCAGCAAATCGGCGGCCGACTTTTGTTGATAGAACTCCTGTCTCTCGTCGATTAAACGTTGCACAGCAGGATCGGGCGTGCGTAGGATGGCCTCGGGGTGAGATATTGCACCAGTGGAACGTACAAGGGGACGTGCAATGATTGGGGTTGCTTCGACGGACGTGATGATGGGCGCAACGTAAGGTGTGATGTGTTCTTTCTCGCAAAGCCACTTGATGATCTTGACTCGGCCAGATTTTCTCCCCTCCTTTCCGGTTTTCCCAAAATTCTTACTCCTTGCATATTTGTAAAGTTCTTCGAAGTTCATCGCCCACCACTTTTTCTCTTGAGCTGACATTGTTGAAGGGGATGTGGCATTTGGGGTGTTCTGGTTGTCCTCGTCCAGCACTGGATCACTGTTCTGGCCATCCCGACCCACTCGAGCCTCCTCCGAGCCGTCTTCCTCTAATAAATTTTGCTTGGAATCATGCCCTTCTGCTTCATTCTCTGCACCCTCCTCCGCACCCTCCTCCGTATTATCCTCTTCCAGAAACTGCTCCTCGAGTTTAGTCTGTTGTCTCTTCCGCCTTCCATCTTGTATGCTTTGCTCAATCATTGTTTTGAAGTCGAGACTCCCGGAAGCTTGCTCATTTTCCTGGGCGACTTCTGGGGTGTCGAAAGACTCCCGCTTCCTTTTTCTTCCTTGCTCCGTTGCGTCTCCCATTGCCATAGATTCATCGCGTATAGCAGGCTGACTGACACTTGATGAGTGATTCGGCTGGCGTCGTTGGCTTGGTAAGGCCGTTCGACCACCTTGTCGCTGGCGTGCTGAAACACCTTGCGGCATAGTTCTGGTAGAGCCTCGTGAGGCACAGATTCACGTTGAATTTCGAACGGTGATTCAAGAGGAAATCGGGGGCTTGTCGAGACTGACAGAGGGAAATAGAGAGGCGTGACTGGTCGAATAGCCCAATTTCAATTATAGGGTGAGGTCTGGTTATAATATAGGAATGTGATATGTTCAACTGACGAGCTTCAAATATAAATGGCCCGTGCGAGCTTAGTCATCCTTATCTTTATCTCTGCCTCGGCGAAACGAAACCTCAAGCTTCACATCAACTTCCCTGCATTAAATTGTGGCGCCAGACTGGACCCCACAATGTCTCAGACCCGGATTCCATCCGACTTCAATCCTCTATCTCCCTTCTTTAGCATCTCTCCATTGCAACTTTGTCACACCTAACACAACGTCAACATGCGCATCTCTCCCATCTGCCTTTCCTTGCTGCCTCTGGCAGCAGCAACAACTCCACTCTTACCACAGCACATCTTCTCCAACCCCTCTTACTCCTCTTCCGAATACAAAATCCCAACCAGCTCCGAATCAGCAATCCTGGCCCGCCGAATCCTACACCTCACGCCCCTCGGCACACTATCAACAATCTTCCCTACTTCACATCATACCTCCGAACATACCCAAGAACAAAGGCCAGCTGGCTTAGAAGGAATGCCAATCGGACTCATGGACTACATCTCTGACTGCGAGACCTCTGGAGACCCCACAATCCTCGCTATAAACATAGCAACAAGCTTCAAAAACGTTGCTTCCGGCTCTAACATCTCCTTGTCTTTGCAATGGACGCCTCCGTACCCTCCGAAATCAAGAATCGAGTCTATGAAGAATACGTTTGCATATTCCGCCGCGAATCTCCCTCGATTCTCTCTCCTCGGATATTTAGAAAAAATCCCCGCCTCAGAAGTCGAAGCACAGGATATTGGCACTTGTTTTGTGAAGCAGCATAGAGATTCAAAGTATTGGCTGCCAGGGAATAAGATCCATGAGTCTGAGTGGGTGAGGCTGGTTGTGCAGGAGGTGTATTGGATTGGTGGGTTTGGGGATCGAGCTTATATTGGGTGGATTCCTGTTGAGCAGTGGAGGAATGTGAGTAAGGCGGAGTGGGAGGGTGTTAGGTTGCCGGGAGAGAAGAAGGGGTGGAAAGAATGGAGTAGTAACTGGTTTGGGGGGTTGGAACTATGAGGGAAAGGTCGACGAGGAAGGAATAATATGGGGTATATACTGGACATATATTATGTGCATATGGAGTATGGAGTAGGATCGAATCGTATTTCACTGGAGAAATTGGGATTCTATGGCTGCCAAAGCTATGTACTGTTCGTTCATCTACCGTGCAATCATGCCAGCCAACTCCTGCTCACACTTCTTCATAGTCACGAAGAGCACACTCCTGTCAAATGCAGCCAAAGAATAACGCCAAATGCAACGCCGTTCCATGCGTCAACCTCTTACAACTGATCAAACGTAATATCTAAACTCCTTCTCGATCTCCTAGCCTTCTTCGCCGGTCTGGCTTTCTTGATCTTTTTTTCAAGTCGTCGACTGCGCTTTGCAGACTTCTTAGGCATTGGTCTCTCTTTCCGCTGTCTCTTAGCAGCTGCGGCTCGTCTCTTGACCAATGCCCGACGACTAGGTCGAGGTCTGATATCTTCATCTTCATCTTCAGTCGCATCTGGATCTTCTGATGAAGATGTATCTGCTTCGTCCATAGTCTCATCATCTGACGAGCTTGGAACAGAAGAGAGGGGCGAGTCCGAGAGCTCTCCGTTGGGACCAGGTCTGCGGGTTGGGCCATGTTCGATGGCTTGCCGCAGTTTCATCATCGGGTCTTCTGCAGGAGGGTCGCTCGTTGGCTTGAGTCCTCGCCGCCGGTCCATGATCTCGGTGATGTAGAACCATGATGTTCCCCAACACTGCGCATTGACCCGGAGATCTTTATGCTCGATACGGAGGTATTGACGCATGGCCTTGATGTCGTCAAGGAGCTGCGTATCAGATCGATAGTCCATATGAACCGCGATGAGAATCGCTGTCACAACAAGTTCCAGCGGAGAAAATGTGCGGACGTGGTTGACACCTGCGTCTGTCAAAAACTTGGGAGCGGGGTGGAAGACCGTGTTCAGCTTGACTTTGAATTTCGTCGCTGTGTATTGCACAGAACAAAGCTTCACTAGGCCTTCGTATCTGTCGAAGATAGCCTTCATTTTTAATTTGAGAGCTGGGCTGATTTCGCCTTGATCGTCCAGCACCCGCAGTAATGCCTGAGGACTGGCTTGTAACGTAGGAGCATCTCTGGCATTTCTGCTCTTTTTCTTAGTAAGCTGCTTGGCCATGACTTCTTGGACCATCGTGAAAATTGTTAGAATAAGTCGAAAGCCAGAGGCACGACTCTGTTTTGATACTATGCAGCTCTCGTGTCAGTAAGAAATAATGGGAGCAACAGAATTGACAAGACTTACGATTGACGATCAGTACATAATCATCCTCGTATTGTTTGGCAAAAGCGGCCCATTCAGTCGACATAGCACGCATCTTCTCCGCTGGCGTGAGAGCGATGCCTCGCTGCACAAGCTGGAACATTGTCTCCTCCGTATCCATGGACAATTCTTCATATTCATAACAACAGAAGAATTGATTCTGGAAAAACTCTTTCACAGCCCGTGGCAGAATGTTGCGACCACTAGCGACCTCTCGACCGTTCACAATGGGATGGCAGTAGTACCTGCACAGAGTAAGTTACATCGAGAGGTGCTGTAAACTTCAACTTTGCTTACCACTTTCTTTGGGGGGTGTTGGTATCGAAGAAACCAATTTGGCCGCTCATAAATTTCCAAATCGAAGATAACCGCTGCTTACCATCAACAGTAGTACGTGTATACTTCTCTTTCTCCTGACCCTCAACTTTGATGATCGTCTTCCTGACATTGAATATAATAGGAGGTATGAAATAGCCCACTGTCCGAAGTCAGAAGCTGCAGCAACAGGCTGTGGGTTATCACTTACTCAGAATTGAGGTGACGAGGAGGGCAGCGCGGCCTTCATCCCAGACAACATCTCTTTGATAGTCAGGATCTAAAACGATTGCCTTGCTTTCAATACATTCTGGGGAAAATCAGCTCTCGAGAAGTGTGCATTCTGCAATGGGCCATACGGAAAAGGTGAAGCAACGATCTCTTGACAATGAAAGGTTCCGGTATTTGGCGGATTTTGAAGCCCTCGCAAACAAAATGTCGAACTCCATTGACATGAGCGATTCCTTCATAAGTCAAGTCAACGTATTCGTCTTCGTCGACATCCTCAAACATATTATCTTCTTCTTGGGCCTCCGGTAGGCTTCTGTCGATCTTGCCATAGTCTCCATCTGGTGATTCCTCTTTTTTTATCCGGAGAAGAGGAGCAGAACCTGTGGCAGTGGCAGCTGATGTGAAACCAGTGTCGGGATCTCGCTTAACCTCCGTCTTCACCTTCGCCTTCAGGGTTGCCTCTGCATCTGATGTGAGATCCATGGCATCAGTAAAAGTCTTTGTTATTGATTTTGTCTATTGGTATAGTCAGCATTGCACCAGAACAAATTGCAGAACTAAAATCGTTGGCCAGACAGGGTCAACAAAGGGAAAGTTGTCTCCGAGAGATCGGGTATTTTGGGAACTGAACGATAATCAAGAGGAAACAGAAGACAGCGTTGACGGTGAGCCACAGTCGGTCAAGATCTCTGAGAACGGAAGTGAACAGGCTCGAGAACTTCAGCATCGAATCCAAGGAGTCATACTCGAGATTCGAAAGCTACGAACGCCCTCCCATAACAGGGCGAGGTGAATAGAGAATCCCTCGCTGTCATGGAAGAATACTTCGGCGGTAACAGATGGAAGGTGAACAGAGATTGCTGCTGCTGGGAGCCTTGGTCCGTTGCTGCTGGAAGGTGTGACCTCTCTTCCAAGGGAGGAAGTGGGTTTCAGTAACCAGCTCGATCAGCGTCTTCGAGACTAAGACAAACCAGAACCGTCCTTCAAGTTCTCTCGATCCGACGTCTCTCCCTCGACACACTATATCGAGCCCTGAGCATGTTCCATTTGTCTCCGAGTCATGCTCTCATCCCGGAAAAAGGTTCGCGACGTGGCAGAATCAAGCAAGGCACAACTCACCTAAGATAAACACACGTGACAACGCCGTAGGGGTATAACTTTGCAGGAACCAATCCAGGAACAATGTTGAGAAGAGGAATACATATGGTGTTGTGGTCTTGATGCTGATGTTGATATTGGAGGATTTTGAGGTTGATGCAAGTGCGGGTCTGAATTTGGAGGGGTCGCACTAGGCTGCATTGGGGGTGAGCCTTGGTGGGGCAAACTTTTACGCGCTGCAAAATGGTCATGAAGAACGAGCATGGTATACCGTTTATTCAAATTTGGGTATCTGCGTGTCATTTTGAGTGTGAACGGTACATTGGGGGATCTCTCGAATTTCTTCCTTTTGTGCCTCGTAAAACCCCATTGAGGCGGGAAACTCCAAAGCACCTAGACGAGCAAATGCGCCATAAGATGCCAGCCATAAACTCCGTCCTAAAATCCTCTCTATTGGGTATCATCAACATCACTGTAATCAGCCATCCCTTCATTCAACACCTTTGCCAGAACCGCAGCAGCCCGTCCTGCCTCGCCTCCCTCTTTCTTTGCATTCGCCATTCCTACTTCCACGGCTGGCTGGAACAGCATCTGAAAGACCCTTTGTCGATCCTCCCTATCAATGTACATTTCTCCTTCCTCATCTCTTGATGACCCAAACAAATTCAGATGTGCAAAGGCGTTTGACCTCGTTGGAATCATATGCCTTTCCATATTCACCAGAGGAAACAACGCACCCCCAATCTTCATCTCCCTAATGTCCTCGGACTCCATTAAACCAGCTTTCAAAAATTGGGCCAGAACGAGAAGTTGTCGAGGAAACGCCTTTCCAGCCTTCCCAAACGATGCCTTGCTTGCTGAAGTCCACTTGGTTGACCCACTACTGCTTGCCCAGCCCATCATGCTCGTGAAGCTCTTCAGCGTCTTGACCCACCCACCAGGACAAGAAACCACATCCTCCTTCGCCACTTCCAGTAACCATTCCAAGATCGCGAGAGCATCGGTTCTGATTTCGGCTGCGAGATGCGTCATCCCGGCTCTGGCGTAGAGCAGTGCTGATTCGGCGTGGTCTCCGATGTCTGATGCTGGAAGGAGACGGAGGAATTTCAGGAGTTGGGTGCGTACTGATGATGATCCATCGAGTATCAGAGGGAGCAGCTTCGGGAGCAGGATACTGGTGGGGAGGGGGAGTGGCCGGTTGACTGGTGCGGAGGAGAGTTGGGACGTGAGATAGGAGAGGGCATCTCGGCGTTGGGTGTCTGAGCGTGATGAGGATGCCAGAGACAGGTAGTGAGCGAACTGAGATGATGATGAAGGAGCAGAGGTAGCCAAAGACTGTTGGTTGACGACGATTGCTGGGTCATGTCAGCTCTCATTGTCTCATGATGTGATGGTAGAATGGTCGACGGTGAGAGGCCAAGCTGGTGATAGCTCAAGATCCAGTGATGAAAAGCTTTGATCTTTGACATTTGAAGGATGCATCAGGCACAATAAAGACTTACACTTCGCTTTAAAGCTGGTGTCCGTGAAATTGTCAGGCTTTGCCTTGGTCTTGCCGACTTTCAACTTCGTTTTCTGCAGGAAGTCAGCGATGAAAACGAGTGAATTTTCTGATTTTGGCCCGCCTGAAAGTCTTTTTTCTTTTCTTTCTTTTTTCTCGCACTTGATCCCATTGTCGTTGGAACTGCGACTGTCAACCAGCCAATATCAAGATGTTTTTGCACTTGCTCTTGCAGTTAACTTTCCAAATATTCCGGCTCATTAAGGTACGCTAAAAGGTTGCCTCACGCCGGATTAAAGTTGTGCCGCGAACCGACGGAAGCCGAAGTTTGTGCTGTGACGAAACCTTGCTAAAATTTGTACAGCTTTGTTTGGTGTGGCTAGCTTTGATCGCGTTTCTCTACATTTGTCCCAACATCCCTCTTCACATCAGGTCCGCCCCCCACCTCCACGCCGTCCAATTGCGACGAAACTCAGCTGTAAGCCGTCTGTACTTTTTCTACCAGAACCTTGACGTCCTATACCATGTCGAGCAACTCAATCATATCATCCAGTGCCGAAGTAAGTATCTACGCTTTGTCGAATTCGAGCCTCAAGTAACTCGGACGACACAGGATGCCTCCTCGCACTTCTCCCATACGCTGGAGCGCTTGTCCTCGAAGCCTGGCGTTGTTGCAAGCCTCGTAATCGATCGCGCGTCCAACGCATTGTTGAAATCAACGGGTACATTCTCCTTCTGGAGTGCGAGCACCTCGAACTCGACCCAAACAGCTGCTACGAATGCTTCCTCTACGCCGAGTACCGCTACCGAAACTCCTTCGACCGACTCTACCTCGCAATTCGCTTCTACGATCATCGGTTACGTCGACTCTACAGGAGCCCTTGTCCAGCATATGGACTCTGAGGTATGCAGCTCCAGCTCCGAAGCTGAATGTAAGCTGACCCAGTGGAAAATAGGATGACCTGAAGCTACTACGCGTCCGAACGAAAAAGCATGAGATTGTCATTGTTCCCGATTCAAAATTCATCTTCGTCGTTGTTCACGAGATCTCGAGCTGAGCATACATGATTGTTGGATTATAGCATGGCGCTGGTGGGTATTTGAGCGTTTGATGATACCCATGCATTGTACGGAGTACGGAGTCTACACACCCATTTGAGCTCAGTGAGAGATAGAGAGGCATGGAATGACCGATTGATGGTACGATGGAGCTCACTATGCGGCGGAATCTCTGCTCCGTTGTGAAATTGACTCCAGCGAGATGATGGACAATGGAACTTCTTCGGCAGAATCCTCCTTTGTATTGGTGATCTCAAAAGTGCTCAGTCTCACGGCTTCCTCCCCGGTGGCCCCCACGGTCCGATTTTGACGCATTGTCCCAGAACAAGATGAGCTGATGAAAAGTCATTTACGGACGGCAGAATCCCTATTCGGCACTACCATATCAAAATCGACATGTTTCAAGGTCCCTTGTCCCTCCCATCGTAAACGCCGACCCAATGGGAGCACAAAGTCAGCAAGGGCCACGGGAAGGCATTACATGCCTGGGATGTGAATATTGAAAGCGGCCAATGATCTTCGAAACTAGCCGTCCTCCACGGCTGACAAGGCTGAAAAGGACAGGCTTTAAAACGATACGACCCGTATTCTGCAGAAGCTAAAGTCTCACAATCGTCAGGAACGAGCAGATTCCAGACTGCAAGGGTGCTAGAGCCTAGGCCAGAGCGAGATTGTAATCACGAGCAGCCAACCAAATCAGTATCGGTCCGACGGTTGTTCTTGATGTCTAATTGACATTTCGAAATTTCCTCCTTTCATGGAACAATTGTCACTCCCCACTGAAACATCTTCCTAGGATGCACAGAGTTGCAGGTTGAGGCTTGTTCGGAACAAGGGAGATCGTTGGCTCAATCGCAGGGCAGGGGGGGCTGCTCCCGAGATCGTGGCGATAAGAAACTCGCCAAGGGCCGCCGAATAGCAAACGTCACGCCCCATCACTGCAATCGCGCTGCAAGGCAAAACATGGCAGGCCAGGGCCGCCGGGACTGGATCCATGTGAGCATCAGCTGCTTAACGGGCAAGCTGCAAGCTGCTGCTGCTGCTGCTGCTGCTGCTGCTGCACCACAGTCCACGTTTCTAATCCGCGCAAAGTCTGCCTGTCAAGTGCTACTTTCCCAGACCAAGGTCGGCTCGCTGTCCCGTCCAGCTATTTCCAAGCTGCAGCTGCCATGATGACACGCCCTGATTACTCCTTGCCTCGCCTTATATACCTCGGCGGTGCCACACGTTACACCTACTAAAAGAACTTGCCCTTCTGCAGGCCTTCTGGCGCGGTCATTGCTTCTTCCATTTCCCTTGTGTTCATGTCCAAATGCATCAGAGCTGATGACCTCAAGGAATTTCTTTGCACCCTGTCCGATCTGAGCCCCGCACCATGCCGCCCTTTACTTTCCTGAAAAGCCCGCCGAGGCAAAGCGAGCAGATCGAGCAGATCGAGAGGGAAGACAGTGGTGTCAGTCTGGAGAACGACAGCAAGGAAAATAAAGACGCTGTACAGAAACGGTCTTCCAAGCGAAAGTTCTTCCGCGGCCTCTTCAAAAGATCCAGCCTTTCCTCGGAGACACGAGCAGATCAATCCTCGGTACGGAACAGGTCATTTTGGTGACGTGGGATTAATTCTGGAGGAATTGCTGTTATTGGGCTTCATAGTTTAAATGAATACTAACTGCTTTTGGCAGCCATCACCAAGTCTGTCACTTCCCTCTCCAAAGTCACCACCGACCTCTCCCATGAACAAGCCACTGCCACCACCTCCTCCTCCCGGCTCCGAGCCAGAACCCACTGCTTCTGTTGGAAAAAATCCCGTCAAGCTCGATAGAATAATATCCCCTCTCTCCCAAGCCGATTTATACAAGATATTCTCTGGAGCTCCGCAGTTCTTTGCAAGGACCGAGGGTCACCATACCGGGGCACCACATCCTTCCGTAGCGTTTCCGTGGGACTCGGAGTTGCATATACGGGATCTGTGTGACCATGTACAAATACAGGACGAGGCATGGGGGTGCGTCACGGCATGGCCGCATATCACGGTGCAGGTCAGCAAGAACCCAGAGGCGAAGAAGGAACACTGTGAAAGGCAAAGGGCGCATTTCCTCCCACGGTGCAGAGAACGGCCAAATATGCTGAGCATGCAAGGGACGGAAAGAGGAACAGTGGGATACCAAGCAGCACTGGAAATTGGAGTTGCCGATGCGTTGGAAATAGCAGATGGTGGAAGCCCAGACGAGATTTCAGAACATCGAAAGAAGTTTCTCAATGGGAAAGATGGACTGCGGCCTATCACGGATGCGACACTTATTGATCAGCTCATATCTGTCAGCGAGGTGTACCAGGAAGATCCATTGAAGCACCGCCGGCCTACACTTCAGATGTATACTGAATTGTTTACCCAGATCTTATTTCCTCCTTCGAGAGTGACCGATTCGAATGATCCATACAGTCTCCAGGTCCAGGTCGAATCCTTGGTTCAGGTGCTTGCTACACCTCTGATATGGGTCGATTTCAGCTTGGTGGAATGGCGAATCAGGTTAGGTCATATTTTATGGGGATCTTCATCTGATGTGCTCCCAGAGGACGAGATCACTGTCAACAACGAAGTTGTCCACGAACCTGGAACGCAAAAATACTGGCTGTTGCTACAAATATTGTTATCCTGCGAGTTATTGGTGCGGCTAGATATGATTTCAAGGAACATTGATCATGGGCTGGCAGCTGTCAAACCAGCTGAGATAAGGCGGTTTGAACAGCATGCTACTGCGAATGTGAAATGGTCCATGCTATTGGCACGAACGTGGCTGGAGAGTATCAGAATTGAGAAGATAAATTCCGAGGACGAGACTGCCGAGAAGAAACCTGCTGGATGGCTGGCTACCTTGACCGGCACTGGAGGTGCTGCAACTACAATCAGCCAAGGACTCAATAAAGTCCAGTTTCACGGGAGACACCAAGCTCAGCAGCTCGCTGGATTGGTCCACTTTGCTCAGAAATTGGGATGGCCAGATCTTGACAACCTTAAAGCAAAAGTAACTGCAAACACAATCTCAATATCGGACAGCGTTGCAAGCACTCCCGCTGGAACACCAATGACAATGGCCACAGGAAGATCATCATCATATTTCGCATACCGGAGACCTAAGATCAAGCGTGGCCTTTCTTCACACAAAAATGTCCAAGCAATCATCCATCCAGCTGGATGGCTTTCGAATTCATACATCAGTGGTTTAATTTTACCCGGCGAAGGTTTGAGCCACTTTTTAATATCAACTTTATTGGAGAACGATGATGCGGCTGTGGCTAGACTTGGCGAAGAGGCGAATTTGTACGGTGGTTTTATTTACGGCGACAAAAGCTTTTGGAGTACGGCTTGTATTATCGGGAGGGTTCTGGCTGCTGGGAAGGGGGCGTCGGAGTGCATGGGATGGATTTCTTCGAATATACTGCCGAGAGGCCCTGGTGAGGAGTGGGTTAACATCGACGTTGAGCCTGCTCCGCGAGACGGTGAGCTCATTTCAATTCTTTATGTTTACGGTATCTGACCTTATCAGACTCAACCAAAAAGTCAAGTAAGCCCCGTCTCTGGCACAAAAGCGTAATCGAGCACGCCGGTAGCGTGCTCGGAGGGGCCGATATGTCCTCTATCCTTCCCGGCGATTTCCTCCTCCCCTCAGATACCTCCTTCCAGCCATCATTCTCCATAACCTTCGAGTCACTCGACCTCTTCTCGACCGCTGAATCCGTGCACTCTACTTCCGTCGATGAACCATCGCCCCTCACTGATGCTAGTGGCGAGGGGAAAATCCAAACCTATTCTGCGATGATGAGGTTCACGTCCGTCGCGGAAGGAGAAGAGAAGAAAGAGGTCAATGTCTCCTTAACACACGATGTGTATTTCGTTACCGCACACCCTTGCATACCCTCCCCGCATACAGAAATTCTGAAAACACCTACGAGTCCCAGTTCTGTCTCTAGCAATTCCCCCAAATTCTTAGGTATATACTCTTCATTCCCCCTCCCCAGATCATCCCCGCGCAACTGAAATGGGAAATGTGAACGGAGTGTAGCTAATGATGGACAGGGCATCCACTCCACAAAGCCTACACCTACACCAAACTCCCCCTCCTCTCCCTTCTCTCCTTCCCCGCCATCACTCCCTTCTCGACCCTCCTCTCCCCAGCCCCCGCATCCCCTTCTTCCCCCTCCCACTCACCAACCTACCTCACAGACTCAACAACCCACACCACATCCTCCACAATCCCTAAAGTCCTCGTAATCGACTGCACGGATTCTTCGATGCTGCACTTCCCTGTGGTGGCAGGGCTTGGCGGGAGTGAGACGAGTAGTATGCGGAGTGGAGGAAGTGGTGAGATTGCGAGAGGAGAAAAGCCTTCGAGGGGGAAACGAGGGTCGGATTTGGAAATGTTAGCAAGGGCTGTTTGTGCGGAGAGGGGGTGGAATGCGTTGATTTCGAGGAGGGGGAGGGGTTGTTTGGGATGTGCGGTGAGAGAGGCGGGCGCGTTGGGGTGGAGGGTTGTTGTTAGGATTGCGTAGGGGGGGGGGGGGGGGGGGGAAAAAAGGGGGGCGTGGGGGAAACGGGAAAAGGATTGGGAGGGAAGGGGAAATGTGTTACGAGTCATCATATGATACCCTTGAATTTGAACTGCTTATCTCCTGTTCGACGCTCCTTGACCCAGACCGCACCGAGTGTATCTCTCTACCGTTCGCTGAGTGCAATGTCGGGCCTGGATTTATTCCGCGTCGGGTTTGCAGTACGGTGAAGGCACCAACACATAACGATACATCAGGCACGGCAAAGGATATCTTTCTTAAGTCTGTTGAGTAAATTAGAATTAATAATCCGTGGGGAGTGAGAATTCTTTATCGGAGAAGATGAGAAGTTTGAGCTTTGGCAGGGGTCCAATGTTCGGAATCATGGTGGAAGAGTTTTCTAAAGATGCACTTTTTCAAAGTTTCACTTCGTGATTTAGTTTCAAAATCCTCTTCTCAGGCCATTATCAGTACTCTTGAGAAGTCCAGAGTGGATAAGGCAATAATCAATGATGTTTTCAAGAACCTGGACAGCGTGTTTGAGGCAGTCTGTCGTAGACGGGCAAGGTTCGTCTAGATGCCTTCAAAACAAATCTCATTCCCTCTCTGTAAAACGTAATTGGAACTTTTTGTAGCTATTACTTAAAAAACAATTCCTCAGCTAATAAATGAATACCTTCCACTACACTACCTATCAATTTTGCAACCCAACTGCGTCCCAAAACCCCCTCGCTTTATTTCCTTACATCATGCGCATCACTTGACAAGATCAGCCATTCTTTACGATCGAATGCTTGAATCCCAAATGCAATATATTCCTCGGGGTCTTTGGGCTAATTTTGTTTGATTTCTTATTTTGGTGTGGTGGTTTTTGGCAGTTTTTTAAGTGTTGTGAGTGGAGTTTGAAGCTCCCGAGATGAGGCAGTGACTGCTGTCAACGCCGATTCTAGAGATAGCGAAAATTCGCGCAGGTAAGAATACTAAATGCGGAAATGTAATTGTATTGGATATGTAGCCAAGGAGCAGCGACGAGAAGAACTTGACACTCTCGTCTATCGAGTGAAGGGCCACTTTGCTTAGAAAGGAGAACTAGCACGACGACGATTCTGCGGCTTCCCTCTTTGCGTTCCTTGGTGTAGCAGACAAAAGCCAGATAAGTATTCTGGGCGGCCATTTGTTGGGTGAGCACAGGGCGCGATATCTTTCTGACAAGAAAGAAGTGCATACCGCAATCCGCATCCACATCCCAAGAAGAACAGCGGTGTTTTAGTGCACATCCCGGGCAATTTGATCGTTGAATTTGGGTTCTACCAAACTGTGTTTGTTTCGCTTCGTTATTTGTTGCTGTACTGAGGCTCACTGAAGAGTTACAAGGTTGCTTTCTTTGGGGTGAAATGAAATGCGTTGAGAATCGGGGCGTGTCAGCCTAGTAAAATGAAGAAGGTGCAAGGATAGAATGGATTCTCTTGAGGTACTTGAAGTTATAGTTATAATTTGGCCTAAATATATTAGTCAGTAACAATTATTGGGTCGAGGACTATAAGAGCGTGGGTGGAAAGTATGCGGTTAGGAGGGCCTTGTCGATATCGAAGCTGGTTCAGTAATTAAAGAGAGATAGTGTCAGAGTTGTCATTATTGAGAATAAAGCGGATGTCTTCCCTTTGTTCTTATCGTGTGTATATACCCTCGCTCTTATCCTAAGCATCTTAAATCATTATACTAATTCTACCCTACCTCTTTCCTCAACTGGTTATACACTCGGCCTTAGCGCACTTCTTCCGCCATAAACGATTAAAATTAAATAAAGATTCACCTTCTCGTAATGAAAGAAACTAGCCATAATTAGAAAAACCACAGTTCTTTTATACTTGAGCCGTTTTCAGTCGAGTACATTCCTCGTCTTTGTTCAATTTTATAGCCGCACTTTTGCCTCATACGAAAAACTTACGGCACACACACTCATACTCGTACTTTCATTAATTTTATTTATGTGGTCTTGGAAAATCTTACTGCACTCCCGTTGAAACGACGCTTAGCTTACCTACATATCCCTGAACCTTCTCATGAATACAACAATGTCTGCTAATAAATTGTGCAAAAAACTTCATTAACAGATAACTATCTCTTCTAATCTCGAACAAGTCTCCTCCTTGTGAAGCCTGAAAGGAGATAAATTGTTATCCGAAGCGATGTCGCAAGGCGCATCAACTATCTCGTGAGCTATTTTCATTCCTTGACCATTCATCAACCCGTGGATATAGCACTCTCCTACGAATTCGTACTCAATTTCCTCTTTCGGATACCTTCTTAACAGGCTTGGAAACTCTGTACCTGGCAATAGATAAAGTTGGTCACCAACATTCGCTGACTGCGGAGCGACTCCAAAAAACCCGCGTGAAGTGAGTATCACCTTCCTCCGTCTTCGACTCATCTCGCTCATGATAACCAAATCGACATCCTCTTTTTCGCCTTTCAGATACATCTTATAATCTTTAACAGAAGGTACAGCACCTTTCGGCACATAATCTGGCATGTCCGGATCCCAAGGAAATGCATCAAGGCTCAGCATTTTGATACGTGCCAGTGGCATTGGCTCTCGAGTTGGCCAGTAAATCGTTTCAGTCAAAAATTGGCGGAACTCTCTCCAGTCAACCCATCCTCCCGAAGGTTGGATGCTTTCTATAATATCCACGTGTATTCCATGAAGTTTAAGCTTGCTGGAAAATTCATCTTCGTCCTCAATCAGAGACACTGCGGACTGGCCCGTAGAAAAGAAGACACGTGATATTGGACCTGCCTCGAGGTTCGAATCCATGCTGAATTTAACGGTCTCATCAAGTGGCACACGCCAGTCCGGAACCCAGCTTGGCAACATCTTCGGGGCACTGACAAAAGCCGTTGGAATTGCGGTCAATTCGCTAAGGATGTCCAGATTATGGGTCTCCTCAATGATCTTTTTGGCAATGAAAATATATAACCGCTGCCAGCTTCGATTGTAGTCTGGGGTGAAGGCTGAAAACTTCCCGCCAGCTGCGACTCCGAGAAGAGAATATACGACATCGCGAGGATCTGAAGTCTTGGCTCCTCTTCTTGCTCTCAGTGCCCAAAATAAGTCTTGCCAGAAATGGGACCCGAATTCAGATCTTTTCTTGAGGGGAAGAAACATCACATAGGCACGATCGAGAGCCAACGAATTCTCTGGCTTGCCAATATAAGACATGCCATATTCCATTCTACACTCGACCATTGAGACAATAGTACTTCCAGCAATTTCGAATGACCCGATTTTGACCACTGTTTCACTTGCCAGAACACTCTCCTGATAAACCCATGCGCGTTCGAACCAAGCTCTTTGGAGCAAGTAGCCCATGGCTTGCATCTCCTTCCGAGAAACAGGCCGCAATCCCGCCACCTCACACACTGGCTTCGTGAGCAAGGCGTGTTGGATTGTTGCTTGGTCTTGTTTCTCTAGAATCGAACCAGCTTTCGCCAAAAGCCTTATGGTTCCACACACGGACCTCGTATTCTCATCTTCCTCTCCAAGCCAGACAACAACCCGTGTCGCCGTCGCAAAAATCTGCCCCATGCGTGCAACCTGGCAGTTCTTCTCCTCGATATTCTGCTGGTCGATGCAAACGGAGTCCATCCATAGCCTCCGCTGCTTGTCTCGATATCTGAGCCTTCGGAGTGCCCGTCCAAGATTCCTCGGCACATTGATCGTAACCTCATCACACTTCACTTCAAAATCCCACTTGTCTTCGATGGCGTCGCCGATTCCTTGGGACCAGCAATATGAGATGGCTTCGTAGTCGAGCTTTGACTCGTCGAGGCTGCGGACCTCGAGGGTCATATGGAGGATGTCGTCCAGTGAGCCTGGAGACAGAATGGCGATCCGGAATGAGAGACCGTCGAGCGGCAGCGGATCTGCGTACTTCTTTTGAACCATGGTTGTCTCTTGAAGTTCCATTCTTAGTCGAGGTCGAGGTTGCGCTACTGTAGTACTTGGTCTAGCTGGATGTCGACAATACCGCTGTGTGAGGATAACTGGAGTATGTGGGTGTGTGTGTGAGAGGGAGGGTAAGAGAGAGGGAGAGATGAAAGAGAGTAAAGGGAAAGGTTGGAGGCGGTGACCGGGAGGAGGTTTCGGGTAGTTGCAGGAGGTCAAATTAGCAAGTCTCACTGCTCCAGGAGAACTTCTTTGCGAGCCCACTTTTCTTCTCTCCTCCTCCTATTCTCCTTTCTCACTACCTTGTATATACCTCTCTCTTCGTATGGACGAGCGTACATATAATACGCAGCATATTTGCGAGAGTAAGAGGAGTTGAGGCTTAAGCGAGAGGAGACGAGGGTTAAGCGAGGGTAGAAAAGGGGGCGTGGGGGGTCCGTGCTGCTAGCTGGTAGATTGACACCTAGACCCCGTCTGTGCTCTCACTTGAATAGTCTGACCGAGTGGAGGAGGAACTCAGAAGACAAGCAATCTATAATTTTAGTCACTAATCTTCACTGCAAACATTGCGGAACTAGCTTGAACAATGCGTCAAAATTTAGCAACACTTATTGCATGGGTTTATTTGGCTTATGATATAAGAATTGGGACAGAGAGTGGGGTATCACTAGCAATCCCAAAAGTGCAGAATGTCCCATCCACAAATGGGTACATTGTGGAACACTGGAAACAGCTTTCCCGAAATTTGATCAAATATCAGAATATTTGCAAAGACTTGACTGCCCCAAGGAATTTCCTGCAGTCCTGAAAACATGGTACCCAGAAAATGGACCAAGAATCAACACCCGAGAGCGAAGCGAAGCTATCGACTTCGCCATTCAAACTGAACATGCAGCTGACGGAAGATTGGGAAGAAAGAGATCATTGAGGAAGAGAATCGTGATATTGGTCTGGAACCCAAGGGCTCGGAATCTAAGGAGGGGGTTGTTGAGACGGTGGATTGAGGGGCGTTGATCTCTTTTCCTTTTCCGGTGAGGCGAGATGCATGAATTCTCGAAGTTCATCTTGCAGACTTGCAAACCTGGGTGATGGAGAGGTTGTATTGGTGATCTGTGTGTGATGAAGTAGGAAGAAATTAGGGGACGTCGAAGAGGTTCACAGATCCCATGGGGGTAGTCACACTTTCAGAGAACGTGGTTGATGTAGAAGTATGGGAAGAGTAGACGATTGGATGACAAAGCTCTCGCGGGTGGGTGGTGGCTCAAGTTCTGTGAGCAGCCTCGGCACGAAAACCTCAAGTCTTAGGGGAAGGCCATATCTCTGGAGCTCTCCGCTGCCCCCTCCATTTCCTCATATTGTTGTTGCAGAGTGAGATGCCAGGACGAGAAAGAGGCGGTTTAAATGTAAACTTCATGGCGATCGATTTCGTCTGGAGCGTTGTAAGCAACTGACTTTTCGGATGAGACAAATGAGGAGTGGGGATCAGATGAAAGTCAACGATCTTGCCTCCCATCTCCGGGGTCTTGGCTGTTTCTACCAGCTCCGCCCACAAATGGTCATCATCGGCAAGAGCGAGCTCGGTAAGATGAATTACCAAAACTACATTGACTCCCCAGGACGTGGATTGAGAAGTCGAACATTCCCCAAGGTTGCCCTCCCAAATTCTACAGACAGTTGAACGAGGATTGAAAGAGGTGTAAGAGTCTCAGTAGCAGTTGCAGCTTCCTAGGGCCGCTCGGCCAGGTCCATTTTCCCGCCATGGAGACCTTCATTCTTTCGACCCATCATGGTTAGGGCTCAAGACGAGGATGGCAAGGGATCGGACAAGAAGTTTCCGGGTTGAAAGGAGGCAGGACTGGGATACATGGGATGAAAAGGGAAGGATGGGGATCAACCTGTTGCCTATTGGCGGAGGGGATCTTGATTCGAAGTTGAGCTTGGGTATCCGAGACGCGTGGAATAAAGGGTGAGAGGTTTTGAGGATGATGAGGATGATGAGGATGTTGAGGATGATGAGGATGATGAGGATGGTGAGGATGATGAGGATGATGAGGATGTTGAGGATGATGAGGATGATGAGGATGGTGAGGATGATGAGGATGATGAGGATGATGAGGATGATGAGGATGATGAGGATGGTGAGGATGATGAGGATGATGAGGAAGGTTCTGCCAAGGCCTTCCGTTGGAGGTGTTGCCGTTTCGGGTGAGGCTTTCGAGAGGAGGAATGCCTCTCATCCCGTCGATAGTGGTATGGAAGTCAGACGAGACCCAGGCTTTGCTTCTTGCATTTCAGGATATTGCCTCTTGAGGAGAGAATTCGTCTGACAAAACGTCCAACGACTCAAGTTTCATCTGCGTGGCCCTTAATCTCCACCGGCCATCCATCTCCTCCATATATATGCCAAATCTCAAGCAGCTTGAGATCACCTCGGGTCCTCGTCGCCAACGGCAAATACCAACCCAATATTATCTGGAGTAAGCACCTTCCAACGCCGAAAACGTCGGCCCTGCCCATTTTGCCACCGAGCCCGAGAAGGAATGATGTGGCTGATACTATCGAATAACCAAAGACTAGGTGATGGGATAAGAAAGAAGGAGTTAAGAGGAAAGCAACGTTTGCGGGACTCCATCCCTCGATTTCGTCCGGGAGTGCTCGTTATCAGATCAGACGAAATCGGAAAGGTGTGGGACGGAATTCTGCGCTCCCAAGTCCATATCTCAAGGATCGGCGTTGTGGGTATAGGTGATCTGGGAATGGATCGATTTAGAGTTTCCATGGGGTGGAGCCGCCCGCCCCAGAGAACACTAGAAGCGCGTCCGGAGAAGCCTCAACATTGTTCCCAGGAAGTGCTGTAGAATCGTTTCCCGGGTCGGTGACTGGGTCGAGTGGAAGACGTTGCTTAGGTCAGATGTCGCAGGTAATGCGAATACACAGCGTGTCTGACGGGAATATAAACATGCAAATTGATATTTTTCGACCAAATGAATTCGTCTCGATTCCTCATCGCAATTTAATCGACGGGATAAAATTCTCTCACCCCTTAGATAAGAACTGCATGTTTCTTGAGAGAAAGAGATGGAATTGAGATTTTCGTGAGAGCAGAGAAAAGAGAGATGACAGGGGAAATTGGTAGATCTGGAAAAATGTGTTGTTTCGTGTGGAATTTTGCAGCGTAAGGAAGATGAGAAGGAAGCTATAAAGAGATAAATTTGACCCATATAATTATAATAATACATACTTGAGAAGGGAATATACAACTGATATCTCCGCGCAACTGCCCAGGAAGCGCGGCCAGGTGAAAGGAGTGTCTCCCTTGGGACTGCGGAATCGGGGATAACTCTTCGAGGTGAGGAGTTCTGGGACAGGTTTGCCCGAGGCAAAGAAGTTATCTTTGGGCATCATTTCTGATTTCTGACTGCCACCGCCTTTGGGATTACTTCGAGGCCCAAAACATGACGGCGGGATCCTGCCACGGAGTATCCCCCTTTCAATCTAGTCTCGATTCCTCGGAAATCCGCAGCCAACTGCCAGAATCGTGAATTCTGCAGATGGATTCTCAGATCGGGGGTCTTGTACCACTGGTGCGGGTATCGTCGCCAAGCACTTGTTTCTGCCTCCGTTAGGTCCCGGCCACCTCTTCCAGTGTTCGCGGTACCTCTCCCTCCCCAGGTTTCCGTATAAAGTTTAACCCCACACTCCCCACCTCTTCATCCCCTCTGCCCCTGACTTCCTCCTCTTCTGCCTTCAAAGGCTGAACAACACCCTTCTTCCACGCATCAAAAGTCTCTCTCCTCTCCCTTTTCCTTCCCCTCTCCTCCACAGTTTCATCTACCCTTATATCCTCGTCCCTCCAATCTGTACCAAATCCCCGAGCTTTCTTCCACACCTCAAATGTTTCCCTGTTCCTCTTCCCTTGTTCCTCGCTCTGCACGTCCGCTTTGCCGTCTCCATTATCAAAATCCAGTCCCACGACCCCAAACCTCCGTCCATCCTGGAATTCAAGTCTGCTCCTTCTATCCCCTTTCTTATGCTTTCTTCCAGTATTATGTACGAGTTCGGGGAGGTGGAGGGTGTGGAGTCCGTCGTGAGGATTTGGCGGGATGGGGGATAGAAGGTTTGCGCGCTGGCGACGCTGGTATAGGAAGGATTCGAGGCGGAGGAGAAGGAAGATTAGGAGAGTGAAGGCTAGGAGGGCGAATGCGACGCCGATATAGAGCGGCGTTGTTGGGATTGTGTATTTGGGAGGTGGGGTGTATGTTGGTGCTGGAGTTGGAGAAGAGGAGGTGGTTTGTATTAGAGAGGAGAGGGTCGCTGGTATGGGGGTAGTCGAGATTAAGGAAGAGATTGTGGACGCTATTGTGGTAAAGGTAGCCGTTGGTTTAGAGGAAATTGAGATTGAGGTTGTGTTCGTTTGCGCGGTGATGGGCAGAGCCATGTATGTGAGCTGTGATATAAACAGTTTGGATGAGGAGTGGAGAAGTGCCATGGTTGGTGAGCTGTATGTAAGTTTGGAGATATATCTGAGAGAATGACATGACGGATAGAGAGCAACGAAGTTCACCTCTGACTTGAGTGGAAAAAAGGATAGCATGGTTATGAACGACGCATCCGGTGTTTGTGGTGGAGGACAAAGAAAGGAGAGGGTTAAGCGAAGGAAAGGGGGGTGTTGACAAAGGGACGTGCTTTGGTGAGAGCTTGTCATCGACCACACCCACAAAGGAATAAGCCGTTACAATGACGTCCTTGAATGCCATCGCCTCGAGTAGCATCGTTCCCTAAGTGGGACGAAGACATTGAGGTCACGTGGAGAAGTACCGGTTCCTGCATTCGAGAAAAGGGCTTGGACTCCGCACCAACGACAGAATTGATAAAATAAGAAGAACGCGGAGACATCGGAGCGCAGAAATGGGAAATGCAAAGTATTTAAAGAGATTTTCATCACCCCCAAGCCACAGATAAGCAAGATCTCGGCCATGGCCTTCACCGTAAGGTGTCACCGCCGCCACGCGCATGATAAAGCTATGCCTGTATCGTTCGTATCGTGCCGCACCGAGTTCCATCCAGAAGGTGCGCTGGAACTTATCTGAGTTATCTTGACTCGTTTCAAGTACCGGCATCATCGGCGACAGCCGTCGGTACGCAATGGCGACCTACGGTATCTCACAATGCCAATCTGAGAGATAGCGATAAGTAGGAATGGCGGAGATCTGAGGTTCTGAGGGGGTCACACAGCCTGGCAGCCAGGCCGTTGAGATAGCGGGCGATCATGGACAGGGCAGACGACTGGCTGCTTATTTACCGGATAGCATCGACTTGCCTCTTCCTGGCGGATCTGTATCTGAGATCCAGGGTCCTCTGGAGAAGGCGTGGTGTCGCCTTCCTGCGTCATGTGGCACAGTGATCTTTATCACTGCTGTGACTGCTGTGAAGCGTGGCAGGGAGAAGTCGAATGAGCGTCGACATCGCAATCAATTCGGTGCGGAGGGAGGAATTGGCGAGAGTCGTCCTCGAATGGAACCGCCTTGTCGGGTCCCTGATTAGATTCCGTGAGGATGGTTGGGATGATACCATCGCTGCTCACCAGGTCAAACAAACTAACCCTGATAAGCCGCAATCTCAGGGTGTATATAAGAGTCGCGTTGCCCGCTTACTTTGCTTTGCTTTGCTTTGACTTTCACTTGCACTGCACTTGCAACTTGCGGACGAGGGATTCTCGAACTCGGCTCTGGAAGCGTACGGCCGTCACATGACCCTCCCCTCTGGACGACACACTTCGGCCGTGGTCGCAGCTTTCCTTTCTGCTTCCACGTTTTACATAACACCTTTCGACAACTGCTTCATGGACCCCCAACTCCCATACACAACTGCCGTTCTGGTCACCGCTTTTCTCACGAAACCTCCTTCAGAACAGGCTCCTTTGGTCCTAACAAGCGCCTGGAAACCCGCCCGGCCCGGCCAATCACGAAGGAAAGGAATCCACCTCCGAAGAAAGGCATTGCTGGACATTCATCCAAAACCAGGTTGCGCGGGATGTGCAACCTCACGAACTCAATTTACGCAAGGCTCGACACTGCAAATTGCTTTGCCAGTAAACCCCCACGCGGGTGGAAATGCCTCCCATTGGCTGTCTCACTGTGGTGTCACGTCTTTTCGTCATGCCCATGTCCCTCCGCCAGTAAATGATGAATCTCACCCGCAGCTGCAGGCCTCATCTGCACCCATCTGCATGCGCACATGGACCTCCCAGGATGCCCTTCGAAGATGCCCACGCCCCCCTGGACAGCATGAACTGGACCCCCGGAGCAGGGCCAACTCTTTTTACTCTTTCCACATTTGCAACCCTCACCCCCACGCCTCCTCGCCAGCATCGTGCGCACTGTGCAGAGGAGCATATTTGAAGCATGGGGGCAAACTGGTTTCGAGATTATTTTTCCAGACTGGCGCCTCAAAATGTCCACATCGCCGAGCGACAAAGCAGCGAGGCCTCCTGCCGTGCTCTAGTGCTCCGTCGATTTTAATGTATCGAACAAACACCCGTAGTAGTTGTTCCACGACGAGTCCATCGACTCCATCTGCTGTGGGCGCAAGAGAAGCTTCCGCTGTGGATCACCGCTACCAAGGAACGGTCCTAGCTTTCATCAAGCCATGCAGGACGACGCCGCATGCTCTTGATATCACATGCAACACACGCAACGCGGCTTCTGAGTGGCTGCTCCCAACGACAACCAAGAACGGCGATTAAAATATTGATCTGTGTGGCACAGCTAGGCTGAGGTTAGAAGAAGCAAGTCGAGCCAGCAAGGCCAGAATCTCGGTTTCAAAAACCAATAGCAAATTTCCATGGAGATGAACGGAGATTGTGATTCTCATCAACTCCAGATCCCCAGGTTCAAGGCTGCAACAATTTACGTGCGAAACCTTGCCCCATCCGTCGGTTACGTCCCCAAATCTTCGAGTATGGAGACAAGGCTGTGGAATTGCGTCCACATGCCATGTGCACACTCATGACTCGTAACACGGATTGTCGAAAGATCTCGCCGATCTAGCTGTCTCTGGCCTCAACTGCGGAACCTTCTGACGACTAAAACAATTTGCTAACCAATCATAATACGATTTGACACTCGGAGTGAGGATTTTGATCGCAAGCCGCTCCTCTCAAGGCGCAGTCCCAGACAGCCACGAATTGCCTCCATTTTCCCGTGAAATTGTGGGATCTAGGGGTCCTCCGGCGAAGGGAGCGCCCAGACAGCTCTGGAAACTGCCCCACCCCACCACGTTGCTGAATTCCAATTCCACTTCCACAACGTGTCTTTTGACGTCCAACAGTCAAGCTGTTTATGGGTCGGATTACGAGCCTCCTCGTGGATCGACGTTGTGCATGTAAAGCAAGCCGCGTCTGTCGCAAACGCATATGTTTGCTGGAGAAAAGTAATCAGTAAGTTGACTCGGCGAGTCGGTGAGTTGTCTCAACTCTCCGCAGAGACTTTGGGAATCCCGTGGTGGGGATGTTCCTTCGGAATTATTCGGGATTACTGCTTCTCTCTCTCTCTCTCTTTCTCTCTCTCTTCAACGCCGGACGACAACCTTCACACAGCTAGATTGATAGTCAAACAAAGCTCCCGCACTAGTTGCCAGATTACCATTATTGGGTCCCATAAAACCAACACCTCTTGACGCCGGCCGTCTCGCGCAGCCGTCTCGACGAGGGGCATCTAGAGTAACATCGGCAGAGTGGCGGGAGATCGGTGTAGGTGTACGTAGTACGACGCCTTAGGGCTCGGAGGAGGCTGTTGCGACAGTACTAAGGTACAGTTGTCCGCCAGCAGGGCCGCGGCAGGAACATTTGTGATCCTTTTGGACAGCAAGCAGCGTGGAGGTCGTGGCTTCACCATCTTCAGGCTGTGTTCCGAAATAGAAGTGAGGGGTCTGTCAAAGTACGCGAACAGGCCAGGGTCGCATACCCACAGTAGCCTGCTAAGTCACAGCTAGGACCCCACGCAGCACGGTTGACGTCCGATTTAGCGATCACAGATTGAGTTGATCCGGCGCATTCTGACGTCAATGTCCCTCGTCTCTCTTTTGTGCTTTCGGTCCAGTATGCGGAACCCGCGCTTCGAAGAGGTGCACTCGAAGACAACCGAACCAGATTGCTGGGAAAAAAGCAACTCTGAGGGCCGCGGGGGGTCGGCGTGCCAGAGCTACAGCATTACAATACTGTAACCGAGTCCGCGATGCAGCTAACAAACCCCGATTTCGTTCTTGTCTTTCGACTAAAGTCTGACTGAATCCCCTCCACTCCTGTGCGGCTTCTAAGGTCTTCTCCAGCCCATCTTCAAATTCTAGCCCTGGATTTCATCCACAAGAGGAACGGAAGTTCCCTTCCTAGATCCTGCTTGCTCGCATGTGTGCTCCTGGTGAGTCGCGACAGCTTCACCGTTGAGCTACTGCACATGTGCTTGCAGAGCCACGGCAACATTTTTGCGCCTCATGGCGCCCCTGCAAACGCCGAGGGATATCCACATCTAGTAACCCACAAGTGCGCTTCACCCAGCTTTACTGATCACTCCATCCCCGCCAGAGGAGACTGGACAACCTATTATTCGCGGTGGCAAAAAGGATATCAAACACTTTTTTTCCTCGTTACAGATGACATGGAGTCTCGCCCGATCGCGGCCTCGACTTTTTTTTTCCGCCTCTATTACACTTTTTCATCAAATTTTGACCAGAGCTGCTTCCAAAGCTGCAGACACTTGGAAGCAAGCCAAATACTGGTGGGAATTTTACTCCGTTCTGACGATCTAGTGATGTGAAGCGTTTTCACGAAAATGTCAAAAAATGGCATTGTCCAATTATCTTCATCTGCCGCTGGCCCCGACCCCCGGCCATCGAGCATCGAGCATCGAGCATCAGCCCCTGCACCGAGGAGCTTGCCCTCATCATCCCGTGTCCATAGGACTATGCTGGTCGGTATACTACGCTGAAATTAATTTTTTTTTGGAGCATCAATCGCAGAAACCTTCTGAAGCCTCCTTCCATACTCTGGGAGAAGGCTTGGAAATGAGGCAGACCAACGGGTGACGAGTCAGTCCGGGCTACTTGTAAGACGAAGGCGGGAATTTTAGGTTTTCACGATGAGGGGTAGTTTTCAGGAGGAAGCCCGACTTGACAAGCAACAAAGTTCTCAGCCGTGTCGTGTCAGTGAAGCCTTGTTGACAGCTTCGAAGACATCATAGCTCATGCTGCTTTCTGGCTGTGTTTGGGTCGAGGAAGGTCGAACTCTTTGAGCAGGGCATGCAAGCAAACAAGCAGCCCACCTTCTGTTGCACCCCCACTTGATCCCACGATGTAGGACAGGGGGGGCACTCACCCACCCTTAGCACCGACGGCGACTCTCCAGCATCCGGGTCCGGCACAAAGCAGCGATGCCCATGGCCCCTCCACGGCCGCTCACCACTGAAGGGGAGTCAAGGGTCCTGAGGGGCCCGCATCCCCTTGCCAGAACCAGCAACCTTAGTTTTCGCCATCAAATTGTGGACTTTAACGAAGAAAAGGGGGGAGAGGAAGAGGACCCAGTCCTCGTTTGGCCTGTCAGGCAAAAGTCAGAATTGAAGAGAATGCGAAGGAAGCGCCCTCATGTACAGTCGCTGCAGACCGTGGATGCAGAGCGGCCATGTAAGTGCAGGCGGCTGGTAGATGTACACGAATAGGGAGGGTGTTGGAAACTCGAGTCATTACAGTAGAGAAGGCCAGCGTCGCCTTCCATCGGATGGACGCGGTGCGGTCGGCGGTACCATGTCCCTTCCTGGCGGGTGATTCTTCCCACAGTCGACGGGTTTCTCACACCCGGAACAGAGTTGGGGGGAACGCTGCTATTACGGGAGTTGAAGATGGGGGTCACTTTTGAATATCAAATGTCTGACTCTGGAGCCTCCAAGTTCTCCGCTCTCACTGGGAGTTCTCCGTGCTCGCTCGCTCGCTCGCTCGCTTTCAAGGCCAAGACCAAAGCCAAACCAAAGTCACTCCATGTTCGCTCTGATCCATCTCGTGCTCTTGCTCTTCAACAGCTCACTACCATCGTAAACTCGCATTCTCCCCTCGACCATCCCAGCGCATCGATCGAGAGTCTGGCTCGCGGCTAGGGAGGCCTGCACGCCAAGGCTCTGGCACGCATCGCCGCCCCAGCGAGCACTCGCAGTTGCAGTCGCAGTCGCAGGCGCATCCACCTCACTCTCTGTCTTGCGCTCTCCTCGCCCAAAGCACCCGAACGCTAAAGCGACAGGCATACGGGACCAGCATGGTTGCTGCTCGGTACGACCGCCACTGGAGTGAGGGCTGTGAGTGGTGAATATGGTGAGTGCTCATCGGAGTCGGCGCAGCGCGGCCAGTCGAAGCCCAGCGTCTCCACCGCATTACCGAAAGCAACGCCTGGACGGAGGACGTGCAGCACTTGCAGCCCACAAGCCAGCCCACCAACGTACCCAGTCCCAGTCCCAGTCCCAGTCCCAGCCCCAGCCCCAGTACCGGCCCTCACTCGAACCTACTCACCCCTCGCGACCCAGAGGCGACATTCGCATGCCAGTTCTGGCAAAACCCGTGCTAGTCGAGTGAACACTGAACGCTGAACACTGAATAGTGAACGAGTCTCCGCCTTCACCGTCACCATCACCATCACCTCACTCGACCCTCGAGCACACTCGCGCAGCCGTCTCGCCGTCGGCCGCTACGGAGGACATCGAGAGCGTCATATTGCGACACATCCGCGGTACAACAGCCTCGACTCGCTACGGCGCCTCGCACCCCTCCGAAATCAATTATTTACTTTCCCCATATTCAAAGAAAGTCTGGAGTCGACCGCACCAGGGCACGGGAAGCAGGCAAAAAGCAAAAAAAACTTCACCGCACGGCAACGTACGAGCGAGTGACTGCGGAACCAACCTGGCTCCCATCGGCTTCCGCCCATCAGTGCATTGGAGGGAGGCCCGTTCGGAGCAGGTGTGAGTGAGTGAGTGTCGCTCCCAGCAATGTCTGGCGCGGCACCGCAATATGAGGAACGTGGGGGACTCTTGCATCGAGCCCACGCATCCTCCGACACCATGAATTCCACTGCCCTGAGTAATGGAGAGGCTCGGTCCAATCCTACAACCTCATCATCGACTTCAATAACAGAGCACGACTTCCGTTTTCCTCGCAGACCTGCCGAGCAAAAGCCGGGCGAGCTTTTCTCTGCGATCTCGCACGCCGGACCGCAGGACTGGGGTTCCACGAGCAAGAGCAAGAATAAGAGCAGCAGCAGCAGCAGCAGCACCGCAAACGCAAACGCACACGCAAAGGCGAGGACAGAGGCCGCGGGCGCGAGCGACTTGGACAAGCTGGATTTCTCGGCGGCGAACAGTGCGCGCAAGGAATTGCTGCGCGAGAGCTTCTTTCCGACATGGAAAGACGACGCTACCAGCGAGGAGCTCGACAGCCCAGATGAGATGCAAAAGAAGGACCCGCTGGCGACGCAGATATGGAGGTTATACAGCAAGACCAAGAAGCAATTGCCCAACCAGGAGCGCATGGAGAACTTGACCTGGCGCATGATGGCCATGAGTTTGCGCAAGCGCAAGCAGGAGGAGGCGGCCAGGTGCGTTTTGGAGCTGTCATTGTGGAAATGAACCCGTGTCTGACTTATTCTCCCAGGTTATCGAGGCAGAATTCTGCAAACAATCATGCTGCGAGCAGTGCACCGAGTGGGATTGCACAGCTGAGGAAATCGTCGGACCAGACGCCGACAAATGCGCAGCAGCCAGAACATCCAGATGCGATGAACATCGACGACCTCATCTTCGCGGACATTATCTCTACGCCTGCTGGGATTGGCGTGTCGCCTTCGCCGGAGCTCAATAAGAAGGAACTTGAGAAGTCCTCCAATGCCGTGGCCTCGGCCATTCCAATCAAGTTGCGGAAGGAATCCTCCTCCCAATTCGCGGTCCCGCAGTCCGTGCCAGTCCCGCATCACAACCCGCGAAACAATGAGGAGTTCAACTATGTGCAAAGACATGTTCGAAAAACGTCGATTGACGAGCGACGCGTGAGTTACGATTTCTTTGGGAGCTATCAAACTTGCTTTTTAAAAGCGCCACCTGCGATAGCTACTGACAATTAAAAAGCCCCGGAAGCGACCAGCGGACTTCTCCCCCCAAGTACCAGCCGTGAACAGCGTCATGATACCCAACGACCCCGACCATGATGCGGACCTCAATGAGTATTCGCTCGATCAGCCGCATCCTGCGGAGATGATGCACCACAGTCATCCGGGCATGCCTTTCCAGCTCGACACGTTCAACATGGAACACGACCCGATCATTACTTCCGCTGGCCCGTATCAGCAGAACTTCCCCTTCTCGCCCTCACACTCCCCCCTCGTGCAGCACGGGCCCTTTTCCGCCATGTACAATAATGCCTCGATGCCCTCTTCCTCGCTGAACTCTAATGATTATTACTCGCCCCCCGGAAGTGCTTATCCATCCGCTGTCTCGACACCGCAGCCAATTCCGGAAAACCAGGAAGTGTATTTCCAGCAGCGCGGCATCGATATGCGACATCAAAGGCCTCATACATTTAACCATGGGCCCTCGAGCTTATCGAATTCGATGGCTCCGCAGTACATGTATAATGCTAACGGGGGCTCGATGTTCACCGCTGTGACGGCGGGCGGACAGTCGAATTCATTCACAGCCCCTGGATCTTTCGGAATGACACAGCATATAGATCCCTCGCAAGTATTTCAATCAGACCATCCAGCGCGGTCGCCTGGCGTCAACATGGGCCATGAGAACATGTTTAGCTTTGGAGCTGATTCGGATGGGGATGAAGAGGAGGGGGGTGCGTTCGCGGACAGGACGCTCATGATGCAGCACGAGTTTGCGCAGTCGCCAATGGAAGATCCGAGCATGGAGATGGGACCAGGTGGTCTGCAGTGGGATGCCAGTTTACCGGGACAGTTCAACACGCAAGCTGCGCGTTATCCTGGTGGTCCGCCCAGGAAACAGGTTACGATTGGAGGCACTGCCGATATGGGGTCTGTCGAGTGGGATGGATCGGGAGGCTCGCTAGGTAGAACGCACGCCTCGACGCAATCGGTTTCCGATAACCGTTCAAGGAATGGAAATGATAGGAGGCAGAAGATCCCGAGGACGGCATCGACGCCAAACACGGCTTTGATGGGTCAACGAACCGGCATGTTCGAGCAGATGTCGAACCCAAACTCGCCGCCTGATCAAATGTCTGGATTTTCATCAGTGGCTCCGAGTCGGCCGTCTTCCCCTGGAGGCTCCAAACATGGCTCTTCGACGAATCTTGCTGGTGCGGCGGGTGCTCAGGGCGAGAATGGCGTTCCAACGACTTGCACGAACTGCTTTACGCAGACGACACCCCTCTGGCGACGAAACCCCGAAGGTCACCCGCTTTGCAACGCCTGTGGTCTTTTCCTCAAGCTCCACGGCGTCGTTCGACCTCTTTCCCTGAAAACAGACGTTATTAAGAAACGCAACCGGGGATCGGGTGCTTCACTCCCAGTTGGAGCCTCAGGCGGAGCTGCAACCCGGGCATCGAAGAAGATGGGCTCCCAACCACAAACTACCAGCGGTCCAAGCACGAGAAAGAACTCCATCGTTGCACCAGCCTCTAGCACAGCGCCCGCTACCCAAGTCACAACTCCAACCTCCAATCGCGCTCGCTCCGTCAATGAAAGCCAGTCCCCGCCCTCTGTTACAGGTAGCGGAGGAGCAGGAGGGAGCACAGCCAGCACGCCGACTTCTTACCACGGCTCCGCTGGCTCGTCCGTTGGAACGACGGGGATCTCAGGCGGCAAAGGCGTCGTACCAATCGCCGCCGCTCCCCCCAAAGCAACACCCGGTCCCGGCGCCGCAGCAACAGCCACGCGCTCCCAAGCCGTAGCACCCAAACGGCAACGACGGCACAGCAAGTCCGTCTCAGCCATCGATCAAGCCATGGACGTCGATTCACCCGAGAACTCTACCGGCAGCAACGAAGCGGCCAAGGCGTTGATGGGCAGTGCCGGCAGTCTGGGGAGTATGAATATGGGCGGGGGCATGAATATAGGGAACGGAGGCGTGGGCCTCGCAAACGGGTTCGGCATGGCGACGCGCCCGATGGGACCCGGCGGCATGGCGATGGGCGGCATGATGGGCATGCAGGGACAGCAGATGATGAATCCTGGTGTGGGCGCGGGCACCGGACCGCAGGAGTGGGAATGGCTGACCATGAGTCTGTGAGGACGACGACTCTCGAGCTCAGGCGAGAGGGGGCCTCCCTTTTAATCTGGGGTTTTCTATCTCCAAACTCGGGCTTTGCAGAAGAGCTTTCTTGCTTTCTTTCTGATGGGGGAATCCGAGCGGGGACACGAGGGATATGCATACAAACCGGCGTTTCTTTCCATCATCCTCTTTGTTTTAATCTTGGCGGACGGACGGATACACGGGCGCTGTTATCTTCCGGACCGCAATTACCTTTCTTCTTCTTCGAACTATTTTTTTTGTTGTTGTTTTTTTTGCAAATGTTCGGGGAGGAGATCTGGGCCTTTGGGATTGATACCATCGTTTGCTTTTTTGCTCTTACTCCCTGTTTTCTTCGCTTTTTTTTGTTTCCCGGCGAGCCGCTTCCGCATTGGAGATCGGGCTCGCTTTTTATCTGGGGATGGGGCGGGGGGTTACGAAATGTTTTTTGTTTTGATTGATTGATTGGGTTTTCACTGTTTTTTTTTTTGCAGGATAGACTGGGGTGGCTGGTATGGGTTGGGTTACTTATGATCGAATCGGATTGATCGAGAGATCGATCGATCAGGCTGCGAACGAATGGGTTATGATGCGAATGAGTGAGGGGTGGATGATACCTGATACCCTGATACCTGGATTTGAAGTGAAGTGAAGTGCTCTTGCGCGTGCTTGGACGGAGATGAGGTGGCGGGCATCTGAGAGTTGAGATATAGAGAGAGCAGAGCAGAGCAGAGCAGATATAATACGTCGTTTAATGATCCGAAACTCTAGCCCCCCTTTTAATGTGCTGTGATGTTTTCCTAGCTCGTTTTCGTTTCAGATTGTTGGGGTTCAAATATGCAGTTGTCACTTAGCTTCATATTGCTAGCTCTAGGGTAAAAGGGGGAGATGGATATCTCGCTTCGTTCCAGCAACCTTTCTTTCCTTTTCTTGAAAGGTAATGGTTGGGTTAACTACACCCTCTCCTTTCTTTCTTTCTTTCCCTTCCCTTCTTTCTCAAAAACCTAGATCAATTTCCCACGACATCGTTTTCGCATCTTAGTAACTGAAAGTGATGTCAGACTCTCAACTATGCGGAGTAGATTCGTTGAAAATAGATGTACCGCGAATCTTGCCTTCGAGCTTGCGAGTGGGTGGGTGTGTCGCTTGCGGAGAAAGAGAATGAGGGATTGTGAGCTAGGCTGTGGGAAGGGGGTGAGAGATGGGGTGGGGTGGGGTGAAGGGAATGCTAGGTTTGGTATTTATATTGATATTGAGAGGAGAGGGAGTTGAGTGGAAGGAGAAAAGAAGTGGAGGAGGAGAGAAGAGGAGTACTGGGAACGGCGAAAGGGGAAGGAAAGGCGGGATTCGGGATCGCGGTGAAGGTGGAGTCGGTTCTGTGTTTACAGCTTGGTTGCTTGGCGGGTTCGGGGGTTGGAGATGCGGGGGATTGGGAAGATGGGGAAGGGGTCTTTGGGTGGGGAGGTGGGGTTGGGGTGATGGTGAGAGGGGAGAAGGGGGTTGGGATGTGGTGGGGGATGAGTGGAGGGTGGATGGGAGGTGAGAAGAGTAGCTTCCTGAGGCTTAAGTGGGAGGAGTGGAGATGTGAGTTGTGTGAGAGAAGGGCAGATTTTGGGCTGGAGATGGAATTGAGAGATGGAATTGAGAGAGGGAATTGAGAGAGGGAATTGAGAGAGGGAATTGAGAGAGGGAATTGAGAGAGGGAATTGAGAGAGGGAATTGAGAGAGAGAGAGGGAATTGAGAGAGGGAATTGAGAGAGGGAATTGAGAGAGGGAATTGAGAGAGGGAATTGAGAGAGGGAATTGAGAGAGGGAATAGTGAGATTGATGAAGAGGTATTCAGACTAGCAACAGGGGAATGAAATATCAAATTTTGGGATTGGAACTACCTGAAAAGGGGGCACATAAGCCGAGAATCGAGAGGATGGGAATGAGCTGTCTTTCTTATTCCTCATCCGGCAGCACCTCTGCTTTTCCACGAGCTTCAACGTAGATGCTCGCCTTCTCTCCTCGCTGGATTTCTTTGACATCGCCCTTCCAGCCACGCCAGGGTCTCAACCTAACCCATGCTGTGCTCGACGTGACTCCTCTCTCGTCCCCTTCATCCTCCATGTATCCATATCACCCATGCTTCTGGATATCCACATGTCCGTTCAACATAACGTATCCTAATCATCAAATCATCATCTTCTCCCGCCTTCCAAGTCGAATTCATGATTCAGAACCTCCACCCCCACTCCGTTGCCCCTGGTGTGAAGCTTGCTGCCGTTCCCTCGCCGTCGTCGCAGCAATAGTCTCTTCACCCAGCACTTTCGACGCTGCCATGAACCTATTTGCTTTCGTTAGCCCTTATCCTTATCCCCATCAATATTCACCAATTCCATCTTCCGTTCTGTCAATAAATGTTCTTCTCCTTCTCATCCTCAACCTTTCCTAGCCAAGGATCCAAGAACCCGATATCATAAGCAAAGGGGATGGGAAGAAGCGGATATGAAACGCGCACATACAATCCCCCATGCCAAGCCCCCAATCCTCTCACGCTCTCGGCTTGTACGCTCGTCATCCGCAAGAGATTCTCGAGATCTGCGAGATTGGCGGAGAGGGATGCGAGTTGGGCGTGGAGGTGTGACTGTTCGCCTACCGTTAGCTGCTTTCTTTGCCTCTGTTCTGGTTTTGGGGACGAGGTGGAGAGGGGAGGTGTTGGGAATGAAAGGAGAGGCGGGGTAGCGGAAATGGAGAGGGAGGAAGAATGGAGGGAAAAGAGGAGATGGCGTACCAGTTGTCGCGGCTTGATACTGCTTGGTGCTGTGCTGAGGCGTGGCGCGGAGGGGTTGGGGATTCGGGATGTCATTTTCGTTTTCTGCTTCTTAACCCTTTGGTGGTGTGTGCGACGCGTTCGAGATTTCGGGTTTCGAAACGTGGGTTTGCGATTGTGAGGGTTTGAGGTGAGGTCGAGGAGCTAGGTGGGACCAGGGTGGTTGGGTTGAGAGGGTGATTAAGGAGGAATTGGTTGCAGCTATGTCGTGGAAAGGTTGTGGTTTGGATGGAGTTTGGGGAAACCGAGGAGGCGCGTTGGTGCTGGTGGTGTAAACATTCGATAGCCTCGTGCACGGACCATGTCTTGGCGAGTATTTTCCCCTTTCCCATCTCGCTTTCTTCATCATCAACCGTGGAAACTTTTCGCTTTCGATGTCAAGGACGCGAGTTGCTGAAGGTTCGGAGTGCCAAACATTCTTGAATACTTGTACAATTGAGTGTCGGCCTATCTACGGGCGGGCTGAGTGTAATGCTTGCGTTGAATTGCTGCGTTTCTCTTGGTGATTGCAAGGTTCTGCAAGGCAGATTGATCTTCAAGAATTGTGGAATGACATTCATTCATGCTGCTTATTGCTATTGTATCGCGCGATATTTTTGTTGCTTGCGGTTCTTTGATTGAAGGGAACCCCCGATGCTCGAACTTTGAAGCGTCGGCTTGGCCAACCACGTAGATGTCAGGCGTCAATGACTCTGCTTGCGGCCTGACGTTCAACAATGCGTGCAGCCTCTTCGCCGCGGAAACATCATTTTTCACCACAGAAACTGAAGTCTCTTTGACGCTTCAACACTATCTGAAGGATACTTACGCGGACAATGGAGGACCAAAGATTCGAATACAACATCTTGAATGGGGATATTAAAGAAATCAGACTCGTCGCACTCCAGCCTTGTCCAGACCCAACAGCCGCAATCGAGTGCAAGATCCTGAATGCAATTCTGTATGATCGACCACATTACGAAGCTCTCTCCTACATGTGGGGAGACGAAGCCGATCCTCAAACCATCAAGATTGAGGGGAAAGCATACCAGATTCGTCGGAATCTCTGGCTCGCACTCAATCAACTTCGTCTCGCAGAAGAAGAAAGAATATTATGGGTTGATGCTGTCTGCATTAACCAAGATAATATCGCGGAGCGCAATCATCAAGTTGGTTTCATGAGCTCGATTTATCGCCAAGCCCATTGTGTGATTGCCTGGCTCGGGCCTGAGACAGAGACTAGCCATCATGCCATGTCGTTTCTCAACCAGATATACGAGGGATCGGTGCCAGTAGCAGAATGTGATAGTCTTCGGTTCAAGGAAAAGTGGGCTGCAATTAAGAATTTATGTGAGATGCCCTATTGGGGACGGCTTTGGATCATTCAAGAAGTCGTGCTGGCCTCTGACGTCGTCCTTTGTTGTGGAAAAGATACATTACCTGGAGAAGTATTTACTAAGATTCGAGATTTACTGGCTGCCTATGGGAAATACCGCACTTGGAATCCAGACACTGCCCAGGAGTTTCTACATTTGCAACCGGTACGATTATCGCAGCATCGAAACCGAATAGAGTCTTCTGACCACACTCTTGTTGACATACTTTTTGAATTCGGTGAAGCCGTGTGTCAAGACCCCAGAGACAAGATATTTGGTCTCTTCTTCCTCTCGAAGCAGTGTTGCAAAGCTCAAGTGTTTGTTGATTACTCCAAGACAGCATTTGAGATCTGCAACAACGCCATTTCGCATTACCTCGACGAGCATCTCGAAGAGCATCTCGAGGCGCTCTTCCCGCTTGCAGCAGATTTTACTCAACCAGTAATGTTGGCGGATATTGTTCACCGCATTTGCGAGAAGAGGTATTCTCTCCCGGATGTCATCGAAGTCGGGGTGTTGCCAACTAGGTTCCAACGGCTCCTTGGTGCCATTATTTATACAACTCCACTTGAAGCACTAGATAAAGAGACTGAAACCGTGCGTCGGCCACGGTGGTCTCCGTATCTACATGTCAATGAGTTACAATATCTCCAGAGTGTATAGAATTACTGAGGCCACCCTCCTCTAGGGCAAGATCCAGACGTCAGGTCAATTATAGCCGGAAAAATGAAAGTGGACTGGGGTGGAGGATCAAGATTGGAACTAGGTTCGGCAAAACGGTTGGGGGCTGCAACTTACCCTACAAACCCATATTATGGGAACACATTCGCAAACAAGTTAAAGTCATCAGTTATATTTAACCGCTGGGCTTGGGTGTTGCGTGAAACGATAAATTCGCGGATGTCTTTATCGCGAGAGAGAAACACGGCGGTGACTGCAGGGACAGATGTTATCGTTGAGGATAATGGACAGTTTCAAAGATCAGACATCTCAAGTTCAGCAAACCTTGCTGCCTCCTGGGCGGGGTTGGTCAAAGGAGATAAATGGGGAACCCTTGCTGGTTATGCTCGGAAGCTGATCCATACCGTACGCAACCATCCTTATCGATATCTTCCCGAGTCGCAAATCAAAATCTTTGTCGATAACAATGGTGTGATTGGCCTTGCACCCAAAGAAGTTTTGCCTGGAGATACAATCTGGGAGGTTGACGGTCCAGACCCTCTCGCTATTGCCCGAAAGACTGCAGAGGGTTACGACACGATAACGTGGAGCACAACTAAGCCTTTAGCACTCTCAGAGCTGGAAGATACAAACTGGTTTGAGTCACTGTCACATTGCCATCTGACATTCGTGACACTTCCGGACGAGCAGTAGATGGGACTGGGTATATATTACGAATACTGAAACGGGGCAACGAGGACGGCAGGCCTTTAGGCTGCAAACATGCTGGCTTTGTTCTGGGGTTTGAATCCGGAGAGTCCTTCCCCAGGACCTGGTCTGCAGTCTTCCCAAAGCTTGGCACGATGCAGAACTTCGCCTAATTGGGCATGTCTTTTCCTTACGGTGGATTCTCCAAGGTGACCAAACTGAATGGCCAGCCCAACACCTGGCTGCTAAAGTTTTTCGACGCCATCCCCTCTTTTTGGAGTTCAATCAATGGACGCAATTCCCGTTTTCAAGTTCTGCAAAACCTTCGGCTATCGACTTTCACTTCGAGTTTGATATAAGCACAGCCTTATGTTTTATTTCTCACCACGATTGACGAAAAATTTATTTACAACCTTCTCGACAAGGAAATCAGGGAAAACCAACTCATCGTACTCCAGTCTTGCACAGATTCAACAGCCGCAATCGAGTGCAACCCAGCAACTAGTGTACGTACTTAGCTCTTAGTCTCTATAATAAAACTCTCCTCCAGCGGTTGGCGTGTTTGAAAATCTAGCAGCTCCAACGACTTAGTAATCCATTTGATATGAGATTCCATCATTATTCTCTTTCCCTCTTCCCATACTCATTTCTTTCCTTCCTATAATCTGGCTCTGCTTCAAAATTGCTCTGGCGACGACTATCTCTCCCAAAAGAGTAGCCTCCATTGCCCCGTGTAAGTGATTTGAAATTGGGGCCAGATGCAACCCTCGGGCTGTCATTCGCATTGCGTCCAGCCGTGTACTCTCCTTCGAAAGATTCAAATGGATTGGATTGGTGGCGCTGGCGTGAGTTGGGTGACGTTAATGGAAACATGTCACCCCCTAGATCATCCACGACCGCCTCATCGTATCCAGCAGCGAGAGGTGGCTGAAGGGTGTTTGATGAATAAAGCTGCGTTGAGACTGGAATTGAGAAAGAGGGACGGCTTTCCTTATGGCTGCTGCTCCTCGGCCGACCAGTGAAACCTCGAGAAGGAGGCCCTTCGAAGGGTGATCTCCTGCCATCGTAGCTGTTATAACGATCTCTATACTCCTCAAGCCCCCCGATTTTCTTCGCCCACCGGCTGTTTGTCCAGTGGTCTGCGCGATGCTCCATTTCCAATGCGAGATCCCCATCGTTCATTCCAGAAAACACTTCTTTCATATAGTTGTCGAAGGATTCGGTAATTTGATGCATTAGGAGGAAGTGTTTCACATCCATTACAGCAGCTGGGGCAGGCTCATTAGAACTCAATCCCGTCCTTCGTGCTGCCTCATTCGCTGCCTCGAATAAGGCCAAGCTCCTGGCCACTTGGAATGCATTGCGGATCTGACGACCGTTCCACTGTCCATCACGTTTCTCGTTGTTGTCAAACTGGTGCTCAGCAAAGTCCAGGATGGCAGTTTCGGAAATTTTCAGAGCCCGTCTCTCCTTGCACTGTTCCTCGACGTGCCGTAGCCGTTGAATGTTGAGTTTCCAGATGTCAAGAGTCTGCTGTTTGTCCAACGGAGGGAAGTACAGCTTGTAGTGTATTCGAGATTTGAATGCCTCGTCCAAAGCTCCCGCACGGTTGGTGGTCAGGAACAGAATACCAGTATAGTAATCCAGAACCCGTAAAAAGACTGAAGTGGTCAGCTTGTGGCATCAATCTGCAATCCTTCGGTACTCACCTGATACAAGTGCGTTCTTGGTCATCGCCGCATCTCCTTTCGAACGTTGGGAAAAGAATGTATCCACTTCATCCATCAAAAGAATGCAGTCCCAGTTGCTCGCGAGTCGAAAGATGTGCCTCAAAGAAGACTCTACCTGATCTGGAGTGAGGCCAAGGTCACCGACAGTGATCTTAAATAACGGCTTGCCATTAGCTTGCGCTACCGCTTCTGCAGTCGCGGTTTTACCCACACCAGGTACGCCATGGAGGAGTATAAACAGGCCGGTTCCTTTTCCTTGGATCACATCTAGCGATAGGCCTTCCTCGCCGTTTCTTTTTTCAAATTCTTTCTGGATGAAGTGGCCTCGAACAGAACCCTGAATAAGATCCTTGGTTTCTTCTGGGATCCTTAGAGAGTCAAGGGCATCCCTTGATTGTGCGGAAGGCTTCAGCCGTTGCACGTCCAGGTGAGCAAATTTTCTTTCCCTGAAGACGTATGCAAAGACACGGCATGTAATCAGCACCTTGTCCTCATGACGGAGATGCTTCTTGGTGGTATGTTGCCCCAGTTGTTGATTCTCGCTATCTGCAGCAAGAAAAGGGTCTTCTGACACGAACTTGTTCCGCTGCAAGACATGTATTCCTGTCCGACGCGGCCTGATCTCGCTCGATTCTCTTAACAGTCTAGCCCTATCCGGTCCTGACCACCAATGAATGTTGAAGTCGTCGGAGACCGTAGTCTGGTTCACGGTTTCTGGTTTCAGGAATGCGCGTTCAGGCCGCCAAGAAGGACAGGCCTGGAACGCTTCTCCGTAGTCCACCATCACCTCACTATTGACGTGTTCAGGATGCTTCAGAATTACACCATTTGCATCAGTAACGAAACTTCCCTTTGGGTTACGTATGATTGTCCAGCTATTGTAAGTTGCGTGCTTTGTCTCGATGGAACGCAAAACCTGGTCTCCAGCGTCCATGGCTAACTGAAGAAAATGCTTGTGGTCCGCCACAAATCGAAGAGGGAAGATAGGCAAAGAGTTGACAGGCTTCAGTCCTTCATATGGCGGTATGGTGAAGGAGTTTGTTATCACACATAGCTCGTCGCCAGTGTGGTCGATACAATATGATTGCATTGTAAAACGACCGTCATTGACTTCCGGCCCTTGGTGGACGGAGTTGTGATGGTCCGAAGAAGGAGCTTGAATTCTGCCGCTGGAGTAATCAACATGGTATACTCTCCAGGCTCTCTGTCCCATTCGCGAATCCCGGCATCCGGGCAATTCGCCCTCGACTGGCCGGTAGATAGTATCACCTGTCCTGAAGAGGTAGCACAGATCGGAGAATCGGATCCTCGCATCGCTCGAATAGTCCAGACTGGCAAAGCGGACAGAGTCCGGTACTACATCTTTGTCCAGGAATTCCACAAAGCAGCGCATAACAGCCAAGGCAGCCGGGCTATCATCGAGGGCTTCCTCCACTTCCTCCCCTTCCTCGCCTTCCTCGCCTACCTCTACATCATCCCCGATACTCTTGCCGGGAGCCTCTCCTGATGTGCCATCCAGATGAGAGGCCCACCGCTTTTCCAACTCCCCTAAGACTTTTTTCATTTTTGGCAAGTAGTAAATTAGCGGACAGAAAGGACGATAATACACCCTTGGCCTTGCGGACCAAGTCTCTCCTTGGATCTTTGAGAAGATTCTGAGGAGCGCTGGAGACTGAATTCGTATACGCCGAATCCAAATATCATCGGATTGAGCGTTGCGCAAGGCGTCATTGGTGCGATTGGCTTCCTTCACAAGAGCATCCGCCTTGCGCTTTGCAGCACGCGAAAGGGCTCTCCCGCTGCTCTCGCCAAGGCGTTCACGCAACAATTGCTCCTGATGAATCTCTTGGTCTAGAAGAACGCCAGATTCTAAGACATCGATCGCGTAACAGCCGTCTTCCTCTGTGAAGCGATTTTTAAACTCCATGAAGTTGCATTTGCGCACCTTTGGGATGGTTTTCATCGAGCTTGTTTGCTGATCGTGGCCTCTTCTATACTCTCCAACGCTGCTCTCCTCCTGCTCGGCGTCGCCAGTCGTGTCTTGGATAAAGTCGGATCGACCATGGTTCTCGATGCCCGTAAGCCGCGCCTCAAGTCTTTTGATTTGCTCTCTGAGATCGTCGACTACTACCGGTAGGAGATTGGGAGGCTCCATTTGGAAAACTAAGTCAAGTAACTTAGAACAAATCTACCTTTATCAGTCTTCTCTGATCAACAAGCGGGAGAGTCGGGTGGACTATATGACTCTCCATGAAAGCCCAACTTGGCGAGGCTCCGAGGCTCTCTCACGAAAGTCTTGACCCCGCACGGGTCAGGCAAATCATGTCAGCGACACCTTTTGCAGCGAGCTGCATTATCGGGCAGATTGGCGTTTCTGCCCAATTTCTTTCAACCCAAGCAGTGAAATCAAGGTCTCGCACAAGGCACACTCGATGGGCGGAACCGAGGCTGCCTTGAGCGGGCCAAGAGCAGATGATGACCAGGATGTGCGCTCTTATCGTACATCGTACGTGGATCTGACCCAATACGTGTTTTTCTATCTCCTCACAACCGTTCGTGCCCATCCCTTAGTTCGAGTTGCAACGAGATTCTTCATACTCCTTACCAAGCACCACCTCGACATCTACACCAGCCCTCGGCGGATATGGCTCGTCAAAACGAGTCAGCGGTGTTTGCAAGGCAATTCATCGACGAATGTGGACCAGGTATCCATGGTGTGTTTGGTGTAGAGTCGCACTTTGACCTAAGCACCTCCAGGTATCAATCAAAGGAGGTCTAGTAAGAGCCAACGGATGCGTGTTTTGTTTGGTGTCACCCAGGGCTAATCATACCAGTGAGTTTCAAGAAACTCTCAAGCGATACCAGAATCAAGCAACCGGTCTGGCCGACTTCGGCTTCGACCTATTGTCCTGTACCTGGCAAGACGTCCTCGATGAAATGGATAAGGCAGAAGCAGCAGCTTCGGAGAGCCACAGACGAGGGAATGAATTTCCTGCGAGAGCTTGGAGGGTGTTTGAAACAATGGGGGATGTTATAAGCCCAGCCTTAGAGGCAATACCAGATGAGCTCTGCGTTCTCCATGGAGGAATTGCGGTTATATTTAGTGTAAGTTCACAAGAATCACTGCAACTCACCGCTGGCTAAGGCTATGTATTATTAGCTAGCTCGACGCAGGGCCCAGAACAGAAAGAAGATCCTCAGCGCTTTCTGCAATCTGACAAATGTTATCGAGATGGCGCGGAATAAAGCAAAGAGCCTCCTACAAAATAGCAGCCAACCCGAGAGCATTCGACTTCATGAGGTGATTCGAGAGCTACAGCAGACCCTTCTCCGTGTTCTGCCCGATCTCATCAAACGACTCAACCCGGGAACATTTCGTGAGTCTGCTATGTGCCAGGTCTGCTTTCAAGTCGGTGCTAAACGCATACTAGTCGATAAGAGTTTGAGTCCTTTCAAAGGGGGCAGCATAGATGACCTCCTTGAAAAGGTCTCTAGCAGCTCCGACAAAGTGCGCATCTGCGCTGAGGGCATGATGGACGATATCATCGTCGAGACGCACAAGGCGATGAACGATGACCTCGAGATGACAAAAAATATTCGGACTATGACACAGCATACTGGTGGGGAAGTCGAGGAACTTCAGGGGAAGGTTGACGAGATTCTGGTGCGGCAAAATAAGCTTCAATTGACTCTGGATGCAATATCTGGGAAGAATAGCCTTCTTGAATTTCTTATTGAGCATCTGAGTATGTGTCCGAAACTACTAAATCAAGGAGAGCTAAAGCTGACCTGAGCAGAACCACGGCGGGAACGAAGTCCGGAGACGCTGGCGACCGAGTCTCTACCGGACTGCGACTTGGGTACATCATTCAAACCTGGCCAACTATTGGCCCTCATGAATGTGCATCACCTCCAAGCAGTCGACGACGAGGCTCATATCATACGACGCGGCCGCTCGATAGATCCCGCTGTCATTGCACAAGCAGCTACAATGGTCCAGAGCCCTCAAGTACAGCAGTTATTTCACGCATCACAGTCCGGCATTGTACTCGTGGATGGTTGCGCCGATCGCTCGCAGATGTCGAAGGTCTCGCCTCTCTCTTACATCTGTGCGACTACCGCTGCTGTGTTACGATCCGGGCCTCCTAACGTGACATTGACATTCTTCTGTGGCCAGCACCTCGCATCGAATGACGACCTCCAAGGCCCGCAAGGAGTGATGAGGGCTCTGGTTACCTCACTGATTACAAGTTTGTTCCAGAATCGGTTGATATCAAACTTCTTGCCACCTCAGCTCCTGAGCCTTCCTGGGGAAGTCGAACACCTTTTGCTAAAAGACATCTGCGAACTCTTCCATCGCCTGCTTCGGCTTGTTCCAAGAGGAATTTCAGTATATTGTCTTGTGGACGGAGTATCCTATTATGAAAGAGATATATGGAGGGAAGACTTTAATCTTATCCTAATTTGTTTCGGCAACATCATAGATGATGAGACACTCGACTCGTTTTTTAAACTCCTCCTAACGAGTCCGACAAGAAGCCGCTCGCTTTCTGACCTGATGCCGCACCAACGGGTCTCGCTAAGGGGTCCTAGGGTCAGACGCACAGCGGAATCTGAGAGTATAAGAATTTAGGTCTTAGAGCTTTGACGAGGCGAGAGTTTACTTGGTATTGCTGATCAGATATCGAATTCCATTCTTTCTGCCATCACTTTTGTTCAACTGATAACATGTTCTCAATCTTCACTCTTCAGGATTGCTCTGTCTCCCAAACCACTGCACCACACAAGGAACTGCAGCAAAGATAGAAGAGAATGAAAATCGATTCAACAATATCCTTGAAATTACTAATAGCATCTAAATCGTAACCGCAATCTAAAGCCTCATCCGAGACTAAGAGTCACTTCACTTCTTCCAAGCCTTTCCAAAGCTCTGAACTCGCCACTGGAAAGTTACTAAACGGCCGTAAGCTTCATCACTTCTCTGAGACTAACTAATTCAATCATTTTTCATCTCTGAAATATCCTCCTACTTGTCATCTTTACATCTATCTTCTATGCAACCAGTGATTTACCACCTCTTTGCAAATGGCCATTTATTCGGACTAATATTAAACCACTAACATGACAATTAGATAGAGGATTAAGCGCGGGATTACCTATGTTTACTGGTGCTTGATTTCCCCTTGGGCAACAAATGAAGCAGAATCCATTTATGCTTCGTAGGAGGAACCTTATAATTTTTCTTCTCTTTCACAATATTTGCGGAGTGGGAGAGCTCGAGCAGTGTGAGCAAGAAATACTCAAGGTATTCATACTACTCATGAATATTCATGAGTAGTCTTGAATAGAATATAAGTAGCGTAAAACTCCAAAAGTTTGAGTAGAGTAGAATATATATTTATGAATATTCATGAATAGCAGTGTGTCAAAAAATAATCAAGGCTAATTAATTAGAATTAATTAGAATTAATTATAATTAAGTATGATTTGATTAGCTTGATTTTTATTATAATTAATTATAATTAACTATAATTATTACGTAATAATACAAAGTATACTATCTTAGGCATTTTTAAAGATTATTAAATAACTAGTAGCTATAGTAACAAGATATAAATAAAATCTATAAAGCATATATAAAAGTATAAAATTAGTCTAAATCTAAAATAATAAACTAGTTTTTATTACGTGGTACCAGTCACGTGGTGTTATTGCACGTGACTTAGCATGTGGCCAGTGCTTCCTTAGCCTGGCAAATAGCTCAATTCAAGCTCTTTACTACTACTATAACATTACTTTATCTTGATAGTTTTCTTCTTTAGAAATCTCTTTCTCTTTTCCTTTCTTATTTTCTTATTTCTTCTTCTTTAATTACTATAAGGGTTTATTTATAGCTCTTTTATTAGTGGTAAGGAATCACTAGAAAACAAGAAGGTTCTAGCGCCTTTGGCTTCGCTTACTAATTAGCGCTAGGCCTGGTTTAGTAAAGAGCGCCTTTAGTAATACCGAATACGGCTAGCCCAGACCTTATTTTAGCCTTATCTCGGCTTCCGAAGCTCCAGAGTCATGTGTGTAATCACGTGATACATCTAATTAATTATCTTTGATTATCTTTGATTTGTGATAGGCATACGTAATGGCGCATGGGCAGGTGTCAGATGTCGTAGATCTAGTTTCCTATTTTGGGTATAGCTTGCGATCGGAATCATATAGATCGCATGGGATTTCCTAATTAAGTAAAGGGCTTCGCATACTTGGCTAAGTACTAGGAAATATATAGGGAGACGCTCCTAGCTTAGGAAAGGGGCATCGATTAGTCTTTATTGGAATCAATTCTTGGAATTAGTTACACTTGCAAGCATTACTCTGCAGCTTACTTACCTTGACTACTTGTACTTTACCCTGCTATTACGTGCCTTACTTTCTAATTAATCTAACCTTCAGGGAGCAGTTCATTGCAAGGTAGTCAAGCCGTTAACAGACAAACTAATTAATGGCTAGAGCATTAACCAGAAGAAGTACCTCTACTGCCGCTGGGGCGACCTAGCCGGGTATCCAGGGGAGCGCCTAGTCAGGTACTCTTCGTACTGCCTAATCAGGAGAAGGAAGCGGAACTCAGACGCCCCTAGAACTAGCTAGTAGGACAATAATAACGGAGAAATTAGTGGCGGCTCGCCATTATATTACTGAGTTAGAAGCAGAAATGTAATAGAGAGAGGATCTAGAGAAGCTAGAAGCTCAGATCCGTTATCTTAAAGATATTCGGATATCCGGTATAGAATCCGTTATACTCCCGGTAGTATCCTTGGTTTAGAGGGCTCTAAAAACCCGAGAACTGCCTACTTACTAGGGAAAGAGTATTAAAGAAGCCTAGGACTTCTTCTACTAGGCAAAGTTAAAGTAATATAAAGATAGCAGGATTACCTGAGCTACTAATATAATAAAGATTATATATTATATTTCCTATTTTAAGAATATAGCTAGGAATATCTAGAAATATAGAAAGTAATTAGTAGGTATTAATATTACGGATTAGAAGACTTTTATTAAGTTTATAAAAAATTCTATCTTAGATCTAGAGAACTATAGTAATAATATTCTTATTAAGTTTAAGAATACTAAATAATAGCTAGGCTAGAATATCTAAAGCTTTATATCTTATTTAGATAGCCTATTAGATAATTTAGAATATATAGGTTTATTATAAAAGCAGAATAATTTATTTAATAGCTTAAAATAGGAGATTTAGAATAAAATTAATTATTAAGGAAATATTTTATAAGAAAGAAAAAAGCTTATTTTTATAACTATAAGAATTAAAAATAATTTAAACTTATTAGCTTAACGGAAATATAATAATAATTTAATAGAATAATAAAAGAAAAGAAATAAAAAAAATAAAAAAGAAATATATTTCTATTATGAGATTTATATAACTAGAATAATAAAGATATAGTAATAAAGTCTAATATAGTACCCGTATTAGAATTTATAAAACCGGATATAATTTGCTTTATTTACTAGAAAAAGAATTATTATATTATTATTTATCTAAATTAGGGAAAACTAACTTATTATAACTATAATAAGTCTAGCTATAAAGTATATAAGTATCTAGATATAACATATAAGAATTAGGCTCGTACTATAGTTTACTAGACCAAAAGATTATAGTATTTATCATATAGTAAATATGCCTAATTACGGTTAAATGGCTAGATCGTAGTCACGTGACAGCCACACGTGATACTAGAACTAAAGAAACCGAGAAATAAATATATCTTATAATAGTTATATTTATTTATATTATAAAAAACAAAGCTTCTAAAACGAGAATAATAATTAAGGTTATTATTAAGATAAGAAAAAATAAGTATAGAATTAAAATATTAGTTAATTCGGGTATAGAGGCTAATTATATAAAAAAGAAGCTAGCTTTAGATATAGATATCTTATTAATATTAAAAGTAATTTCCTTAATTTTATTAAAGAAAAAAAGAATCTATTTATATAAAGATTATATTTTTAGAATTATTACTAAAAATATAATAAAGAACTAAAGAAAAACTAATATATATTTTATATTATATAATTTTAATTTTAATTATATTAATATAATACTTGAATTCCTATAATTTTATTAAATTAATTCCCTAATTTCTTTTAGGGAAGTAATATAAAAATATTAGATTTAATTATAAAAGATTAAAGTTCTAAATATTAGGAAGTTTACTAAAATAATAAAATATAAGATTAATATTTTTCTATTAATTACTTATTCTATAATAAATAGTTAAAGAATTATTACTATTATTATAAATAGAATAATTATATTTCCTAAGAAATATTAGAATCTTTTCTAAGTATTTTTTATAGAAGTTATAGATATATTATCTAATTATTATATAATAGAATATTATATAAATCTGGAACCAGAATCCTAATTACTATATAATCCTATATATATTTTATTAGAAAAAAAGCTTAAAGTTTTTCGGGAATATCTTAATACTAGTTTAAAGAAGAAATAAATCTATTATTTTACTAGCCTAGCTAGTACTTTAATTATATTTATTCTAAAAAAAGAAAGTAATTTATATTTATATATTAATTATTAGAGTCTAAATAGAATTACTATTAAAAACCAAATACTATTATTATTTATTAGTAAGATAATAAATAGGCTTTATAAAGCAAGAATATATATAAAACTAGATTTAAAAAATACTTACTATTAGTTATAAATATAAAAGAATAATAAATAGAAAATAATATTTTAAATATTATATTATATTCTTTAGATTTTCTAATACTCTAGTAATATTTCAGGTATATATTAACTATATACTAATAGGCCTTATAAATATTATTTATATAATCTATTTAGATAATATTTTGATTTATTTAGAAAACCTAAAATAATATATAATAATAATCTAATATATATTTAAATAATTATAATAATACTAGCTTTTTATAAACTTAGTAAAATATGAGTTTAATATAAAGAAAATAAAGTTCCTGGAATTTATAATTAGCTTAGATAATATAGAAATAGAAGCTAGCTAGGTTATAGCTATTAGGAAATAGCCGGCCCTAAAGAATAATATCTGAAAAGTTTAAGTATTTCTGGATTTTACTAATTTTTACTAGAGATTTATTTATAAATATTCTAGGGTAATAAAAGAATTAACTAATTTATTAAAAACTAGTAAAAACCCATAATACTATTTTACCTAAATAAATAAGGTAAATAAGGCTTTTAAGAAGCTATAAATTATATTTATAATAGTATTAATTTTTTATTATTTTAACTTAGCCTTAAAGATTTATATAGAAATAAATACTTTAGGATTTATAATTATAAATATAATTTCTTAGCTTTTTAGTAAGGAAATAGAAGCCAGGTAATATTCTATTACTTTTTATTTAAAGAAAATAATTATAATTAAGAATAGATATAAGATATATAATTTAGAACTCTTAGTTATTATTCTAGTATTTTATATTTAATAGTATTATCTAATATATATTTAATATATTATTATTATTAAAATAGATTATAATAACTTGAAATATTTTATAACTAAGAGAAAACTAAATAGTTAATAGATAAGATAAGTAAAGAAACTAGCTATTTTTAACTTTATCTTAAAGTACTAGCCGGGATATAGTAATTCTATTAATAGGTTATTAAGAAAGCCAGACTTTATAATAAGTATAAATAAAGATATTTTACTATTTATATTTTATAATAAGCTATAGAATATAGAATAAAGAATCCTATAAATAATAGTAA